GAATCACAACCTGGAATCACAACCTGGAATCACAACCTGGAATCACAACCTGGAATCACAACCTGGAATCACAACCTGGAATCACAACCTGGATCTTTGGATGAGCGAGGAACATTCCATGACCCGGGGTTGGGGGCTCTACAAAATGAATGCTACCTCCTTGGTTGGATATGTATTTACCAATCTATCCTCCCCGTCGATACGTTCACAAACCTGAGTTCAGCTCGATCCGAGCCCAACTCGAGACAGCGCGGATTCAGTCTGGCATCCAATGCATGTAGTACTACTATATGTACCTAATACTAGATGAACACAGGGCAATACTGAGTGGTAGCAGTAATGATGAGTAGTCTTACTAGTACCACAGCAGTTCCTTCGCGCACAGAGGCCTCCATGTGACCACTAGAAGCCAGCTAGACCATTTTGGGCGATTTTGGTGATGCCTTTCAAGCTCTCAGATAGCGGTCGCTTTGGTCATTTCGTTACTACATACCATATTCTACACGCTCCTCCTCTCCTATCGGAGGCTCAGCGAGCGCTTATCCCAAATTTCAATACATTTGCCTCTGCTATTAGGTGTATGCGGCAGAGCGCTTGCGTCATGGTTGTGAAGCACCGCTGGTAAATGCCCCTACAGAGTAGCACTACGGTACGCAGATAGATGCACCAGGTTGCTTTTAGAAGATGATTGTAATTTGGACCTGGGCCGAGATGATACGCACTGCACGGATCGTGAACTAGTACTATCAGTGCTATAGGAGTACATAGTAGTAGGGACTAACAGTAGGGGCGTTCCATAAGCCGGCTCATTTGTGTTTGGAAACATTCAAGAATCACTTCGATCGAGTCTCAATCTACGCTGGCTCGGATTGGATCCAGGTTGAATCGATCTGGAATCAAGCTAACACCAGTATGATGTGAGGAAGGCTCAAAAAGACTGATGAATCAAGATCTAGATTGAAAGTACTTCAAATATTTACTAGTAATAATAATACCAGTACCACAGTTCAAGACCATAAGTGAGGAGTCAAAGAGATCAGAGATCGAGGATTATTGAATTGGTACTACTAATTTCAGACCCTTCTTACGAGAGGCAAGGTACTCTCCTTGGCCTAGCAGTAGTAGTATAATAATATCGGCAACCCTTGACACCTGAAGGTGATATTGTGTTCATCGAGTGAGCTCAGAAATGATCCCACCCCCATGGTTCTCTGGCGTCAAAGACTGTCGTTCTGTGATATAGTACTATTAGTAGTTGTTATTGAGCTCAAGCCCAAGATGCTCTAATCGATCTAGAAAAATTCCTAATCTGGCAAAGAAGTACAATCCGCCTTTCCGTTTGATTGATTGAAGCCGAAACGAGTTTTCCTGTCCAAGCAGAACAAAGCGAATAGGTTATGCATAAGGTGAAGAAACACATAAACCTTCATGCTCAAAGATTCCAAGCGCAAATAGTAGTCGTCTAACTCATCAGTATTTTTTTGCCCGCGACTTTGAGGCTCGTTGGGGCGCTTTGAGTTCTTGGTCCTTGCAGTTGACATTGTAACGTTGGACCTGGCGGTGCAACATAGTGCGCGGTTGAATCGTATATCGCACTGAGAGCAAAAGGAATCTAATTGAGCCAAATGGTGGTCGAGGCGCGAGGACGCCGAAAGTCTCCGCGACACTACGAGTAACTAATGGCTATAAACTGAAGCGCGGTGACACATTGCTCCCCGTAGTGATACCTAACAAAGTTCTATATAGCCTAGACTTTAGTTAGCCATCTTTGCGGCCGAGCTAATGCATAAATATATAGTCTTCTTAATATCGCTAAGTACGAAGCGACTGTAGACTTTAATAAGCTATTTTATGTTACAAAAAGGGCGATTTACTCCTTACGTCGAAGAGAAGAAATATAATCGATATCGAGGTGTAGTGAAATGCCCTTCGTGATGAAATGAACTGCTAGTATATAGTGAGTTAACTGACTCTGCACACTACCCGGGGCATTTATACGCAATCTAAGGTGCTCTGCTGTATCTAATATTTTCTTGGATTTCTCCCCTTAATTTTCAATACTCAGATTTGAAATTTTTAAGGCCCTATTTCTATTGCTATCGCTAAATAAGATAGGGCGTGTCTAACTTACTGGAGACGTCGATACCGGCTCTGGTATCATTTCAAGACGTTGAGATATTGTAACCGCGCTTATCTACTTCGTGAGTGGATCTACTGACCCGGGACAGTGGCAGCTGATCCCGCGGAACGGGCCGCCGACATCAAACAATAACGTTATTGACTTTAAGCGAAAAGTCGAGAACTGCCAGCAACACTAGCTTTGCTCGTTCTCTCACATGTAGTTATAGTGGGTACAGCCGACAAGGCGGTTGCGGAAACATTGTACTGCACTACAGTCGCAATTCAACGCCTAGAACGCGACTCAGGCCAATGCTACATGTACGCTTGCCAACGCATTGCTGGCCAGTTCGCCAGCCCGGTTACGATTGGGCTCTGTTATGCTGGTCGTCTTTACCGGTCAGAAATACCATCCAATCTCATGACCGAGCAGCATTGGCCATTACGTCAACTTCACCTAGACGAAACGTGTCTATCAGCACGAGTACTCAGTACCCCGCACTTTGATCGCTTATCATAGCTATCAAGCTCGCAATCAAGACATACAAAGACGAACATGGTCCCCGAAGTTCGTGCTCAGTTTCCACCGTCCCCGTACTGACTTACGAGCTATTTCCGTTCTTATCAGTTATTAGGGAGGATAATGAAGTGCTTTGAGTACTCCTAAATTGGTGTGGATAAAATAACCATAGCCAAGTCGGAGGTATGGCAGAATTGTTAGCAAGACGATCACCCTCTTTACTTGCGTGATTCGCTAAATTAAGACATCAGGCTGACCACGTTCGCCGATAATCTCAACCGTCACCTGGAAGACTTTCGCGCAGACACTCAGAGACTAGCAGAGCGCTTGACTGCACTAGAGCAGAACTCGAACAATCTGAACCAGACTGCCACCGGTCTAGGTATTCGCCTAGATCATATTGACCGCAGTCCAAACAGCCTCAGTGAGCGCTTCGGAAACCTCCACCAAGACTTTGATCGTCTACGAGAGAGCTTTGTGGCTCTCGGCCCTCGCCTCGACGGCATTGACCGCAGTCTAAATAACCTAAGTAACCGACTGAGGACTCTTAAGCAGAAGGTAAATACCCTCAGCGAGAACTTTACCAATCTCGCCAACAGTGTCGACAGAATCGATCGCGACCTGGACAGCCATAATGACCGTTTCAGGGGCTTTGAGGCTCGCCTAAACAACATCGACCACAATTCCCGTGGCCTTAGTGAGCGCCTTACAGTGCTCGAACAAGCCAATACAGACGTCCAGCAAAAATTGAATCTTATTGATCCACGCCTCGACCAGATTGACCGTAGTCCGGACAGTCTCGGTGAGCGGGTTGGGGACCTTGAGCAGAACGTCGACACTCTGGTCCAAAGAATTCAAGGATATGGGAATCGTCTCAGTGCTCTTGACCACGTTCCCAATAGCCTCAGTAATATCGTCCAAGCACACGGTGAACATTTACGCCAGCTACGCGACAGAGCTGTTGAAGAAAGGCAACGGTTGGATGCTGTCGATCGAGAACCTGATGGCGTGGCCAACCGCCTGCGATCGCTTGAAGATCAACTAGTCCGCACTGATCGGCGAGTGTCCAATATAACCAGACGGATTGAATCTTCAGGTATCTGCTGCGTCATTTTATGAAGGTGACAGAAGAAAGTAAAACCGAGCCAAAGGTTTTAGTACAATGGTCCCACGAAACGGGTCATTCGTATACCTGCTTGAGTCAAGGAACGTTACAGTAAGATTTCCCATATACATTCTAATAATACGCGGGTGAGATTCATTCAATGACTTCTAACTCATCACGTTATCTTTCTGCGACCTTGATGAATCGGCACAGAGCTGCTAGCTCACTGGTTGAGTCTGGTTGGTCTGGGCATGTTGGCATCTCAAAAGAAGCCATGGTTGAGTATTGATCACGTTTAGTAGTGAGGCATGGCTGTGGAATTTCACCCTTACTATGACTGTCAATAGGCTCGGAGATTCTTACTCTTCTAACAACTGTCGTTACAGTACAGCATCTTTAGGGATTAAGCCTGCACTGGGTAGCACGATGCCTGGAGGTGTCCGTCAGGCTCCGAGCACATCTCATGCATCGACCACGGAGATCAAATATGTAGCCGCCAATCACTTTGTGACACGTGTGACTGCTGGAAAGGCCAGGCCGCCTATGGGCTATCATGCGCCGGCTTGGAGCGGAAATCGAAATGGCTAAATACTGATGCTATTCAGCTGATCATTCTGACAGTATCTGAGTAATGGTAGAAGCGCGATTTCTTTGAGATGGCCCCGATTCAACCGCCTTCGGCAAGACCGATGCCAGCATCGACAGAGCAATATGGACTTATAGAAGAGGAATACGCTGATAGCCCTGTAGGAGCGCCTCAACAATGCTGCAACAATAGCTGACACGTGTCGTAGTTCCAACTTCTGATCATTTGTATTTTCCTTAATAAAACTCGAGGACAGCGAGCCATACCTGCAGCCCGACGCTTCCTCTCGCAGTTTCCAGATCCGGATCATCTCGCAAGAGCTAAATTTGAGGAGACTGTCTTATTCTTTAAGAGTCTTGGATTGCCTTACCGAGCGGGCTGGGTCATTGATTTGGCGAAAGGCTGGTTATCGCAGCCGCCAAAAGCCGGCGTCGTTCACCAAAAGTTATATCAAGGAAAAGTCACGGTTGAATCGGAAGTGGCTCATTTAAAAGGTATTGGGCGATATGCTAGTGATGCTTGGAGGATCTTCTGCAAAGATGAGCTCTATAGACAAGCAGGGTTACCCGTGGGCGCACCAGAGTGGTCAAATATATACCCAGAAGACAAGGAACTCCGTGCGTACGTTGACTGGAAGCGGACAGTTTCTGGGATGCAGATCTTGAGCAAGAAGAGTCAACAAACAGAAGATTTGTTGACGGATTTGCAGAAACTGTCACTCGAAGATTCTCTGTGACCTGTTCTGCGACACTGGTTCACTTTTCTTTCAATGATAATGATTATATGTCCATACCCGCTAAGTTGTTGCTGCATGCGAAGAAGCTTTAGCAAGTCTCTTGCCTCTGCACCGAAGTGTATCCATTTCAGTCATATCAGGTTGAATTCTCAAGCCTTGAGCGTATTCGAATTCTCCAGTTTCTAATACTAGTACCGCGTTCTACACCATTGATGTATCTATAGGTGAGTGGGGGCTTTCATAACTGCGATTGTCAAGGATCGTCAACATCTCGACTCTAGTACAGGACGCTTGTCCGGTAGCTATCTGACCCAATTAAAGGCATTCCGATTCGCTTTTTGCTAAGTATTTGTGTTGGGGGTTTTGCAATCGCTTACAGTGGTCTAGCGATGCCATTTCATTGTCTGTCACGAACATGGGGTGCCAAGGCTCTCAGGGGCTAGATGTATATAAGCGTACGGGTCGCGGGCTACCTTCTGAAGCTCTCCAGCTTCGGAATCGCTGTCGTCTGCGCCTATAGATAGGTAATATACTTATCAGATAGTTTGCTGGCGAGCCATTCCTGACATTGTCGCTTCTACCGCGTGTGAAAGGTATTATACATTGGTCTGTTTTATTACCTGAACTCCACGAAAATTTCACCGTACCAGCAAAACCATCGTAAAATATGGCCATCTATTGTTCAAATAAGAGGCTAATGCATATAGGCTAAAGCGTGACCTACTTATGCCCTTGGCTATCGATTTAAAGAGCTGCAATGTGTTCTCGAACGTAGGCCGGTTTCGGGACGCTCTGTAGCAAGGCATGATTGAATATGCTGACTGTTCACGGCGGTACTACGGTACAGTAGACTTCAACTTCTCAAGATTAAGGACAGGGACTCGATAGGCCGAATTTGAAGAACCCTCGATTTTTAGGCCCAACTCCTTTCTAATTATACTATAGAAGTCCGAAAAATAGGATGATAACCTAACTCTAGGACCTTAGCGGCACCCTTTTTGGCACCCTTATGTTACGGCACAACCCTGGAACTCCCAGATTGCGCCGAACAGAAAAACACATGCAAGGCTCTGCTAGAGCCTTATCCCACCACGTGACAACACAACTACCGAACCCCTTGCAGCCCTCAAAAACCCTCACAGTCCTTAGAGCCCTTACATTCAACTATCGAAAGCCCTTACATCCCATCCAGACATTCTGAGACAATCGAAGAGCCCAGACCGACAGAGCGAGGAGGAATGTTTCACCTGGAAAGGTATATAGATCTCGAGAAGAGCCCAAATCACCCTTCGAGTTCTTTGTCTCTCGTCTTGTACTCCACAGTGTATTAAGATAGCAATATCAGGACTCTCAAGCCTTCCACACACGTCCGAAGCTTCTTTGATTCCCCTCAAAGTCTCCTCTCCGTCCTTGTCCCTGACACCTTATCTAAGTCTTTTTTAGCACCCCTTAGCCTTAAGAGAGTCGCATAGGAGGCGCCTAACTAAGCAGCTTGAGCACATTAGAGCGGGCGACGGATTGGGATCCCCTGGCATCTCGAACGGGCCCCGTCGTCTAAAGTTGACGAAGTGGGTGTTGTGAATGAAAAGAAGAACGAAGGACCAAGTGCTCAGGCAGTCCTCAGGGAGCGCTCAGGGATCGCTCAGGGAGCGGCAGGTGAGCCGAGGGTGAGCAAAGCGGCGAGCGGCTAATCGAAAAGAGACTGACGACAGGTTTTTCGCGCGACTACCTAGATTACTCGAGAACGAAAAACCTAATTGCCATTTACGGTTTGATGCTAGAGGGTGAACGAAGACCGCTTTAACCTGAGCTTTCCCTGAGCCTTTGACTGAGCATCACTGAGCGCTCCCTGAGCAAACACACCGGGAGCCAAATCTGGTGCCTCCAGTGATCGGCTATACTTGCATCTCGGCTAGCACCGGTTTAGGACAGAATCTGAAACCGATAAAATCCCTGTTACTACCTAAACTTCCTGATCCGTTAGACAATAGTGTATCTTTACTAGACGCCTAAGAGGAGGCTGAGATCAGGATAACCGCACTAAGTAGAGCTAATCGGAAACCCTCGAGTATGTTCTGATTAGCTGGAATAGAGCTAGGCAATACGGTAGTAATAATCCATAACTTAGCCCTGGGCTTTTGGTACGTTGACGAAAGGACTCAGCTCGCCAATTCCGCTTGCCCGCTGTTATACTATTATGCTATCACCATCGGTTCTGCCTTATGCCACCCTAAGCTCAGATAGTAGAAACTTTAGTAGCCTAGAAGGCTGAGTATAGGGAACGACTAGGTTAGACAGAGATAGGCTTACTCGCGCCGAGTCTAAGTATACTTGAAACCGCGTTCAGAATTCGGTATGCGAGAGCTAAGCGCTTCATAGTAACTTAACTAAAGCTTGACTTTTCCGCGATGCGCGGATAAAATCCAAAACGGGAAAGACCCTAATGTACCTCCGCCGAGATCCGTCACCGTATACTAGAATTAAGTGTAAGTGGTTATATTGATTAAGGTTAACTTATCACTTCTTTGCTCTTTTTAACTAACGGCTTAACTTTTACTCGATCTCGATTCATAAGTTAAGGCCTGATGGCGTATTCTAATCGTTATCCGAGAATTCCTGGTCGCGATCTAGATGATCTATAATGATTACCTCTACCTACCGTTTTCAAAATAGTATAGACCTTTTAAGCGGGCTTTTTATCCTCTAAGGCTCGATATCTATCTAGTCGGGGTAGTTATTAGGGTCCTTCTATTCGACGATAGTTCTTTAACTGTATGCAGCTCTGATCTACTGCTATGTGTCCGGAGTAGACAGTCGGTGTAACTCCTTCAGGGGAAAAACTAGCCTCCTAACGATATCGTTAGCCGAGTTAATGGTGTTTCCGTGGCGATGATAGCGACCATCGTGCGTAATAAGGTTCAAAATCTGGTGCATTGACAGTACCGCATTCTCATTACGGCCTTAAGGCGGATTATGATACAATATATATTTCGGCTTAATACGAGGATCGAATGACCATTTACCATCACCGGCACTTTTTGACCTAATACGCGTTATAATGTAGCTACTCCTTAGATAATATAGCTCTGCATACCTACCCCCGCGATTATTAGGGAATCCTTTGATTTCAGGTTATGGAGAGGGTACGTCAACCCGAAAAATATCAAACTAGTCACCTCTTAATATCCATGCCATGCCCATATGAACTAGATCGATGCCCTTCTTCTCATAGCGTACGTAGAAGCAAATAAAAGTGTTGTCGTAGACCATAGCGGTGGTCAATTTTGGCGATAGCTACTATCTATCTAGTACGAAATCGCGTAAATAGAATGCCGGTTGTGATAGATAAAGTAATGTCTTATTAGCCTATTGCATACTTCGGACATATGGTAGATGATATTCCATTATCGCCTCTTTTACGGGAAGCTTCGCCACTACATTATAAAGATCCGCCTCAATCTATGTAGATCGATAGAAGCTAGGAGTACGATTTACTCTTACTAACATATTATAATCAAGCATTAGTGTTAGAGCCGCCGGATGGAAGCCCAAACTATAACAGAGATAGTGTACTTAAGCCACAAAAATGACTCGAGTAGCTTAAGCAGTAGGCTTCCCATTAACCTTTCTTTTGGACGATTTCCCCATAGTACTCCTTAATATTAAGTAGAGCATTTCGAGTAAGAGGTTCTCCGGTGTTAAGCTGTAATTTACGGATACTGTCTGGGCATCCGATGACAAGCCGAGGAAAGCGTATATCTTGTCGTATGGTAGTAAGCATTCTGATCTGGTAAATTTAGTAACTAGCGATAATAGAGGCCTTGACTTATTTCGGTGCCTCGTAGAACTCCGTTATTCACATAAGGAAGCTATCATAGAGCTTTTGAGAGCCGCAGTCAGCGCCTCAAATATAGGTGGCGCTTTCTAGACGTTTTTCATATTTCGTTTGAGGCTAAGAAGCAGTCTGAGATAGTATACCTAGGCTATCTAAGGGAGCCACTTTACGCTACAGACAAGGTCAAGCTTACGTGCCAGGACGATTTCCTAAACGATCTAGGCTCGCGTCCAATACTTACGTAGGTAAAGCTTACTAGTTTGCGACCTAATAGCGTTAGCCTTACATACAAGTCGTAGCTGTACATCAAAATTAGATTGCGGGCCTAATATGTAGTTATCTCGTATACCGTTCTGAACTTCAAATGGTCCGAGTTCGCTTATTATATCGAAAAGCTCATCGCTGCGATCGGTAGATGGTCCGAGCTAAATAATAACCTTTACGGCATTCGTGAAGATGTCCTTCATAAGCTGAACTTAGTAGTTCTTCTCGTCGATATTATTCTGCGCAATATACAGCGCGTCGATGAAGAGATTCGAGATGCCGTTTAAACTATGAAGATCGAGGAAGGTATATAGATTTTTTAAGACCTCATACGGTTGATTATTGATGGAGATTGCGTATCGAGGTTCTTTCTCGTCGCCCTGAGCATATGATAAGACTGTGTATCGAAGTTCTTTATAGGAAGCGGGAAGAAGAATGTGCTTAATAGCGCATCGGATCTCACTCCGTCCATCTCGCGGTAGGACATCCAGTAGTCGGATGGATGGCTATGAAAGATTAAGTGGCCGGTGCTCGAAGTACGACGGCATGTTCAACTCCCGTCCTAGTGCTGATCGTCGTTCTGGAGGACGTTATGGACCGACATTATCGGAAGGCATTACCATCGGGAGAGTTGGGACGGATACGAATGATCGAGGTTATATGGTCAGTAATTATTAAGTTGGTAGCTTTCACGTCTAGGTCTCAGAACTTATACCTTCGACGTTCCCGTGTCGTTGAGGCTGAAAATAAGGACGCGGTGCTGGCCATCCGGGCTAGGCGTATATTGCTCAGCCTCCTCATGTGACATGATACATGGACTGCCTCGTCTCGATTGCGCAAGCGCTGCAAACCTCTTAGCGATGTTTCGAAGGTTGAAGTAATTTTTGGACTGGAAGTGTTCCGGCTTTTGGTATGTCTATGAATAGGGCTAGTAGATGAACTTACCACGCACTCAGGGAGCACTCAGGGAGCGGAAGGTAAGCCGAGGGTGAACACGTTTTCGCGCACTACCTATGTATCCTTGTGGACTTCTCAACCCTTCCCGGCGTCAATAACTCGCCAGTGCTCAAGTTCCTGGAAGCCCCAGTCCCAGATCCCTGGACCCGAGACAATGCTCATGCCAAATCATCTTCGACTGGCAGTCTCTAGCCAACAGCAGCCCGCTCCCCATTTTGCAGGGAAAATTTTCACGACCCTTTCTCCGCTGCGGCGGTGGAGGCCGCTCCCGACTCCCGTCAACCCCAAGTTGATATCCGCACGAGGCTCAATCGAACTGAGGTGCTAGCGCATCTCCTCCACCATTCTGTCCCCGTAAAGATGATGCTTGCCAGCCCTACTCCTCTTCTCTGACCTTTTTTAGACCCATTCTGCAGCTCGCCACCCTGGCTTGTCACATCTGTGAGGTTCGCCGTTGCACCCGGAAAGATCCACCAGAGATGGTAGGATTTTGCGACGCAGCTCATCCATGCCTTTGGTCACTCTGGCTCGTTGATCGGCAAAATTGTTGTGGAGATACATAGTAGTCGCGTGAGGTACGGGGCTCGTTTCTTCTGTAACAAAATCCCTTCGAGATTTTAGAGGCTGGGCTCCGAGATATGCCTTCATATATAGGGATAGAACGACCCCTGCTTTTTTCTGCTCCTGCTGGCCCAGCTCCCCCGTCTTGACTGCTTCTCACAAGACACCCAGAACCTTTCACAAACATGGAGAATAAGGAGATCAAATACATCGACGAACATGCGACTCCCGGAGAGAAACACGCATATGTCGACGTTCTTCCTGGCGAAGTCTCAGACAACGTTGACAAGTTACAACGCCGCCTCAACAATCGGCAGATTCAGTTGATTGCTATCGGAGTGTCGATCGGTACTGCACTCTTCGTCAGTATCGGGGGTGGGCTCGCAAAAGGTGGGCCTCTCAGCTTGTTCCTTGCCTATACCGTCTACTCCGCCATGCTAGGCCTCGTCAACAACTGTATGGCCGAGATGACTTGTTTGCAACCCGTCTCCGGTGGTTTCATCAGTATGGCTGGGAAATGGGTGGATGATGCCTTCGGATTCATGGCTGGCTGGAACTTCTTCTTCTACGAGGCACTCTTGATACCATTCGAGATTACCGCCCTGAACCTTGTCTTGTCCTTCTGGAGAGATGATATCCCAACCGCCGCCGTCTGTGCGGGCTGTATCGTGCTCTATGCGTAAGCCTATCTTCTCGAGAGGTCCCATAGGCAAACTGCTAGGTACTAATCTATATGTTAGTCTCATCAACATCCTGGCTGTCAGGGCCTACGGAGAGGCAGAATTCTGGCTCTCGAGAGGCAAAGTATTTTTGATCTTCATGCTTTTCATGTTCACTTTCATCACTATGGTTGGAAGAAACCCTCAACACGATGACATGGCTGGCCAACTTGATCACGGCTGGTGGCATCATCGACTACATTGTCATGTGCGTGACTTACCTGTGTTTCTACCGCGCCTGCGTGGCTCGAGGGATCGACCGTAACGCATTTCCTTATACTGGATGGTTCCAACCGTACTGCGGATGGATTGGTCTGGTCTGGATGACAATTATCGTCATATTTTATGGCTACTCCGCTTTCACACCCTGGGATGTCGGCACCTTCTTCTCCTACTACACCATGGTCATTGTGGCCCCAATGCTTTACGTGGGATGGAAACTCATCAAACGCACCAAGAAAGTATCCGCTTTGGAAGCCGACCTCGTCTGGGAACGACCAGTCGTCGACGCATACAAGGCTACCTTCATCTCACCCCCTGTTGGATTTTGGACTGAGATGTTGCAGTTGGTCGGGCTGAAGCGAGCCAAGAAAGATGACAGGCGAGGTTCAATCATATTGACGACGAGTGGCTAGGAGAGATCTGTTCGGACATTTGATCAGATAACGGTTGGTTTGGACATCTGGCCGGCATTGGACCACGAGATATCTGACTGCGAAGAATGACTGCTACCCCTACCGCCAATGACATGCAAACAACGTAGCAGCCACTGTGGCGTACGCCTGCGACGAATTCTATTTCAAGCACGGCCATTACCACGTAGCCTGAGGTTAGAAGGCCATAGCCTCATACCCGGTAGTAGTAAAACCAACTCTACATCAAGGCACTTTGTTCAATGACCACCCACCCCTACTCGGCTCGTCTCCAAACTCATTCCTCAAACTCGAGGTCATACGCCAACGTATCGTCACAAAGCTCCTCCCTGAACTTGTGCACCCTATGATTGATTGCGAGTCAGCACAGGCGCGACAGTAGGAGATCAGGTTGCAACCGTATCCTGGTTGGTTTCTCCAAAAGGCTCGAGGAGCGCACAGGGTAGAGAGAAGAGGGGAGAGGTTCGGTGATGCCAACATACTCCAAGTGGGCAGGGTGCTCTGCATAGACCTTCACATCTTCTGCCTTATCCAGGATCGCCACGATCCCGCAATTGAACCCCTGGCCCCTGTGTGCCGTGGATGGCAGAGGTGTGTTCACTTCGAGCTTCCTCAGGCCTGGGATCTGGCCAACCATGGCCTTGGCCGCGGCTCCCCAGGCTGAGAGTTGGGCGGGCGTTACCCCGGGCTTGAGTTTGAACAGGACTGCGCTCGGTCAGCGCGCGTCTGTCCAGGGTTGGGGTGGTTGATCGGGAGAGGCTTACCGATGTGGTAGATAGGCATGGCTGCAACGGGTCTTGGTTGTAGTTGTCTACTGCGCAGTGGTGCTAGGGTTGAGGGCTCCTTGGGAGGATGGATTCATATACCACATAGGGAGATAGATAGATGTCTTGAAGTCGCCAGTGCTCGGTGGCATGCCCGGCCTTGATCGGTTGTATCCCACCGCGTCGTCAGTTCCTCCGAAGCCGAAGCCCGGCGCCCCGCAGCTTCCCCTCATCGTGTCCCGCCCCGTCACCCAGTTCACTAACCAGTCATGTATAGCCTGCGTGCCTGGCACGTGCCTGGTCAAAGCTCACCCACCGAAGACTCTCCGAAGATTGGAGCATCTGCAAGGGGTGATCCTTTCGCAGTCGTCATCTCTATTGCATGCATTGCTCACTCTTGAACTTCATCGAACTGTAACGTGAGTAGTCAACAGCTCCGACCGACAGTCAACCTCGCAGCAGACTCGGAGATAGTATGTCGCGTCACTTATCGGCCACCGCCTGCGCCCGTTGCGTCAACAACGCGAGAAGGCCGAGTGCGAGCGAGCTTCCACCGTCGAAAAGTACTCAAGGCTCTCAGTTCAACCCGGCCATATGTGACTGGACTCTCTCGCGACATGCTAGCCCGAAATATGGTTGCTCGAGATATCGACCCTGCAGACATGGATTCGAAAACAATCACTAATTCCTCTTCCAATCCCCAGACTCCTCCAAGCTTTAAGACACATTGTGACATTGTCGCCCTCCCAAGTCTCAGATGTTCTTTTAGAAGCAGGCAGCCATTATGAAAACGACAGTGCGATGTCCTGAATACCGTGCTTTGGACCATTGCCCTGTACAGTACAGGAGCTGGAGGATGGGCGGATGGCGGATGTTGGACGTGGTCAGCGTGCAACGTGGACCTGATAACCCAGACCAAAAGTTTGGGATGACACGGGACCTGAGAGGCCTTAGAGGGCATTGTTGCTGTTGATGGTACAGCGTGACTGGCCAGAGCTTGACGATGCTGGGAGTCTGCGTGTCGTCGACTGCTCACTTCTCCAGCCTAGGTGCCTTGAATTGGTAAGACCATCTGAGAGAACCAAACACAAAACAACAAAGAAAAACGGTGAAGATGGCAACCCCGCAGACTTGCAGTCTTGCAAATCAGTCAAGGTGCAACGCTGTTTGGTTTGAAAATCAACCGAAAGCTGTCATCACCGCTGCCTTTACGGCTACTTACATCTCGTTCCATGATCATGACCCTCCACCTTTGCTATTGCAACAGACCATGATAACAATCGATCTGCTTAACTGGAGCAGGAATGCGTTGCCTCTGAAGTGGAAGTTATAGTCGTGCCTTGGCCTTACAGCAATTGATGTTGTTTCGTGGGAACCAATGTGTGTATGTGAATTTGAAGGCAGTTCTTTGGTCGCGTCGTGTTTCTGCCTCACCCTCACTCTCACCCTCTCTATTGGATGTCAAAACTAACAGAAATCTTTTCTACACAGGCATCAACAATGTCCTCTTTCACCATCCAATACCACTACACTGATCGATGACACCATTCAAAAACCAGCCTCAATGAGCCCGTTGAGGCTGGCTCAAGGCACACAGTATCGAACAAACACCCGCAGTCCATCTCATTAATACCACCCTTGATTCTCCCTTCTCCAGCCGCTACGTCCACATCTGCCTGCTCATCAACCATGGCGACATCCAGTGCCAGACTGCTCCGCGCAGTCGTCAACCACGTACTTCTCCCACCGGATCTACCCGACAAAATCGACAACAATCTTGCTGAGATTAACCGGGACCTTCTGCTGCGCGTCCAGAAAGCCTGCATAGAATTGGGAATAGCCACTAAGGGCGAATACCGACAAGAGCTGCGCCTGCTCCAAAGTTCTCTGGATCATTGTTTCAGAATTCACGCCTCTACATATCTTGACAAACTTCAACTCCAACGAGCATTTTGCAGACTGCGGGTCGGAGAAATTCTTATTGTCCATATCAACGAGCAGAACGCGGGACTCTTGATAAGACATGGTACAAGGTAAGCTGGACCTCAACATCGCAGCTTTGACTACAATCCTAACAAGGTCTTCAGTGACTTGAAAGGGCACATCGTTTTTGAGGCCTTCGAAGTCTCTGCAAAATCGGAAAAGGTCCTCGAATCCCTGAGTACATTGCAATGGGACTTTCCCACCTCTGCCGCAGCCATTCCAACCGATGTCTTCGCCGACGACACCTTCCAGCAAAGCCTTGCCGATTTCCTGCAGAAAGCGAGCTTGGAGAGGGTCGATAAGTTTGGAGCAGTCATTTACAAGGCCAACTCTCCAGCCTTTGAGACACGGGATACCAATGATCCTGCTTTGGTTACGGGGATGTTGATCACTTTATTGGAAGGCATCGGCCAACTGGCTCAAACATCTCCCATTCGCAAACGTGTCCGAGACGAAGTTCGCCGGAAAGAGTCGGGCATCCCTTGGAGAAGATCGCCATTTTGGCTGCTTCTGCGGGTTGGTATCTTGCGTCTTCTGGAGCAAGCCACCTGCCAGTCCGTCTCAAATGCTCTATACAAAGCCCTGATGTGTATCCTCCACGCCCAACTGCTAGGCGAAATGGTTGGCACTCAGACTCCCGAACTCACCCATCTCCTTCTCACAAAGCTTGGTCGGCGAATCGCGAAACTAGAAAAGGACAGAATTCTTGCGCCGGCTTCAGACACCAGAATCTCAGACGCATACAATGTCCTTTTGAACAATCTTCGCCCTTCCTTCATTGAGTTGACGAACCGCACAAAATATCAACTCCAGACCGTCTGGGACAATCACAAGTCGAAGATTCGACGTTGGATCACCCAACTCAGCACGCGCCGGGCCAGACCAGGGCACATGAAGCTCAGTTTGACGAACAGCGCGCCTTATCTTGACCAGTTGCGTCAGCACCCACTCAAGACCACTCCTCGAGGGGCATATGCTATGCCACTGACCTTGCTGCATTTCCTCAGAAAGTACACGGAGCTCACAGAGATGGAAGCAGAAATCTTGGCGCGAAACGGACCCATGGTTCCCGCCAGCCATAAGACTTGGGCAGAATCCAGCATGGAGCTTGCAACGCAGATCGAAACGTATCTAGGAAAATCGATTGATTCATTTGAGGCTGGCACGGAAGATCGAAGTCGTATGATTCTGACGACAATGTGGCTATGGGTCCTGATGGACAACTTGTTATGTCGCTTTATGCCCGAGTTCTCGAGGTTCAACCCAGTCTTCGGCCCACAAAGCCTTGACTGTTTACGGCTTTCCTCGTACTCCGACCTCTGTCGGCTCCGGCAAATTCAGACCTATCTTGCTCAGCGTCATTCAAGCGACTCAGATGCTGTCTCCTCGCGGACCATTTTGGATCCTCCTGTTTCGGGCTGTTTTGCCGATCGCTTCTACGAGAGTCTGTCACCGCATTCCGAAGTCCACCAGTTGAATCAATATATAGAGCGAACAGAGGAAATGCGAAAGCAGGACAAAGAGACGGAATGGGCAGAGAAAGATACAAGACATCAGCAACTGATGAGAGAGATTTCCACTGCTCATTGCCAAATCACCTTCATCGGCGATCCCCCGGATCCAAAGCATGACGAGGACAAATGCCAGAAATGCATTTTGACGAGGGCTGCTTATAAGATTCGTATCGAGAGAATCGAAAAGGCAATGCCTACGAATCGCGGCGAAGCAAGAGCTGTACTTTTCGAACTGCTGTGCCCGGCTGCCTTTGATGCGTACCGCGAGGCAACATGGTCCATTGTTGCTAGACTTGCATTGCCAAATGTCGAGCAAACGAAGAACGAACCGCTCACGATGGTGGACGGTTATTACTCGGACTTTTGCAACGTACGGCGACCACAAATCAGCAAGCAAGGCCTAACTCTAGCCTCCCGTACCAAATCGTTCTTGCACACCCATTATCGATTTGCTCACTTCCCCATTCTCTGGGAAAGGGTCACTGTCAACAATGGTCTGAGATTCGAATATTATGATCGCACGCGTAAAGTGTGGCTTGCCGAACATTCATCTCGAGTCACGTTCAACCATCACTGCATAATCCCTCTCTCTCGACATAGTCCTTTTGCCAAAATCGCGTTTCCTGCCAGGGTCACACCGGACAATGAGGCCAGCGGCTCTGCCAAGGGTACAAAAATCACCCATCCAAGAGCTCTAGCAAAATACTTAGGTGCTGAAGCCGAAATCACCTCAAACGAAACCCTTGCTGGACTTCCTCTCTGCCCGCAGACTCTTGGGGTTCCAGAATATCTAGCTTTCCAAGGACTGATATGTGGAAGCCGCCGTCTATGGCAGGCGATACTTGTTGAGCTAGGCTCCTCGAATCTCAACTTCAGCTCTGAGCCAGTTATGATGTTGACTCAGGCCCTGATATGTCGAACCGGTTCTTCGCAAGGAGACACTTTCCATGTGGCGAATGTTGTCTTCCGCGATGCCAGCTTTTGCAGAGCCCTCTTGAGTCAAATCGAACAGCGTTTACTGAGCATAAGCTGGAACCCAAGAGAGAATTATTGCATGGAAACCTTGATCAGCTTGATCCTGAAAATTCTTGCTCTCGGAGACAAAACTACCTGCGAAAATGCTTTACAACTGCTTGAAGTGGCCAGAGGCATCAATATTCGGTGGATCAGGATGCTCCGAAAGGAGTTCTGTAACACTGACAGCGACGTTGCTTCCAGTCGAATCTCTTTCTTTATTCTCTGGGCTGCTTTGTTATGCAGACGAACGTTCATCCTGTTCGCTCGAGGCCCACAGGACAGCCAGGCAACCTTTTCAACTTCAACTATGACCGACATGGAACGCATGCAAAACGCCAACACGGCGCTCATTCCTGTAGCCACACTGACAGATCTCCTGGAAGCTTCCATCGCCCTACACGAAAATCAGCCAGCCGAACCAGAGAACCTGCGACCAACACTTCGCAGCATACTGATTCGTGACATCAAAATGGTTTCTCGTCTTCGGGGTTGTCTAGAGCAGTCGCTCGAGAAGTCTCCCAGCTCCTTGGTCATCGCTGCCGTTAGAGCAAACGTGATGAGCCCTGAAGCAGTTTCTAACCAACCGACATCATTCCATTTTGTGGAGGGCCCTGATGGGAAGTGGGCAAGTTTGAAGCTCCCAGGTTGCCGGCGCATGGAACCGCAAGTCATTCAGTTTCACCTCATGGCAGGAACCATGCTGCTAAACGGCAGGACTGTTGAAAAGGAGCTCCCACACGAAGTTCGCTACTCGGCAGGAGTATCCCGACTGTTCCCCTATCAGAAGCTCATCGTTTGGCCTTCTACCCGCCCTGGTATGACTTATAAGGTTGCTTTCGACGTTGAAGACCACGAGGTCCACTTTGGATTTCGGCGGGGTGTCCCCATTGTCCGTGCATGGACGAAAGGCACACAACTAGAGTACATACCCAACTCCATCTTCACGAAGGACGCGTCCTCTGACATCCCAGCATCATTGATTGAAAATTGTGTACATTGGCTAAACTTGGATGAAAATGTGATCGACGTCAGAAAGGAGCCACGGATATGGAGATCTATACCATCGAACTGGAAAATCGATCTCCGTACCTCGACGGCCAAGCGCAAAGGTTCGACATTGCTTGACCCAGGCAGTAAACTTGTTCATCACTTTGCAAACATGTTCAAGGGATTCGAGGATCCACGATATATCACAGTATTCCAGCCTCTTGGGGGTGCCATTACGGTCGAACTTCGCCGCTTCGAACTCAGTTTCTTTGTGAATCCCAACGGCTACCTAGAATGTCAGCAGTTTCGGGCAGAGATCGATCCGAACCAAGATGCAGGAACCTGGTATGGACTTACATCGAAGATCGTTCTCTGCGACGTTGACAACCCAAGACGCCGAAGCGTCATCGTGCCATTGGGGCTTCCGAGAGTGCAGCGTATGGGAATCCATATTAACATTGAGATTCGAAGCGCTGATGGCGTATATGCCCGTTACTTCTTAGACGACGTATTGGGACGGTTGACCTGTGCGTCGGAACCTCGACTCTTTTACACAAAGGCACTATTGCATGCGTATACCTCCTTCTGTCTTCCTGATCCACTGACAGGGAAGACGGGAACTGAGGAGGCGTGTCATGTTCTCCAATCTGGGAGTTCTCAACCGTATGGACCACTCAGCGAAGCCAATAGAATGCTGCTCGACGCCATTGCCAACCTGGCACCCGTGCGCCAGTTCTACCCGCAGGACCGCCGGGTCTTGGAGAAGGTGTTGTGGAACGAAAATCTCACCTATTTCATACAGCATGATCAATATCGCCTCCTCGTTGCTGAGATCAACCAGAAATCCGCACTTCTTTCTCAATTTGACCTAGACAACGACGTTACCCCTGATACTGAGAAGTTGTCCGGAGCAATGGATAACGTGGACGTAGAAGAATGTAACACTTATCTTTCTCGGAGAAGTCAGATGCGTCAAAGTCTCTATCAGCCGTCTCGCATGGTGGTGACGAGTCCTGAACATGCATCAGACCAGTCCTACAATCCGCGTGGGTACCACGACTACCGACAAAGCCAGGAGCATGTGTTCCAGGCCGCTCGCTTGATCTATACATGGCCAGCAAAGCTACCCTCGCCGACACTGTTATCTTTGATGTTTCAGAACTGGCCGTCTATCGGCGGTTACGGTGATGATTCTGTCAGATTCGAACCGGTGCGATTGACGGAGTGCCTTGACGTCGATCTGGCTTCCTCATGGGGCCAGATGGTCAACTTTTACCGCCTGGGAGGTTGTCCTGAAACCAAATACAAAGTCATGTTCCTGACAGCTTTGGTATGTTTCAGAGAAGAAATCAACATGAGGGCTATTCAGACCCTCATCGCTTTCGCAATCCTGCCTGATCTCAAGAGTGTTGATCTGCCGTCGTGGCCTTCGTACACGCAGTTCCGTCCAGGATTTCGTCCAAAGATTGAGTATTTGAGACAACTCCTTGTTCCCTGCTCTCGGCCTTTCTCGGAGGTCCAGGAACAGTCACACACTCAGAGAGAGAGGAAAGCCATCGACGCAACAAGAAAACAACACGAAGCTAGAGTTTCAAAACAGCTGGATGCTCTTACAGAGTTCGCGTGCCATCAGTGGCCATGCCCTCAGCCAGACTTTGAGGGATTTACAACGGATGTCTTGGACTTGGCTACAGCCTCGGCGTTGATTGCAGTGGAGTGGAATGCCATGTTCCGAAACCATGAATTTGAAGAGCATATACGACAAGTTCAGGAAGTCTTGGATAAGCATCGCTCGCTCCCGCCAGCAAGAGCAGTGAGTCGGTTGAAACACTCTCCTTTACCATCTGCACCGCGGGGATTCCCATTGATATGCTCTCACTTGCTGGAAAAGGAGGGGCCTATGGTGGTTTTTCAGCAATCATTCTTACAAAGTCAAGCTCCTTACGCAACGAGAGCAGCTGCCAATCAATCCAACCAGGACATCCATGAACTGAGGCGGATCGTTAAACAAATGCCCACCACGAGATCCTTTGTCAGGCAGGAATACGTTCGTGGTCTTCTCGATTCGATATCAGCCCTTGAGGACTATCGAGCACGACCTGTCGAAGAAATCCCAGGTTTTGACATGAATCAGCTGGATCGACTCATCGCTGGCGCAGAAAATGCAGTGAGTTCGCGGTTCTCCATGTTAATGCAAGCTTTCCAGAGAGACGAGCCTGGTGCGTTATGGCTACATGTAGTTGGACTTTGGCCATTGACAACTTATGTCTCTGTCCTGGAGACTCTGCGCAGCACAAGTTCTGTTCCACTGACGACGTCAATGCGGACTGCGGTCGTTGATTTTGGTGTCGAGGTCACTCGGTTACAGCGGTTTCGTCGGATGCAAGATGCATCTCTTCGTAATAAGCCCCAACAATTCAATGACGAATTGAAAAACCCAGGTCATTCGAATTGGAATCCGAACGAATATCCTGACTGGTTACTTCTAGAGATCGATACAAACATTCTCATCCGTCCCATTCAGGTGGAGGTTGCATTGGCCACCATATCGCCAGCATCTGGTTCAAATTCCGTACTACAGCTGAACATGGGCGAAGGTAAGACGTCCACAATCATTCCTCTGGTGGTGTCCGCCTTGGCAAATGGCCAGTCACTGTGCAGAGTTGTCGTTCCAAAAGCTCTGCTATTGCAGACTGCTCAGCTACTGCAATTACGACTGGGCGGGCTCTTGGGAAGGGAACTACGCCATGTACCATTTTACCGTCGTACCCCGTCAAGTCGAGAAAACATTCAGGCGTATTGGCAGATTCACAAAGCCATTCTGGAAAAATCTGGGGTCATTATAGCACTTCCAGAGCACATCATGTCCTTCCTGCTCTCTGGTCAGCAGCGACTGGTGGATGGGAAAACCCAAGAAGCCACACAGATGATCAACGTGCAGAAGTGGCTTTCCCGGAAATGCAGAGATGTGTTCGACGAAAGTGATTTTACGATGGCAGTCAAGACCCAACTCATCTATCCGTCCGGCCCGCAAATTACCGTGGATGGCGGCAACTATCGGTGGGAGGCCATAGAAGTGATCCTCAAGCTCGCAGAATCACACCTCTGTGTGCTGGAGCGGTCTCATGGAGCTAGCATTCAAGTCGTTCGTCGCGAGACCGGGGGATTCCCATTCATCTACTTCCTCCGGACTGACGTTCAAAACGCTCTGATACAGCGAATAGCGACGGACGTCTGCAGCGGGCGGACGCCATTGCTGAATACAGAGAACTTCTCTGCATCCGACAGACGGGCGATAAGAGTGTTCATTACCGAGGCAAAACCTCATAAGAATGTGATAGCTCGTGTCTCGGACATTCACAAAAGCAGTCAAGCCGATGGTTATGTCATCTATCTTCTTCGAGGGCTTCTTGTTCACCGGATACTCATCCTCACGCTGAGCAGACGATGGAACGTCCAGTATGGCCTTCATCCTCTACGAGACCCCATGGCGGTGCCATACCTGGCTAAGGGCATCCCCTCACACCTTGCGGAATGGGGCCACGTTGACGTCTCGTTACTTTTCACTTGCCTCTCGTTCTACTATCAAGGGCTATCTCAGCAGCAACTGAAACAGAGCCTGGAACAGATACTCAAATCGGAAGATCCAGCACGGGAATATGAGCAATGGAACCAAGGCTCGAATAGGCTCTCCGATCGACTTCGTGATTGGACATCCATAAACCTCGAAGATAGCCTTCAGCTGACCGAGATATGGCATGGTGTTCGCCACAACGTCAGAGCAATCGACCATTTCCTCAACAACTTCGTGTTTCCGAAACATGCAAAGCAGTTCAGGGTCAAGTTACAAGCCAGTGGATGGGACCTTCCTCTGGCTGGAAACGGAACTAACCTTACCACAGGCTTCAGTGGCACCAACGACAACCGCTTGTGTTTGCCGCTGACTATCAGACAGGATGATCTGAAGGGACTGGCGCATACCAATGCCGAGGTGCTGACTTATCTGTTACAAGACCGGAATCTATCATACAGCCTTGCAGGCAGGAGAGATGGCTCTCACAGACGAGCAGTCTACCGAAGACTGGCCGAGCCCGATCTCTTACGCAAGCTAAGTCACAAGAAAATTTACATATTGATCGACTCTGGTGCCATAATTTTGGAGATGACCAATGCGACGCTGGCAAAGATGTGGCTTGATATCGAAACGGAGGCGACAGCTGCCGTGTTCTTTGACGACAACAACAAAGCCACTGTGTTGTATCGAAGTGGGCGGAAAATCCCCTTGCTGGCATCACCTTTCGCGGATGACTTGAGCGGCTGTCTGGTGTACCTAGACGAATCTCACACTCGAGGCACAGACATGAAGTTCCCCCCTCGTGCTCGTGGAGCTGTGACACTCAGTCTCGGCCAAACCAAAGACCACACCGTTCAAGCCGTTATGCGTCTTCGGCAATTGGCAACCACTCAATCCGTCACATTTTTTGCACCGCCCGAGGTCCACCGGTCGATTCTGGACTTCCGCAACAAAGGGGAGCACTGCCATCTCACCTCTCGTGACGTGGTGTGCTGGCTCCTGGAGCAAACTTGTCAAGGTCTTGAAAACCTCCAGCCACTTTATTATGCTCAAGGCATCAACTACTGCCGGCGAACGCAGGCAGAATGTGACCATCCCCTCTTCTTGACAGATCGGGCCCAGGCACTTGGTTATTTGAGTGCTCTCCGAAGCTATGAACAACATTCTTTGCAAGCTCTTTACGAGCCACGTTCGGGAAAGTCAGGAAAACGTGTTCGGGACGAAAAGTTCGGCGATAGTCTTGCCAAATTCATCAAGCAGCTTGAGCGACAACGGAAAGCGTTTCGGGACACCGGAAATTCGGTTCACGCCTCAGCGTTGCAGGAGGTTGAGCAGGAGCGCGAGGTTGCCGTGGAAGTGGAAACGATCCGCGAAAGACAGAACCCGATTCTCTTCCATCCACACCCTTTTTCTGGACTCGCTGCAGAGATCAGACACTTTGTACTGACCGGAACTTTAAGGCCTGATGACAAGGTCTGCGAACGAGCATTCTCATATATGGCTCGGACCGAAACAAGCCTGAAGTATCCTGCAAGTCTCCCGGCAACTCCACAACTACTTGTTTCTGCAGAATTCCGACGAGCGGTCATAGTGCCTTCTGGTAGACCTAACGATGACTTCTTGGTAAGTTCGCTCTATATCTCGCTGTCCTTTACTGACTCCAAGTACAGCGTCCCGTCCAGTATATTCTGTGGAGTATGGCCACGGAGATTGCAATCCTGGTCAGCCCTGAAGAGGCAGATATCTTGACTGACCTATGCCAAAGTGCGTCGAGGAAGGTGGTGCATCTGCTGACATATGCGGCGCCTGTCACGCAGAAGATGCTCCAGTTCAACAACTTGAATTACTACGCCGTGCCACCACTTCCAGTGGACTGGTCTGCACCGTCGTGGCTTAGGATCCAGATTGGCATATTCGCCGGTCGCCTTTACTTCCCTTTCGAGGAGCTCGAGCAAATCCAGGCATTCCTAGGTCTGCAGGATGAGCGACTGATGCGGACTCGCGACGGGTTGCTTTCGGATATTGAAGAGCTGTCGATTGATGACATGGAGAGCTCCTATGACAACCAAGCACTTGCGGATGGGCGTGACACGGCAGAGACGAAGCAGGCACATGCCGCTAGGCTAGAGACTACAAAAATGCTGGTCTTCCTGCATGCATGGCTCGGTACCAGAAGCCGAGGCCAGGACTTTACTCAAACGCCGATGGGATACATTTGCGGACGGAAACTGTTGACACAGGATCATCCATTCTTCCGCACCGTCGTCGACGAAGTGGCGAGGACTAAGATCTCACACGCTATGACTGAAGACACCTCAGGAATTCCAGTTGCTGCGCCTGACGAGGAACAGGACAATGGATCTGATTTGGAGGAAGAGGAGTTGGACGAGCGGCAGAAACTGACGGAGGAGGAGCTGAGGCAGGCGGAGGAGATGGATCCAGACCAAGAGGAAATTAGCGGCGAGGCTGACGAAGGTGACGATCAGGAAGATGCTACGAGTGGCGGTTCAGGGCTGATGTTCGATGATGAATAAACAGTTGCTGACGAGACAAGGATGTAGCAGGTGCTTGTTCGACCGGCATTGGAGTTCGAATATGAAGGGTCATGATGTTGCCAATCATACTGGTCGAGCCAGGCATGTCCCGTGACAGAGCATGAGATGCGAAGAGTCTGGGCTCTGCATCCTGATGGTGTTGGTGTACTGAGTTGGACCTGAGAGTCATGGAGGGCTGTGACTGAGCTTCAGTGTTCAGCAGGCCCCAAGCGGTCAGAGCAGACCAGCCAGGATTGATCTCTTGGTTCATGTACGATACGAAACTGGCTTGTTCAATCCATAGAAAGGAATCTCAAAACCCGGAGCTCTGGTTCAGAGGGAGATGCTACAGTGCGGTGACTGCTGCCGAGGAGCAGTCCAGCCCATTCGTGAGATCGAAGGTGTGTATGTGTGTGTTGACACACAGACTCTGCCACCACTGTGTCCATCCTACCCTGTTGTATCTTCCTCTGCCCAGTTGATACCCTCTCTTTCAGCCCCATCACGTTGACATTGAGCGCGCTCCCTCTCCCTGTGTCTGTTCTGTCCTTGGGCGTTTGGAGGGCTGTGCTGTGCTGTGTTGGAAGCCAAGGGGCAAACATCCCACATCACCGACAATCGGATCAAGCCTGGACAAAGAGCCCACAAGGCAGCCCAGCTGATGGTGGAATATGTATCGCACAGTGCAGCGCAGCGCAGGGAAGTTGTTGCCCCACCCACCCGCCACCCACCCACCACCCACCCACCACCCACTGGATTGTAACCTAGGTCAAGCCACGAGCTTGTATGCAGTGATGATCCATACAAAGCCCGTGGGGGAGTATGTATTCACGAATGTATAGAGATAACGATAAGGGCTGCTCCTTGGTGACGGGGTCGGCAAGGCTGCCCTGCCTTGACAAAGACCACCTTGTCACCGACCATTCACCCGCCCCTGAGCGCCAAGCGAAACGCCTCGCTGCTCAAACGGCTGCTTGTCCCTTGTCCCAGGCATGATATCTCCCTGACTGGATTCCTCGTACATTATCTTCAGTATCTGCTGCTTGACACGGTCCTCTTTCCACAGACAAAAATAGAGAAGACACAATGACGATCAGCCCGCCGTCGCCCGGCCGGTCTCGCGCCGGCAAGAAGCGCCCGACGCCACATCTGAACGCGACTTGCGAGCTTGCCGACCGCGTCCAGACGCTGCTCAAGGAAGGAGATGTGGAGATAAATGGTCATGAGCTTGATATTGCGACTGTGGTGGCTGTTTCGAGGTGCGTTGCTCCCCAAACCTGTGAAGCTTGCGCACACGCAGTTCTTCTGACCGACAAGCTTCAGATGCGGCTGCAAGCCCTTCATTGAGCGCACTCCCAAGCTCCTGAACAACGTTGAAGCAGGGCAGGACATCCTGGATGCTCATCTCGAGAGCGGAAGCAAGCTTTATGGTGAGCTCCGCGATGGTGGTTGCTATTGTTGGGCTTCGCCCAGGCTGACGGGGCACCGCACACAGGCGTCAACACTGGCTTTGGGGGCAACGCGGACCTTCGCACCAACGAGCTGCTGGCTCTCCAGCGAGCTCTGATTCAACATCAGCAATCCGCCGTCCTCACTCCACGAGACCTCGGAGCAGAACGCGATGGTCACGACGACACCAACTCCCATTCCATGCCCTCCGCCTGGGTCAAGGGTGCCATGCTGGTAAGGTGCAACACCAACATTCGCGGCCACTCGGCCATCAGCCTGCAAATCGCCGACACGCTTGTGGAATTTGTCCGGAGAGACATGACGCCCATCGTGCCCCTCCGAGGCTCCATCTCCGCGTCGGGCGACCTCATGCCACTCTCATACATTGCTGGGGCCGTGCAAGGCAATCCCGACACGTTTGTCCGCACCGGGAAAGGGAGGGATTTCAAGGTGATGACCGCTCGGAATGCGTTCAAAGAAATCCAGCGCCTGAATTTGGAAGATGAAGCAAAGCATGGCAGGCAGCTGGTCAACGGCAGGAGCATTGAATACTCACCCATCGTCCTCGGGCCGAAGGAGGGGCTGGCATTGGTGAACGGAACCGCGCCCTCCACGGCTGTCGCGTGCCTGGCGGTATATGAGGCAAACCAGCTTGCGGTTCTCTCACAGCTCATCACATGCCTCTCGTCTGAAGCCCTGGCAGGAAACGTCGAATGGACACATCCATACATCGCAGAAATCCGTCCTCATCCCGGCCAGGTTGAAGTCTCACAGAACCAGCGCTCTTTCTTCGAAGGCTCTAAGCTCATCGAAGGCCTCGACCATGCAGATCGGTACAAGGAAGGAATCGTGCAGGATCGGTATTCCACGAGGACCTCGTCCCAGTGGGTCGGGCCCCTGCTGGAAGACTTGCTTCATGCGTCTGACCAGTTGAAGATTGAACTGAACTCGACCACCGACAACCCGATTGTCGACCTTCAAGCTCGCGACGTCCACTGTGGAGGAAATTTCCAGGCCACGCCGGTGACCATGGTCGCCGAGAGGGTCAGACTTTGCCTACAGATGATCGGCAAGATGCTGTTCGCTCAGACAAGCGAGCTGATCAACCCGGCCTACAACAACGGGCTGCCACCGAACCTTGCCGCAGATGACCCCAGTCTCTCCTTCTTCGCCAAAGGCGTTGACATCAACATGGCGGCATATCAGTCGGAGTTGGCATTCCTGGCCAACCCGGTCAGTTCTCACGTGCAGTCGGCTGAGATGCACAACCAGGGGATCAACTCACTCGCCTTGATTTCAAGCCGCTATGCGATGCAAAGCGTTGAGATCGTGCAGCTGATGTCGGCGTCGGCCATCTACGTTGGCCTCCAGGGGGTCGACCTCCGTGCGATGCACACGACCTTCCTGGCGCAGTTCAAGGACATTGTGGAGGCCACCATCCACCAGACTTTTGGGCGCTGGGTCGAGGATAATGAGATCGAGCTGTTGATCAACGCGATATGGGGTTCGATTCGTAAGACCTGGTACGTCAGCGCGAGCAGTGACGCGGCGGATCGATGCGAGAAGGTCGCAAAGGCCACGGTGGAACCGACCTTGAGCTGCCTGGGCCGATTCGATCGCCACCACGACCACGACCGCGGATCTTACCAGGAGCGATTTGCGCGGCAGCACAAGGCCTGGGTGGAAACGCTGCAGAAGGTCATGTACAACGCGTTTCTGCTGCACCGCGCCAGCTTCTTCGACCGTCCTACCACACCCGAGTATCTGGGCAAAGGCACCAAAGTCCTGTACCGCTTCGTGCGTGAGGAACTGGGCGTGCCCTTCCACCGCGGCCACATCGAGGACCCCGTTAAGTTGGATAGCTTGGATGGGCGGCCGGTCAAGACGATCGGGTCGTGGATCTCTGTCATTTATGGGGCGTTGAGGGATGGGAGGCTGTACGGTGCGGTGATGAAGGCGACACAGTAAGAGGGTCACCACCGCCGCGGCGGCAGATGGACCGAGGGCGGCCTTGCCACCAGGGAGGTAAGACGTCGAGGTCGAGGTCGAGGTCGAGCTTGATTTCTGCGCGTGGGAGGATAGCTACCCGGAGTTCAACGGTGGTGTTGCGATGGACAGTGTTCGGCGTGTGGCGTCGTCGCGAGGGAAATGCCTGCACAGGTGTGCTTGGTGGTAGATTCTTGCTGTTCGACAAAAGGGCGTCCACAGGGCGCGGCCGCGCCAGACGGCACAGCGGTACAGACAGAGTACCTACAGGCTGTACTATACGCAGGATGCCACGTCCTGCAGAGACATGAACTTTCTTAGAGACATTGAGACACGAGAAGCCCGGATTCCTTTGGACTCAGGCCGTCGGCGGGCCAGCTAGTCGCCTTCTCTAGAGGTCCGTCAGGCACGAGACAGGAGAATGGGTGGATGGGTAATGAATGGACTGTCGTGTCGTGTCATGTCGTTCCCTTGAGTTTGTAGACCTTCCCTCCTTTTTTAGCACCCCATCTCCCATCCCTGGCTCAGTCCTTGTCGTTGTCCCTCATTGTTGCGTTCTTGTTTTGGTTCTGGTACAGCCCAGCTTGGGGATCGACCGCCTGCCTGCCTCTACACGTCCCGAAAGACAAGCTTGTCAACGGTGGTGATCATCATAGTCGTCGTGATGGGCCTTCTTCTCACCGTCACCACCACCACTGTAACCACGAACATACCTGCTCCCTCCACCACCGCAACGGGTCATGTTGATTCGAAACGCCGTCAATTCCACCATGCCATACCTCCCCCCGTCCTGCTCGCTATTGTCTACGCCCTCGCTGTCCCCTGCCGCTGCCGCTGCCATAGCTCGCTCGTCCCAGAACACGATCTCGTTCAAGGGCTTTCCAGCGTACATCATCGTGTCGACGTCGCTGACGCAAAAGTCCTCCCACACGCGGAACGCCGGTGCCGGCGGGCTTGACGACAACGGCTGCTGTCCCTCTCCTCCTTGCTGTCGTAGCGGCCGCGAGGCCACTTTGCCAGGGCCGCCGGGACGGTCCAAGGTCACCGCGATCCTCCACAGTTCGCCCTGCTCCGCGTCCTGGTCCCGGTAGAGCGACGTGGGGACGAGTTGGAGGTGGAACGGGTGGTTCTTGGGCAGGCGAAACTGGGCAGGGATGATAGAGAACATGTCCGTGCCGTTGGAGATCCACGTCGTGATCTCCAGGCCGTGCGCGTCCGAGTAGGCGAGCTGGAGCGAGGAGTTGATGGTGCTGCTGCCGCTAGGACCGGTGGCGGTGAAGGCACCCGAGTATCTGTCCTCGACCTGGCGTGCCGCAAGCCGGTCTGCGGCACGGATCAGGGGCACCGTCACCATTTCCACGAGTTGGTCCACGAAAGTCTCGTCGCCCGCGGTGAAGATGGTGATTCCCAGCTCGTACTCCGGCACCAGCAGAATCAGCGTTCGATAGCCCGGTAACCCGCCCCCTTTCGTGAAGAAGCTGACCGTCCTGGCCGGGTCCCTCGGCAGGATGCGGTCCGCGCGCAGAAGCTCCCACGGCATCCCGTAGAACGACTTCCACCCCGGCGTGAAAGAGACGGGCAGGAGCCAATTGACCCGGCAATTGGCGACGTTGCGGTACGTCTTCAGCACGTGGCGCAGGAACAGCGACATGTCACTGGAAGCCGAGTATAGGCCTCCGGTGGGGTTCTGCACCCCTTCGTCGACATCCCAGTACCAGGCATCGCCCTTGGGGAGGACGGCGACGGCATCTGGCGGTTTGCGAAATGACGTCGATGTCATGTTCAGGGGGCGGAGGATGGAGGACTCGATGTAGTCTTCATAGTCTCGCCCCGTGACGTTGGCGAGGACGAGGCCCAGCAACTCAAAGGCGATGTTCGAGTACGTGGATTTCTGGTTCGGCATGAACACGGGTGGCATGTCGGAGAGATAGTGCAGCAGGTCTGTCGCCGTGCACGGCTTGTACTTCCCGTACGAGTCGCACTTTGGGAGGCCCGACCGTTCTGGCGCGGACGGAGGCAGGGGAGGCAGGCCAATGACGCTGGGGTCCGGAAAGGCTGTGAGCAAATCGCTCTGCGCCCAGTCGCGCGGGATGCCGGACAGTTGGCTCGCCAGCGACCTCAAGGTGATACCCTCCCATGGAATGGTGCCGCTCTGGTGCCGAGAAGTCGTCAGGGCTGGGATGTACATGTCCACGGGATCATCGAGACTGAGGTTTCCGGCCGCGTGTTGTTGCAATATCCCCAAGACCGTGAAGACCTTGGTGATGCTGGCAATGCGGTAGACACTGCTCCCGTCAACCTGCTCGGCTCCTGGCCTCTCGGGGTCTTTCTCGGAGGCGGTGTGGAAGGCGGACCAGAGCGTTGAGTGGGGAGAAGTGATCTCGATTGAGCAAGACGATGCATTGAGGTCGGGGTGTGTGGCAAAAAGTGACGATACCGACGCCCCGATGTGCCGAAATGCTTCCAGAAGCTCGGGATGGGATTTCGAATACGTCGGCGGCAAGAATACAGGCGATTGCGAATAGCAGGTTGCACCTATGAGGGAGATGAAGGGGAACGTCGCCAACAGAATGGCCGTCGTAAATCTAGCCCCCATGGTGGCGAACGGGCGTCTGGTCTCGATATGTGTATTTGGTCTGTTGAGGGGAATGCTGATATGCCTCCAAGAATTCCAACCGTGTATCCCGTAGGCTCGTCTGGCACGGGCCTGGAGTGTGTATGCAGCAGTAGACAACCCCCCCAAGTCTCTGGAGATGATACACGGGATATATGAATTTGTCGCTGGAACTAGGCAACAGAGTTTCAAGGGAAGAAATCATACAATGACGATCGGGGGAAGCAGGGAAAAGAGGGGGAAGCACTCCCTAGCACGCATCGAGTGCTCCCAGTGGGAACGTCCACTTTGTCGGGGTTTGGAATGGAGGTGAGAGTTTCCGAAGAAGGAAGGCCGTGCTCCGTAGATTATTCTACCCGCGGTCCTCAGTTTTCAGAAGTGATAGGAGAGAAAGCAGGTCGTCGGGCTATCTCTCTAAGTTGCGAGACTCTGATGTTGGAAATGCCTCCCCCACACAAGGCTGCGTCGACGAGGCTGCGCGGTGAACAAGGCTGCATCCACCTAGAATCGAGAACGCACCTTGTCCACTATGAGGTGCTCCCCCTTCTCCTGCAACAGGCAATGACTACTGGGAAAATCCCCTTAGTGCGTCAACTGGCGACTGTCGGCCATATCTCAATATTGACCTATTATGTACGGAAATGACCTCAGCGCTATGCTATATATATATACTGACCACACTCTATCCACAAGCGACCGTCCCGAGTAATAAACAAAAGAAAGGTATCATAGCAAAATGACGCTAAAACGGAGCAGGGGTATATCGTTCTTCCTCTTGTACAAAATCCAATCACTGCGGAGAGAGGGAGAAAATGAGTGAGTGAGATGAACGTGTAGGAGAAATTTCCATAGTCTCGTACCAACGCTCCGCATTTCGTCCTCGTTTCAAACAATCTGTGTTCTTCAACCCGTAATTGCTCCACATATTGTCACCACACGTGAAAGCTGTGCACACACATATGTCTATGCAAGATGCATAGAATCAATAAATGACAGAGAAACCAAATGATCGACAAGAAGGGGGTTTGGGGTGTGCATCGTATCCCCCGGACCATGCGCCTGTGAACGGAATTTTCACTCAGCGAGCGGCTCTGTCTCTCCAAGATGCTGGGTATTCTTCCCTTCCAGCGGCGAGGCATCGTCATCCACATCGTCCGTGAGATCCCGGTTTGCCTCATCCTTGGCCTGAACCGGAGTCTGTGGTAGGTCGATTTTTAGCTGTGAGGTTGGCGAAGAGTTGGGCTGAAGCTGAAAACTTTCAGGGCGCTTATCTGCCTGTTTGCTCGACAGCGTCCGAGGTTGTGAACTGTAGGCCCTCAATGGTCGGGCTTCGGGTCCGCTTGCCTTACGAGCTAGCACCGGGCCTGCAGCTGGGTTTCTCATGCTCGGTGGTGGGGGGACTGGCGTCTCGCTTGAGCTTGGCGTCTTCTGAGTCGTCCCTGGCGGTGTAATGATTCCGGACAAGAAACTTGCAGGACTACCGATGGCAGATTTTGAGGGTGTCTGGCTCCCTAGGTTGGTGGCCAGTTCGGATATGGCGCCAATCGAGGTCTCTCGGGCTCTGCGCCAGTTGCCCCAGGCCGCTGCTGCCGCCATTGGAAGTGCACGGGGTGACTGAGCATAGCTGGACAGGCTCGAAATTGACGGGAAGGAACTGGCTAATCCGCCTGCTGCGCCCCGCTCTTTCAGTTGCTGTTCCATCTGCAGATTTGCCTTGAGCCTAATTGCAGCGTCTCTGACTGAATCTCGGTCGAAATCGGCTTTTGAAACGGCGTTAATGATATCCTCAAGGTCGTCGATCCTCACACTCAATAGTTCACGAAGCCAACTGATTTCGGTGTCGCACTCTTTGATCTTGTTGGGGGCGTCCTTGTCCACAGCGGCAAGCTCCGCCTCCAGCTGTTCTATCTTCTGCTCGCGGTTCTGCAGTTGATCTTGTAACACCATGATGGACTCCCGAAGAGCTTGTGGCGAAATTCTTTCTGGAACATCCGACCCCTTGGCAAACGACATAGAAGCAGTTGCCGCACGCTGCGGTGGCGATGCCACGACGGACGGAGCTGGAGTGGGCAGATTTGCCCCTCTGGCGGTTGCAGCTTCCACGGCGGCTCTTGCGGCGGATTTCGTGATGTCCAATCTCTCCTCCAGATCCGCGACTTTACTTTCAAGGTGCTTCACCTTGTCCTCGCTCAACACGAGCCTCTCCTTGAATTGGTGCTCCAGTCTCGTTCGGGTATCAAACGAATTATGCAGTTCCCTTGTATGACGGTCGCGCAGTTCGTTAAGTTTCTTCTCGTGAGCTTGGTGCTGGTCCTCCAGAGCGTTTTCTTTCTTCTCATCAGCTTCCCGAAGAGCCTCCTTGTGTGCTTCAGTGGTCTCGGCAAGGAGTGCGTCATGTTTTGCCTTTTGTTCTTCCAGATCCAACTCAGCATGGTCTAGACGGGCTTGTAATCGTGTGATTTGTGCGCCCGAATCAGCCTGGATACTTTGCAGTTTGGTCAAGGCACTTTCCAGTTCAGCCTGTAGTTTGGCCGTGGAAGTTGCAAGCTCGGCATCCTTGCTGTTCTTGACATGGTCCAACTCTCGGTCTAGGTTGAATGCTTTGGTATCCAGGACCCTGTTCTCCTCCCGAAGCGAGGCCACCAACTCGTTCAGTTGTGAGACATCCAACTGAGCCTGGTCCAGAGCCGTCTTCAAGTGGAGATTAGCCTTGTGTTCTTTATCCAGGGTGTCCAATTCAAGTTCTGCCTTCTCCCGATGTCGTCGCTCTTGATCAAGTGCATCTTGTAGGAGGGCGAGTTTGCTTTGTAGGCTGTGTTCCTTATTCCGCCAATCTTCCTGTTCAGAATGCAGGTCTTGCACAACTTGTGCGATTTGGGACTGCAGTCGCTCAACTTTGGTTCGAAGGTTTTGTCGAGACTGTGTCTGATCCACCAATTGTTGATGAAGTTCGTGCAAGGTGCGCTTAAGCTCCTTGTTGGAGGCGCGTTCCGTGCGGATGTCTTCTCGCCACTGATCGCTTGAGACCCGATATTCTTCCAGCGTATGTTCCAGGGCTGAATTTTTTAGAGTCAGGCCTTCAAGTTCATGCTCAAGGTTTTTATACGAGTCCTTCTCCTCGACAAAAGCCTCCAACGTGTGCTGAGCCTCTTCAGAAGATTCTCGATACTGCGCGGCTTCCTCTTCGGCAATGCGTAGTCGTAATTTGAGCTCATTGATTTCCTCTTCCGCCGTCCGTCTGAGGCGGGCTTCCTCGGCTGCGTGCTCCTGAGAGATCTTCAACATCGTCTCGAGACCGTCAATCTGGGGTTTGTATCTGATGTCGGCGGCTTCATGTTCCTGCTGGACTCTTGAGCCTCGTAGTCTCGGGTGATGGGAAATGACGTCTTCCATGATTGTCTTCAGCTCGTTTTGAGTGTTCTGAGAGGCGTTTTGCTGAGCGAGTTCTCTCATCTCTTGTAGAACGGTACTGAACTCTGTCAAATCGATCGAGGGCTGCGGCGGCGGAAGTGGTTGGTGTGCAGCCAATGCTTCGGCGACAGCGGTGCGGATCAGGTCCTGTTTCCGCTCCCCTCTTTTGGCATTCGGCGATCGAGTTCTGTAAGATGAGAAGCCTTCAAATGCGTCGTACTCGTCCTCATCATCAGCGTCCGAGTCCTTTTGGTCGGCTGATAGGCCTCGGCTATTGGCCTTCGAATTCTGCTGAGTTGCCATCAATGCCAGCGAATGTTGAATGGTTCTTAAAGTGCGCTCAAGAGGTCCAAGCCGGTTCTCAAGTAACCCATCTACTAGGTCGTTGACGTGCCCATCAAAGAATTGGGAACGAAGCTGGAGTTTAGCCGCCTCTGCCGCAGGTAACGTGTCACCCCAATCGCTGACATCGTCTCTGCCTGAATTCAGGTTATGCACCCCAATGCCCAATCCATATGATGGTGGGTATGAGGTGTCGCTCTGAACGGCCTTGGTGTCTTGGTGTCTGGCTGGGCTCGGGCTTGGAGCGTCGCTTCGGAAGTGACCTCCCAGGCGCATATCAATGAGCGGCGTAGACTGGACGGGTGTATCATTGCGCTCTACGCCGAGTTCTGGATGGACTTCGAGGTGTTTCATAACAGCATCGATTTCCTCAAAGGATGGAACAGGTTGGTCTTCGTGCGGCAGTGAGGATCCTGTCTTGGCAAACCGATCGGCTTCTACGTCGGGTTCTGCATCGAAGTCTTTGGCTCGTTCCAGGATGTACTTTCGCCGTTGCGGCGGTTCGGATTCGTCGCCTGCGGATTTCTCTTCAATTACCTCGACGACCTCGTCTTCGGTACTCTTCTCTTCGAAGACTTCGACCGTGTCCTCCATTTCGTCGACTGATTCATGATCCTTCTCCACGTAGTGCGGTATATCTGTGAGTGGTGAAGAAAGACTAGCCTTAAGCTCAGACGGCGGACTTGATGTGTCTGCATATTTGGAGTCTTCTAACCCTTGAGTTTTCTGTGGCTTCGCAAATGAGGAGGATGCCAATGACCTAGTGACTCTTGGATTGAACTCGAAAGGCTTAGCTAGTGCTGAAAGCGAGGACCTGGGCTTTCGAGAGGGTTCACCCGGCAGACTCGTTGGTCTCACTGGAGTTTCTTCTTCCTTCTTGAGGCTTTCTGGAGATTCTGCTTCAGCAAAAGGCTCCGAGTTCAAAATCTGATCAGCTTCGAGAGGCGGTCGAGCTTCGCTGAACATAGCAGCATCGCTCTGATTCGTGAAAGTAAACGTCGAGTCTGGCCCGCCTGCGTCACTGGTCCCTTCTTTGGTGTTGGTCATGTCCGCGGCGTCGATCAGCTGATTTTCGTCTGCAGATATATAGGCCCAACCGTCAAAATGTTTCTTCGGAGTTTCCGACTTGGGTCCATTCGCATCGACATCATCCACAATCTCCGAGAGAATCCTTCTGTGATGAAACGGTGCCGATTCTGCAAAAACGGGGCTTCGGTCTCCGTCACTGCCAGTCCTTCGTGCTCTCTTTTGTCGGTCTACGGGGGCCATCGGTCGACCTGCATCGTCCAATACGTTGTCTGTATCCTCCTCTTGAACATCCTTTGACTTTGAACCAGCTGTCGAAATGCCCTTGCTTGCTCTTCTTATGGCCTTTGAGCCGAGGTCTACGACAACGTTGCCGAATATGCTGTTCGTATTGTCAGATGGTCCTTGACCGGCGGAGGCCACGCTGTCTTTGAAGTTGGTGCTAGAAGACTGAGAAGGATTAAAAACCGGAGCATCCACATTGAATGTCGGAGTGCTGAACGTGAAAGGAGCGTCCTTAAGTGCTGATTGCGCTGTGCGTGGGGTGAAAGCAGGCGCGTCGGCATTGAGATGCGATAAGGAAAATCTGTTCTTGCCCGCAGTTCTTTCGGCAGGTGGTGCTGGCTTCGGCGGAGGCAGCCCGAAAGGTATGAAACTCGGTCCAGCAAAGGAGAAGTTGGAGCTCGAGAAGCCACCTCGTGGATCAAATTCTTTAGCCTCCACATTAAATTTGGAAGTTGTGGGAACAGCCTCAGGAGCAGCTTTGGGTTCAGCCTTCGCCGCATCGCTCAATGCTTGCCAGTTCACGAACGGATTCTTGTCGTCCATCAGCATAGGCGTAGCAGCTATACTTGGATTTGTCTCAATCTCTGATTTCTCATCCGCTGTCGTTATCGTCTCAGGCCGTCTCAGTATCGGAGGCTCTTCATTCACAGACTCGTCCAAGGCAGAATCTTTTCTTGAGGACAAGTCGTTATGGTCTAGGTCTTCGTTCATGCCGTCTCCTTTCTCGTGCAGAGCCGCTTCAGCTTCGTCAATCTCCCTTTGCAATGCAATACTGAGGTTATGACGGTGACTCTTCGGAGTAGGGTGTGCAATCTCAATGGGAGTTCGAGAGGAATCGCTATATTGAGGCGTGTGCACCAAACCCTCAATTCGCTGTGGCAGAGTAGGGCTTGGTGTATGTTGATTGGCATTTTGCGGAACGGGGAAATATCCTCTTTGTTGCATTTGATTGGGGCGCCCCTGATCTCCAGCAAAGTTGGCCGTCGCTCTGCGCATATGCATGGCCTGTGGTTGGGACAATACTTCTCCCATATTAGGGAGAAGTAATGGGTGATTTGGAGAGAAACTGTTTTGCCGGGAGGAGAGTGGTTGAATGTTTGGTCGCGCGCCATTGCCGAAAGAATTTGCATGAGATAGAGTGGGTTCCAAGGGGGATGGGATTCGTCCATGAAAGGTCGACTGGGCGATTGAAGGTTTGTATCCGTGCATATTCTTTAGCGGTCCATTGAATTGCGAACCCCCAAGAGATCCAGGCTGAGGACTGATCCCAGCAGACGACATTATTGAGGGGGAGAAGGGATTGCTTGTAGCTCTCAGCGAGTTGCTTGCTGATGAAGATGAGGCGGCAACTGGAGGCGACGTCGCAACTGCTGGATGGCCGGATGAAATGCGGCTCAATGCAGGAGAGAAGGGGGACCGTGTCGATGGCGCGGCTTCAGAGTTACTCGGACTGACTCCTAACGCACGAAGTTTCTCCTCCTTGAGGTAGTTGACCCACGACTCCCATTCTGCCTGATCAGGTATGTGGACTTGAAACTCCCGCAACTTGCGCTCTGCGTGGATTTCTGTTGCGTCAGGGTACACAGGACGGCTCTGGCCACTGCGCTCTCCTGAAGACCCAGCACTCGTATCGGTTAGCCCAAACCCATCCACCGAGTACCCGGCCGCGATCCAACCCTCGATTCGTTCTTTGACTTGTCGTGGCGTCAGCAGAGGAGGTAGCCCGGCGGCTTCTCGATCCGTGAGCGGCAGGGCTATGATACAAGCTTTGCCTTTCCAGATGACCTTTTTCTTGGGGCGTTGGTATGATTGCATTGAGGTGGGCCGTGGCCGGACCGCTGAAGTTGGGCTCTCTGGAGCCTTCACATCGTCCTCCACCTGGGATGTTTGACGAGGCAGAACTGGGAGCGGCTTTTCCGCAGCTGGCGCATTCTCCGAATCGTGCTCAGCCATGTTGTGCTGCGCAGAAGACGGAAGCCGCATGCGGTGGCGTTCTGGCGCTATTGACAGCCTCCCGGAATCATGGAAGGTATACGGGGTAACGGTAGCAAGGCTTTCGCTGCTTCTGTGTCGTACGGGCAAGCGGCTCACGTTCTCGACAGGCGATGCTCCCCAGCTGTCGAGGTATGCAACGCGGGTTGGGGTGTTCTCCTCCTCTTCCACACCTATATCGGACCCGCTCTCTTCAGAGTCACTCAGCCAATTGGGTCTTTCGGAACGTGGATTTCGTGACTGCTTTCTCGAACCTAGACCAGTGCTCTTGTACAGGCGGCGTCGACTGTGCGATTCGGTTCCGTCAACGTCGTCTCCGGGGGTAGAGGTGATGGTTGGTCGACCAATTGCACTTCCAAAAGGGGGTGCAGCTTCAATATTCAGGCGCTGACCGACGGAATCGAAAGGCTGAGGGGTTCGTCGAGGGCTTGGGGTAGCATACGGGGAACCCCAGGCAGCGGCGTAATAGGCACCACTTCCGTCTCGTTGTCGAAGATAATCTGGGGATTGACGGTAGTCCAGCGGATCGCGGTCGCGGCGCAGCGTCGGTAACGGGGGAAGGGTAAAAGGAGAGATCCAATCGTTTTCTGAAGGAGTGGACGAAAGACTATGTGCTTTCAGTGGATGTAACGAGACCTGAGAGTCACGGGAATGGTAGAGGCCGACGCGATGGCTGCCAGAAGGGGTACTCTCGAAGTGGTTGAGCTCGTCGAGGTTCATGAACGGAGGTCGTGGCAGGTTGAGGCTTGTGGTCGCAGGGCGGAGGAGGAGGAATCAAGTCCCAGGATCTTGAGAAGCACAATGTCGGGGGAGTTGGGACTGGGAGACACGCACAACGCCATGGAAAACACGACAGACGGTGAAAATGATCAAGTTCGGTTGGGCGTTGAAGTTGTCAAAATCAGAGAGCATGATGAGAATCGAGATTGGGAAATCAGCCGGGGAATCGAGAAACGGTTGCTCATTAGTGACGGTGACGCGACACGCTAAGGTGGGGATGGTGGACATGCTCTCGGTGCCTAAAGGCCCTTGATCTACCGCCTAGCACCGTCCAAGTGCCTCTAATACCTCTGTTGGCAGCGCCTAATTGGCTTGGTCCCCGCCAAGTAGCGGCGCCGTCCGCTGTCAAAACCGGAATCGCTCCAAGCGCCAGGGATCAGGGTCGCAGGCTGGACGCAAGCCTCCCGAGGGCGGACGCACCGCTACAAGTAAATTCTCCGATACACACCATTAGGGAGAGAGGGTGGTCATAATTTTGGTTTCCCCTGGAAAGTGATATTTCTTAATGTAGGTATTTCCCTCACGTGTTAGATAACTATCGAGGAGGTACCAAGAACACCTACCCATCAACACCGACATTCTTCCTACACACAGACATTATCCTCCTCACAGTACATTTTCTCAGCACATATTCCGCTTCCCAGCCAAAATGCAAAATTCACAGACACCAATTGCAATGGTTTTCCTTGTCGTGCCACGAGAAACGGCGCCGCATGCAGGTCGTTGTCATTGGTCATTACGTCGTGATAAAAATGTATTGTCCCGATCCAGGAAATTGCTCTCATCCCTTCCTGATTGGTAGGACCTTGGTCTCCCGAGACGCCTTGCTGGTCGTAAATGGAACGCTTCAGAACGGAACCGCCTCCCTGTGAACCGAAAAATTCTCCCAGGCCGCATCCAAAGCTCTGGTGGCTTCGAAAAGGATTTGCCGACTGTCATAATCAACGTTCTTCTTGATATCGTGGAATCGATTTGCCTCAGGCACCAGTTCCCCGTGAGACAAGCCTTCTTCCTCCAAGGCCATGATTCTCTGGACCAGAACGGCCATAATGGGTCCTTCCCAGACACCCTCTTTGCCGGCTCTCTTGAGTTGAGCGATTGCCCGGCGTCGAATACCCCAGTCTCGACACTTGCAGGCTGTGAAGAACAGAGGGTGTATAATGCCCAGCTCCATGGTGAAAGGTGTAAGCTCATCCTCCAAGGGCATTGCTTCAGCCAAGCTAAGAGCTGTGGTGACCTGCTCAACTTTGGAGACCATGTCCTCAAAGTCGTCCCTGAAAGCGTCAAACGTGGTTTCGGGTCCACAGTCTATGCACACTTTGAGCATCATGACTGCGGTCTTGATCTGCAGGCGGAGACCCAGCAGGCTTTTGATGTCGGCACGACTTAGCTTGGGACCTTGTGTCGAGAAGAAGTTCTCCAGAGCGGCCATCCAGTCATCGAAGATGTCGAGAGCCTCTTGCCGCCGGGTCTGCCACTCTACTGGGACAACCTCTCGCTTCCAATATCGGTACATGCGAGCATCAGACTTGACCAGTTGGTAGACCGAAACAAGGAGATTGTCGAGATGGTTGCGAACCTGACTCAACGTGAGATTGGTCGGCAGTATCCGAGGCACGTGACCAATGTGGGTTAACAAAGGTTCCGCTCGGTCTTTGGAAAAGGTGCATGCTTGAATATCGTAGCGGGCAAAGACCCGTAGCAGGTCGTCCAACTCATCTTCAGGAATCTCGCGGAATGTTGGCCGTGAGCCGGATTGTTGTTCGGGTGAATAAGGTGCAAGTGAGATGTCATCACCCTGAGGGAGATTCATTTGTCTGGTCAGTTCTCTCATTCCTTGCTGATAGTGGATGACCGCGGCCATGTTATTGCGTCGAAGGACTTCGAAGCAGGCAAATAATATACTTGAAATGATGGCGAGCTTGGCGTTGGTGCTCGAGGGGGTGTTCAGTCTCTGGTTCAGGTCGCGCAACGCACCCCCGTATAACTTCAGGGCGTATCGGTAGCTCTGGTCGTCAATCAATTGGGGGCTGTATTTGCCACAGCGGTCCTGGTAGTCCTCATGCAACGTCCCCAAGGCAATGATTGCGTTCCGGACTACCGGTTCCTCGTGACCCACTTTGAGTACGAGTTTGGTCCAGAAACCGGTTTCGGAACCACCAGTGAACGCGGGCACGGTGCAGTACTGGAATCGGTGGAAGATACGACGTTCTTGAGTGTTGCCTTGAAAGGGTTTTGAGATTGAGTTGGGTTGAAATAGATGTTGGAATGGTACCGGGCTCTGCTGCGGTGGCGACAAGGCGGTTGATGCTGAGCCGCTGGAGCTCTCCTTGGGGAACTCGTACCCATCGCATTTACGTCCGGTGGAGGTACATCGCTTACCTAGAAGGTCAAGTGAGCACTAATCCGGACAGTAGTGAGAGGGGATGGCCACGGGCCAGGCGATGGGGAAGCAGCAAAACTCACAGCTGGGCTTTGTCTCGTCGCATTTTATGCGGCGGATCTGTTCCTAATGTCAATTACATGCGATGAGACCAGTAGGAGAGCGTGGCAGGAGGCGAGTTTAGTCAGACACGGGTCGACGACAGCGCTTTGTCTGATCGCTCAGCTACCCACCGATGTGGCTGGGAGCCAAACGAGCATTGACCCGTGCATTTGGGGGGAATGTCGAGAGAGAGCGCGCTCGGTCTGGGTGGGGACAAGGTTGTGGGAGGGAATCAACTCACCTTGCATGTTTTGCATCCCGTTCGTACTTTTGGTTTGCTAGCCCTTTTCCGTCGGGACGCCAAGACATAGGAGGAGCCATTGGATGAACCCTGTCGTTCACCCACGCTGCCAGGCATGGAGCCAGTGAGGGCGAGCACTAGGTCGGCATCAGGCTCTGGGTCAGGCACAGACACGTACTGTGGGACAAGCGAGTGCGAGGGGAGATGGATGGCGAAGGGGCGAGCTTGAGGTTCTGGCCACATGGCGGGCTGCGGAAGTTGGATCAGGTGTGGCGAGCAAGGAGTAGTTGCGTCAAAAGTACGAGGGGTACCAGTCGCGGACTCTGCAGTCAGGTGGCCAACAGCGGGCGGCGGAGAAAGTGCAAGCTCGCAAACCAGATCTGCGGCGGCCGAAATTGGTACAGTAGCGGTCGGCTCTGCAGTGGTGTCGGGGAGGGGGGTCTGAGTGAGCGTGATATGCAGGTACTGGAGGGGTTGAGGGATGATGAAGCAGGAACTGTTACGACGAAGGCAAGCTTGCGGAAATTATTGTACGTATATACCAATGAAGGGGGTCTGGATATGCCGTCAACGTCAATACCGAACTTTTGAAGGTCCTTTGTCGACGAGATAGCCGTGCCAGGCTGCTGCAGAGCGCTTGAAGCCTCAGCTGTAGCAAAGAGCCTCGGGGGGCGGAATTCAACCACGCAATAGGAGCCGGCAGACGCACGATGGGCAGTCGCACAGGTACTGACCAGCAAGCCCGACAAGCCTGGAATGGCAATGGTTTAGGCGGTGTCGCCGACACTTGTCAGTTGAATTGTGGGTGATCACTAGGTACCAGGTAGGGGGGGCACTGATGGGGAGCCCGGAGGATGGGCCCGAAGGCCACTGGGAGAAAATAAAATAAGAGTAATGGGCCGAGGCCAGAATGGTTGGAATGGGCGTTAAAGCGGGTGCGAATGAGTTTCGCAGGAGCTGGTATGCAGTGCTGGAGCTGTGCCTGTGCGGTTGAGGTTGGGAACAGAAAAGACAAAAGGACCTTTTCTGGCGGGGGGACGGAGGGAGAGAAACTGTGTGTGAGAGTCAAAAACTGGCTGCGGTCCAAGCTGCGGAGAGGCCGACTTAGGCCTGCATCTGCTCGGCCCTGCTGATTGGCTGGCTCGTAACAATAGACTGCGTCGGCCGTGCGGAGCGGCTGTGCAACCACAGCTCTGCCTCGCCAATTCCACCCAGTCTCACCACCACAAATTGCCCGATACGAGTCCATATGACGGGAGCACACATGTGAAGTGTCTGCTCGGAGTCAGCCTCGACCGACTACCGCTTTATTGCCGAATACGCCCACACGTCCCATGGCGTTGCAAAAGAACGTGCAAGCAAATCGACCCTGGTGGCGAGGCTTCAGGAACCCGGCCGTTGCGATTGGTCCAAGAGGAGGGTCCAGGGCACATATCTCGCGAAGACCAGCTTGTCAAGATCTCCCATCGTGCGTGGACGGCAATGTTTGAGATCCTTGTAGCGGGCTCGTCCCCGTTTATCTGTGGACATTTGACTATGGTTGCCGAACGGGTATGAGATCGAGCAGGGGCCTTCGCGGTGAGTGGCTGATGGCACCATCTCAGCCCACCACCCAAGCTTCCCAACATGCTCGTATATACATTCCATCATATGCGCGAGGCTGGGCAGAAAAACAGTCCAGACCATCCACGGCAGCTTGACAAGGTATATGCAACGAACATGAGTTAGGGGTGCCGAGGTTCATGTTTCTCTTGTCAACTAGCTAGTTTGATGGTGGCTCAGGCTCGCGCGCTGTGACGCAGGTCTGGCTCAGGGCCTCCCAATGCTTCGAGAGGTGCAGGGCAATTTGACACAGTCAAAGCTCACAGCTCATCGTGCTGTCCTTGTACCGTCCCGCTGGGACTCCATGGCGCTCTTTCCCCATGTAGAATTTCCAAGAGAAATGCTTCTATGTTATCCGCCTCAATTCGTTTCACCGCTGGATAAGGAAACACTTGGTCCTTCCAGGCGCTGTACACTGTAAAGCTCGGGTAGTGGCCCCTATGCAGTCCAAGGCTTGCGGCCATGTGGCCGTATTCATCGCCGTCAATGGTGACGAAGTTCACGTAGTCCTTGTACTGCTTTGCGACGGGGTGAAGCTTTCGACGGAAAAGGGTGCGGTCGGCGTCGTCGGCGACGAATATATAGGCGAGAAGTTTATGGGACTGTGGAAGTCAAATATCAGTATCAATCGCGCGTCAGAAGAGGGGTGGTCAAGGTTACACTCATATAATCGATTTCGTTGCGTCGAGTCAGCTCATCGATGAGTGGCTTCCCTGCCTCAAGGATGAACTTCCCGATGACAGATCTGGTCACGGTGCCCTGCAGGACCTCCTGATCGCCAACATCCGTTCTGTAAGCAATGATAGACGGGAACGCTATGTTCTCCTTCTCTGCCAATCTCTTGTCGTTCGAAATCCCGAAGACGAACTGGTCTCGGAATGTCTCTGCTACCTTTGTGAATCTTGATCTCATCGAATGATCATCCTCCTTCAGATATGCCACAAACGTCACACGATCTATCCCAGTCAAAGCCGTGATATTTTTGATATTCACCTCCGACACCACTGGCAGCGAGGCACGTCGAACGAAGGGTACGATGGCAGATGCTTTGCGCGGGCCCCTATATCGGACCCACTCATGAGGTCCACGAAAGAGGCGTATGGCAGGATAAGAGTGCACATTGTGCGCAGAGCAAAGGGTTTGATTCGCGGTACAGTCTATGCTCACAGCTGGGTAGGTGAGTTGAGACTTCGTGGCCGCCCACTCTGAAGCGAGGGACTTGCAAGGACCTGTCCATGGCTGAAGTCCACGTTAGGAAATGGATTTGGAAGCGTGAAGTAGGGAGAAAGATACCGCAACGAACGCTGCAAGCAAGAGATCGTTCGAGTCGACAAGGGAATGAAACTCGGCGTCAGACACATGCTGCCATTGTGCTTGCACCGCAGCAGCCAGACCAGCTAGGAGGATACGAGCAAAGAAGTGCATTTTCACAGCAGGAGAGAGTTGAGGACATCGAAGCGGCATGGGGAGTCTTTTTGCTGGCCTTCATGATGTCTGTTGAGACAGGCCTGTTAGCTGCAATGGTGAAACAGTTGAGGGGAATCAGACGCCTCAAGGGGCCAGCAATTGTAAAGGAAGATAGTGCAGTTGCGCCATCTTCAGGAGAGCCGTTTGTATGCACGACATTTGCGGATTCATCGCAAGGAGCAGAATCAGGAATTTGTCGACCACTTGTGAGGGGAGGAACTTGTTTGCGCCGATGTTACGAGCTTTCAAGATGAAGATATTTGGAAGCTGTTATCTTATCGCCAGCGTGATGTCAATGGCCGCCCATGTTGGCGCATTGGACAGCCAGGCGAGCCTCATCCCCGACTGCGCACACCCTCCCTACACCGTCCACCTCTTGTCTCGCGAACCGCTCGTGATCTACATTGCCGACTTCCTTACCCCTTCTGAGCGTGAGCACCTCCTACAAACAAGGTAGGTGAAGTACTTCACATGTTTTCAGACTTCCTATTCCCAAGCTTACCTTTCGATTGCAGCGCCTCAGCCTTCATCGACTCCCAAACAGCCGACCAAGACGGTACCCAAACTCTTCGCAGCACTCGACGCTCTAAGTCTGCTACTGCCTCCCGCGACGCTGTAACACGATGCATTGAAGAACGCGCTCTGCTCTTTCAAGGGTATGACATACCTCACTCACACCTTGAACCACTGCAATTAGTGCGATATCATGCCAACGAAACTTATGATCTTCACACGGACTGGTTCACGTCGCCAGCCCAGACGACCCGGTTGCACGGCGGAAACCGTCTGACTTCGTTCTTTGCATATGTGAAAGCAAGTGCAGACATATCGGGTGGCGGCACGACATTTCCACTTCTAGACGCTCCAAAGGACGAACGTTGGTGTGAATATATCGATTGTGACACGCCATTTGATGAAGGTGTTACATTTCTTCCCATCCCCGGCAATGCGGTGTTTTGGGTGAATCTGGTTGGTGGCAGGGGTGACCAGAGGGTCATACACTCGGGGAGCGTTGTGACTACTGGGGAGAAGGTTGGCTTGAACATTTGGACACGAGAGGGGCCGTTGAGTCCCAAACTCAGAGGAGAGGTTAGTGACGGGCAGCTTGATGAAGATGAGGAAGCATAAAGGGATACTGCACGCCGGTGTGAGGTGATGCCTCACGTCATTAACTTAGCCGCCCGGCTTCATATAGAGGCGGCGTTCCTGCTGTCTCTACCCACATAAGTGAGTTTGCCAGAAAGGCCTGAGTAAATCAAGTCTTTCCTTTTCGTCTGGTAGGAGGATAAGAATTAGGAGATGTATACCTCCGCCAAACGCGTAGCAAAGCGTTGATACTGTCAAACTGTCCGTTGCTAGCCTCATAGTCTGCGCCGTTGCGAAAACCAGTGTGCACGTCGCAAAAGTCCAGGTTGTGCTACTTCCCATTCATATACACAAAGACCACGGGTTTCACGAATTCTTCGTGCTGTGCATGCTTCGCAACTTACCTAGGTATGTATACCAGAATGCTGGTTCTCACAGGTACTTGGTGCTACAATCTTCTATGACGTCAATAATCCACCGGATAAATATTGTTGCGGAGAAGAACAGTGAAACGCGACCCGCGTTTTCGAGAACAGTGACTGCGGACAACAAATGTAAACATAGCAATATTCAGAAAGAGAGACTTCGGTGTATTGATAGACGCCTCTCAAGTACATGAATAATATGGTAGGTACAATCATACCCGTCGCCTCTTTTGAGACCACTTGCAAAGTGCTATCCTAGCACCACTTCCTCCGAGCAGTTCATGAGTCGCACGTCTAACAAGATCGAAGGCTTCTCTCCGTCGTCTTGCTAAAGACCATGCAGCACTGCGGTCTGGATTGCCTCCAAACTACCTGTTCCCAGACGCCGACCCTGATTCATCGCTTCAGGACGATCTCACCCAACTTGTCATCTGCATTACCGGCGCCGAAGGCACACCCTACGCCGAAGGATTATGGCGTCTGCATCTGAAAATGCCCCATGACTACCCTAAAAGCCCCCCAAAAGCGACCTTCCAGACGCGGATATACCACCCAAACGTTGATCCCACGACAGGAGCAGTGTGTCTAGAGACGTTAAAAAGAGACTGGGATCCCAAGCTAACGCTGAAAGACATTCTCATCACCATATCATTTTTGTTGATTCAGCCCAACCCTGACTCTGCATTGAATGCTGCTGCAGGCGCTCTGATCCAAGAAAACTACGACACTTTTTCTGCACAGGCGCAGTTGATGACGAGAATCCATGCGCCCATTCCGAAGCAAATGTCAAATGCTGTTCAGGAAGCGAAGCGTAGAGGGGAAGAGCCTGAGCATGGATCAACAGAGAAACGATCATCTTCCCGAGAAAACCCTGTGGAAGACGACACGAAAGAGAATGAACCTAGCCAGTCGATCGCAGCGGCCAAGGGTACAATAACAGGCACGAAAGAGAAACGGGCGCTCTCGGAAATAACACTGCTTGATGAAAATGATACGCAAAATTGGTCTGAGGAGACCGAAGAGCCAAAACGGAAGTCCCCCAAAACGGTGGGAACGTCTGCGCCTGACCAGACCAAGGCAGGACCTTCAAATTTCTCAGATAACCGCCCGGCGCACAAAAACGAAGTTGAAGAGCAAGGCGAAATCACACAAAATAGGCTGAATTCGCGATGCGAGTTGCTGGCGTCGAAATTGACCGCAACACGAAAGGTCTCCAACACAAATGCAGGAAAGAAGAAGCTGCCGCGAATAGGTATCCGGAGACTTTGAGGCGGGGACAGAAACGATGTCCGGGGTGTTCTAGATCTTCTTTGTGTTGGTCCGAGCGTTCAAGCGGATTTCTTGAATACAGGTAAAGGGAGGGGCGTGTCGTGTCGTTGGTATGTCACTTTTGGGGCTGGGAACCACGTTGCCACCGACTTACGTGGCGCGGGAATTTCCAGTCAGGGACAGAACATGTCCATAGTTCGCACTGGCACTGTATTCGGTATGTTCGGTGGAATAACAGCGTTTTAACCTGCCCGCCACAGACCGCCGAAGAGCACCTACATAGCCACCGGTCAGTGCCAAAATGATGGCGAGGTGTTGTCAGACAATTAAGAGAGGAACATCTGAGAGCCAACGACCTTCGATTTTTTCCACTGGCGGCCGTGCTCCCATGAGAAGTATTCTACTCGGTAGTTCCGTAACCCTTTCTTCAGACTTCCAACCCCTGAACAGTATTTCGGTGCCTCCCATGCGGCCCCAGGGATAGCGTGGCCAGGGACGGATACCTGAAACTCGGCACACAGACCCCAGCCGTCGCCTACTCAACGGCACTAACGGCACTAACGCCTCCAACCTCCAATTAAACCGCACCCAGCCACCCATCTTACCCTTCTAGGCTAGAAGGGACCCACTAGAGTCGCGTCTTCCTGCACGTCATTGGCATCTTTTATTCGGCAAACAAAGAATAGTCTGGTGCCCCGCCAACATTTTTTTCCCAATTCTAGCCTCCTGCTACAGAACAAACGGGAAGGCCATAAGGGGGTTGGCTGGTGTATATGGCGGTTGCGGCGAAGGGGGAACGTATATATGGTACTTGAGAACATTCTACCGCAACCGTCTGCTCTAACCTCCTTCACTACTACACATTCAATCAACTTCGAGCCCGTCTGAGTCTCCGACTATCCAGGAGCCAACAACATATCGTCCACTCCGTCAAGAAGAAATTTCATCTCACTGAATCCCATATACCCAGTTCCCTGAGAAAAGAACTCGGGCGTATCTCCAACCGCACTACTTCCCAGCTGAGAGCGTTAGACAAGCCCGAATTTACATCCACGACATCAGTGAGAATGTTCGCCTCGCAGACCACCGTTTCCGCACTCTCCCTCGCCGTCGCTATCCTCCTCAAAGTAGCACGCGCAGACACCACGATGGCGGCCGTGTCGGAGATATCAGATGGCCAGCCCCAAGGTCCAGTCGCCTCGACAAGTTGGTCACCCAGCACCACCGCCGAGGTTTCCTCATGGTCCACATCATCCTACGACAACCCCTTCACCATCTACACTTCGATGACCAATTCCCTGGGGGTCATCACTGGCATGCCATCAGTTGTGACCTCTCAGCCCACACAGCCCGCCGTCGTCACCAGCCAGCCCGTCTCGCCCACCCTGCCCAGCTACTCGGGGTATTGGTACGGCAATAGCTCCAGCACCACCTCGACCGGAAGCATCTCGTCCGGCCCCACGACCCTTGCGACCAGCACGGTTGTCGAGAGCTCCTCATCCAATGGCATTTTCACCACCTCGTCGGGGACTGCCGTGGCCACATTCGCCCAAGTCACCGGCGCCGCAGTTTCGAACAAAGTCGCAGGTGCTGGTATCGGCTTGCTTGTGGCTGCTTTTGGGTTCTCCCTGCTATGAGCTACCTAATCATTTGGACCTCCTAAGTTCCCCATTGTTTCTTTCGACCAAAAAAGGAACTACTCTCCTATTTACGACGAAGCGTTTCTCCCACGAATGGTTTGACGCATAATGAGTGCAAAAGGTGAAGATTGAAAGGTTAACCCTGGCGTCGGTTTTGGTACCGGAATGGTATGGCATTAATGAGGATATGACGGAAAACAGGACTTCCGGCGACTTGGAAACGGAGTGTATCAATGTATCACGATAGGAAAGTGCTCGGACACGCAACACAGCCGTATGAGCAGTGTTCTCCGGCGAATCGCTAAATAGAACAAATTGCGGCCACTAGAGGCTCTCAAATTGAACGAATCAAAAGTAATCAGGACTAGAGTCTGCTCTACGTTTCCCCTTCCCAAATGTGGTTGGCGATTGTGTTCTCCGCCGGCTCTAGGTTTCGTATCCCCTTGCTTGATTGCGTCCGTACAGATGTCTAATACTTGACCAAGTTAATCACCACTCCAGCGTTCTCTTCAAGTACATCGTAGATCAAATCCAGTGGCTGACAACCTTTTCCCCCTTGGCGTTATATCCGGCCGCTGGCCACCTAAACTGGCTGAGGGTACATTTCGTTGAGAGCGACTTTTAGACCAGTGGACGCTGTCCCTAAACCGCATCGGAAGGGTTCGCCACACATTCCAAGCATCCGGCAACTGCATTTGGACTGCATTCAATGTTTTAGTCGAACCGGTGCAGAGCTCATGTTGCTGCAGCCAACAGCCTTGGTTGAAGCGGCCGTCAACGCCGTACCCTTGACAGCGGGAAGGTTCAGAATCGTGAAGTAGTAGGTCCAAGCCCCCGCTTCATCGAGTAACCCATCAGTGGTACGCCTAGGTTTCCTCTAGCCAAAGCAGGATGTTGTCATTGACGGTGAATTTTAATCATGATCATCTCAGCTTTTGACCCCGGCGCCCTGTTGTTTCGCCCACGCCGTAAACGCTCTCCTCTGAGCCCTGATATCCATGAATCCCAATCTCTCTTCCAAGCCTCGGAAAGGATTCGCTCCTCCACCCTCGCGCTCAATCTGCCCGGCCCATGCGCTCCAGCTGACGGGTTTCAACGGCTCGGAGCCCAGTACAAGACCAAAGCATGCAAGAAATACTGAGACCAGGGTCTCGAGCTTGATATCCAGAGGGAGAGCGGCGTTCTTATGCAGTTTTGTGGAGAGAGTCGAGAATTCGTGAGCGGAGTAGGCTCTGCACCATTGCCGTCAGTACTCAGAAACCCCCGATAAAGCGAGGTCTGGGGTATACATACGCATGGAACAGGGATAACAGTCCTACGAGGACTAGGAGGCGCGAGATTACCGCCATAATGAATTGGTCTGGACGATGCAGGTTTGCCAAAAGTGCATTGGCCCTTCGCAAGATGCGAGGAAGTTGATGTTGGAATCCTCGGATAAACTGCGGAGCTACAAACATCACGCTAGTTCCGAAGCAGGCATCATACTTTGCCGCTTTTAACTTCCCAGCCACAGCCAGCCTTCCGGCTCTTCGTCCTTTCCCTCCAACGTCACCGTTCAGGTTTCCGTCTAGAAGGGACATGTCATTCTTCGCCGGGATACGACCGCTGTATCCGATGCCATTTACAACTGCTTCACAGATTTCCCAATCTCAATGTCTGTGGTGATGGCGTACTCGAGGCAGAGCAAGCCATTCCGATAGCGGACTTCACCGAATCAGCCACATCTCCCCTTTAACGGAGCGAAAACATGGCAAGTTTCTCTTCGACTTGAGGTGAAGGCTGAGATATTCTGCTCTCTTCGGGTCACTTCCTCAGTTTGTGAACATCTCTTTGCCTGGTAACCCGTTCAAGATGCTGCAGTCCATAACGAGATTCTCAAACGACGCCCGTAAGCAATCCATTTCCCCGGATCTGAGCAAGCCGACTTCGCTCCATTGCGATAGTGCTAGCAGCGCAGCAGGACATTGGTGCTGACTTGGATTGATTTGGGACGCAAAAGTTGGCGTTGAAAAGAGCCTTAAGTTTCTACAGTCGACCTCGCAGATCGCCGCAACGATCGGTTACCTGTCACCGGACGAGGCTGCCCAGTGGCTAACGGTCAAGAACCACTTTGCGCTCGGTAAGCAGCTAACGCGGTTGCCGACATTATCCATACCCTCTCCGACCGATAGGATTGTGATGTTGTTGTCCTGGAGATTTGTAGCTGACAAACTGGGGTTTCAGCACGCCGATATCTCCGCCTCTTCAAATGGATCGACTGCTGGAATATGGCGTATAGCCAGTACCAGTCCTTTCCTGCAAGTGGGACGGCGAAAGATAAACCATCGAAACAATCCCAGCCACCGGCAGCTCAAAGCAACATTCATTTTCTCTTGATTGTCTCAAAGTGGTCCCTGCTCGGCATGTACCTGTTTCTGGAGATGTTTACAATTGTGCGTACCCCAACAAAACTATCACAAAGTCTCCTCGGGCGTAGAGCTGACCGAGGGACTCCACCTCGATCAAATAGGTCGACGCAGTCCTCGGGACTTGGAGACCATGGGCCGTTACAACCCAGAATGAGGCATTGAAATTCTGGTTCTACTCCTTGTCAGTCTCGGTTGCCCTGAGTCTATATGAACTCTTATTTGTCTCCCCCGACTCCGCACTGGCAAGAAACGACCAATCAGCCGACCAGAAGAAGACCGCTTTGACCACTGTCGAAAAGGCCAATGAAAAGGGCGCGGTCCAGCCCAAGGAGCGAGAACAGTCGAAAGCAAGGCATGCCCAATCCGCGAAACGCCGCGCTACTGTTCGGCAACTGGTCATCGACAGCTGTGATTTGCTGATCCCAGGGACAGCGGTAGGCTGGTTCCCACTCGATCCTGTCACGGTTGGCGCTGCAGGCACGGTTAGTGCCCTGCTCGGCGGCTCGGAAGTCTGGCATCGGGTCAATGCTTGATTGGAAGAGTTGCGTGGGAAGGACATGGGGTTTCTGTTCTCGGATCTCCGGCTTCGCCCTTGCGGGGAATGCAGATCTTGGGATTTAGACCGCTCCAAGTCGAGACCCTGCAGAGAGGGAGGGTGGTGAGACCGCACTAATGCTCCCCGGGTTCCCGTCACGCGACTTTGAGGAGGGCAGTGTCGTCTGACTGCGCCGCGGCGACGATAAGCCGCCGAAAACGTGACGGTCTGGATCAGGGTGGATTACTCCTGCCCGCATCCTGGCTTGCCTCTTTGCTTAGCACCGGTAACTTTGTCGACCGTCACGATTACAGCAGGCTCTATATGAGACCTTGGCTGCTCTTAGATAATGTTGAACATTGCTACTAGGCGTCTTCGAACCAGGAGGATGTTGTGAGGCAGATCGTAGATTTTATTTTTCCGAGCCAACTAAGCTGGAAGTATCTATATACTCTAAAGACTGGACTATAATATTAGCGTTATTACTTCATCAATCCAAGCTTGCATAGTAGCTCTCGTCCTGGTTCAACAGATAGAAGGCTTCCGGCTCCGGCTGACCGAACCCAGCATGCCAGACCGGGCTGGGCAGGCTCATCATACCGCCGCCCTCTTGCGGAGTGTCGGCAAAGATGTGCTCGAACGTCTTGGCCCACTGGACACGGTTGTTCAGCCCCTCCAGTCCCCACAGCTCCTGCAGGAAATGCAGCATTGACGTGTGCGTGTATGCCGAGTTCTCGGCGTACATGGTGCCCTCGTCGTGGATGAGTGTGTTAGGCGGGATCCAGGGCGAGATGGCGAACGCAGGGACCCGCACGCCCAGCCGCGTGTAGTCGTACGTTACGTTGTGGCCGTCCGACATGCCTGAGAACGTGATGCCGTCGTCAGGCGCGGGGACGCCCACGGGAGGAGGGACGTGGTCGGCGAACCCTCCGTGTTCATCGAAGTTACTGTTACCCTGAAGTCAGCGTCCGAAGGGGGGAAACGAGATCAGACAACAGGCCACAGCCTTTAAACAGAACCCGAGACAACAACTAATAGTGGGTTTTGGTGATGGGCTTACATGATCAGAAGCCTGTTTTATCGAGGACCAATTAGCCAAGACAGCTTGCGCAACAAGGGGAGGAGAGCAGCCTTACAGATTATCCCAGTACGAGGAGTTGCGGAGAGAGTCATAGAGATGCTTGATCATCATTTCTCCCGCAGCCATGTTGCTAGTAGGATGCATAGAGTCAATAGTACAACATTCCGGGTTGATGTAAGAGAACTGGGGCAGCTCGTTATTCGCGAGGTCTTTGTAAAACTGATCCGCATGGACAAGTCGGTCCATGGCGTTGTCCTGGACCCACTTATACATATATGCGTCGATGATATCGGTTTCGTAGTAGTTCTTCCAGGAAATATTCTTGTTGGATAGGGATTCAAAGATGGAGACCGCACAGGTCGTGCCGGTGGTGTTGCTGAACCAGCCAGAGGCCTGGTCGGTGTTGTCCACATAGCCACAGCTCGAGCCTGAGGTTGCAAATTGCCTGTTGGGATTGGTGGGCCCGGGATGCTCTGCAAAGTAAGTGTCCCAGAAAGCATAGTTTTGGGCCAAAGTGGTCAGAGTGGTCGCCATAGATGGGTCGTAAGCCTTGATAACGAAAGAGGAGTCTCCCGGTGTTGCATTGTACCTTTCGGACTGTCTCTCGATGAAGCCCGACATGTCAGGGACATCGTCCGCGGTTGGCTGCCATTTGCGGTAAATCTCGTAGCTGGTGCCCGCAAAATTATGGTCGGGGTCTTTGAGTGGTACTTCGGCCTCGTACTTGCCGGCGCAGATCATCAAGGGCTCATTCCAGACGGTCCAGTTTGGGTTGGTGAACTCGTTACAGAAAGTGATGTTGCGCAAGTTGTCAATGTCGTTAAAGTCCCAGTATCCGGCGATGTTGTCGAAGGAGTGGTTCTCCATCATCAGGTAAACAACATGGGTGATCTTCGAGCTCAGCCCTGACCATATTGATGCTTGTCGGTTGACTGGGAGAGCTGCAGTGTGGGAGATGAGCGCAGAAGCACTCAGAAGAGAAAGGAGAGTTGCCATTCTAGAACGAAAAAAATGGGTTGCTTTCTGTTGTTCGCACTTGCCGGCCTCCATGGAAAGAGGCAGGGGCACTCAAATTTATGCCTTCTACACACCTCGTGCCTTGACATGCAGACTTTTCCTCAGCGGCGTCTTCCCGGACAGTTCTCTACAACTGATAGACACACATGACGCTCCAGTTTCTCATCGCAAGTGCCGTACAAAGGTCCATAGCCAATGCCGTGATTCCCGTGCCTTTAGCATTGGAGCAAGGCGCAACGACCGGCATGTCACCTTCTGAGAACGGCATAAACGCCCATTCAAAGTTTGAGGACATGCAGTAGGTTACGAGTGGATATCGAGCTTCGGCAGAGTGCTGTGTTGACTGCCCGAAGGTTGGAATACAAATGAATGCTGCCGTCGACGACCACGGAACAGGCTGATAGCCTCGTCAAGTGGATGCTGTGGGGACTTTTGATCCCAGCGGGGCGGGACGTGCATTAGCGTTGTACATGACCCACTTATGCACTATCAAGCTTTGAACGGAAGGTCAAGCAAGCGTGGGGAGCTTGGCCGATGCTTGCCCTGACCCTGACTCCTGTGCCGTTGCCGTGTTGCTAGGAAAGCCCAATCGCATTCATTTCTTTGTGATTGATAAGCCAAGTTGCCCACGGGCTCGAGTGGACAGGGTAATGCGATCGTCATGCCGCATGAGGCTTATGTTCCTGAGCTGCTTGCACTCTATTCCTTCCACCACGCTAAGGCCCATCGGCCACAAATTTTTGTTCTACCGAGGCCATGTTGCCTATCGACAGGCGTTCAAGTGACCATGATTCCGTTGCTCTCCCACTAGGCAAGCTCCTAGCATCGTTGCCGACGTCGAGAGTTCGAGGTGGTTCTCCATCAGGAAGGTAAGAAGAGATCGAAAGCAAGCTTGTTGCATCGTGGTTCCAGCTTCTGGTTGTGTTACATTCGTATCACGGCCCATTACCGTGCAAGGCAAAACCGGTAAGGCAGACGGATGTTGAGGAATCCCTATAGCTCGAATGCGCCCAGCCTCCCTCCTTTGCGCGAGTTCCTCCTCGACCCTAGGCAGTTCATCTCCATCTTCTCTACCTCTGAGTCTCTGCATCTGCTGAGAACATACATTTTGTTATTTCGACTGCAACAAGAGTTACCAACCAAGACTCTACGCTCAAAGAGATTTTCCGTTCAATATGTCAATCGACAGTTTCGAAGATACCAATGCCATGGCTGCCATGTTCAAAGCTATGATGAAGCGATCGTATACAGCGGTGCCCGCTGACGCGGAGAAAGACGCCATGCTGGCGATCGAAACAAGCAGTCAGTCCTCGGCGGAGACTGTGTATGACAGTCCTCTGCCTCCACCACCACAGAGAGAGCGCAGCCCGATCAATGCAAGGATAGTATCGGATGCTATCATCGGCCTCTCAGATGGCTTGACGGTGCCCTTCGCCCTTACCGCCGGCCTCTCTGCCCTGGGTGACACGAAGGTTGTCGTCTTTGGTGGTCTCGCCGAGCTCATTGCAGGAGCAATCTCCATGGGCTTGGGCGGCTACCTGGGTGCCAAAAGCGAAGAAGCAGCATACAACGCCACTTACCGCTCGACACGGTCACAGGTGCTCGAATCGAGCAGAAATCTGTCCTCGGAAATCACGTCCATCTTCGCACCCTACCACCTCTCACCTTCCCTCCTCAAGGACTTTACCCACCAACTCATGACTTCGAACAGTCCCGACACGGTGGTGAACTTCCTCATGCACTTCCAACACAACACACCAGAGCCCGCGCCCAGTCGGGCGGTGGTCTGCGCCATTACGATTGCGTTGGGGTATTTCATTGGTGGCTTTGTACCGCTGCTCCCCTACTTCTTCACCAGCCGGGTCACGGATGGGTTGATATGGAGCATCAGCGTGATGATTGTAGCGTTGTTTGCTTTTGGCTACGTCAAGACAGGGTTCGTCGAGGGATGGCGAGGTTGGAGATGCGTGAGATGCAATCTCGGCGGTGCGGGGCAGATGGTGGTCATTGGAGGCGCAGCAGCAGGTTGCGCCATGGGTGTTGTTCGGCTGTTCAGCTCGTTGCAGTAGTCCAACTTAGACGAGCTGTGGTGGAAGGATTCCAGAAAACAAAAAAGAGGGCTTGCTGACTATCTCTGCTTGTGCACATTGGAAGGGTTCTCATTGGTCTTTGGAAGGAGTTGCTGCTTCTGGTATGTAGCCAATCATATGCTCAAGGTACGGCACTCGCCGAGCACGAGTCGCCAGGAATGGGACAGTCGTGGGTACTAGGCGATCAGGATTCAGGATGCGTAGCACGCTTCCTCCTCTACGGGGTCCGTACCGTTGCAATCCGGACAAATAGCTTTGAGCTATTGACAAACGGCCAGCTTGCTATTCGTAGTCGCTGCTCGAAGCTGCCCTGCCTTGTTCGCTCTCGCTGGGGGGGAGGGTCCGAGGTACCACAGCCTGATTTGGGAATGATCCCGTCGCAACGTGCGGCTTTTGCGGCCAGAGGATGCGTTCTACCCACGTTGTCTGAGCCCGATTGTGGTACAGGAAGTGGAAGGCGGAACTTTCTGGCCCCTGGAATACCTACATTGGCTGCATTCGGAGGACCGGTACGAGCACGAAGCAGCAATCGCTCCGGCTACAAAGGCAATTATTACTCGAAGTCGGCAGTCGGGGATCAGCCACGCAGTGGAAAACTAGCTATTTTATTGTAGGCTATTTTGCTTATTAACTAACTATCTTTGATTCGTTCGCAGTACATAGCCACTCATATAGCATCGTTTCCCAACACGCTTGTCATCGCGGCTAAAGCTCTTTATGGCACATTGTTGCCGGTCAGTGCGTCATAGGGATATGGGTTGGTGTAGTTGAGGGTAGCGGCCTTGCCCTTGAAGGTGTTCACCACGGATTTCAACACGCCTTTGCCATGGGCGCAGGTCGAGGCGTTGGTCGGGATCGGCCATGCAGAAACATACTCGTCGTCCGAGACGGGGCCGGGGTACGACGAGTTGAAGAAGAGTCCCTTGGTGTTGACGTTGGCGTTCTTGTAGCCGGTCTTGTTCGCCACCAGCTCGAAGACGTTGGCGTGGCAGTCCCAGCGGCCCAGCGACGGCAGGCCCCAGTTCTGGGAGACGGAGGAGATGGTCGAGTAGTGGTTGTAGAAGGTGTTGTCCGTGGTGCCCTTCAAGTGTGCGGGGACGGCGCCGCCGAGGAGGATAGAGAACACTTTGTTCTGGATGCCGTACGACTCGTTCTCGTCGAAGGTGAGGAGGACCAACGTGTCGTTCATGAAGTACTCGTTGGCCAGGAGCGGGGTCATGAAGTTGCGCAGCCACTGCGAACCAAAGGTGACGTTGGTGTCGTGGGCATCGTTGGTCATGTTGGGGGTAATAAACGCCCACTGAGGCAGGGTCTTGTTGGCGAGGTCGTTCGCGAAGCCATCGAAACCCTTGATCAACGCACGTCGGGTGGCATTGTTCGTGACCGACTTGTAGAGGATCAAAGGATCGTGCTTGCGAACGTAGTCGTTGGCAAAGGTGACCTGGTTGGAGTAGTTGAAGCCCTGGAAACCAGGGAACGGGATGTCTTCCTGATATTCCGCCCAGCTGATTCCCTTTGTGTCGAGCAGGTCGACGACAGTAGCAATGTCCGCAGGGATTTGATGGAAATCATCGTTGTCCATGCCAAAGTTGTCACCACCAGCTGCAGCACAGTAGTTGGGTTCCGAGGGGTGAGTGGTAGCGAAGTAGTTGGTCAACGTGATGCCTTGCGTGGCTAGGAACTGCTGGTTCGGGTCGCCGGCGGCTGCAGAGTAGTCGATGTTCTCCAGCCAGATCTGGTAGAAGCGGCTGAAAGCCACACCCTTGACATTGCTCACGGGGGACAGGCTGGTCGCGGTGGCAGCAGACTGCTCAATTTGGGTGAGCGAGGGCTCAATGGTCGAGACAGGAGGGGGGGATTGGTAAGGAACGGCAGCTGCTAGAGAGCCCGCAGCAACGAGCAAAGCGATAGACTTCATCATGATGGAAGAGCTTCTCGAGTGCGTTTCTAATACAGCTCGCGAGGATGCAGGATCTGACAGAAAGCGAGGAGGCAGCGTCTCGGGCGACGAGCTCTTTTATGGTTTTTCCGCAGACGTGCGTAGCAGCAAGCAGAGCTCCAATGTGATTGCCAGGCCATGTCCCCAAGGTCCAGGGAGCTCTCGTTGCGGCTGGACCAAAGCTGTGAGCATGCGCTCGCGCACAGCGTATCTTTTGACCAGGCTTTTGGGCCATCGCATGCTCGGCGTTGCCTTTCCTGGTAACGAGACAAGCTGCAAAAAAGCATCGTCTGTGAGGGGCATGCTACCCACCAAACAAAGCTGCAGTCGAAGCTTTTAGCGGCACGATCTCTAGAATACCTTGTCAAAGCTTGAGCAGAGAGTGGGAACAGCAATGGAGCCTTGGTGGAGACAGCATAGAGGTCGGTGGATCCAAGAGTGGGGTTCATACGACCCTACCAACCTCCCGCTATTGGCACTGAGCTCCGGGCGCCAAGGCAGCGGGCCAACCACTGGTGAGGCTCGCGCACGTGTGGCTTGGCTCGACTTCTTTCTTCCAACTGCACTCCATGATTTGTACATCATGCATCTCTAGCAAGCTTCAAGCATGGACACTTTGCTTAGAAACGTGTTCTGTCTGATAGGATGGAGACCACGGAAAGGCTGGTCACCAGAGGCTTTTCGGAGTATGGCCGCGTCTCGGTTCTCGCACGCCCAGGCAACGTCAAGCAGCGCCCTTGCGAGAGTGCCAGTGTGCCATTTTAACCGAGCGCGACCCAACAGCAGCCTTGCCATTTGCGTTGGTGGCCATCCGAGCCACAACGTCCGCCTACACCGATCTGGGCAGCTGTACGAGGAGAGCGAAGATTCTGCAAACGGATCACACGGCTAGACCGGCGCGCTGCCCGTGGCGACCAGGTAGGAGTATCATTCGTGGATTGTATTTCTGCCGCCATGGCGGGGATCAGCGAGGGAGATATGGGTGGCAAACTCGAACAGACGCCCCGCTGGTGAGATTGAGTCTCCTTCGTGTATACCTTTACAAGCCATTCGACATCACCTAGTTGTTGACTGCGTGTCATCGAGATCAATCGAGCTGCCAGGAAACATAGCCCAAAGATATGTCTGCAGAGCCAAAGGGCGCCCACGAGCAGAATGTTGCTCCCTCAGCCGGTGCGACAGCTGCCAAAGGTCCTGGGACACAGTCGAAAGGCTCGCGGAGGACAACGTACATCGCCCTCTTTGTGGTTGTTGTCGTGGTGGTCCTTGGACTGGCGCTAGGGCTAGGTCTTGGGTTGGGACTAAAACACTCCCACAAGGGACAATCGAACAGTGCCACTGGGTCTCCATCGCCCTCGAACAGTTCGTCGCCCAGCGAGGACTCACAAGCATCGCTGCTGGTCCCTCCATGGAGATCAAACGTGGAAGACTACACCCTCGACATAGCAGGATGGGATTTCAATGCGCCACCGACCACACGCGAATATAACTTCACCGTCGGTGAAATCGAGCTGTCGCCGGATGGTGTCTTTCGCCAGGTCATCGCCATCAATGGCCGTTTCCCAGGCCCGCTGATCCGTGCCAATATGGGCGATCGGATCCTCGTCCATGTTCAGAACAACCTCCCGAACGGCACCGCCTTTCACTGGCATGGGCTGTATCAGAATGGTACAAACTGGATGGACGGAACGTCTGGGATAACTCAATGTCCGATTCCCCCAGGCGCAAGCTTCACCTACAACTTCACCGTGGAAAACCAGTTTGGAACTTATTGGTACCATACACACTATTCGACTACGAATGGTGATGGCCCCGTGGGACCCCTAATTGTCCACTCGCCAGACGAGGTCAAGATGCAGAAGTACTACGACGTGGACCAGGTCGTGCTTATCCAAGACTGGTACCACGACTATAGTCAGGCACTTCTGCCCGACTACCTCGCCAGTGGCAGTGAAAATAGCGAACCTGTTCCTGACAACGGCTTGATCCAGGGGACCAACTATTTCAATTGTTCAACACTCGATTCCGACAGTGGCTATGTTTGCGAACAAAACTCGACACGTGCGGTGTTGACAGTCGAGCACGGCAAACGGTATCGATATCGGTTGATCAATACGGGGGCTTTCGGGACATTTGAATTCTCCATAGACAACCATCCCCTCTCCGTCATTGAAGCGGACGGGACCGCAACCGAACCTCTCTCGGTGCATCGACTGGACATTGCCGTGGCGCAGAGGTACTCAATCGTCATCAACGCCAATCAGTCGGCGGGGTCGAATTACTGGATGCGAGCACAGATGAACACATTCTGCTTTGGAGGACCCAATCCAGTCCTGGACCCTAACGTGAGGGCTCTGATAACATATACCAACAGCACACAGGACCCAACAAACTCGACGGACTGGAAGGACGCAGTGGATGTCCAGTGTGTTGGCCTGAACTCGTCATTGCTGACACCATTCTTCGAAGCAGAAGCACCACCCGCCACGACAATGTATGCTATTGCGGCAAACTTCCAGATTGGAGACTATGCCCTGGATCGAGCCTATATCAACGGCACGTCCTGGGTCATGGCCGATGTGCCCACACTGAACCAAGCTGTGGCGGGCCTCCAGGCGGCCAACGCCTCGTTCACGACTTCTGGAGTCAGCTCGGCATTCAGTGCCAGTCAATATGTCATTGACATCCCCGAATACGCCGTGGTGGATCTATTGATCACTAACTACGACGAAGGGGCTCACCCGTTCCATTTCCACGGTCATACTTTCTGGGTTCTTGCCTCCTCGCCGGATCAATACTTTGATTGGTCGACCTACGATGGCTTGAACAAGACACTGTCAAATGTCATGAGACGGGACACGCTCATGATTGATGCGTATGGGTGGGCACTCATCCGGTTTGTTGCAGACAATCCGGGACTATGGGCCTTGCACTGCCACATAAGTTGGCACATGGAGGCAGGTCTCCTCATGCAATTTCAGGCCAGGAACGATATTATGAGGACGTGGACTATACCTTCAGATGTGCTGGGGCTGTGCTCAGCATGATGTGTTGACATCTGCTTCGTCTCTAGACCTGTTTTACCGATACTTTCTACTATCTGGCGGTCTCAATAAGATCTATCTGCTACCGCTAGCCTTGTCCTTACCATCTTGGTCCTTGATTAGCCTTGGCGTCAGGCTTGCACTAGCCGCAATGAGGCGCTGCGGAGTGTAATAAGGCGGCAATGTGTAAGTTCCCGGAACGGAATAGTCAGGGACAACGGTTCAGGCGCGTCAATGCAAAGGGGATGCATCTCCAGACTTCTGGGGTAAGACCGTGTTTGCCCTTCAGCCGTCGACCATTTTTCTTCCTTTGTCTTGCAATATCACCCATTTCAGTCACTCTTTTCGTCGTTCTTCCTGTCATCGGAGTCCTTCTTTTCCACCTTCCCGGAGCTTGAGCCTCTCCTGCGCGAGATTCACAATCCAAACCACCGTCATCCCTTCCAGAGATCTTTGTTTAAGCAGCAAATACGACATGCAACTCCGCGACGTCCTCTCCGCGGTTCTGGCTACGGCACCGCTGGCAGTGTCCGCAGCTGGAACGCTGGGGTTTGCCGTGGGAAACACCAACCCAGATGGCACCTGCAAAACCGAATCCGACTTTGAAGCCGACTTCAAGGCGATCCTGAGCAACACCGATGCTCAGTTAGTTCGCACCTACTCTTCCTCCGACCAGTATGGCAACCCGTGCCATACGCCTTCAGAAGTCCTCCCGGCTGCCAAGTCTGCAGGCATCAAGGTGTTATTGGGCATGTGGTGAGTGCCGCCTCTGAGCGCAGGCCGAAGGAACTCAGACTAATTGACGTATTCTACGTCAGGCCTGATGGCGGCGCTTACGACAGGGAGAAGGCCGCAATCGACGAGGCAGATCCTACATCTTTTGGCGATACACTGTACGGCATCACAATCGGGTCCGAGGGCATGTACCGCGGCACCTACAATGCCGATGATCTTCTAGGCTGGATTTCGGACATGCAAAAGTCCTACCCCGACACCCAACTTGGAAGCGCAGACAGCTGGAACTGTTGGAATAATGGCACCATGGACTCCATTATCAAGAGCGGCATTCAGCTGATGTAAGAGCTACGAACAACTGTGTGTGATTGGAGTGGCGGCTTACCAAGGTATAGACTCGCCAATGGCTTTGCCTACTGGCAGTACCAAGATATCTCGAATGCGACAAAGACCTACTTTGACGACATGGCCCAGGCCCTTGGTCACGTCCAAGAAGTCAGCGGCAGCCTGGACAAGATCCATTTCATGAACGGCGGTAAGCACAGCACTCTCCGCAGACCATTTCAATGGCGACTGGGCTCTAACCTTCATATCAGAAACCGGCTGGCCTGGCACTGGCGGCACGGACGCTGGCGCAGCAAAAGCAGGCGACGACAACATGAAGACATATTGGCAGTCCGCCGTCTGCGGCATTCTGGACTGGGGCATTGACTTGTTCTGGTTCGAGGCCTTCGACGAGCCTGGCAAGGCCGACGCGATCGGTGACGACGGGCAAACTGCAAGCGAGCAGCATTGGGGCTCCTTCACGTCCGACCGACAGCCCAAGTTCGACATGCACTGCTAGACGGGCGTCCCAAGGAACACCCCGGCTTTCTCGCGTATAGTTCCTCCGGTTGGCGATCCATATGGCGTTTGATGAGGGACTGAATCTTGTTGGGGGAATTGGGTAATCGGCGCCAGAACAAAAAGGAAGTGCTAGTGCTGAGGATGAAATCTACAGTGTGCATGTGCATGTGCATGTGTCTTGCCCCCCTCTCATGCGACTGTAGAAAAAGAGAGTGGCGCCAAATAAGAAAAGCAGGGTCTTTGATAAACGTTGGCCATTCCCCAACCTTTCTAACACCTCATCGATGGTTTTGGGAGATGTGAAAGATTCTGTACTACAATAGGACAACAATCCACCAGTCGCAGTGATCCCCAGCGTGAATGAACAGACGCGCTCCGTCTTCACACCGTCAAGCGAGGCCTCGCCAGAAGCCACCGCAGCAGAACCTCTACGAGGGCCTTATCGTTGAGCTATCGTCTGCTTGCTGGGGCGTCGACATCGTAGTGGTGACGTATCGACATTGCAAACCGTGGTACATATCCAGGGAGGTACCTATGTATGTATGATGTAGCGACCAACACCCCCGCCCGGCCCAGCGCAGTAAAAAAAAAGGAGATTGGCATGTATATTGTGTTGCACCGACGCGCGAATGTCCAAGACTCTGTGAGCTTTGTTTTTTTATTCCAAGAGAAAAAAAAATCCATCGTCCCCGCTTTCATCGTGAATGGCCTGGGAGGAGCCCCCGCCGTTCGTCTATCCCGTTTGATCGGCCCTCCTCCCTTCCTGGACCAGCTCGACCCGCTTGATCGGATGCAGCAGCATGCCCGGCAGACACATCCGGCCCTCCCCGGCGACCTCGTGCTGCTCGCCGCCGTCGTTGTTGAACCGCATCCCCAGCCAGCGGTGCCAGAGCACCTCGGGAAACCCGGCATTGTAATACCACGTCGTGCCTCGGAAGTTGTGTTCGCGCTCGCCGAAGACAGAGGTGCGGGCGCCGCCCGTGGCGCCGTTGCGGCCCCCGTTGAAGACGGAGGCGAGGTAGTTGGTCGGCCATTTGCGGTCGATATATTCTGGATGAGGCACGTAGACGGCTTTGAGGCCGTGGTGCAGGGCACAGGAGGCAGGCCACATTTCGGAGAACATGCTGTGTTTCTTCAGCGCCGTTTCCTTGTGCATCGTCACCAGGAGCTTCCGAGAGAGGCGGGATGCAGTAATTATGGCCGTACGGCGCGGAGGGCGGCCACGCGTGATGTTGTAACCCGTGGTATCGTCCGTAAGCAGCCACGTCGTGCCGTCGGGGTCGAACAGCGGGTTAAACACGATCAGGTCTGCATCTTCGCCCACGCCCCACGTGTATTTATCTTTTTCAAAGGATGTGGGTGGAGCTGGGTCGGTATCCATTGCGACATCGTCATCAAACGGTCGTTCAGGACCCCAGACTGGCCTGTCGCCTTGCTGTTTCATCGCTCCGACTGGAGTAATCTTGGAGCTCGGGTCATTAGGATCCTTGTTTGCGCGGTTCAGGCTGCTCCACAGATTGGCGATGCTATTTGTGCCATGTTCCGTTTGGATGCGAACCATTTGGCTAAAGTCTTCCCATTCGCCGTGTTCGGATGGAACATAGAACCGGCTGTTTCTCTCCCAAAGCAGTTTGCGGGGTTGTTGTCTGGCCCATTTCGTGATACTGTCGAAGAAATGATACCAGTGGTGCGTGGTTCGAATGTCCATCTCCCAGTTCCAGAAGAAGTCGTACTCGGGATGTTGATAGGCAAAGTACTGCATGGGCATGAAAGTGCTGCGATACACCCCGTGAACGGGCAAGCCGCGCATGTTTGTCTCTTCCAGGCCACCATACATGAGCTCCATTTGCTTCTCCGTCCAGAGGGTGCCCATGCCACGGAATTCTTCGGGCAATGAGTCTCGCAGAACACGCTCGTAGGTCTCGTCGTCCGAGAATATGGGCACGTCGTTGGACTTGACCTGGACCAGGAAATGCACAACATACTCTCCGCCGCTCAACATGGTCAGCTCTGAAATCAAAGACCGAAGGTAGATCTTGTCTTCTGGCGTGTACGGGTAATCCCACCAGGTGCGGATCACAACCGCTGTCCGAGGAAGTCTTTCTGACCCGGTTTTGGGTTTCTTCGGCGCCTCCGGTGCCTTTGTCGGCATGGCCTCGACCTCCACAACCTCATCTCTCTTGTTGTAGACGGTGCCGACCGGCATTACTCGAAAGGTGTCGATCCGTGGCTTTTCGGGTAGTTCCTTGAAACGGTGATTGTTTGCCAAAACACATCGTTGCTGAGCGTCGGCCCAGTGAACATTCCTCCAATCCACCTCGGGCGCTTCCTGCCACACTAGGTCAGCCCCTTCTCTTTCGCCTTCCTGCTGAGCACCGCTTCCACCTCGGTTGATGCTGTATCCAAGGCCGTACGGTCCCAAGCGACCAAAGCGATCATAGCAGATGTCGTCCCGAAGTCCCAGAATTTTCGCAGAACCCATGACCATATCCGGAAACCCCCGTGGGACGCCCTCATACATCCGTACCCGTGGGATCTCGATGGTATTCTCGGCATCCAGGTAACAATCCACCTTTTCACCGTATTTGGCAATGTATTCAGGCGAAGTGTAGTTGGGATATGGTTCGAATCTCTTGCTGGATTGGATGGCTCTCTTTCTCCTTTCCTTTCCGGTGGAAGGGTCCTCTGGCGCCAAGTTCTCGACCACCTCTTCAGTGATGTTCAATTTCTCCCATTCCACCTCGTCCTCCTTTCTGGGGTATTCGGGCACGTTACTCCCGACCGGGACCAATGATCGTATGCCGCCGTAATATCTTTGCAGGAACGGGAAATCTTCCCAGGGCGGGGGTTTAGGCTTCATCTTTTCTTGTTCAATAGCTTCCTGCACCTCCTGTTCAGCGACGTAACTCATTCGCACCAGCGAGAAGATGAAGATGAGCAGGGTGAGGGCGACGCCCAGGCAGAGATAACGCATAATTGATCGAGGCATCCTGCCGAGGTAGGACGGGGAGGAGGATCGATTGGAACTGTAGGCTTTGTTGATGAGCATGGGCCTGTAGGAGGCAGAGGTGGCCCGCGACGACGCGACCGAGGGGTTTCCTTCTTCGTCCTCGAAGGTGTCGTTGCTATCGTCTTCGCTGCTGTGTGGGTGACGGTTGAGAAATCCTTCCTTCTCGAGATCTGATTCTCCTCGGCTCCGTATCCGTGCCATGGAGGTTGCGTTGTCTATGCCCAATGATGAACTCCGTGGCCATCCCATTGTTGTCGTCGCGAACTTGTTCCTGAGGGCCGCAGCCTCGGCGCATCGTTGTCTGGGACAGATCTGTCACAAGACCGGCAGAAACCCCTCTAGAAAAGGGAGCGTAGAGGTGCCAACCTTGTCGTGGGCGCGCGGCAGAAAGGTTCAAGATTGGTTTGGAGGGTGCAAAGTGAGTCTCGGCGTGAGGTCTAATCGTACAAGTGTCGCGTTTTGGACGTTTCCAGGTGCGCCCCCAGGGTATTGTCTGGGCTCGTCAATAAAATACACGGGTATGCAAAGAGGACGTAGGTCAAACAGAATTAGTAGTATGTATATACACACAAACAATGAAAAGAGTCTTGTGGTTTGTAGAGGGTTGAACTTGGACCGGCCGGTCGTGCCCAGGGTTGGGTTGGGCAAAAGGCCCTTATCGTTGTCCCGGTTTTAATCGCCCATCAACACGAGGCCCACAACGTCGCCCCAAATTCGGGAAAGCGGCACATAATAAAACAACTCCAGAGCGGGAGGAAGGGTCTCTTAGTGCGGAGTGGACGAGCAAGAAAAGGGGGCCATCCAGGACCTATGCCCACCGCAGAGAGTACCGGCCAGGGGATGTAGCTCACCGGCAGAGGGTATACGGAGTACATAGCATTGCATGGAGAAGGGCAAGGGCCCGTCCTGTTCACAGGGGTCGTTCCGCTTTGGAAAACACTGCAGAGGCTATTACATGACATCTGAGTTCATTGTCTCGTTGTCGACAGAGTGACTTGTCTTGGGTGCTGGTGTCTTGCCCTCCTCTCGATCCTAGCCCATCAGTCAGATAGGTAGCTAGGTAGTTGGTCTACCTAGGAGTCGTTCCCACTCGGCGGCAACCCTTCGACTCCCTTGCCCAAGTCCTCCTTCATTGCCTTGCCTCCAATCTCCAAGCTCTTACAGTCCTGCAACACGAAGATCATCCTCCCCCATTCCGTCTCGCTTGTGTTCTTCCACGCGTGCATGGTGGCTCGCTGCACCGCCACGTCGCCCCTCTGCATCAACTTCCTCTCGCCGCTGTCCAGCACCATCTCGATCGTCCCCTCAAGGACAATGCCGTAGTCTAGACTTTGGGTTCTGTGCATGATACACTCGTATCCCGGGGCAAAGTCGACCACGCGGCAAACCGTGCCGTTGGATCTGACGAGACCGAGCTTTCCGCTGGAAAGGACTTCGTCGTGGGTCTTGAGATCACGGTCGTCGTTGAGGTCTGCTGGGAATTCCGAGGTGTAGATCACATTGAAGGCCATAAGCTTGTCGTCAAAGACGGTCCAATTGCCAGGTCTGCTGTCCTTCACAATGGCTTTGCCAGTGGTGCCATCATGGCCCGTGATGTGAGTGGTGAGGCCAGGCAGATTGTTTGGGATTTGGGTAGGGTTGGGTGGACGAGAGGAGGACATCTTAGTGAGACAGACGATAGAAGTGACTTGCAAGATATGAATGAGTTTGGATTGAACTGAAAGATGGATGATCCTGCGTCGGTGAGCGAGGTGATAGGGAGAAGCTGCTGTCACCCTCACCGTTGCGGGTACGTATGCGGTGTCGTATGTCGTGACTGGGGCAAACGATCAAAGAAAGACAGCCAATTTGGTCGATTACGACTTTGCTATCTATCGTTGTTCAAGAGCCAACGTTGAGAGCAGTCTGGTCTATACTCCGTACAGTTGATTCAATCATCCCTACCCCGCGTCTGGGGGTCAGAGGGCTTCTTCCGTACTTTGCACCCCGCAAAGAAGAACGTGCATTGACCGGCTTTCAGCCACACAACCTTGACATCGAACAATCCTTCGCTGATCTGGGCTCATCGACACATCAAGTCATTCTCTAGAACATTACAACACCATCCTGAATTCCGGATCCCGGTCGTCGCCGTATCCGATATACTTGTCGTACTTGCCATTGGCCTTGTCGCGATTAATCTTCGCGCAATATAGCACGTTGCACAATATCCTGTGTCTGGTTGTCAGAAAGGAAACTAATTTGACCCGAATTAAGACAGCCTCTTGAAAAGACTTACGCAAACCATGCATAGACCAGCAGTCCCAAAATGATGGTGTGCGATTTGTGGTACTGAGGAGCTTCGGTGGAGGGATAAATGAAAGCTATTGATAAACATTAGCAACAGACATCCTGTCAGATGATGGGCAAAGTTGAGTACTCACCACTGACGAATCCGCCCGCGTTGGCTATCGCCAGCTGAAGACCGCTTGTCGTGGCACGCTTGTAGTGTCCGGCAGAATTGTTCGAGTTCCACACCAGAACAGGTGGAACACTTGCATATAATCCTGTGGCCATCAAGAATGTCATGCCGTACTTTGTGTGGTTGTCGTGCTCGCTGACATTGGCTATGACTGCGTATCCGATAATAGCCAGCGGCAAGCTGACAAGCATCGCAATACCTCGAAGTTTCAGTCGATCCGAAGCGAAGGCCACAACCACGGTGATGACAGCCGCAACAGCATAAGGGATGACGGACCACAGCTGAGCTTCGTTCGCCGTGTATCCCAGGCCTTTGATGATGGTGGGCAGGAACAAACCAAATGAGTACAGGCCAGAAAGGATTGAGAAATACGCCGTCGCAGTCAGCCATAGTTGGACATTGAGCACTCCTCGCTGGACTTCTGACCATCGGAACTTCTCCACTCCTTCAGAATGCTGGCCGTCGGGCAAGTGCGCGGAGGTATCGTTCCGTAGCCTCCTCTTACCGAGCTCGCGCTCCTCAGGCTTCAGGAACCAGGCTGTTGACACGCTGTTGGGCAGGAGGAAGTATGAAGCCACTCCAGCAGCAAAGGTCAAAAGACCTTCGATAATCATGATCCATCGCCACCTGTCGAAACTAGTGTTAGCATCACATACCCTTCGGAGAGGCTTGAGAAGAAGCCACTCACCCAGCATCCACGACGCTGCCGGTAGGACCGATGGCTGAAAGACCACGTGCCAAAAGACCACCAAAGGCTCCGGCAAGAGATGCGCTCGTGTAGAACAGTCCTATGCGCAGGGCCAGCTCGCCTCTGGTATACATCCCTGATAGGTAAAGCACCATGCCTGCAAACGAGATTAGAATCACCTCTGCACACTTTTGACTTTCGTCGTTCCGCAAAATCTCAAAGGCTGAGCCCATACCTGGCAATAATCCTCCTTCGGCGAGACCCAGAAACGCTCGGACAGCCAGGAATCCACCATAATTGCGAATAAAACCCAGACACATCCCAATGATACCCCACGCAGCGGTGAGAAAGGCCAGCCAGAGCCGCGGGCTAAACTTCTTGAGAACTAGATTACTGGGCAATTCGGCAGCGATGTAAAAGGCGAAGAAGATAGCAAGACCATTTGCGTATTGACTGTTGCTCAGGCCTGCATCCTTTTCGAGACCCAGAATCTTTGCATTTCCGACGTTGGTGCGGTCGAGGAAGGAGCAGAGGAAAAGTAAGGCGAGAACGGGAAGAATTCTGCATGGGGCGATGTGTTGAGCCCAAAATCTCCCGCCCGAGACGGAAGTTATACATACCTTGTATCAAGCTTCCAAAGAAGCTTCCGCGTCAACGCCTTGGTCTGAGCGTCATCACCCAATGCCGTTGCTGAGCCCGTCTTGTCGCCGGGAAGCACTTGGCTAGATGTCTCGAACTCGTTCTGAGTTTCTTCCGGCTTCTCGACCACGGGGTCTCTTGCGACCTTCTCTTCGGCCATATCAGGGGTGGCCTGTTGGGCTTTGACTAGTACCTGGGTGTGGGAGAATGCGTCCAGCTGCGTGAAGGGAGGAGCCTCCGACGGTGTGGAATCGATCACTGGACAAGTCAAGTTATATGTTCCAGGCTTGAATATGTTTCCTGCTCAAAGAGGACCGAGACAAAGGGACACGACGAGGTGCGACTCCCAGGGTTGTGTGCCATTTTTATATCAACAAGTCAAATGCTGGGGTCCCCTGGCTGTTTCTTCCTACCCCGTGGGCTGAAGTCCCATTGATGGACACTCTCCCGCCCCGATGATTGCATGATGGGACGTTCTGCCACCCAAATTAGTGATCAGCAACAGTATTGTTGGGCGCTCTGGCGGGCGGTCGCGCGACACCAAGCGGCGGACAAGCACTGCAGAACGTTACACTCTGGTGGGCGAGGGCCAATGAACGGGGGGGTCGTCGCGCAAGGGAGGAGGGCGGATGCCGGTCAATGGCCGCACGGAACCAGGGGACGACACGGCGAAAGACAGCGACGTTGGATCAGGCAGGATCTGTCATGCGGAGGGTCGCTTGGGGAGCGAAGAGCACTGAGGAGGTAGAAGAATGGCCGATGCGCAGGCTGCGGTGGCGGAGATGGGCCGGAGTCTTTGGCCGAGGTCGAGATGCCAAGCCCCCTCCTTCCTCTTCGGGCCAATATCGCGGCGTCGGAACTCGGCTCGGTGCTTCTTTTTGCCGATAAATCTCCTGCTCAACATCAACCACCTCGTGTGTCGTGTTTCGTGGAAAGCCGCTCTTGCTGCTGTATAAGCTCAACAAATATCGTTTCCTCAAAAGGGGGTTGTATTGGAGCCATCAAATATCGCCGACCCGCGTTGGCCTCTATATGACCTAGACCGAGCCTTGCATGCGCGACTCCAACCAATCAGCAACTCGTTCGCGTCACGTTACATGAGTGATAACGGCACTGGTAAGCCAGAGGGAGCTCGGTGGCAAACGAGACGACGGCATCAAAACTGTAAGGACGCCATTCTCTGTCCTGCCCCCTTATTTCCCCCCCGTCTCTACAATGGATCTGTCTCTTCTGTGCCCAGTTGACACTTACAATCTCCAGCCCAGGGTGCCCCGACCAGGACAAAGAGAAGCCCGTCAGCGCCAGACAACATGTCGAAACTCTCGGAGCCGTTAAAGCAGCTCATCAACGCCGCCCATGCCCTCCCAGGCACCCTCAAGGCGCCGCCGTCGATCCGCTCGACGTACTCCCAGATCGCGGCCAGCGCCCGGGATAGGGGCGTCGGCATCCCGGCCTGGGTGACCTTCTCCACCGCGGCGACGATGACGATGAACTCGCCGTCGTCCATGGTCGAACTGTTCCACCTCACGCAGACGCTGCCGTCGGCCCCCTCGCCCACGGACACGGCCGGGCTCATGCGCGAGGTCGGGCTCAAGTGCATCTCCTTCAACGGCATCCCGCGCTCGATCAACTGCCTGGGCGCGTTCCGCGAGGGCATGCCGCGGGACGTGTTCGACCGGATCCCGGCGCCGGCGTCGCGGCAGCTGACCGCGCAGAACATCGACGAGTCCATGGCCCGCGGCCGCCGGCTGTGGGACTCGGTGTACTTCCCGTTCGAGGAGAAGCTGCTCGGCCGGCTGGCCCAGTCCCACCCGAACCTGCCCGTCCACATCCTGTCGGGCCACTATTCGAACCTGCTCGCGAACCCGCCCTCCGACGCGCCCCTCCAGGTCGGGAGGGTCTTGACCTCCCTGGCCGCCATCGCGTGCCTGCGCGCCCAGACGGGCGTCGGGCCCCAGGTGGTCAGCCACGTCTTCGGGCTGCGCAAGGCGTACCAGGACGGCACCGCCGAGAGGGACATTGAGGGGGGCGAGTGGCTGGCCACGGACGAGGGCAACCAATGGATCCTCCACTGCATCGACGAGATCGTCCGCGCGCTGAGCCAAGGGAGAGGCACCACGTTCGCGCCGGGGATGGGCGGCGAGGAGAAACTCAAGCCCAAGTTGTAAACGTTATCTACAGTCGTGATGGTTTCGAATATATAGATCCGCAAATTCCATAACCATGTCAGAGAGAGCGTCCTCAATTAAAAGTTCATCAGCAGCCGGAAACAATGCATTTAGTGCGAGCACGCAAAGCGGCGAAAGGGGTATGAAAATGTCTGCACGTCAAGGGCTAGAGATAGTTCGATGATCAGATACAAAGGCTCCGCAATAGAATTATATGTCCAAGGATTTCCCTACTCGAAAACGACAATCGCCTCGATTCTTTGCACGACGATCGAAAACGAAAGTACAAGGGACTTTGGGTAACCATTTCATTACACAGACGAGTCTTTTCATGCCCCAAACTCTTCTATGACACAAACACCCAATAATGCATATTCATAGCGTACATTTTATCGAATCCTTCGCCGGCAACACGACGAGGACGGAGGTGCACACACAGCGCAGCCAAGGAGAAAACGAAATCATTCCATCGACTTGACCTCATCCGCAACCGCGAACTTCGCATCCGTCTTGGCCTTGATGTCTTCCACGGACACACCGGGCGCCAGCTCCGTGAGGGTCAAGGTGCCCTTGACGCGGTCGACTTGGAAGACGCAGAGGTCGGTGATGATAGTGCTGACGACCCTGGCGCCGGTCAGGGGCAAGGAGCAGTTCTCCACGATCTTGGATTTGCCGTACTTGTCGACGTGGTCGGTGGTGACGACGATCTTGGTCTGGTTCGGGTTCGAGACCAGGTCCATGGCACCGCCCATGCCCTTGAACACTTTGCCCGGGATCATGTAGTTGGCCAGGTCGCCGGCCGCGGAGACCTGTAAGGCACCCAAGATGGAGACGTCGACGTGGCCGCCGCGGATCATGCCGAAGCTCTCGCAGCTGTCGAACGTTGATGCACCGGGGACAAGCGTGACCGTTTCTTTGCCTGCGTTGATGATATCCGGGTCGACTTCGTCCTCGGTCGGGTAAGGTCCCATTCCCAAAATGCCGTTCTCGGATTGGATCCAGACTTTGACATCACTCGGTAGGAATGACGGTGCCAGTGTGGGCATCCCCACCCCCAAGTTAACGTACATGCCGTGCTTGAGTTCCTTTGCGGCACGGCGGGCGATGCGGTCTCTCCGGGCAAGAGCTTTTGACTTGTTGCTGGACATTGAAGAGTCTGAGGAGTAGCCTTCCTCGTCGCTGGCAGAGCGAGTCTTTTTGATTTCGAGTTTCTTATCCACCGTGGCGGGCACGATGCGGTCAACGTAGATGCCAGGGAGGTGAATGTCGTTGGGGTCCAAGGAGCCAGTAGGCACGATATTCTCGGCTTCGACAATTGTAAGTCTGGCAGCCTTAGCCATGATGGGACCGAAAGCTTTGGTTGTGTATCTTCTCACCACATTAGCTCTTAGTTATCCGGATTGCCCGTGGTGTGCAACAGGGACATACCTGAATTGACAGTTTCCAGCCTCGTCGACCTTCCAGGCGCGGATGATGGCCACATCGCCAGTCAACGCAGTTTCCATGACATACGTTCTGCCATTGAAGATCCTTGTCTCTCGAGGCTTTCCCGCTTCCAGCACGCTCGATTTCTTCGTCTCCGGATCAGCAGGTCCTAACCTGGTTGGGATTTCGCCAGTCTGAATGAATGTGTCTAGAAAGCTGTCAACAGGCTTGACGACGGAACGGGGTCTATAACCAGGGACTACTCACGGACACCAGTTGGCGTGTAAAATGCAGGAATACCACTTCCGCCGGCACGGATCCGCTCCGCCAGCGTTCCCTGTGGACACAATTCGATGGCGATGTTGCCATTCAGGTACTTCTGTTCGAGCTTCTTGTTATTCCCCAGATACGAGAGGATACACCGGGTGACTTGGCCCGACTGCGTCAGGGGCGAGAGCCCGCCGGCGCCTGCTGCACCGGCGTTATTCGACACTGCCGTGAGGTTGTTAAGCGACTCAACGCCGCGCTTGTGCATAGCGGTTATGATAGTTTCGGCCGTGCCGCAGAGTCCAAACCCAGCACTGAAGATCATCGAGCCGGATCTGATGTCCGCTACAGCCTCGTCGGCATCCTTGAATAGCTTCGACCTCGTCCGATCAATAACTGGCTGTTCATCGTTGTCTGCTGAAGGTGATGATGCTGCTTCACGCCACCTTGTCCTAGAAGATGTAAAGTATCGAACATCTTGCCGGCTCGAAACAATCCATGGTCTGAACCGTGATTGGCGGAATGCCAGGTGTTTGCGGGAGGCCGTTTTACTGACGTTAGTCGCTGGTTTCGAGAGACCAGTGGCTCTGATGTCGTTGACACACAGGAGCAGAGTGTGCCTTGCCGTTGCTGCCATCTTGGCTGTTGTTGTCTTCTCTTTTCTCGCTTTTGGCGGTCGATATGGAGGGGACTTCAACGACAATATATGCCCGTCATCTATCACGGGCTGCAAGGAATGGAAAAACAATTATTCGAGACTATGACGGGAGAGCCAGGAGCATTCAGCGACATCGGCTAATAACCCGGGAATAGTCGGCGGCGAATCGCTCAATACGTTAGATCTCGGTCTCAGGATTCCACGTGATCGGAAGGTGATCTCGGTGGTATTTCTGATGCCGATCTCTGTGGGCGAAGGGCAGATGTATAAGCGTTGTTGGCGGAACGGATGGAGAAAATGGCCGACGTCAACGGTCGCGTTCCTGTGGACGAACAGCGCGCAGAGGTGTGGTGGGACTTCCCCAGGAAAAGCGACGCGGTCATATCCAAACCAGCGCAGTGAGGCTGGGGGATTCGGAGTCCTGTGGGTATATTGCTGTGCAGAACCTCGCGAGTTTATATTCGCGTCTAAGGGACAGACCAGACTCTTTAATGATAATCATCAAGCCGAGGGCAGCCATCCGCAAGGGCTTCTGAAGCTCAGTCATCGTCTTCCTCTGCGACGCGCCAGCCAATACTGTCGTCACGTCTTGTAAGTAGAGCAACGGATCATGGCCAAGTCGAAGAAACAAGGGCAGCCGTTCTGGCTTGGGTAGGTGTCGAAGCCCTTTTTCGGTCAAACCGGCTGCTGACACACTCGACGTAGGGGTGCTGCTGCATCGATGGCTGCATGTTTCAGTATGCAAATCCAGTTCCGTCGCTCCTCAAGGGAGAACACAACGCGACTGACGTCTCCTTTCAGCCCACCCGCTAGATCAGACGAAATAGTTGGTCGAATGTCCGCATGAAGGGAGAGGAAGTACTGACAAACGCCATAGTAGGATGCAAGTGATGTCAACAAGGCAAAGCATGCTGCGGGCGATGATCCAATTCGCAAGCAGAGACGGTAAGTAGCTACACGGACAGGCTGCCGTGACAAGGAACTCATTCAGTGGTAGGCATTCCCTCACTGTGGTGGGGAATCTCGGCTTCGATGCTTCGCCAATCCACATATTCGACCGCGAGGTTCGGCCTTTATAACCATTTTGCGGGTATCGCCAGAGAACGAACCGGGCAAAGACGATTACCCAGCTCGTGGGAGATCGCCTGCGCGGGTGCTGCAGGTGGTTTGGCCGGACTCATCGGAAATCCCACAGAGGTCTGCAAAAAGCGCGTTACGTGGTTGAAGAGTTCGCTGATGCGTGGTATAGGTTGCGCTAGTGAGGATGTGTGCGGATGGAGCAAGATCGCCAAGTCAGCGATTCGGATATAACCATGCCCTTGATGCCATTATCAGGATCGGCCGTGAAGAAGGAGTGCGGACCTTCAGCAGAGGCCTAGGTCCCAACATCGTCCGCAGCGTCATAATGAGTAAGTCTGGGATAGGCCATGTTTGATTGCATCGCTAACCACGTGCAGATGTCTCTCAGATAGCAACGTATGCCATCCGCTTCCCCTATAGTCGCGATGCTCATAACCGTGCAGGTATTCCGCAGCCAAGCGACAGCTCCTTTCGAACCCTTCATTAGGCCTTAGCGATGGCATCTTCACACATTTCCTCGCCTCGTTGCTTGCGGGCACTGTTGCAACGACTGCTTGCGCACCTGCCGATGTTTTGAAGAGCCGGATCCAGAATGCGGTTGCTGTGGATGGCGTGAAACCAGTAAGGCATAATCTTGGAGGCTTGACGGAGCTAATGAACTTCAAATAGAGCGTAAGCAAGATCATCCTCGAGTCTTTGCGCAATGAGGGACCTGGATTTCTGATGAGGGGCTGGACTCCGGCTTGGTTGAGGCTGGCGTAAGTTATTGGCAAACTCCTGGGCGGACCCATCTCTAACGATCGGTAGGCCGAACACAGTCCTCACTTTCGTCTTCATCGAGCAGCTGCAGAAATTGGTGACGTTGTCAAGAAATATGAAGTCCGTCGAACCAGTTCCCGATGTAGTGCCCGCACCTGCGGCCCCTCAGAAGATTTGATGTTTTGTCTGCCGAATCGGGGCTCCAAATTACAGCAAATTTGCTCAACCGCGGCCAATCAAGTGACATTGGGCCAGTCCAACCAGTCAAAGAACATGGTCTCGTCGAGTTGGAACAAGTCCTGTGAAGTGCTGGCGTTATTGATAGCTTCGAGGATCTGGTCGTCGGTCATGTCAAACACATACGGCTCTAGGGGAATATTGGGCGCGGGCATTGAAGCTACTCGTGAAGGATCGTGCTCGTCGTGTTGATCCTGCTGATGAGGATGCTCTGAAGGCCCCGAGAGAAAGACTTCGTTCGCTTCAGGAGGACTGAGAACGGAGCTCTGCATGATCCGCCGGATATGCCTTGCGAAAAGTACGGATAAGCCCTTGCGGTGTCTTGGGGAACTTCCAATCCTCTCCAACACTTGGGTTGTGTCTTCAATCAGCGCTTTGGCATTCGGAGCCAGCATGGCTCGGTTGCCCAGACTTGTGGTACCAAGAGCCAGGGCAAAAGTTGCGGCAAAGGAGACCATTATGACGGTGTTGTTCGGCATCGATTTGAGTCGATTCTCCCCCTGGACTGCTGCACGCATGACATTCATGGCTGACGCAAGTCCCGCGGCACGAAAGAATTGTTTCACATCATTCGATGCCGTAGGGTGGTTAACGACGTTACAATATGTGGACAGCTTGGTGTGAGAGACCAGGATTTCGACGTATGGAGGTAATTGACCTGTGAGACATTGTTAAGATACGGGAAACTGAAAATCTCTTCTGTTTGCTTACCGTCGCCTTGCGTGATTTGACGTGACCAAACTTGATACCACTGCTCGAAGAAGCGGTCGATCTTGTCTTTCAGACTGCGATACCGTCAGTCCAAGCAACAGTCTTATAGCGGCTTCACAACTTCCAACACCGCCATCTGTCAGGGTGGACTTACAACCTCACAGCCGTCGGGCCACCATTGACGCCTTGACTTCCGTCGCAAAATTCGCGAACACTTGTGATGAGGCCGACCTGGCTGGGGTTAACAGGAGTTCGAACAGGGTTCGGGGAGTAGGATACCAAGTCTCGCCTTAAGACAGCCGCAGAGATAACACTACCATCCCATCGATCGGCAATATCAGAGATATGCCATGTATCACAGCTGTCCACGAGGGGCCCAATCGGAACTGCATATGGTCTTCCCCTTGCAAGGCAGATGCTGCAGACATCCGTCAGCTGGTAGCTCGGTGTAGTTGATATGATGCGCTTACCCCCGATCAAGAACGAATAATGCCAGCCATACCCGCTCCCGAGTCCTCAATAAACGCCGACCCAAGGTTGAAGACGGATCGACCTGCGGGAAGCCATCCAGTTGCAGAGCCTTTGCGGAATCAATACAGTCGGCTTTGGCTACCCGGTCGAGGAAGCCTGGAAGACGAATCGTAGGAGAAGGAACTACAATTTTGTTTAAGGAGAGGTCCAATGCCAGGCTCAGCGCCATCGAGAGATAAGCGCATGTCTCATCGTCAGCCCAGTGTTTCGCAGGCGTCATCCAAGGGATATTGACCATGAAAGCTAGTACGATCTCCACCGATCTATTTCTTTTGAAGATCACGGTTTGTGCTAGGTGGTTTCGATGATTGGAGAGTCGCCTCGACAATGCCTCCGCTTTGGGGAGGAATAAGGCAGAGGCGGCGAGAATAGAGGTGAACAGAAAGGCTGACCTCGACCGCACAAACGAAGCCGTGTGGAGGGTAGGATCAAGACCCCATCTGGTATGAGATAGTCGTTCGTAGAAGTACGCAAACAGCGAATCGGCTTCGTCCTGTGTCACGAGTCCCAGGTCAATCGGATCAAGATCAGGAGAATTGTCCAGCCTGGGCATCAAGGAGCCAAAAAATTGCTGCACCTCCGCGTCGCCAGTGTTTGCTTCATTCGTTCCTGGATGTGACGCAACACCGGTGGGGGACGTCGACATGGCCGTCGAGGGCGACTGTCCCGGCAGCACAGAAGCCATGGCAAGCAGTTGCAAAGGATTATCGGCATTGTTGAGGGCGAGTTCGTCGGGCTTCTCGCCATGCTCCGCAGCAGACGCGTCGTTGCCATCGTCCGCTGCGCCATTACTCTCGCTGGGAACCAGGCTTGGGCGTGGCTGAAGGAAAGGTCGCAGGTGGATTGTGCCTGGGGTGTTTGAGCTGGCTCTCCGCTGGACGACGGGTTTTGTCTGAGCAGCCCCCATCAACTGTCGAAGGTCGGCCTCAACGTCGGAAGCGAGTCCGATAGAGCCATCCTTGGTTTGCTTCAGCGCTTGTTCGACCTGATAGATTGCCTTTTCCAAGCCGGTCCTCTTGCTGATGATTCCATTTCAGCCTTCTGTAAATGCGGGAAGCCTCACCAAACTCACTTTTTGACGCCTTTGTACCTTCCCACATGGTAAGCTGGCGTGACGCACTGCAGACCGGCCTGCTGGCATTTCCGACACACCAGAGCATTGGCGTCACGCGTACATTTCACCTTGCTCCGGCGACATTCGAGGCATGCGGCCTGCTTTGGCTGTGCCGAGCCAGAAGTGACATCTTGATTTGCTGACGAACTAGAACTCATGCCTTGGTGTAGGACATTGTTCGCGGTCGGCGGAGGAAAATTCGAGCGATCGTGCCAACTGCGGGAGAACGCGTGATCGGTTGGCCGCGTCGACTAGCCCATGCGCCCACCACAATGACAAAAGGTATCGCACCGTCGCCGCGAGGAGCCTGTGTTCGATTTCGCCAATAGAATTAGACCAAACTTGATGCGTCTATATCCAGCTGTGGTGGAGAAGAGAATTGGATTTGTTGGCGCGATTTGAGCACAGACGTTGAGGCTGGGTGGATGACTAAGCTCCCCCACAAAGTTGCGCGCCGCAACTTCCCGAAAGAAGCAAAGGCACGTGCATCGATGATTATCACGTGACGAGGCTGAGCACTGGTACGGGTCCCTGAATACAAGGACAGTGGCCAAGGTAGGATACGCACACGACTACACTTTGTTTACAGCAGATGTGCTTACCTCACTAGCCAATCATCCAGCCTGGTGGCACACCAATCAGGGAAGAGATGTCTCAGTCGTCTGCGGAGATTCGAGTATGTCCTACGTCCGTGTCGCCAGTGTTACCCCTTCCCTGGGACAAGTATATTGACCTCTCGCAGAGACTACTGCTGGGGTCTCCTATACACATCGGAAAACGAACAACAGCATAGAGAGAGGAGATCCGGTGTAACTGCTATAAGTACGCGAACGATTCAAGTGATATCAAAAACTTCGCCGCCCATGCGGCGTCGGTAGAGCGCCGGGTTGAGATCCTTCAATGACAAGGCTGACGCACATGGAAAAACGCAACAACTCGCGAGTGAGACGTAGAACGGTGACGTCTTAGCCAAATTATCCCTTGACAATTTGCAGGACCGCATATCTCAACTTTTGATGCCTGCGTACTTTGTTGCCCCAACTTACAGGACCCTTCACCAGTTCTAGTGTAGGGTCGGAGATGTATGTGTAATAATAACAGGACTCGTGTCTGTTCAAGGAGGCATTTGCAATGTGCCCACTCAAAGCGCATCCACACCTTAACTCAGCTTGCGTCAACCTTCCACGTCAAGGAAGAAGCCCAGCATCCCAGAAACTATCTCGATAGGTCCGCATACCGCAGGTCGCCTCTGATTACCAGAGCACTACCCCGAGCACTTGGCCCTCGCGTCTCTAGTTAGTGGAGAAGGTCATGTGTCCGTGCCCGCCACGGCTAAAGCCCTCTTCGGAGACCCTCGATCCACGTGTACAGTGGAGATCTCCCCAGAGCACTTTCCAGCACATTCCTAGAGGCGGAGACCCTGCATCGGCGCGACCATGGAGGATCGAAGACTCCAAGAGAGCGACAGCAAGGTCTCAAAGGGGTCAAGGTTCTGAGCTGACGCAACATTAACACCGATGGGGCCAGCGCTGTAGCACGAGAGCTCCGCAAAGGTGCCCATTCTTTTTCCCGGCCGACCGCTACTGCAGAACAGGCACTTCTGTAGTTTCCCGCGGATGGCAGAATCCGGGCGGCAAAGCTGTATGATGACCTCAGGATAGAGAGGCGGATGACCAGAGTTCAGTCTTCGGAACTATAGCTCCACGCAAAGCATCAGCGACATAAGTCCGGCAGGTACCTTAGAGCCGCGGGAGAAAGAGGAAGGGGCGTGTCTGCTTTCGGAAGGTCCCACTTTCAAGTCTGCGCCAGCGAGACGCCTTGCTCAACTGGCGCTGGATTCAGAAGGCTGACTTTTGATCGAGATCTGCGAGATTCGAGATGCCTTGGATGTCTAGGTCGTCCAATATCGTTCGAGGCTCTGGTATGTCAGGATCCACCACTTACGTGAGTATCTCAGATACACCCACCACACCGATCCCAGTGCCCAACAACTGCCGGTGGCATCAAACAAGGAAGGTCCTCGGACAGAGAGGGGGGGGGGGGGAGGGGGTCGAGATCGTGACCGCTTTCTCTTTCCAAATCCCCATGCTGGTATTCGAAGGGATTTGGACCTTGTACTGTTATTGCAAATATGCATTCCGTCCAAGGTAAGGAAGGGGCTGCCGGAGTGCACCCTCGGCATTTTTCCTGCACGGTGTACACTTGAAAGGTGCCCGTTCCTTGCGCAAACGGTGGACCGTCTCCTGATGTTTCTTCAGAGCAGTATGCGGCAATGGAAAATGAGTGCTGGGCTTCTAGGAGAATGAAGACGAACCGGTACGGAACATTTAGGGGACTGAGGCTCGCTCGCCAGGCACTGAGGGGTCAAGATGGCGCCCCACTGTTTGCTTTCAAGCTCCAAAGCATGAGCATGTTCGGACGAGCCCGTCCTTAGCGCTTCCTTGTCAAGAGCTGAAACCTGGCACGGACGTTTGAGTATTGGACTGCTCAGACCACCTCCTCAGCTGAGGGCGACGAGGATCTGCTGTCTGGAAGAATATTTGACAGAGCGAAAGGTTAAGCTGTCGCTGCCTCCTAGACGACCAGACCAACAAGGATGAAACAACTCCGCCAAAGCCAAAGTATTTGGTTGCCCCGCTATCTTGGAGGGGTGCAAAGCACGAGGTGTCGCACTCGACAACCAACAGCGCACCCTGCTGGCTTCGTGCATCGTGGTGACTAATAGTGAATAATGATAAATGCACGGACTGGCAGCCAATGATGTGGTCGTGCGAAGGGAAACAAATCTGGTTCAACCAGTCGTCTCGATCCTAGAGACCCCTGTCCCTTTGCCACTTCGAGGCACTAAATAGCCAGCACTATTACCCTCTTGAGGTAATGACCACTCGGTGACCGGGGCATCCATGAGGACGGGGACAACAAGAAAGCGTAATTCATGACTAAGAGGCGGGACGGACTTGTCTCGAAGGGTCCTGTTTAGTGAAAAGCTTTCGGCGCCGTGACTGGCTCTCGAAAAGTATTCAGGCCCGTTGGAGCGGGAGGTGTTCAATGCTGTTATTGGTGTTTGTCAGGGATGGTGTACACACATCCTGCTGGTCCCGTCACGGTTGCATGTGGTCCTTGTTTGATGGACACATTGTACTTGACAGAAGTAGGATGTGCCTCTCATGATACGTGTGTCAAACAGTTGGTTCTCCAACATGCTACCTGTATTCTATGACTACCCCGAAAACGAGGAGAGGAAGGAAGCCACATGTGCAACTCGGAGAGATTGTAACCGTGCAGCACGGGCACCTGGTAACCTTGGTCGTGACAATGGACACGATCGCACTGCCACTCCGGCATTTCCAAAGTGTTATTATCCAGCGCGACGAGAAATAGTATTTGTCACAGCTTGCGATCTATGATGATATCCGCAGTATCTGATCTCTTTTGCAGACCGGAGAGAATCATCTGCAAGGAATGGCTGCGTTGTGCCGCAAATTCCAGACGTTTCGTCCTATCGATCAATCGCATGGAGTCGAGCCCATGCGGCATATAGGCTCTGGTGGGAGACGCAATCAGCCGGCGGTAGCGTTCTGTTCGCGAACAGGATCAAAGCCTCAAAGGTTTGCCTCTATGAACGCTTCTTGAGACTGCAAGCCGGCGGTCGCTCTGTGCTCAACTCCTGTGTCTTCGCGCACTCGCTCAAGGTGCCAATGCAGGCCGTGGCGCCGGCGGAGCCAGCTCCTACACACCAGCCATGTTCGAGGACGGGGACTTGTGTGGCCTTGTCTTGGGATTCTTGTCGAAGATCGCCTGTGCTTCAAGTACGGACGCTGAAGAACAGGAGGAATGTCTGCTAGGCGTGGCTAGGGATAATGCTACAGCCTCCTGGCATGTCCGTGATACTGTGTTGTAACTGTTGGACCAGGAGAACTCCGGCGTGTACCTCGATTCCGCAACTCCGCAGTACAAATACCGACCTTGTAGATCGTAGGAGAGGCGGTCTTCATCCCGTCATTATCGGCGTCGTTCGAGGTATTCTCGAGGTAGCTACTCTGTCAACGGCGCTCACGGATTGCTTCTTGGAACGTGGGATGCGGAGAGGCATCCGGGTTATCCTATACACTCAACCACAATGGATTTGGCAGCGGTGCCAACTGTCCAACTCACCGCAACATGCGTGCATTGATTCTCGTTCTTTGCGGGATGTTGATACTTTCAATGACGCAAGCGTCCGAGGATTGATGATGTGGACAATGAAGCCTTCAGAATCTCCATGCAGCTGAAAAATCTCTCCAAGGCCGGTGATTTACCGGAAGCGAAGCCGGAAGCGAAGATGGAGGCCTTTGGTTGAGTGGTCGGTCAATAGTGCTGTTCCTGGATTTGTTACGAGATAGATTCGTGTTGAGCGCGAGCAGCGAATATGAAGTCGCGGATGGGGGAGGGCTGAAGTGAGAATATCCCCGTTGGGATACACACCTCACTAACTAGAAAAGGGGTGTGCACAGTCTGCCATCACGAAGGAAATGTAACGATGGGCGAATGACACCGCCTGTTGAGGTGTGTGAGATGTTACGGTTGTAGGGGTCCTCGACAAACGAAGCACCGGTAGTCCGTGGGTTGCTACGCCTTCTGCCTGTGAGCTGCGGGGATGCAGGGTCCTTGACAATCTGTCCAGTATGTAGAAGCAGAGGAAGATCTCGATCGCATTCAGTAGTATTCTGGAAACTTAATAGTGCCGGCGAAGTCGGAAGGAATCCGATCTTCTTGGGCGCTTGATGTGACTGTTGGGGGATGGAATGATAAAGGTAGACATCATGCTGCATGCTGGGGGATCGCACACAGCAAGCGATTCGATACGAATCGACGATCTTTTCTATGAAGGGATGCGAGGTTCCTCCCTTCGTTTAACGGCTGGAGTCTGAGAGGCTGAACTCGCGGGTGCCGGAAGCTGTGGGTATTATAGACCCGCATATCCACCAACTTCTGGTTCAGCAAAGAAGTAATACCGATTCGTACGACCCGCCTAGCAAGGCTCTTTTCAACAGACGAATGATTGGACCTGGAAGCCCTCGGTCAGGCCACCTTTTCTCTGTGTGCTGTGCCGGAGCTACCACTCATCAGAGGAAAGGGCGGACAAAGGGCAGAATGAATAGAGATCTGTCAGGAGAGGAGACCTGATTGGCCGTATTCCCTGCATGAATCTTGAATGTCCAAGGGTATGCCAGTAGCCAAGGGAACACTCTCTCTGATTCCATATCCGCCGGGGCTTGAAAAGAGAGCTGTCTGCAGCCCCGCAAGGATGCCTTCCTTGAACCTTGCCCCGGGTAGTAAATTAGTGCACCTGTTGAAAGAGGCTTAGTCCCCCGGCATTTTACCTGCGATTGGTATAGCCTTTCGCCCTATACCAGGGGCTGCATGAGTCTCGAACGCTCGAATACCTAGCCAGGGCCGGATAGGAGCCCTCGTCGACCAGGGAAGAGCTTGGGTAAATGTGGAGTACGACTTCCTAAACAGTCCATAGTCGGCCTGCGAAGATGGATGCTCGGTTGCTACACCATGTTGGGCTTTCGTCCCCTCGCAATTTTCCCACGGGCACATTGGCATTTACAAACGGCTGGAGGGATGGGAGGGGCACCTTCCACATTGCGTGCTCGACGTACACCTGCTCAAAGGGCACGGGTATCTAGCGAGCCATGGCCCCCCTACTCGTTAAGCCCCAGGAGAAGCGACATCCCTGTGGCCCTAGGAAAATGATACCCTCAAGTACCAACAAGACGTCCAGGACCAACTGACAAGGGCCCGTAGCCGGGACAGATGGACGCTTCGCTGTGCTCCCATTTGTGTAGAGGCTGTCAAAGGAAGCGATGCCTTAGGTAACGTCACTGTGCTTTTTCGTAGCATCTGGTATTCCGGTCAAAACACGGAGTCCCTAAACAGCAAAAAGCCAAGGACATGGGGTGCTTTGATAATGCTCCCCCAGTCCCGTGCATGTCGGTCTTGCACTTGTCGACTTTGTCGTGCAGCAGGCGGCTTCGCTTGAGGGCTCAGCCCACGTCACTGGCAAAATGCGATGATTCAGCCGTTTTGTTTCAGCGTCTTCCAACTGTAATCTCCAAGACTTTCCAAGCCTTTTGGGTACATTTTTGCTCGACGAGCCAAGCCGGGCACCCGAAATCCCTTGTTGCTTTTCTTCGCTCTCCCCGGTGCGGCGGCCTTGTCAGCCCAAAGTATCGTTGAAGCTATACCAAGTATTCCTGCCCTCTGACCTCCCGCCCTCGCCAGGGTCTTTGCCCTTCCTGGGTAGTTCGCGGTGGTCCTATGATTGGGCCATGGCTCTTGGATACTCCCGTTTCTTGGGTGAGCCAGGTCTACCCAGTCCGGGCATTACTTTTTTCCCAGTAAAAAGAGCGGCGGCGGCAAAAGTGTATAGCAGCGGCCATCAGATGCCAATAATAAACATCAGAATATTTCCACTGCACGAGCAGACGAAGGAGAATTCGAAGCGTTAGTTCGAATTGTGGCTCGTAAGGGCAACAAGGGCAGGGCAGATTGGTGATTTGCTCGCGTCGGTTGGCCCTTACGCAGCCCACGTCGGGCTTCCACAGAACAGACGGCGACCACCTAACAACGGGCACCCTTGTCATCCTTCACCCACCCTCCCACGTGGACGTCGACCAGAATGGAAGTTGCCAAGATACACCCAGGGAAGGGAGAGCTCCAGCAGGGGCTCTTGTTGGCAATGGTTATGTAACTTATGTAAGAGCCGGAGCTTCTTACTCAGAGGATTCTGCTGAGCTCATTGCTTGACGTTGTACCAAGGGTCGATCCCATTTTTCCAGGCGACTTGCTGGTTACCCACTTCCTGGAAGGGTTTGGCCTGGAAATGAACCCGGACCTGTGCCGAATTCCATGAGCGAAATCGCCATCAGAGCAACATGCCAAAGACGGAGATTGACCCCGTGTTGATGGAGTTTTTAGATGGCACAGGATGGATTGTTAAATTTGGAATCGACAGCAGGCTGCGTCTCCGGGAGGCATGACTTTGCAGCTTCAAGGAAGGAATGGGAATTGTCCGCTCGAGATGTCTGCGCGTTCAGTGACATTCCGTTTGGCGCGAGCCAAGTCGAGGGGAAATAATTTCTATCAAAAATCGTTCGACGGAGGCTGCCCAAGCCAAGTAGCGCCTGTCATCGTAACTCAGTATTATGGTGCCTCTCTGATTGAAGAAGACATCTCAAGTAGCCCCTTTTAGGACAATTTTCCGCAACGTCTGCTCTCCCATAGATGCAAACATCCACACACATGGGTTTCTGGCTCAAACAACGAGGAATGCACAATTTGCCTCTCGCTCAAATGCACACTCGATCATCCGATGAACATCAAATGCACGAACTCCGCGTTTCCTATTCATCCAACGCCCCTTGGTCGTCCCAGCCTTGCGCTATGCTGTCCAGTAAAATCACTCATACGTCATCAGCTGCGGCGTCTGGAACCCTCAAGAGTTACGCCTGCTTGGAATGGAATGCGATAGCCGCGGAGTACTCTGCGGGCTCAGCGCATCCGTGTTGAAGAACGGCACCAGGTCGAACTCTTGGGGCGATTGGCATAACGACCCACAAAGATTGGGCAACCCGGACTGGAGCTGGGTGATTTCGCCGTTGAGCTGCTCGATTTGCGCCTTTAGACGGGCAACTTCCTCGGTTTGCTGCGAGTACGATCGGGAAAGCATCTGATGCTTTTGCTGCCATTGGGTGATCTGTTCTTCGAGCTCCTTCTGATGGCGCTCTTTGCGCTCCCTGTATGCTCGCTGCGATGAGCGGTTTTGTTCTCGTCTTCTCTATAGACTTTGTCAGCCGCCACGATTTCGCTCTACCGGGTGACGTTTCAAGCTTACCTCGATCTTGTCGGGAATGGAGCTCTTTACTTGAGCGACGACACTGCTGCTGCTCGTCGGTGACACTCGGCGCTCCGGCGTTGATCTGTAAGAGCTGTCTGATCCGGACGACGACATGCTGTCGAAGGAGTTGTCGAGGGTGGCGTAGAAGTCGGCCGCTCTTTGCAAAAGGTCGTTGTAGTGGCTAACCATGTTCTTGGGTGACTGGACGCCAGCGTAGTCCCATTGAAAGGAGGTATCGATGGGCGAGAAGGTGGCAGCTTGCTGGGCCCAGCCGTTGGCAGAGCGGTAGTCGGTCATGATGGTTCTGGTTCTGAGGTGTGATGATTGTCAAGGAATATTGTGGTAGATGTTCACTACTTGGGTTTTCGTTGGTAGTTCAGTTATCAGAATGGGCTGGAGAGAGGAGGGGCCGCAAAGGCACATGGTGGGGGGCAAGTGCATTTCTTATACAAGGCCCGTCCGAGCACGAGGCTGGCGTGGGTAGCAAAGGGTGGTCTGCTGAATCCCAGACTTGGCCAGGACGCGAGTGCTTGTGGTTTCAACACGCCCACCACCGTCCACTCGGAGCAGACGTTTCGATTTGGTCCTGGCGTCTCGGTCAACTTGGAAGCGCCAGCAATCACCCTGGTCCCGGGCGCGAGATGGAGAAGAAATGGGCTATTCCGTTCTCAGAAGGCGCATTAATCATGCACACCCCTGCTAGCTCGCTATCTCACTGTGCAGCAAGACCCAGTTGTGCCTTCATCAGTCAGCCAGAACCCATCTGCAACCTTAGTTTCTACCAGTCCCAAAGAGGCAGAAAGTGGCTTGCCCTAATTCTACGCTACGCATCATAGGAATAGCTCCGCTGTGCTCAAGGGTTGGCGTCTTGGTAGGGGTTGGTAGGGTTGGGAATGCTGTAATCCCCAGGCATGATGGGAGAGTCGTTATGGACAGGATGCCAGCGAGCCCCCGGTACTGTGACGGAGTACCGGCCCCCTTAACCACAGGTAGACTCCAATATGTGGGCATTGTGGGCATAGGTAGTGGACATGGTGGGCATGGTGGAAATGGAGGACAGCTGGGTGGTAGGATTGATGGCAGGAGGGGGTACGAGTACGGGAGCAGCACCTAGAGCGACTCGCACCAGAGGGGCATCACCACCACCACCACTTACCACCACCACTAGAACCACCCATCACAGGCAGCAAAAATACCCGCCGCATATCCGACTTTAGGCGGCCCTGGCAGCCCTGCTCGATGACATAGTGGCGCCGGAGTTTCCCACGACTGGTCCACCAAAACCAGTGCAAATGGGCTACCGCCCGACCTTAGGCGTCACTGGCATTCCTCAACTCAGACAGGGCCCGGGCCTTGTCAACAAAACGAGCAAGGCTGAAACACTCCTGTCGAGAGTCTGGCATGTCGGAAGGAATCCTAGGAGAGATATCCAGCGACGGAGGGATAGCGATGCACAGAGCACCTGGCTTCTAAGGGTAGGACATAGTGAGGTAGTCAGTAGTAACAAACGGCACCCATCAGGAGCTCGAAAGCGCATCGTGTCCCTGACATCCATCTTCATCTAGCCAGCATCATATTGTGACTTTATCTTTTGTAGCGGTCGCTAGATAAAACCCAAGTGAGCTTTCCAGCTATTCATTGTATGCCATTGTCATGAGTCCGAAAGTAAGGCTGTGCCCACGCTTTGCCCACGCCTCAGCAGCAGGTCCCAGCTCGCCAGCTCCAGCCACTCGATGCTCTTTCACAAGTCTTTGTAAATCATTGTCATCCGTATGAAACTAACAATGGCAGCTGCTGCCAATAACCCTGAATGCACAAGCCCATAGGAGCGAATACTCTCTGGAGAGAGAATGCATCTTCGTACTGTACGTAAAGACTGACCAGGGAGTTGTAAGCTTAACCTCAATGCTTGTCCACGATCTTGTCAGTCGCCACGTTGGCGTTTAAGTGGATCGATGGCTGCTTGCATGGCCTCTGCGCGAGAGCAGGGGGCCAGTACGGTCAGTACTGAAGAATGCCAATCCGGTCGAATGGACCGTCCCCCCAGGCTCGAAGTACCCGGGCTGAATGAGCGCTTTCGACGATCCAGGGCAGATCTGACCCTTCCAAAACCACAGTGAAGTGGCATGGCTGGCAACACTGCCCTCTCTGCATATAGATAGCGATCATTACTGTAGGTGGAAATGGAGACGAAGCAGGGTCCCGTCCAGCTCGGTACTTACGTATTGATATGCCCACCAGTATCTCACTACATCTGGATTTGTCGGGTCGCACCGCTTCAACATGGACCCCAGATAAAGGCGCGAACCTGAACCAGGAAATTATCCAGAACGTGATCTGCCTTCTGGAAGGAAGTCGATCTCATGCAGCCTTGGCGATTGCCGCCTACCTAGTCTGGCGCAAAGGGAAGTCGCTTCCAGATCCCGAGATACTGACCAGTTTGCCGAGTTTCACACACTGAAGATGTCCGTTGAACTGAGCTGTAGGTACCATCGCATACAGAGCTCTAGCACAATAGATGAGTTTCTTGTCTACCTGTGTACCATTGCGGTTAGCAGGTAGCTCGATGTTGTTGCACGGGAGGACAGCACGCAGGGTCTGAACTTACTCCCACGATCTGATCGCTACTGCTGTGACACTGAGGCAAACCCTGAGTCTCCAGGCACGTGAATTGCCTGTTAGTGCGCAGAGTCAATAGTGGACTTTGGGAGGCTTGGCTTATTGGGCCCGAGAACCTGCAATATGCACCTAGATGTCCTCGTGGAACGTTAGGCAGTACTGCTCGCAGCAGATCATCCGACGGAGTGACTAATCTGCGGTTGGTTCAACGTCGCGTTCCTTAAGCCTCTTTCCGACAAGGGCTTGTCCTTTCAGCAAGTTGGCGCCCCCCAGAGTCCGGATACCGGCAGAAATCCTCCGGCTTGGGTCCAGCGGCCAAGACAGGAGACATCATAGCAGGCGCTCTCTGTTACCGAACCGGGTCCAACGTGTGCCTATTGGGCCCTCCCTGCGGCTCGACTCAGGTACCGTTCATGGGAGATATGTTGTGGCATGGACACACACATCTTGCAGGCTTTCCACTTCCATCCTTCTGGTAACGGTGTGGAGGATCCTCTCCGGTGGAAGGAGTGAAGCTCGACGTCATATGAGGCCCAGACCATCTTTGCATGAATTTGCACATTGATACTGGGGACATTTCCAGAAGCACAGATTCAGAAAGAGACTAGTTGATTGGTTGCTAGACACACAGCCGGCTGGCACAGGAGATTGAGGGTGGCTTGGTAGCTGACGTTATCATTGTCCACCTTGTTGTAAGCAGGTTTCCCAGCTTGCGGTGTACGGCACAGCTGGTATTGCAACTGTAGGCAGTAGTGTAGGCTCAGGACCACCCGGGGGGGGGGGAGGCAGTTTCGGTACTGAGGGTCTCTGTAGCGGATTGAAACCCTGAAAAATGTCTTCCATGTCGTCAAGCCTCGCTACGCCGGCGCCCAGTGGATATGTCACACCACTCAGAGGATGGACGTCATTAGAACCTGTTATGTCGCTCCCCATGGTCAGGGATTAGCTCAGTGTACAAGACAGGGGGAATGGCACCCCAAAGAACTGGGTCAGGAAAGGCTGGATAGAGACTGGTATTCCGGCACACAATGCCTGAGGCTCTGAAGGGGGGCAAGGCCTTGGTTGCAAAAGACTAGAGGGTCATGCGCCAGCTGCGACAGTGGGTCGCCCCACGTGTTTACGTGTTGTTCTCTGATTCCAGAAGAGTTCCATATTGATCGATGATTGGGGGGCATAGCTACCTATCATATTGAGTGTCATTCACCTTGCTGTTCAAGTTACGCCTTCCCACCTTGTCCAGCCTCGCCGGAAATCGACGGAAACGAATTCCAGCCCATTGACGTCATATGGCTTCGGCCTTATGGACCGTTTCGCTCTAGGATGTGCTGAAGGATCATTGGTGGGGGCGGGGGAGCACAACTGCCGAATCTTCAACTGGATAGGACTTGGAATCCTGGCATACAATGGTAGGAAGGTGAAGATACATTCAAGGGCCACGATATCCCAACTACCCCTTTGTATGGTGAAATGAGATTATATCAGGCAGACAAGGCAACTCTGCCGAGAGGGAGGTAATATTGTGGCGGTGCGCCAAGAAGTGGCTGGTCGTTGAGTGTGGCGCCCGGTGATCCTGATCAACAGCGCCTCCAGTAGTGCTGCTGGCGCCATAGGGCAACCAGGCAACCCAGCAAAAGTGGGCGCTCGATAAGCTCGGGGGAACAAAAAGATTCACAGTGGTCCTATTACTAGGTAACCAGAACAGACCATTGTCACAAATATTTAAGTGTTTGACTTCATCGCACCACGAGGTCAGGGCAAAATGACTCTCAGGTGGACAGCACACGTAGCCGAGGGATCGGTTCGCCCGCTGCCAGTTGGCTGCCAATGGGTGCGGACAGCTCCAACTCCCGCTGCATCTTGCATACTCGGTACAGCACACCGACCCAAACACCAGCGGCTTGTCCTGAGAATGTCCTGTTCATTTCTTAACGGCAGGATCCGAGCTATGGTTTCCTCATCAGTCTAATTGTTGTTTCCCAGCCACCTGTCGAGCTCTCTAATTTCGCTGCCGGTCTCAACTTGTTCGTGTGTCAAATATCCAGGTGGCAGGGCGAGGGGAGGCTGGTACCTCACCACCTTCCAGCGCCCAAAAACAACCTCACGCTTCTGCCCAACGCTAACTCTCATCTTCAAATGTTTCCTACTCTCGTACTCTAATTCTTGTTTATTGCTGTTCTTTGGAAAGTCAAAGGTTTTCGCAGACCCGTTGCGCGGCTGGACAACGAAATATTGCTTCAACAACCCAGCCTCGACCTTCCCACCGAAAGGAACATACACCCAATGCGAATATAGCACTCAAGACACCGAGCTGCACCTTCTTGTGACTGCGAACCGACGGCCGGCTCTGTGTTGCAGCCATGCGACTCCACGAGATGCCTGCGTCGCTGACCTCGCTCCTCCTCACCGCCCTTCTCTCACGATCCGTTATTGCAGGGCTCTTGCCCGATTTCCTACAGAGCTTTGAAGACTTCCAAGATGTCGAGAAGAGATGTGAAAACCCATGCGGATACTATGGGCAGCTATGCTGTGAAGCTGGCCAGGTCTGCTACACTGATTCCAACAACGAGGCCCAGTGCGGAGCTGGAGCCACGACAACCGCCGCTGGGCAATGGGAATACACCACCGTCACCTTCGTGCAGACAGATCTCAAGACTGTCACCTCGACCTACAGCTCGTATGTGGCCGCGAGCACCATCAGCTGTTCATACTCTCTCGGAGAAACCCCCTGCGGCAACGTATGCTGTTTGTCAGGACAATTTTGCCAATCTGCGGGAATCTGTGCAGCCGTGGGTGGGGGAAGTTCCGGATACTATAGCAGCCTCTACACCGTCACCACAGTCATCACCAACACCGCGAGCGCCCCACTCCGACCAACCAGCAACACCTTGGTCACCGTAACGAGTATTGGAGGTGCTACTACCACCGCACCTTTCCAAACGCCTGTCGGAACGGACGGCAGCATCATTGTTGGACCTTCGTCGTCCAGTTCCGGTGGTGGACTAAGTGGAGGTGCGATTGCCGGCATTGTCATTGGTGTCATTGCTGGCATCTTTCTCCTCATCCTGTTCTGCGCCTGCTGCATCTTCAAGGGATTGATCGATGGACTATTGGCCATTTTCGGTCTCGGTCCCCGACGAAGGCGCACCGAGGAGGAGGTGTATGTCGAAAGGCACTCGCACAGGGATGGAAGAGGACGAAGAACGTGGTTCGGCACGAGACCCGCGAGATCCGAGGTCGTGGAGGAGAAGAGGAGAAGCGGATGGGGAACAGCAGGCTGGATGGCTGCGGGATTAGGGGCTCTAGCCCTGTGGCTTGGGCTGAAGAGGAGAAATCGACGTGACGATAAGAGCAGCTCGGGCTACGGCAGCTCCTACTTTTCCGAGTACACGGTATCAAGTAAGTACAATTGTGGCACGGCGTCTCTCGCATACACATTTGGCTAACGTTGTCCACAGGTAGTGAAAGTTCCTCGGACCGAAGAACGAGACGAAGCAGCAGATCAAGATCGAGACGATGAAATGTAGATGACGATTCCAAACTCATTGGTGTTTCTTAGCGGAGCATATTGCATTGGGCGGAGAACCTTGGGATGCCCTGGATCTGACAGTCGGACATAGGGTGTAATCGAATGGAAGCCATCTTACAGTGGACGGACGAGGCTTGTATATGGAAATGAGTATGGAATATACAATGATGGACAGAACGCACAAATGAGATCATCTTGAAACAAACAATATGGAGACACCGAGAACGGAAACTGATCGTTTGCCAATCTAAAGAAATATGCGGCGAGTGTTTCCCGGATGTATAGTATTTTGCTAGGTACCGAGTACTTGCCGCACACCTACGAGGGTACCGACCTACCTAGGTATGAAAGCGAGGGTTCACAACTAGGGCTTGGATCATCGCATAACTGAAACAAGGCCTACAAGGCTGCTTGGGCGGCGCCAATTAGGGGGCTAATAGGTGCCGAAAGGTCCTCCGAAGGGTCTCTTTCTTAACTAAGCTGCCAAGCATAAAAGCCTGTGAGCATCTGGCGAGCTAGGCACTTCACCTCGCTAGGGAGGGATGTACGGTGAGCCATAGAGAAGTGAGCCCACGGCTAAGCTCGTGATCCCCTTCGAGTTTTCTGCAGACCGCAAGTAGGGGGCCGATTTCATTTCGTTCCCGCTCCCCGCTCTGCACTTCCTGCATCGAATCCCTTTTGTTCCTTTCATTGTCGAGTCTCAGCCTCTATACTTCGGATCTTAGTCACTCACATTGTCCTCGAACCTGCTCGGTGACTTGGACTGCAACCTCCATTCGAGTGTCTGACATTTTTACTGCCTCACCCTTTCGACCTGAGAATGACTTTGGCCTGACCTAACACGAGCCTCCAACCACCATGCTTCAAACACAGCATCTTTACTCGCACCAGCAACAATACAACCAGCATGACCAATCCTCCTGGCAGCACAACGGTCCGCAGCAGAGTCACCAGACTCTGAGCCACGGACAGCAACAGGCGCAAGCCCAGGCCGTTGCTGCCGCCGCGGCGGCCGCTCAGCAGCAACACTACTCCCGACTCGCGATCAACCCGAATCACAACTCTTCCCATGCGCAGAATACCAACCGGCAGGCCACGGCCGACAACTCGCAGAATGCAATGGGTCCGTCTTTGACCTCGATGAATGAGCAGGCGTCACCGGGCATGGATCAACAACTGTCGGAAGAGAATCGCAAGGTCTTACAATGGGTGGCAGAGTTGATGGATCCGAACCGACGAGAGGGAGCTCTGATGGAACTGAGTAAGAAAAGGGAACAAGTGCCAGAGCTCGCGCTGGTTCTCTGGCACAGTTTCGGCGTCATGACCAGTCTGCTCCAGGAGATTATCTCTGTCTATCCGCTGCTCAACCCAAGTCAGCTCACCGCGGCAGCCAGCAACCGGGTGTGCAACGCCTTGGCCTTGCTTCAATGTGTGGCAAGCCACAATGAAACCAGGGGCCTGTTTCTTAATGGTAAGCATTCTCACAGCCTCGGAAAGCGGACGCGACGCTAACTTTCGCCGCCAGCGCATATTCCTCTCTTTCTCTACCCATTCTTGAACACCACCTCCAAGTCAAGACCTTTCGAATACTTGCGGCTCACGTCACTCGGTGTCATTGGCGCTCTGGTCAAGAATGAACCCTCATCCGGTGTCTCGATGAACCCGGCAGGCACTCCAGGAGCACACGGAAACACCAACAACTCTTCGCCAACAATCACGTTTCTGTTGACCACAGAGATCATCCCACTCTGCCTGCGCATCATGGAGACGGGCTCCGAACTGTCCAAAACTGTGGCCATCTTCATTGTCCAGAAGATTTTGCTTGATGACACAGGGCTAGGATATATCTGTGCCACATATGAGAGATTCTACGCCGTCGGCACCGTCCTGAGCAACATGGTTATTGGCTTGGTCGAGACGCAGACTGTCCGGCTCTTAAAACACGTAGTTAGATGCTTCCTGAGGTGAGTTTTCAGTCCCATGGTTTCCCATCCAGCGCTTGTTGCTGACGCCAATCCAAGGCTCAGCGACAACAACCGAGCCCGCCAAGCGCTGCGACAGTGTCTCCCCGAACCGCTTCGAGATGCGACCTTTTCCAATGTCCTCCGAGATGATGCCGCCACCAAGCGATGTCTGGCCCAACTCCTCATCAACCTGAGCGACACTGTTACCGATACGCAAAATGAGCAATTTGAATAATTCTAGGACTTCGGCGTACCCGCGGGCTCTACATCGGATTTGCTGTGCGAAGATAACCGGTGGTCAACGATACCCTTCATCAGAGTGACGAGTTTCTCAAATTTTTTTTCCAGCATTGCGGCCGCTGCGTCGGCGACAGACTGGGACAAGCATGAAGCAGGAAAGTTTTGGAGTCCTTCCTTTTTGTTGTCGGCAACACACAAGCATCAACATCACCAAGCATAGAAATTATACCCAATGGCCTCGGCGAGGAAGACATGACAGGCGCACTGTTTTCCATTAATTGAACGAAGACATGATCAATGCACAAAGGCGTGGCTTGATGCCCGAAGATTGTAACAAGGGCCAGGAACTCCTCGGTTGAGGTCAGGGCCCTGATGGCTGCGATGGATGGGATTGCGAGGAGGGAAAAAGTGGTTTGTGCCCGCGAGTTTCTACCTGTTTTTTTTGGGAGGCCACCATCTCTTGACTTTTCTTTGGCACCGGGATATAGCAAGCTCTACAACACATCGTGACCTGTACATGAATTGGAGTGGCATGGACGAGGACGTGGCTGTCGAGGGAAGGGGTCTCTTTGGATTACACACCACCCAGGCTTTCCATCTCTGAGCCCGGTCTTCACAGTGGGATGAAGCGCATGAATTCCTTCTTTCTTTCTTGCCCCCACGACAGTCGGCGACGCCCTTCTGTCCCTGCAGATAGTTGCCCTTACAGAAACCCAGATGTATTTCATAGCATAGTACAATGACATTGATCTTTTTCTGACAGGGGAATATATCACAAGACGGACGTAGTGAAGCAGCTGCTCTTCTCCGCTCCGTCACCTCGAGCCTTGCATATCAGACTCTGCGCTACTGCACCATCCTGACGTATTCGCACCACGACCAACATCATGACCTGCTTCTCTAGGCAACGATCTATAACGCCATCGCTTTTCTGATTCCCAACGCCCTTTTCTAAAAGGTTCATGTCCTCAATATCGACGATACAATCCTGACCTTGGTCTACAGCTGCCCTCTAAAGCGTTTCTAGGCCAGATCCATAACGAGCGCTAGTGGGTGTCCCAGACGTTTCCAGACATCTCAAAACACCCGTTCATCTCATACACTCACGGTTCCGAGATGTCTGCCACCGTCAAGATCGTTGGGAAGCCCGTCGGCCCAATAGGCTACGGTCTGATGGGCTTAACTTGGCGACCGGCTCCACAACCAGCCAGCGACAGCTTCAAAGCCATGGAGACGGCACTCTCGCAGGGAGCCAATTTCTGGAACGGCGGTGAACTCTACGGCACCCCGGAACGGCACTCTTGCCACTTGCTCCATGAGTACTTCAAGCTACACCCGGGGGACGCGGACAAGGTCGTGCTCAGCATCAAAGGTGGGCTGGTCCCAGGCCAGCTGAAGCCCGACGGGTCTGCGCAAAACGTGCGCCGCAGCGTTGAAGACTGCCTGAAGGTTCTCGATGGTACCAAGGGCATCGACATCTTCGAATGTGCTCGTCTCGACCATGACACACCGCTTGAAGAGACGGTCGGCGCTCTGGCGCAGCTTGTCAAAGAGGGCAAAATCGGCGGCATCGGCTTGTCCGAGGTCAAAGCGAGTACGATCGAGAGGGCACACGCCATCCACCCGATTGCGGCCGTGGAGGTGGAAGTCTCGCTCTGGACCACGGACATTCTTCGCAACGGCGTCGCCGCGACCTGTGCCAGACTCGACATCCCCATCGTCGCCTACAGCCCGCTCAGCCGCGGGGCGTTGGCGGGCGAAACCATTCGCAAGCACGCCGACATCCCGGAGGGCGACATCCGCAAGCACATGCCGCGCTTCCAGGACGACGTGCTCGAGTACAACAACCAGATCGTGGACGAGGTCCAAAAGCTCGCCGAGAAAAAGGGCGTGACCAAGGCCCAGATCGCCATCGCCTGGGTCCGAAGCCTGAGCGGCCGCACCATCACCACGGAGAACGGAGAGCAGGTCACGCTGGGCACCATCATCCCCATCCCCGGCGCCACCAAGCCGGAGCGGGTCGTCGAGAACACGAAGGTCGTGGATCTGTCCGACGACGAGATGAAGGAGATTGCGGAAATCTTGAAGAGGAATCCGGTCAAGGGAGAGCGCTACCCTGAGCGTGGCAGGGCTCACCTCAACATGTAAGGGAGGACAGTCGACGGGAATGCCCTTTCTTCTTCCAATTTCAGGGCCCACGATGCTTAAGACCACTACAGAAGGGTTGTCTGGTGAAAGTATACGCGCGAAGAATCGAGCCTCTCCCCTCCGATGAGGTGGTTGTGCTGGTGATAGGTAGGCAGATCCATGCAGTATCTTTTGGGGTTTAGGGGTTGCCTCATTATCAACTGAGCAGAGACCACCGAATCAAACACATTCCAATAAAGAGAGTCGAAAAAGCGATCCTGTTTCAATTTCCTCGCAATGTTCCTCACGTTTTCCCGACGGCTGGGTTGACGACTCATTGCGTCGGAAAGCTTTCAGCAATCTTCCACTGTGAAACACAGCTATGTGACTCTATGTGCTCGGCTGTCCAGTTGCAGACCGTTTGTTCTTGTCATCTAATTCTCATCTGTATGGCCGAGCAGTCCTGCCCCCCAACTGCTGCTGTCGCCATTGAACGGCGTCTATAGATGGCACAGTCCGGCGAGAAGAGGGTTCTCTGGTAGTTACTCTTACTTATTCGTTCCGAGATACTACTGAGACTTACTCTATTGTTATACACAGTGATTTCCCTATCCTCAATTGACGATATCAGCTATTTGATCTGGCAGCTGTCTCGTCGTTATCTTATCTCGAGAGTGCGTTTGATGGTGCCATTTTGTTCTTCCAGAGCCTTGCCGTATCTTTATCGCAAACTATGCCTGTTTCGCAATAGCGCGAATTCTGCCAGGCACGTGCCAGGCTGACAAGGCAGACAATGGCATGGAATTGTGGTGGTCTTCTCGACCTTGAACTGTAAGTACTACTCTTCAATGGTCAGTGAAGTCCTTACGCTCTCGGCTACCTCGTTTTGATAGTCAGATCTCATCCTTTGGCAACAAGGATGATACATGGAGACTAGATGGCTAGTCACCCGGAAGCCTTCGACTTGACGATAGTCCCCTATGGGACAACGGTTCGTCGAGCCCACAAGAAGTCCCGTACGGGCTGCTATACATGCAAAGTCCGCCATGTCAAATGCGGAGAGGAAAGGCCTCGATGTGACAACTGTGTCGCGAAGGGAAAGGACTGTCAATATCCACCAGAGATCAACCGAAGGATCAGGAAGCCAGCGAAGACTCCCGGCGTCAGTCATTCATCGCCAGAGCCAACCATCGAGATGTCCATGACCTCCGCATCTTTCACTCTGCACGATCTACGGCTGTTCCACCACTTCCTCTGCTTCGCATACCCGCCACTGCCGCTGGCTAATAAGCAAGCTTGGACGCTGGACGTGCCTCAACTGAGTCATCATTCGGAGCCTCTGATGAATGCTTTATTGGCTCTGGCAGCTGCACATTTGAACACGTTGACCGCCGGAGATGATGACAAGTGCACTGCGTTATTGCACAAGGGCCGTGCCATATCCGGTCTGAAGAATGCATTCGCCAAATCCCACCACTCGTCAATCGAGTTTGATGTGATGCTGGCAACCTGCTACGCCTTGGCCTTTCAGTCCGCTCTTCTCCCTGGCTCAGCTGACGACTTTGCAATCTTCGTCCGAGGTTGCGCTCTTGTTACGCGACGTATCCGAGATGAGGGAAAGCAGTCGGTCTTCAATATTGCATTCGACTCAAGTCTCCCTCCGGCACAACGCGCATCCTCGTCCAAACTCAACGCCGAAGGTCTGATTCCTGGCTCTTGTTTCCAAGTGTTGCTATCAAAAGGCATGGCATCGCTTCTTGCTGCTCACCAGTGTATCGCACACGCAGGGACCGGGCAACATCTCTTTAGAGCTCTCGAGTCGACGTTTTCCGGGCTTCAAGTGTCTCCGTGTCAAGGATATGACCAGTTTCTCAGCTGCTACGCTGTTTGGTTCAAGCTGGGGGAACCCAAAGACGTGTTCTCGCCGGACGCAGTCAAGGAAGCGGCATTTTTACTCTGGGCCTTCTTCATCGGCCTCCAGCTACTGCTCACGATGTTCGTGGTAGAAGTAACCGGGCCTACAAAGCACAGAGACCTTGAAGCAGGGCTCGATTATTCGGATGGTGCTGCAAAGATGATCAGCATGGCTGAATGGCTTTGCGCCATCGAAGCCATTACGCCTGCCTACCTGCGGCGACACCTGACTTGGCCGGCACTTGTCTCTGGCGAGGTACTCGCTGGACTGAACATGACGACGGTATCGAAGGCTCTAGTCGAATCGAAGACAGAAGTGCTTCGCAACCTGGGTTCACGCTCTCACAATGCATTGGGAACCCTTCTGGAACTGTCTGCGAGTCTAGCCAACTGGACTGAAGACCTCCTGACATCACGAAGTGGCGACGAAGAGAACAGCGGTGAAAAGGAAGGGCGGCGGGGAGCACCGTCGCAGATGGCCTTTGGGATTCTGGGCCCAACAGTGCAGGACAGACCGATCGACAAAAGAAACCCTGGCATGGTAGCTACAAGTACACCATTCAAAACTTCTGCCCCCACCGATATCTAGGGAACCGGTGACCAATGCAAATCAATGGGCTGAGACACAGGCGCAGCTATTCCTGACGAAGGAAGTGGCAATCCAGATACAGTAGCTGGTCAGGAATCGACACTCTCGGGGTCTGGACCTGAACGGCAACCAGCATGAGAGTCTGGGCTCGATCTCCTGATGTTATCCAACACTCTTTCTTCCACGTGCCCTCAAATTCAGCCCTGATCCTTATCACGCGCAAGAGGCAAGAGCTGGTGCAGGATCTACAAGTAGGCCAAGCTACCGAGAAATGAACCCGACACAACCCAGTTCCTCGCTTCGTCGAGGGTGTTCGGGCGGTACCCCGAGTCCAATCGACCAGAGTCCGGGCACCACTCGGGACAAGATTGCCTAGCCTGGGACAAGTCTTGATCATCCAAGAAATTGAATGCAAGGAATGCAGATCAGGAGAGCCATCTTGGTGGCCAGAAGCTCTAGAGGGCAGAAGGCAACTGGCGGCATTTTTGTCGCCCGCACAGCTGGCTCCACCTGGTTGGCAAGACGGGAACTGAGAGGCGAATACTGCTTGGAAAGTTGATCAGTGGGAATGCCGCGCAAGCGTCTTACTTGTGAGCGTCAAGCAAGGCCGAAGTATCCCCCAACATGTGAAGACCAGCATCAAGATGATGGCTTTGGAGCTGGCATCGACGGACAGGCCGTGTGGCGAATCACCATTCCAAATCGCCCAAAGAATCACGGTCTCTGTGGAGTCGTCGTTACGGTGCTCAGTCAACCATTGAGACAACTGGAGCCGGATTGAACTTTGGCGTGATGGGTTTTCTGTACTGTTGTACCGAGATGAGGAGACAATTGGTATGATTGCGGAAGCGACGTGAAATCGAGCACCCGCAGATCCCTGGCTCGAAATTCGCACAGACAGTGGCCCGAAACATAGCCAACAGATATTCGAACCTGGAATCGCAACGGCCAGGTCAACGCCGCAGCTGCAATCGTTAAATTCCCTTCCTCCGGTAGCGTGTCTAGGAAGCGCATCGACGGGTGTTTACCGGCGAAGGTTTCAAAACGACTCTGTGCGATGGACTTTCCACACTACCGTTCAGGGTCAGAATCAACCTCTTGAGACAGATGCTAGGGAGCCAAAAGAAGAGGGGTCACATCATTATCACGCAAGGCTGAGGTGGAAGACACCAATCTTGTTGTGCCAGTGGCTCTTGGATGGTTTGACAGAAACACCAAGTCTGCATCCGAGGATCAGCCAGTGCCAAGTTGTGATCCCGAGGACACTGCAATTGAACAGTACTCATTCAAATTGGAGCCGGGGGTCCTGTAGTCATCATAACAGGGAGGAAGTCTATAGGGAGCAGCTAGCCGAAGGAATGGTCCGTCCATCGTCCGTGTAACGAGAGATCAGCAAACGCAGTGGCCCGAAGTTCAACCTTGCATAGGTGCAAGGAGAAGAAGAGCTTGCAGGAGCTGTGGTTGTTGACATGGCATGGACAAAAGTGGAAAACACGGAAAAGCCACCAGAGCCTCGGTGCTATAATCAACGACAACCACAGCATACACTAGCCGCCACGCGCAAGACCTTGGGCCACGGCACCGTTCGTGTTAGCCCGATGGTTCTCTGGAGACCATTGGTGGTCAGGAGGGTGAGAGTGTTGGTGCTAGGCATGGCATGGCTCTCAAGACTCCACCGCTTAATGTTCGGGAGGACGACGACAAAGCATTCGTTCGCTTCGTCTTGTCCATCCTCTCAATTTCCCGCCAATGACAGCACCGCAGGGTTTGTGCCGAGGGTGATGCAGGTTCGAGGGGGAAACTCCTTTCGACCATGGCGACGCTAGAGCATGAAGGAACAAAGCGTGTGGCTTCTATACTGGCAGCCGTCTCACCTTCGATGCAGCCCTGGCGAATGACCACCACCAGCCAAGGTCGCCAACACCAGGTCAGCAGAGCTCAATGTCCGGTCCAGCTCGACCTTGGCCTCTCGTCCAGGAAAGCAAGAATGGCCTATGACCTGCCCGCTTGAACCTCGGACGCGAGACCATTTGCTCAGACGAGGATATAACAATCTGGCGAATGCGAGGCTCTGAAGGTTCGTCTTCGGCCCGCTGAGCCCATCATCTTCTCTACCTGGACAATGGCTTCCCACGCCGACCGAAGCTCCCCTCTTGCCATCAGGCTATCGGTATGCAGAGGATGGGATTGGAGGCTCCATCTGAAGAGCCACCCGCAGTGTCGATCCAGTGACCTGCAGCCCAGCTCCAGACACCCACCTTCTCCTGGGACCCCCGTACGGATACTCCGCAAGCAGTTCGAGGAAAATCTCCTGCCCCGGATTCGAGGTGGCTAGGAGTCTTGGGCTCGAGTGTTCCATGCTAGCATCTGTGGCGGTCAATCGGGCCTCTTAGATTCCCCCCTCCCTCCGTCGGCTTCATGTCGGGAGGCGTTTCTTCCCACCCAAGGCTAGATACGACCTGATGGTCTGACCATCTCGCATACCCCATGGCCCACGCCAGGCTAGGAACGGTGGTCGATGAAGCTCCGCTGCATATGGCAAGATGTCTTGGAATATAGAGATTAAATAACCCCGTTCATCACCCCTTCCAGCTCTTCTCGCATCCCAACTCTCACTCCGAACAGACAGTTCCCTCCTCTTACCTTCATCCAGGACTATACAGACCACAGGATGGCTAATTCAGAGAAGATCACTGACCCAACGGCGCAGACTGTTGAGCGCCTTGGCTCGACCGACAAGAGCAAAGATGTGAGTATTGCAACTACCATGTCACCCATTGTCCTCCTGTCTCCCTTGGTCACCAAAAGGCTGACTGACACCCACACCCTCTGCCGTAGATCATCGAGGTCAAGGAAGTCAGAGGCAGCGAAGCCTTCCACGAGGCCTTGATCCAGGAAGATGTGCCCATCATGCACCCTCGGACCTTGCAGCTGTTCGCGTGCCTGCTCATCGGCTTCTTCTGCCAGACCATGAACGGCTACGACACCATGTTGTTCGGTGGCCTCCTCAACAACAAGGAATACTTCCTCAAGCACTTCAACGGCGAGAACAAGGGCATCTGGGCAGGGCTCATCACCTCCATGTACCAGATCGGTGGTGTCTCTGCCCTGCCGTTCGTCGGACCCTGCATTGACCAATGGGGCCGCCGTGTGGGCATGTTCATCGGCAGCGTTCTCATCATCGTCGGCACGGTCATCCAGGGCTTGACCTCCGCCAATGCCTCCGAGGGACAGATGATGGGCGGGCGTTTCGTCCTGGGGTTCGGCGTCACCATTGCCGCGGCAGCCGGCCCCATCTGGATCGTGGAAACCGCCCATCCCAAGTATCGTGGCATCATCACCGGTCTCTGCAACACCACCTGGTTGGCCGGCTCGATCTTGTCCTCTGGCGCGACCCGCGGCGGCCTCGACATCCAGGGCAACAGCTCGTGGCTCATCCCCATCTGGCTGCAGATGGTCTTCCCGGGATTCATTGCCATCTTTGCCTTCTGGCTGCCCGAGTCGCCCCGGTGGGTGTATGCCAGTGGCAAGCGCCAGAAGGCCCACGACATCCTCACCAAGTGGCACGGCTATGGCAATCCCGACTCCCCCTGGGTCAAACTCCAGCTCAATGAGTATGAGGAGTATCTCGAGTTGGACGGCTCCGTAAGTCTTCCACTTTCCTTTCCACCAGTCCCGTCGGATTCGTTCTTCCCAAAGGCTGACTGATTGATTTTTTTTCCCCAAAAAGGACAAACGCTTCTGGGATTACCGCGCTCTCTTCAACAAGAAGTCGAGCATCTACCGAACCGCCGTCGCTTGCTGGTTCTCTGCGTTCACGCAATGTAAGTGTCTTGAACTTCTGTCGTATTCTCTCCCTCTTTTCTTTTTTGAAGAAGGTCTGGCCCGCTAACTTATTCTCTGAAACACAGGGTGCGGCAACGGCCCTCTTTCGTACTTCATGTCGGCCGTGCTCGACACCGCGGGCGTCAACACGTCGATCGGCAAGGCCAACGTGCAACTCGGCTACAGCGTGGAGCAATTCTGCTTCGCCGTCATCGGGGCGCACTTTGTGGAGCGCATCGGGCGGCGCAAGATGATGCTGGCCGGCTTCTTCGGCGTCTCGGTCATCTGGGTGTGCATGACGGCGTCGGCGGGCACGCTGGCCAACTCGCTCGTGTCCGGGTCCGTGGACGACGGCGACGCCAAGTTCAGCAACCACGCCGCCGGCAACGCCGTGCTGGCCTTCATCTTCATCTTCGGCGCGTGGTACTCGTTCAACATCACCCCGCTGCAGGCCCTCTACCCGGTCGAGGTCTTCAGCTTCGAGATCCGCGCCAAGGGCATGGCCTTCCAGTCCTTCTTCGTCAACGCCGCCGGGTTGATCAACCAGTTCGCATGGCCCGTGGCCATCAAGGAGATCCAGTGGAAGACGTACATCATCTTCGTGGTCTGGACCTTCGTCCAGGGCGTGCTGGCCTATTTCTTCTTCCCCGAGACGAGGAAGCGGACGGTGAGTTTTTCTTTCCCAACCTTATCCCCGGTCCCCATTCCCTTGGGCGATGGATGATGCAAATGCTAACAAATCATGCGTCGTCGTAGCTCGAGGAGCTGGACAAGATCTTCGAGGCCAAGAACCCCGTCAAGTATTCGACCCAGTCTCGCACCTTGGCCGTCACCGAGGACAACACCGTCGTCGCCGTCGACACCGACAAGGTGTAAAGCGAGAAAGGAGGACAAAGGCCCCTCCCTCCCTCCACCACCGAACACAAGACAGACGAGAGCAGAGCTCCAGGCCATATATCGGTTGGTTTTTTTTTTTGGCTGCTTTACCTTTGTTGATGCTTCTGGGGGAGGCGTGCGCGGTTAGACTACTGGGTCGGGGAGAAGGGGGTGAGTGAGACATGGGGGATGATGTGATGTGATGTGATGTGACGTTGGCGACTCGCGTAGCTTGTCCTCTTTGCATTACATACGTGTATGCTTTTGTCGTTCAACGGGGGTCTGAAGACCTCTCGATGCATCGAGGCAAGGCACTTGAGTGGTCTCGGCGGCTCCTCTATATGCGAGGAATTGGGCCCCAGATAGGCATGAAACAAAAAAGGATGCCTCTTCACCGTTCGTAATCGAGGTACCCACCTACCTATATACATACATCGCAAATCAGAGATTGAAGGCCTTCCTCCTACCTACCTGTTTTGCGTGTGTCATGACTTTTGTCCTTGGCGGATGTCCGGGGGGACGGTATGGTAAAAAACCACCTTCCGGCTCCAAAAAGACGAGGCACGTAGTTGTGTTGATTGGATGGTTACAGAGGTTCGCATCATCGTGGGAGAAAGACCCTGATGGGTAGTTCATGTGTACGTGGACCTATAGTTAGATGGTTCAAGGTGAGAAAAGGTATGGAATCAACGCGTCGCTGGGGGAAGAAAGTCAGTCTGCTTGCTTGCCGGTCGGGGGACTTCTGGCCTCACCGCGGGAGGCCATCATCGCTCCTCTCTCATGACCAGAGTCTTGCAAAGAGGGAAACAAGGGACAGGTATGTTTTTAAGGGGTCACATTGTTATTCCCGGGGTCACAAGGACACCATAAAGTGAAGGATATCTTCCAATAGTACTCGATACATGTGCTCGTTGTGTTTCACTCTTGTTGAAATATGCATTGCAGTTGGCAACGAGCCTGACCCCTTGATATTAGCACCGTCGCAGTGACCGGTACCCTCCTCCTCGACTGCCTTTCTCTTGCCTGCTAGTCAAATACAAGCCAGAAAGACATCCCATAAAACAAGTCGCGGGTATCATAATGCGTTGTTCGATTGCGAAGCTGTGGTAGTATGACTGCCAGCTCTGAACAGTAAAGGTGTCAAAACAAAACGCCGCCCACCCTTTCATGTGCCAGGGTACTTTTTTTGCCCAGTAGCCTTGTCCGTGTGGTGTGCTTGGTCCCAAAATCGGATGCGATAAAAAAGACAACCTTGTTTGTCCTGCCAAGTTGGTAGAATAATGCCCTGTTCAACCCGGACCATTCTTCAGACTGCGCCTCAGCCCTGCCAGCGCAAAAGAAGAATCGCTCATTTCGGTAGAATCCGTCATTTGTCCGTAGTCATGCATATCCTAAACGCCAGCGCTGTGCAAAGGTATCGATAAGACAAGCGGCGCACACCCTCACTCGTGGGAGGACTTCATCAATACTGAAGAGAAATGTGTTAATAGGAGACCGTTGCATGGTAGGATTACAAGGATTGGTGGTAAAAGGAAGTGTCGAAGCTTTCGGCGACCTGCGCAAGGGTGTCCAGATCTGAAAACCCACGGGTCAGAGTGGGTGGGAGAGGTGGCAACAGGCCACTACCTGCCAAGGTGTGATCGTTGGATTTGCCCAAGGGATGCATTTGCCCGATGGAAGTGCTGTTCAACAGAGGATCGTCGCCTAGAGGAGGATAGAGAGAGCTGGGAGACACGCTCTCTGGGATCGTCTGGATAGGCATAAGCACCTGAGGTGGGTCGTGGTAGAAAGCAGACTCATCGACGTTAAGCGGGGTGTCGATGGCTGTGGGTGCAATGGACGTGACCTCGGACAAAGGCGAATGGATCAAACTGGATCGACGGCTGGCTTCCGTATTGATCTTGTCCAGCTTTTTGTGTTGTTTGGCTCTCTGCGCGTCTTTGGTGATAGCGGCCTTGCTTTTACGCGTCGACTCATCGCTTGCGCTGCCCGATGCAGACGCGCCTTTGTGAGTGCGCTCGTGTTGCTTCATGTTGTCCTTTCGCGTAAAGGCTTTGTTGCAGATGGGGCAATGCACACCCTTCTCGCCCGTGTGTTTCTTTCCGTGACGCGCCGCATGGCCGGAGGTGGTGAAAGTTGCTTGACAGTTATGTGACAGCGCATATGGACAGGGATATTTGTTCTTCTTCCCAGGTGCGGTGCCTGAGCTCCCCGAAGGAGAGGTTCTTGCTTGGTCGCTTGCAGAGGCCGAGGTGATGGGAGGTGGGACAGGCGCGGTCGCAACGGTGGATGTTGAGGGGTTGGGGAGATGTTGGAGGCTCGGATGAAGCGGTGCGGGCACGATGGGATATTGAGCAGGGGTGAGGGGATGCATCAGCTTGCTAGAGAATTGATCCGGCATGTTGGGGGTGATCATCAATTGTTGTTCTAGGAATGGGGTGACGGTGGTGGGAGAAGGCAGGTAGCCCACCAAGTCTTGGCGTACGAGCGGGTCATAGTGCAGCAGACTGTTGTCCACATAGTTGTACGGAGTTGCGGGCGACGGAGAGGAGTCCATGCTGAAACTGGAACCCTTGGATGAAGTAGACGAGAGCCGCAACAGAGGGGGCGAGCCGACCGAGGAGATGGACGATGCTCTCGCGTACTTTGGCTGACGCAGGAGAATCGGCCTGTCTTCCCTCTGCGGCGAATACGATGGAGAGGCTGATGACTGGCGGGGCTCTGACTCGGACTCTGGAGAAGACTGCCTAGGTTGTCTCGGGCGGATGACGAAAGATGGGCAATCGTTGTCGTTCAAGATCGAGAAGATACGTGCTCCTCGAGATTGCGTCTGTACATCCATTGTTGGACGCACTCACCACGCGCCCAGCGGACAGGCCGCTGGTCCAAAATGAGCTAGAGAAGACAACTGTCAAGTCAAGTCAGGATATGAGAAGGCTACTAGGGACTGGTAGAAGACTCGGACAGGTACATACGCCTGAGAAAGGCCGGTGAAAATGTCGAACAATCGAGATGAATCAAGGTTCGAGGGAGGGTTGGACTGAAGACGGTGATGTCCTTTGGGACGTCGCACTCTTCACAGAGGGACGATAGAAGTCACGCCTCGTCGCACAGCACAGAGACCGCTTGAAACCGCTTTGCGTTGCGAGAGGAATCGTCGGAATGAGATTGCTCGGCAGCGAAGGGTAGCACGGCGTATGGATAGAGTGCGTTGATCTATAGCAAGATGGGTATTGGAGGACTCGACTAGAGGATCTGCGGCTGGTGGTATAGAGGAAGCTGGAGCTGAGAAAAGATTCCGACAAGAGAAAGGACCCTTGATGGACAGGGACGACAGGGACGACAGGGACAACAGGGACAACCAAGGGTATGTATTCTCTGTATAGCCCTGTTACTTGACGCAGGAGGAAAGAGGGTCGATAAAGTAGGAGCACGGGCAGAAGAAAGGGACTATGAGGACAATTGGGATTCTTGAGCCGGAAGTTGCGCGAGGGTCGCCTCGGTGGGTTTGCAGGCTTCGCGATTGCTGGCATTCGGTGGGGGACGCGATCGAGGATCGAGCAGATGGAAATGTTCAGAATGGCATATGAGCGGGAGACGGACCAGGGTTGAGGCTAGTGAAGTCTGGCAATAATTGGATCTTCTCCACGCGCTGGCTTGGGTGTTCTCGTGGGCACTGTGTCAGCGGCGGCGGGAAGGTGACACCACCACGTCGCCTTAACGAGCAATGAGTGGTCAAGGCGCCCCTAAGCTCTGAACTTAGGCCCCGTTGTGGTAGATTGGGGACGAGTTAGCCTGCAGAGCTGCAATACTATTCCCGGGCTCGAGGGAGCCCTCATGCAGCCTCCATCGGCCGATGGTCTAACACGTACAAGCCACAGGGACCTTGGGATGCGAGATATACCGGGATATCAACAACTTCACGGGAACATTTTCCTCTCGGCTTCGCGGCTCACAGAACTCTGCAGCATGGCACACGAAAAACATGGCTGTGTCAACCACTTCCACCTCTTTCGCCGTATATCTGTTTCTCTTCAGATTGAGTCGCATGGCCGGAATTCGGAACGTGGTAGGTACTAGGAGAAGGTAGTCACTCGCAGACATGCCCTGCGGCCGTGGTGGATGATGGGCCCCTGGCTCGTTGTAATTAGCAATGCCGTCATACCACCAAGACGTCGCAAAAATAAGGCACAGGTGAGGATGAAGCTTGCGCTGGAGCAAAGGGGGATCGGCGCGCTCTGTATCAGGCAGGACCGCTGGCCTGGCGACGGTGAAGGGGTGAAGGGGTGAAGGGGGTTCGCTAGTTCTGTTGAGGCGTCAGGGAAAATCTTCTACCAAGTCCATGATGCTCGGGATGAGGCTCGATCGACCGATACACGAACAGATCACGATCCCCAAAAACCTTGGTGGGGGGTCACGGAGTTTCTAAGTTCGAAAGCCCCCAGATGGAGACATGTTCTGTGATGTGCGTCAGAGGAGCCAACCGCTGCCCCATCCCCAGCCAAGGGAGAGAGTGTCAGACACGGGCGAACCAACCCAACTTGGACCAGTCAGAGCGTTGGAGGAGGCGGCATGCTCGTGGATTTTTAGGGTTTGGCCAGGAATGCCGAAGTGGGTAGCCCATCGCGGGATCAGAGATTTGAATACAAGTAGGGAAGGTAGAGAAATGGAGCGGCAGGCAGTGGACTGATAGACTCTCTCAGGTACCGAGTGTCGAGCATCGTGCTCCTTTCGGTGTAGTTGATGCGGTAGAGGAGAAGCAAGGGGCGTACTCGTAAACTGAGTGACTCCACGATGGGAAACAGCGCTAGAAATCGAGCACGGTAAAATGGCGAGGAACTGCACCCAAGGGACCAGTGAAGAGAAAGACATTACTTGGCATACTACCCAGTCAGGCACCATGGAAGCCCCAGTAACGTAGCAGCCCAGCACTGAGCAGGCGCATGGGCAGCATCTTCCATGGCTTCCACCGCTTCCACCTCAGCTGACAACCCGTGACATCATTGGCGATCGTGGAAAATCCGATCCAGGCCAAAAACCTCGATTGAGGGTCAGGGTCTTGTCGTGCAGCTGCGGGGCAGCAACCAACGGCCAGCTCCACCAACTCTAATTCCCTCGCATTCCCAGTTGAAACAGCTCCGACAAATGCTACTGCAATCAGCAAGTGTCAACTGCTCAGCACCCATGGACGACCAGAACACAGATGCTATCCTCTTGCCCACGATAACCCTCACGCCCTCTGCGTCCCGTCTCTGCATCCGCAAACCTCCGTATCTCCAACTCTCGTTGACCGAGACAAGGTGACCAGAGAACAACATCTCCTGCACCACGCACCTGCTTCGGCATTCTTGCATACCCGATCAGGGCCATGTCTCTGCGGCATACTCGGAACCTTTGTCAAGTGCTGCTCGCTGCTCGCTGCTGAGATTCTTGGACTGGTGCAAGACTCGGCCATCGAAAGGCGGTTCGTACAGCTCGAGCCCAAAAATACTGCAACAGCGTTGGGTCATCCTTGAAGGGGGAGGAAGACGGCTGGTTCAAGACTGAGAGAAGCCCCAAGAAGTCATCTGAGAATATTGGCAATTATAGTTCAATCTAATAGAGGAGGAATTCAGGTCCGGTCTCTGTTCTGCACGTGGCTGGAGCCTTCTATAGGTATGGAATATTGGAGTGATCACCAAGTGCATCAAGGGTCTATCGAGCTTGCAGTTGTTAATCTCCTTCGTGCCATGACCAGAAAATCAGGGCTCTGTTTGCTGCAGGGGTAATTGCTTCTTAGAGACATGATGCTGTAATCCGGCGCAGGGCCCCTGTGTTGGCTGCAACCAGATGTACGAGGAAAACTGGGCTGAAGGCGACCGTGCCAAGCTACAAGGCTTTTTCTCGAAGCTGGATCGAAGCATGCCACCAGTCCGCCTCATCATTCTAGGGATTATGCCCGCTCTGGCAAGGCTGTGCACCTCGACCAAGGCGCAGTCAGAGTTCCCCCCCTACAAAACTCCCAAGGCTGACTGGTAGCCCCTCCCGTTCGATGTATCCTATGGGAAATGGCGGTGAGCCAAGGTGATACCATCTGCGATGGGAACAGAAGGCAGAGGACAGAGGGTATCTCGTAGAGGCACTGGAACCCCAACTTCAGACTCCAAATCCCATTCAAACTGCTGGTCTTGCCTTTTGATCTCTAGTCCTCACGGTTGCTGACGTGGCAGTCGATCAACTGTTCCTTGCCAGTGAGAGCGAACCGACACAATGGGAGACGATTGGTCTCATCCGGGCACTTATGAGCATAGCCTCATTAGCCACAAGCTCTTTCAAAGGGCCCGTTGAACTACCGAGTACTCGTGGTTAGAAACCATTCAGCCACCGCCGCACCAGGAGGGGCATTTCTCACCTCTGCCTCAGTTCCATCTCACCAAACTCCCTCGTCCTTCACAAGACCTTGCTGCCAAGTTGCGATACAAACTCCTGCGCCCAGTTGCCCGACTGCCCAGCGTCGACACAGGCCTCTGCCGCTCTAATTGGGCGCTGTTTGCTGCCTAAAGCATCACCAATTCAACGCCCGGGATTCCTGGTTCAAGCCCGACCATTACGTAGCCACGCTCTCTGCCTTTGCAACGATCACCTGCCCGCTGCTCGCGCGGGCCTTTGGCACCCTGCGAACCTCGCCCACTGCGGGCCCTTTTGTACTACTCCAGTTATACCAGCCACCACTTAAACACCCAGCACCACTCTTCCAATTCCCAACGCTCATCAAGGGAGCCTTGCAAACCGCCAAGCTGCTCAGTATCTCAGTATCTTACCTTCTCCTCCAACTTGCTTCAAAAGCAGCCTGTGCCCAACTTCGCCATCGCATTTTTTCCCACATCCCACCTTGACCGCTACCAACACAGCCAAGTTGGGACCTGCCGCGATCGCGTTCGCCACGACCCGTCCCCTTCCGTAGTTCCAGTCTTTCGTCTGGGCTACATATCACTTTGTCAATTCAGTTTCTCTTGTCCTCGCTCCTCCCGTTACCCCACCCGCAGCGACAATGTCCTATTACGACGACGACCGGCCTCGTCGACAGAAGAGCACCCGAGAGCGATCTCGAAGAGATGACTATGAGGACACAGTCTACGACACAAGCACAAGAGACACGCGCATAGTCAAACGCCGCGACGACAGTGTTGATTCTGTTGAAGAAGTGTCCCGTGATTTTGCCCCTGGAGACCGCGGCACCGTCTATCGTGAAACCACTGTGCGCAAGAGTGGCCATCGGCCCATTCGTGCAAGGTCCACTGACGATCGCTATTACGATGATCGTTATGATGACCGCTCATATGTTTCACGAAGAAAGTACGAGGATGACTATGTGGTCGTCGACAATCCCAAACGCCGAAGCCGTGACTATGATGACAGACGTGAGCATTCGGCCCCTCGCTGCTACATTGTCGCCGCAGGCACTGACCCATTGCAGGCCGCTCTCGACGCTACTCCTCAGACTATGAGTCCCGCAGTCGCAGCCGTTCACCTCCAAAGAAAGAACGCAGGAAGTCCACCACTGAAGAGCTGTTGGGTTCCATCGGTCTGGGAGGTGTAGCCGGTGCGCTGCTCGGAAAGAGTAAGAGTCGTGATAGGTCGAGATCCAGTTCGCGCGATGGCCGTCATCGAAGCCGGAGCCGAGCTGGTCGCCGTTCGTCGTCTGACCGATCCCGTCACCGAAGCAAGAGCCGTGGCAAAGTGCGAAATGAACAAATCTCCCAAGCTATCAAGGCCGCCGTTTTGGCTGGAGCTGGTGAGGCGTTCCGTGCTCGGAAAGTCGAAGGCGGCTGGGGCGGCGAAAAAGGCAAACGAATCATCACCGCGGCCTTGGCGGCTGGAGGTGTCGATGGCTTGATTTCGAACAAGGACGATCCTCATCACCACTCGAAGCGTGACATTCTGGGCTCTGCTCTGGCTGGCATGGCCACCAACCGCATCATCAACGGACCTCGGTCGAAATCCCGCGGCAGAAATGGGAGCCCGGACAGTCGACGAGGCCGGAGTCAGTCTCGAGGCGGATTGGGAGATCTTGCCGCCGGCGGCGTGGTCGCAGCCACCGCGAAGAAAGTCTATGATTCAGTTCGCTCTCGATCCCGTGGTCGAGCTCGTTCGCGAAGCACCTCGTCGTACGACAGCCGCGGCAGTCGAAGCCCTCGGCGCAAGCGGAGTCGAAGCGTGTCTGCCTTTGCGGCCAAGGGTCTTGCAGCCTTGGGGTTGAAAGACGCGGCCGACAAGGTCGACCCTGACCGCGAGCGTGATCGCCGCCGAAATTATGACGACTACTATGATGATGGTCGATCAAGTCGAAATGGAGGATATGGGTACAGTGATTCCCGAGATGTAGGTACCATTCAACCCCACTTTGGTTATCCTAATGGCGGTCCCCGTTCCATGAGCGTACCCAGGGGGCCGCCTCCTGGCTATGAGCTCGACTACGGCCCACGTCATACTGGTGACCCAGACACAGATTCCGATTCTGACCTCGGCTCCAGTTCCGAAGATGAGAAAGAGATAAAGAAAGGTCGCAAGAAAATGTTGATCACCGGAGGTCTTGCGACGGTGGCGACCATCCATGCTGCGCATAGTGTCTACCAAAGCATGGAGAAGCGACAGGCGAGAAGGAAGGCATTAAAGGAGGGTGATATCACTGAAGAACAGGCGAGGAGAGCAAAGAACAAGAACAGGTTGCAGGATGCCGCGAGTATTGGAATAGCTGCTCTTGGTCTTAAGGGGGCCTACAGCGAGTGGCAGGAGATGCATGAGGCACAGAAGGAGGCCAAGGAGGAGAAGGAGAAACGTGAGCGACACAAAGAGAAGCGAGAGGCAAGGAGAAGAAAGATGAGCATGATTGCGGCGCACAATTATGCCGAAAGTGGTTTCACAGGGAGCATGCCGAACTTGGCAACGTACAATCATCAGCAGTATCCGGCATTCCCTCCTCCGCCTGGGGCATCATTCGGTCCTGGAACAGCTGTCCACTACGCAGACGACAATCCTTACGGAGCGGTCAGCAACCCACCGGCCTACGTCCCAACCCCTCCACCCTCTCATATGGGTGTTCCTCGAGCAGAGACCGGCTGACGACATGGCGGAAGTTGTGGTCTGCGCGCCGACAAAAGGGGCACACGAATCCGTTCCTTGCTACGAGCGTCGATCATTACAGAGGATAAGATGAGTCTTTCGGTCATGGGTGCGGACAAGGCAGTCCGTACGACATTCTTACATTTCGATCATTTGGCATGCGTTCTCCTGAGATGATTGCATATGCTCAAACCTGTCGGTTTGGCTACGATTATATGACCTCGACATGACAAGACAATGATTACAATACTATTTCATGAGAAGAGAATAAAATGATGCCCTCATCGTCCCAGTCGATTTGGTCTTAAGTGAAGCTTCATGTTTCCACGTTTACGTAGTCCAAGTCGAAATCTTGGTGCGCGTGTCTCTTTGACACACCGTGAAGCCGTCAGGACAGAGCTCATACCAGGATTGGAAAATACAAAGCTAGTCTTCGAATCTCCGCCTGAGTCGATCCGTCGTCTCTTCGAATCATTTCTGAATGTCCGGCTGTCCTACCTCACTGTCCCAGCCAGAGTCCAATGATACCCATTCCTTGGCTGAGAAGTCCCCTGCGCTTCGCGATGATACCGCACAACACCTGCAGGACCATGAAGCTGAGACTGACTGTTGTGTGATCGACAACTTCCCACCGCCCTGAGTGGTGAAACGAGATACAAGTTCTCCGATCCCAAGGGTCTATGCAGTCACGGTTTCCCAGGCTCCCTGGCCCCCCCGGAAAAGGAAGAGCAGCTCCTGGACCTCACCGGCGCTTCATTCAGAACCGCGGATGCCACGCAGACTGTCTCCCCCAGAGGACGAAGGTCTCCAGCCCCGTTGTTCCTCAATCATCCGCTCTCCCGTCTTCCAACAGCAACTCGGGTCTGAAGCCAAGGCGCCCTCTCGCGGGGACTGGCTCTGTTCCTCTCCTCGCGCCTGCCATTGCGTCTCCCCTCCCCAGGCCACCTGACATGTAAGGTCCCCCGTAATCACCACCGAACGGCGGTGCCATGCGATTCCCGCGAGGGGGATGGGGATGGGGATTGGGATAGTACGGGTCTCGAAAGGCCTCCCACGGACCGCCGAATGATGGCGGCATGGGGCGAGGGCGAGGGCGAGGGCGGTACGCGAAACCGCGGGGAGGGAACGCATCGAACCACCCTTCTTCCACGATCACCGCACCTCTCCCGAACCGCTGCGCGCCGAAGACGGGGTCGGGGTATATGTCGCCAGGCCGCGCTCGGGATGCTAGGACAAAGAAGCCATCAGCGTGCCTCCCAGCGCTGCTCGCGGACAGGAACGGAGGTGCAGCGTCGCGACGCCGGCCCGGACTCCCCCCATACCACTGCCGTGGAGGTCGCGAGTAGCTGTGGTCTCGGTCGAACCTGCCGCCGTGCCCGTCGTGAACGAGTCGAACCTGCCGCCGGTCGTGCAGCCGCCCGCCTGGACTCCGCCGGCGGCGATGCCGGTCGACCAGGACAGGCCGACCGTCACGGCGCCAACGCTCAAGGTCCGCGGACGTGATGGCCGGCGTGGAATGGCTGCTGCCCATGCCGATTTCTGTTTTCTCTCTGTGTGTCGAAAGCCTTTGGCCGATGAGTCCTTGAAAGTTCTTGCCGATACCGTATCGAAGGGATAAAATCTGAACCAGGGAACTTTTGATCGCGGACCTGGGGCAGATTCACACGGGTCGATAAATCATGCCTCGAGGGAGAGACTAAAAGAGTGTGGCAAGTATTTCTTCGATGTCGAAGTACGGCTAGACAGGGTCCACCGTTGGTTGAGTGAGAGAATGCGCAGTCTCACTGTCCTTGTGGTCACCGTGGAAGTGACAGATTGGTGCTCCAGTCACTCTTCAACCTGTGACGGCGGAGCAGGCGACTTGCGAAGAAGCGAAACAGATTGCTCGAACGATAAGTGAAACTGATGTGTTCGAGTCGACGTCCATCGCGGGTACGTCTGCACTTAGGAGTAGGAGAAGGCTGTCCACTGTGTATTTGGGGACTGGAGTGAGACGGAATACACAGGGCCACTTCAACACTCTCTCGCCCAGGGAACACCTCTCCTCACAAATGACGTTGCTGTCGAGTGTTGGACATGAACGTACCCTCGAGCGCTTGTAGCGTCCGGCCGTCGCCGCGGACGGAACACAGGCTCTCTGTCCTGTCGATGGTGAAGATGCGGATCATCAATCAGCGTTACCCGCACCCCGAGCCAGTATGGGTCGAGCGGGTCAACGTATATCTTCTCTCTGCTGCGTCTGTGTCTCACAGGGGAGACGTGGCGCTCTTCATATCTATGTTGTCGGTCGAATCGTCTGCGGCGTGGTCTTTCCCGCGAATCCTCGGTGGGCTTGCTGGGCACGCCTGCGTAGAAGCGAGGGTCCCAGTTCGGAGGGAGGGGAACGTGAGGCACTGTCGATCCCAACGAGGCTGGTAAATCCCGATCGTTGACATCTGGCTCCTCATCCCGGAGTGGTGAGCTCTCATCTCGCCGTCGCCGGAATCCGCTTTGCTGACGCCGGCACACCGGCTTGGGAGATGGAGAAACAGAACTTGTTCTCGGCAACTGATATTCATAGACTGTTGGGGGCATTTGCGTTGCCTCTGACGTGTTCGGCTTCGAGGACGAGGATGAGAACGTTGTCGAGCGCTGATAACGGCCTGATGGATGAGATTCACTCCAGGAACGAGACTCTCCCCGAGAGCGACGATGCCCTCGCTGCTGCTGGCTTGTCCGCCGTCGGGACCGTCTCTCGGGGACTCTCGCCTCGTGTTTCGGTTTGGACGGAGAGTTGCCCATCTTCTTATGCCAGCTACCTTGGAGACCAGCGCCCTGTTCATGAGGAGGCAGGTTGGGGAGTGCTTGCTGCCTTCGCCGGAAGCCTGGCCCTTGTGAAACGGGGACAAGCATTGCGTCGTCGAGGAGCAGCGGGTGTGACCCTCGAAGTGACACAGCTGGAGGCCGATTGATGAATGAAGCACGAACACACTCTGTTTGCTTTGGAGTCTGTCGGTCACACCTGGATACAAGAGTCACCCGGCGGTTCTCTCCAGGTTACAGAAAAGTTCGAGGTCCGCAGCCCGGGTTTCGCTCGACGCACTTACCGTACAATCACCCAGCGTTCGGCTTTGAAGTCTCCTTCGGCCACAAACGAAGACGAAGAAATGAATAAGAGCAGTCTATCGTTTCCCCGTCCATTTCGTCCGCTCGGCAACATCTTTGGTTTCCCTATCTCAGCTGTAGGGCGAGACTTGGGTCGTTTCTTTCTCTGCTCGAATCACGTTCCAAAAATACACCGCCACCGGCGGCTTGTCGCTTGGAGATCTCTCTGGAATGTAGTGCAGATATGTCACAAGGGGCCACACGCGGACTCCAGAAAGGACGGCGACAAACAAACAAGGCTGACTGGCACAGCAGTGACCGTGAGCTATTGCTCCCTTGATTGAGCGGACACAGAGCCAATCCACGATGTTTTGTGTCACCTCCCAACAGGTCCGCGAAACCCTTCAACATGCGTCATGGACGTCTCACTGGCGACACTTACAAGTCATGACAAGAGAAGTTCAGGGGCAATAGGGAGAAAAGGGCCTGGGAAGGAAAGGTCAAAACCCCTCATGAGATCGAGGGGGATGGCGGCGGATCCAGCCATTCTTCTGCCGACGACACCACACGATCTGATGGACTTCCTGAGCATCTGGATGGAGATTGGGCAGGTGAGTGTGCGCAATGTGAACCATTGGGAAAGTCTCCATAGCCATGTACCAATTGCATCTCTTCAATACATGGTCCGAACAGCGCGCTTCCACGAATCTGGGCCCTGCCCGCCCTCCGCGTGTTGATAGATTGAGATGTTCCCAGGGCCAACTTCGAGACAGTGAACGGTTTGACAATGCGTGTTGCAAGGTCCGAGCTGAAACAAGGGAAAGGAGGCTATGCAGGTGTACGTGAGTAGCCAGGCGAGCAAGCGTGGTGGCCTTAGATGCGTCTGTTCGAATTCACTGATCTCACATGTTAGCATTGGCGACGGTTGGATAAGGGAAGCTCGGCGTTTCGCCCTGACATCGAGATCAACGGTTCAAGAGGTGGATTCATTCACGCAGCTTTTCATTGTTTGGGTGACCAATGCTCGCTGGGGATCTTGCTAACTGCGCTCGCGCAAGGCTCTAAACTTTCTTCGAAGCTCCGTGTCCGTGATCTCTCCATTGTACACACTCGCGCCCTGGGGAGCCGCCGGAGCCGCCGGCGGTGGCCTCATTTCGTCTTCCGTCTGGAGTCTCAGCGCGTCGTGTCCGAACAGCCAGTCCTTCCTCCTGGAGTTGGCCCAGAACATGGGATTCTCGAGGTTGTCGTGTTGCATCAGTTCGTCCCGCCGGTCCTTGTCGGGCCCGTCGTAGAGGTGCCACCAGGACTGCAGGATCCGCGTGTTCTTGGCCACGTGCGTGGCCCGCGGCAGTCTTTGCCTCTCGTACGCCTTGAGCGCCGCGTGGAGGTCGTCGTACTCGCGCAGGGCAGCTTGCAAGGTGGCGGCGTCTTCCGTCGCCTGCGCGGCGCCCTGCGCCATATAAGGCATCATGGGATGGCAGGCGTCGCCGAGGATGGCGACCTTCCCGCTCGGGTGCACCCAGCGTTGCAGGTGGTCAAAGTCGGCCAGCTTCCACTTGAGATACGAGCCCGTGAGGCCGCAGAGCTTGCGGACGGGGGCGCACCAGTCAGCGAAGCGCTTCACCAGCTCGGTGTTGTCGGCCTGGGACCGCCACTCTTCGTCGCCGATGGGCTTGCCCACGTCCGTCGCGTGCGTGATGTCGATGATGATGTTGTACAGCTCCCCGTCCCGCAACGGGTAGCCAACCGCGTGTGCTTCGGGGCCGAGCCAGTGCATCGCCCACGCGTCGTCGAACAGGTGGCGCGTTTCCGGGTCGTTTTTCAGCGGCTCGGCGGGCACCAGCACTCGGTACGCGACGTCGCCGGTGTCTTGGGGCTCGATGGGCGCACCGTTGATGGTGTTCCTGACCGCGGACTTGATGCCGTCGGCACAGATCACCAGGTCCGCTGTGAGTCTCTCGCCCGATGCCAGGATCACTGCGGGGGCGTCAAAGTCGTACTCCTTGACTCGGCTGTTCATTCTCAGGGTGATGTTCTCCCGCTGAGACGCCGTGTCGACGAGTAGATTGATCAGGTCGGCCCGGTGGATGAAATAGTACGGCGCGCCGTACTTGGCCTCGACGTCGTCGTAGGGAACATCCTTGATCACCCTGCCGGTCCAGTCCAGGAAGCGAATCCCACCGGCCTGTTGCTTCTTGATCTTGCCAAAATCAACGCCCCAGCTCCGGCTCAGGCGTGACGAGTTTGGGGGCACGCGGATCCCGGCACCAACCTAGTTCCATCACATATGAGTCTGTCGAAAGAGCAAAAGATCCAAGGGCTTCTCAGCTTCATACCTCGAGAAATTCCTTGACCCCTTCTAGCACAGTGACCTTGTGGCCGTCCATGGCGAGAGCCAGCGCCGAAGAAAGGCCGCCTATGCCGGCTCCAACAACTATAACCCGTAGATCTTTCATGGTTCGTATTTCTCGGTCTGTCCCCGCGAAGACTCGATCAGGGCTGGTTTCTGTAGGGAATGGTTCTCGATGTTCAAACGGACTCTGGGTCGTGACAAATCTCCCTTCTTATGCTTCTAGAGCTGAAGTATTTGAGAAAGGCTGGTGGCGTTCGTTGGCTGATCGTCCATCTTTGACGAGAAGGAGAATTGCCAGGTCCTTACCCGGGATGACATAGCCGCGGGCAAACTCCTATGCCAATCGTGCCATGTTGTTGTATCCCCGCTCGGTGCTCGTACAGGGCCGAAAGGTATAAGCTGACCATCAGTTGGAGATGGATCGAGGCTGAGACTCCTTTTCGGTTGCATTTTAGCACAGAACTAACCAGATGTCCTGAAGCCTAGAACGCGCCAAGGGGAGCGACGGGGGCGTGGAACTCAAACCTGCGACTTGGGAAAAAGCTGTATGTCCTGTCTGCTGCGAAGGAAGCCTGGCAATGCAAGCCGCTACCCGCCTCTCTCTGGGTTCGATATTTGGAGATTTGCAGACTCGCCGACATACTTCCGAGCGAGGGGGCATTTAGTCCCTTTCGACAAACCCTACCACAACGTCCCCAGGAAACGATGTGCGGGCCCCCGTCTGACCGACCTGGCTTGTCACAGCCGACTCACTTCGTACAGGTTTCTCGATCCTCGCGGTCCACATATTTGGGGTAGCTCGAACAAAACCCTCTCAATGCTGCCAATTCACCATCCAATCGGCTCGTTGAGATGATGCCGCGAGTTCTATCTGTTAGCTTCGGTCGTCAGCTCTGGTGTTCCGAGAGACTCGTGTCCTTCAGACGACCGCGCGGAATAAAGAGCGTCGGCTTCAGCAAGCCCATCGCGAAGCTCCTGCTAGTGGAATAGACTTGAGTCCGAGGTTGTCGTCCACGAACCAAAGAGGAACAGAAAGAATGTCTACGATTCTCGCGAGATAAGGCCGAGACCGTTTCGCTCCGGTGGGGAGGAAGTCTGCACGATGATAATGCCAGGTACGACTGAGGTAGTGTCAATCGGCCACCTGTGGTGTACTACCCCAAGTTCCATGGTAGCGTTTGGACCGCCAACTCGTGGATCAGTTGCGTTCTACCCTGGCACCAGAGGAGAGGGGGCTTTGGAAGTTAAGTCGTGGCATGTCTCTTTGTAGAAGTTGCTGGAAAGTTGCAACTCAGAGATGAGGTATGTGTCATAGAGAAAAGGAAGGCAGAAAACGGGGTTAGACCTCGACGTAGTCCGATAGCCCTAAGAAAGAAGTGAACGCTGTGCCTTTGATAGACCTGGTTTCCTTGCTCGTTTGACGTTGTCAGCCTTATTCTTAGGAAGAGAATAACGCAGCTGGATGAACTGACACCTGATTCATAGGCTAGAACCTCACTCGATCCCTCTTTACCTGACCTGACCTGGCCTGTTCAATGAATGCTAGAGCAGGCTGCTCTAATCTTCTGGCTGTCTCCTTTGGCCTTCCTGTTCCTATACAATCTTCAATGTAATGACCGAGAAGGCAAAGATGCTTCTGCGGATAAGATCCACGCTCCTATGAGTTTTGCTTTTCGAAAAATCCTCCTAGCCCGGTGCGCTGGCACTTGAGACAAGTCCGCGATCTGCTGCGGCGTGAAGCCTATCGTAATAACTTGAGAGCCTGGACTCGTTGTGTGAATGAGTATCGAAAATTGTTGACGAAGCTTTCAGCTTAATCACCTTCTGGTACTGAAGCCTCGATTCTCACCTGAGCCAGCAACTCGAGCTCTGTTGCAGTGACCGAAACAAGTGGCTCCCACGTTCTATGGGGTGGGAAGTTCTGTCTAGATGCTTAAAAGCGCGGCGAGGACTCCTTGTGTGCAATCTCACCTTGTCACCGATGACGAGACCCTTGTAATGGAAGTCAGCCACGGAGTTTCGACTAGGATGCGTAAACTTTCGCTAATCGGCAGCCAGTTGTGAACTGCGTCTAGTTCTCATCCAAGCGTTTTCGGCATAGTTATGCTGTCTTCCGTGTCAGAACGATATATACGGATCTTGCATGTAAGAGCTACGAGCAATATCCTCCAGACAAGCACCTACCCAACCCAACCTCAGAGATCTCACCCCAGTACTTATAGACTCGGTCCTAGTCCCTGAACTCATAGTGAATGGTCCGTGTTGCGGAGTTCTATCAACTTGGTATAGTTGCCGAGCATGGCTCATCTCCATGGGACTAGAAAGTGAACTCTCTAACGACCACTTTGGACTGGTCTTCATATTCAACCGTGTTGGTATCTGCTCATCTGAAGGTAAGCACTGTTTCATATCTTACGAAGCCGGACAAGTGATTGCGACATCGCTGTTCAACATCCACCACTCTCAGCACTGGAGGTTGGGGGCAAGGAAGGCTTGGACAAGTGACGACCAGTAATACCTTCCTGCATATTGGACTAATGGTGGCGCAGTTTCGGCTCTCGAGATCGCTGAACCGCGCACACTGGACCTGACCTGTACCGTCTTTGCTGACAGAGTGCTGCAGACTCCTCAACAGTTGATTTATCATGTTCATCAACGACTCAATGCATTCTCCACCTGAGGAAGAAAGCGCTATTGGTCAACAAATGAGACCCTCTTTCGAACAGGGACTAATTCCTGCCTTTATAAGTCGGCGCCCTGAGAACTGCCAGGGTCTTCATCAGCAAAATGAAGAGGGTCTCAATGCTTTGTCGCCTGACATCCTCATCCGCGGGGTTGTTCAGAGCGCCGTCCGCTCTTCGGAAGGTTGCCGCGACTGGAGAATCGCAGAAGGAGAATCGAGCGCGCGAGCGAAGTGACGTAGACGCGAAAACGCATCGGAATAGCGAGCCTACAAGCATTGGAACGCGGTGATCGACGCGGCCTCTGACCTTGACCGACTCAGTGTCATGCAATTTGTACCAGTATCACTGATACCACTCACTGGAGAAGATGGAGACGTGCCGTACGAGTTCGGTTAATCAATCACGCTATTATCGTTGTCTCTTTTGAGGGTTCCTGCTGCAGGAGGATCTAAAACATGGGGCCAGAGCTATACGAACATGTGGAATGGTTGTCTATTGCCAGCCGGGCTACGAGATGACCAAACACTGGGTGTATCCGAGATGCAATTCAAATCATGAATACGAGCCAAAGAGACGGCGAAAATGGAGCAAACAGCGAGGACAAGATTGCGCTGTTCCTCCTATAGCTTCAACATTCACTAATAGGCTATTCAGCGTCCGGGACCGTTAGACATCGTGATTGCCAGAATACGAGGGCCTGGCCATCTGACTAAATATCTAGACGAGTCATTATCGCTGTTTATGGCCTCTTTTCGCCTGGCCACCATGATGTTCCGTGTATTCCAATTTTTGGAGTCTGATGTGCTCGTAGCCGCGGACATCCAGATCGCTCAAGGCTCGCGCCCAGGTTGAGCTTGCAGAGCCCGCTGACCGCGTCCTGTTGGGAGATCCAGGTTGATAGTCCCCCGGTAATCACCCACCCACGCGCATGCAGAGACTGGGTACGGGACTCTCGGCAATACCGACGGCATCCTTGCACGGGAGGGTCAGCCTTGCGTCCAGAACTGGGAGTCGAAGTATTACGTACGGCTACAGCGCAGCCATACTATCTGCTTAGTAACTCAGCTACGCCGGAAGGCGCCGCTGCTAAATCCCCTGTAGTGGCCGCTAGTGCCGCTAGTACCGCTAGTGTTCTCTGGCCGGTTCGTTGGGATTTAGTGCTGGCCAAGATATTAGCCTTACTACGTAATTGTGCGGATTCCCGCAAAGATACATCCTCTGATGTCTCCCACCCCTTCCAATACCCATGGAATGAAAACCCGCAAAGCGGCGGAGGAACCCTGAAAGGGCCAAGGCCGATGGATCCCTGTCCGCTCAAATACCTTTTCATCTTCCGTGCTATGACCAAGTTAGCACTCCTGCCTCATTTGGAATCCATACGAAGGGTGCCGATTCTCACGCATGGCTGATGATTAAGGTAGAACGTTGATCCTTGACCGCATTGCTGGTTGTCTTCTGCAAATTGTCACACCTTTGAATCTCCTCCATCCACGATGGCCTCGTTTTCGAACACCGGGCTCAGAGTGAGCCTTTTTTCCCGAGTTCTTTTCCCGATTTTCTGCAGCCGTTCTGGCTAGGCTGAGAAGGAGGGAAGGGCCCGCCCGCCAACCTATCACCCAGAGCCTCAACAAGTGCTTGCGTGGCCTGAATTTACTCGAAAGGTAGAGTGATCCAAAGCTAGCAGCTCCTCTGGCTCTCATCTCTCTTTTTGCCACCATTGATCCAGCTACGGCGAAACAAGCTCTGGCAGGGTAGTACTCGCCGGTCCAAGGCCTTTGGCAAAACTGGCACTGTCGATACTGAATTTTATGCAGATGATTCTGGTCGAGCCACAGCAAAAATCGCCAGTCTTCTCGAATGCCAAGCAGGAGTTACCCTAAGAGCTTATTTCAACGCAATATTAGACATACTCACCTGCGAGTGGGATGGCAAAGTGACTAATTCCCATGGAGTGGAGACAGAGTCTCGAATGCGAAAATGCTTCCATGCAGGCCACAAACAACCCTGGCTCTGCCCTTTTGCGTTGGCCAGGAACACCTCGATGAAAGGGTATATAGTCCTGCCGATGAATCGGTATCAAGCACGCCCGGTCTAACCAGGGGGCTACGATCCTTCAACCAAAGAAAACGCAAAATTTAACCCAGATACACCTGCAGGGTCAGCCGATCGTTACCATAACGTTGTACCGCGGTATCTCCACTCGGAAAACAGGATCTTGATTGACGTTGTTCGACACGTCTGCTTTTAGGGGGGCCGTTGCGAAGGGAGCCAGCACCCGGTGCCAGTGAACCGGCTCGAGAGATCTAAAATACCTTGTGCTGAGGACGCTACCTCCTCTCTCGAAGATGCAACAACACCAAAATCCCAGACAGCTAGTAGCGGCTTCAATGAATCAGTCCCGTCGCTCTGACAACCAACTTTCTCAACACTATATACTTTCACCACGCCAAGTGATGGAAGGATTCTCTCATCTCTCGGTTGGAGATGGGAATCCGCACCCCACGCTAATCGACCGGCATGCATCTCAATCGTCGATTTCGAGTATGCCTTCGATGAATTCTGAGTACCTCTCAGACACCAACTGGCAACCGTCCGGCAGCCTACACATGCCCTCCCTTCAGGACGCGGCCTGGTGGTTAGAACCTTTTGGAGATGTCCACGATCCTCCACCCGACGCAGACCTGTCCGTTGTGTCCGGAGAGTTGTCGCACCTAGCATCTCCGCTGGACGCTCTGGATGGCAGCGGGCCTCACAAGGGACAAGTCGACACGAGGCTCGACCGCAAGAAAGAACGGAGGAGAGAACAGAACCGACAAGCGTGAGTTTGACCAAAGGTCACACTGTTAAGCCAGATCACGGGATGCTAACCGGGCCAAAACAGACAACGACGCCATCGCGAACGAAGGCAATTGAATTTCTGCCTCACACAGGGCAAGGTCATCGAACTGCAGGCGGCCCTCGCCTCAGCCCTCGAACAGCAGAAACTCGTCAAGCAGGAAAACAGTCACCTGCGAGGCCGACTGGCGTCTCTTGAAGCAGAAGTCGACTGCCTACGGAGCAGTATGTCGCCGGCGACGTTCGAGGACAAAGGTCAGGAGACGCCGTCGGAGTTCGAACTGGGCACATGACAAACCAGAAACCGGCTCAACTTTTGTATATTGTGTTTCTTACCTGGTATTGCTATGTTATGATGATAATGACTCAAAGGGGAGGGAAATCGGGGGTTCTATGGGACTACCGGGATGACACGCCAGTAAACAGGCCGGTCACCTCAGAAAAGTATCGGGGTTGGAGGGTTTCGTTTTTCGTTTTTGGTCAATCTTAGAATCCAAGAGGAGAACACGCATCGTCGTGCCAGACACGAGGGTTTCGGGGGAGGAGGATTCCAGTATGACCACTACCCGCGGAGGGTGGATTGTATTACAAGCACAAGTACCGGGCCACGCACATAACAACAAGCCACAAGGGGGCCTTTTCAACCGGGCCACCGGGAAATCACGCATCATGCCACGCTCGAGGAGGACGTTTGGACGTCCTTGGTACAAGGAATCGCAGGACGGTCAACCGCGCTGCTCCGTCCCGTTGTCAGACACTCCAGATACAAGTAGTCCAGTCAGACGGAACGGGGGTGTCCGCGCCCATGCCCCCATACCCGTGGCCCATCGACTTCCGGAATAGGATAACGTCCAAGATGATACAAAAGGGTCATCCGGCAAGAGAGAATCGGAACGGAGTCATGATCAAGGATGGTGATGATGATGTTGATGTTGATGCTGATGATGGGGATATGCTGATAGTTTAGCTGCCTACCTACCTACCTACCTACCCACATACCTACTTAGTCGGGTTAGCCACCCAGGACGAGTGGGAGGGGAGGGGTTTCTACCATTTAGATATCGATGAAAGTACCTTGGCGTTGGTTCAGTTCACCAGAGACTTAGATATGGGATGGATTCCCTGATTCAGCGACCGGGGGGGACGAGGGTACTGAGGGGGAGGGTAGTAAAGTAGAATGAATAGAAGAATCTTGGTTGGTTCGAACAATCCTCCTTCTGTTGATCACTTTTCGTCGGTCCCAGTTTTAGACCAAGGAACAGGCCCTATCGTTCGGCCGGGGTCGCGGACGGCGCATCTACCTACATACTACATACTTGGAAACTCCCCGTCGTCTGCTTTCGGCCACCACGACTACTACTTCTTCTTCTTCTTGATCAAGACGCCCGTGACGTGCATCGCGGGGGTGTACTCGTCGTCCGCGGTCAGGTTGACCTCGGCCCAGCCGCCGTCGCGGGCGTTTGCGACCTGCAGGAGGGTGTCGACGGTGGTCCTGGTCAGGCAGCAGCCGCCCATCAACTGCTTCCAGCCCAGGAACATGTACAGGCGCTGGGCGAGGCGGGCGGGCCAGTGGCGGGTGTTGAGGACGTGCTCGCAGACGACGAAGCGGCCGCCGGGCTTGAGCAGGGCGTACAGGTCCGCGACGGTGGCGGCCTGGTCGGGCACGCCGCACAGGACGCGCACGCAGACGACCTCGTCGAAGAGCTGCAGGTCCGCCGCGGCGGTGCGGTCGCGCTGCACCAGCCCGGCCTGGAGCAGCTGCGGGAGGATGGCGTCCAGGTCCGCCGTGGCCGCCAGGACGTGGTACTTGCCCGCGAGCCCGGCCTGCGCGGCCTTGGCCCGCAGCTGCGCGTGCATGCTGACGCCCGGCTCGACGCCGTAGATGGCCGTGATGCCCTCCGGGTGCGTGAAGCGCTTGACCTGCTCGCCCGAGCCGGGCCCGACGTCGAGCACCAGCCCGCGGCACTGCGCCACCAGGCCCGGGAGGGCCGCGGGGATCTGGTCAGCGTACATGGGCCCGTACTTGAGCCAGAGCCGCGCGAACGCCTTTTCCTTGAAGGCGTGCAGGTCGCGGAGCGGGAGCAGGGGGTTGCTCAGGAGGGTGGCGGCGAAATCTGGAGCGACAGCGCCAAAGAGAGAGAGATGTGAGCAATCATTGCAAGGCTTTTATCTTGGGACGAAATCCTCCAATCTCATTGCGCCTGTGGTTCCTGGCCCCTGTCCAGTCCAGCTCGCTTGTATCCAGAGCCGACCCCCTTAGAGCGACAGGACAATTCTTTTCCAGGTCCCAATTGCATGGTGCAAGACATTGTGCCCAAGGGGGGGGGCGAAAGAGGATAAACTTACAGGAAATGCTCACGCCCATAAAGAGCGGCGGGAAAACCATGTCCTGCACATACTGGAAGATCCACGGTGCCATCTTTCTTTCGTCCTCGGTTATCTCGTTGGTCCTTCTCCAGATAAACCCGCACAGCGATATTTGGCGCGCGCGCAGCCTCGGTCGATCAATGGGTAAAACTTGGAGCAACAACACAAAACTCTCTGCGTCCGTTCCGGTTCCAGCTTCTCGAAGGCCGGACCACAATATCAATAGGAAGGAAAGAAATTAAGAAACCAGCCAGTGCGTCTCGGAGAAAAGACAAACCTGCTCCCCCCTTTCGTTTCTCCGCGATGGAAAGAAACATGCTCATTGACTGCGCTGAACCTAAAATTGGTATGCTCGGTTAAGGACCGTGATGGACGGGCGATTTACCGAAGACGGCGGAGGAGGCGAGAGGTTGGTCCCCGCGCCCGGGCTTCTACAAAGGGACGAGGAAAGTAACTTGGCTGGTTGTGGCTTGGGCGCCATCGAGGAATAGATCATGAATTCTATTACTATCGCACAGATCAATACCTTTACTCTACCAAGCCGATGGTTTTATCGTATCACCCCATAGAACAAATTCCACCAGTCCTTTAAATCCAATAAGCCAGCCCAGGAATGCGATCCAACTTCTGCGCCAGGACTCCACCGCTCGAGCTTGCCAAAGCGAGACCTAGACCTCCTGCTTCTCTGTGTCGTCGTCTTTCTTCCTCCAGTGCTTCAACGGCAGCCGGTTGTTCAATTTCTTCTCCTTTTGCTTCTGCCCGTTGGTCAATTGTTTCTCGTACTGTTCCACGCAAGGGGCGTAGAACAAGGTGCCGGTGACGGCGCCTTTCAGGGTGCCCAGGGCGACAATCAACCAAAGCAAAACGACCGCGACGGAAAAGATGGTGCCGAGGACTTTGAAGAACAAGCTGGGGATTTCTTTGGCCAGGGTCGTCGTGGACACGGCAAACACACCGAGAGGGAAAGTGAAACCCCACCATCCCATGTTGAAAGGGAATCTGCTCCGTGTGATACTGGCCAGCGCGAAGAACAGCCACACGAGCCCATAACCCCAGATGGCGAGGGCGATGACAATGGAGAAACTGTAGATGACGCGCCCGGCCTCTGGGCCAAAGTTTTCGGTTTTGGGGAAGACCTGTGCAGCGACTTTTCCAAGTTGCATGAGCCCGAAGCTGCCCTGGCCTAGAGGACCCAGTGGAAGAAAGACCGAGACGATGACCTCACGGGGCGGGAGTCGGTGAATTGTGAGGCGATGGAAGTACATGACGAGGACGACCATGGCGAGAGGGAAACCCGTGCCCCAGAGCACATAGGACACCACCACCGTCCAAACGGCATGCTGAGGATTGGGAAGGTATTCTGCCACGATGCCGCCCGATGCCGCCGCGACAATGGTTGCCACAATCGGCAAGAGCCAAACCGCCGTCATCTTGGACAGCTCACTTTGATGGATGTGCATAATGACGAAGGGCAGCCACATGCAGGTGATGACGGCAATGGCCACATCAATCCACCACAATGTCCAGGCCAGAGTTGTTGCCCACACTCCCCAATGTTCGACACATACAAAAACCACCATATTGACTATCGTCGCGAGCCCCATGGGGAATGTGCCGACAAAGAGGGACTGGACGGGGTGCCGGATCATGGCCATGAACAGCCCCGGGAACATGGTGTATCGGAGAATGGAGATGAGCAGGAAGATGCAGAAGAGGGCGATGTTGAGACAAAAGATGATGACCGAAAGCCAGTACAGCCAGTCGCCGTTGTAAGGAAGTTGGTGCAGGAGGATCGAGGCAATGCCCGTCCCCATGGTGGCTGCGAACCATGACGGGGTGAAGTTGAGCACCACTTTCCTCCATCCACGCTGATTTTTGGATGCAAACTTCTCCATCAGCTCGTCCTTGGCCGTCTGGTGTTCGCCTGTCTGGCACTCGTGAGGGAACTCTTGGGAATCATCCCGGGCGACCTGGCAGTTGGCGTATGTTCCGGCGGGATCCATGTTTGGTGACTGTGGGAGAGGCGCTGGGATGCTTGCGAGGGCCGACTTGCTGGCAACCCAGGGAGGTATATGAGGACAGACCAGCCCTGCTTAGGCAGTGCAAAAGGGGCCCAAATCGGCAAAAAGTTCGAGGCAAATGCTTGGTGACGTAGCTAGATGAAGATGAGTAATGGTGGAGAGTATACCGACGGTTGGAGACGCGGCTGGAAGACTGGCGAAGAGCAGGAGAGCAGGGTACTTGAAGTGTTCCCCCGGATGTCGCTGAGGGCTGCGAACAAATCAAAAGCGCAGGAGGCGCTGGGTGGCTTGCAAAGTTCTGCCGCTCTCCCGGTCTCTCGAACAAAGCCGGTCAAGGCTGAGGCCGTGCTGAGCCGGCACGTGACCGACAGCCGATCCGCCTGGGCTGGCGGTGCTGCCATCGTCTGGTTCCATAATGACAAACGAGTGGCTCTGCTTGTTCCTTTTCCCTCGTAACCAGAGGGGAAATGGTCCATCCACCGCGTTGGATCGGTGATTTGAAGTCGATGGACAGATGGAAGTGGAATCTTGGCTCCGGGTCATGCTGGCCGAGATCGACGAGGCTGCACGAGGCTGGGGCGCCACTGCCCCGCAGTCCGCACTTCCGCCGTGCTGAGGCACTTTGGCGGTGCAGGGGAAAAGGGGGTCTCAACCAACACCTCTTCAGACGTTTCTCATCTCTCCCGTTCCATGTTGGGCATTGGTCGCCTCAACAAATACCCATTCGCAGAACCAGTTTTCCTTTTTGCTACAGTTTTGTGCACGTTCTGCCCTGAGCAATGTCGGCCGTAGGGGGATTGCGCCATCGAAAGTAGACGCACTCTGCAACAACAACAGCCAACCCGGACGCGGGCTTGCAGGCCATCCATCGTCGATTTGGCCTTGTCGACATGCCCAAGGGGCCTCGGTTTCGCGACGTCGCCCACAGAATATCGGCCTTCGTGACGCGTCCTCAGCCCGGCTCCTCCCACCCCACGCCGAGGGACGATGCGAGACTATTATTCTGTGGCCGAAATAGGTCATTCAGCTGGACCAATCGGGTATCGCGTAGGACGAACCCAATATCTCCTGCGCATTTAACTGCGTGGACACTCGTGGGCTGCACCATCGTCGCAGCTTCACTGATAACTTGGTCGCCAGTAGCATATGCTGAAGCGCCGACTGCGCAGCCCAAGAGGTGGATTCGCTTGGACGAGGTGAAGCAACATGGCAGAGACTCGGAGCGGAAATGGGTCATCAAGGGCACTCGGGTGTTTGACATTACGGATTGGATAGCAGCTCATCCTGGTGGTCCCGTCATTCTGCATGCGGTTGGCTGCTCAATCGATCCATATTGGAACATTTTCACCATCCATCAAAAGCAAGACGTGTATGATGTGCTCGAGGAATACTTCATTGGCGAGATCGATCCACGAGACCTGGTCGATGGTAAGGTCGCAGAACATGACGTCGAAGATCCCTTTGTGAATGATCCTATTCGAAATGCCCGCCTGCTGCAGCACACCCAGAAGCCTTGCAACGCCGAGGCACCAGCCGACTCTCTCGAATCATACCTTACCCCGAATGACACCTTTTACGTGCGCAATCATCTGTGGGTTCCCGAGTTGGACGAAAAGACCCACACCTTAACTGTTGAGCTTCCCGATGGGACCGAAAAGGAATACACTCTCCGTGACCTCAAGCGCAACTTTCAGCCATTCACCATCACCGCCACCTTGCAATGTTCTGGGAATCGCCGGAAACACATGACTGCCGGAGCAAGACCTGCGATTGGCCTGCAGTGGGATGTAGGCGCCATCTCAAACGCACAATGGACCGGTGTTCGTTTGCGGGACATCCTCCGTGACGTAGGATTTCCGGTCGATGGCTGCGATTCCGAGGAAGCCAAGCACGTCCAGTTTGTAGCCGCCGAAGCATACGGCGCTTCGATCCCCATTGAAAAGGCTCTTGATCCGAGAGGCGATGTCATGCTCGCATATGAAATGAATGGCAAAACCCTGCCGCCTGATCATGGATACCCCCTGCGAGTACTAGTGCCAGGCAACACAGCGGCGAGAAGTGTCAAATGGATCGAGAAGATCATCCTGGCCGAAGAGGAGAGTCATTCGCAGTGGCAACGGCGGGACTATAAATGCTTCGGCCCCAATCAGAGTGCCAAGGATGTGGACTGGTCGACTGCACCCGCCATTCAGGAGACGCCCGTGCAAAGCGCCATCACATCGATAAGAGATATATCCCGAAGCTCTCGCCATGGTCGAAGGTCATTGCAGGCATACGGCTTAGATGAAGATGCCGTCCAAGTCAAAGGATATGCATTCAGTGGAGGAGGGAGAGAGATTGTTCGAGTCGACGTCAGTGCCGATGGCGGGAAGACCTGGCAACAAGCGCGTCTCCTCCCGGATGAGTCGAAAGGCCACAAAGCTTGGTCATGGAAACAGTGGGAGTTTGTGGTGCCCAAGCGCCTCGCTGGAAAGCAGTTCGCCGTCAAAGCCGTCGATGAGACCTATAATTCTCAACCAGAATCCTACGAGGCTCAGTTCAACTTTCGCGGCAATCTCACCACCGCCTGGCACAAGATTGACTACTCTCGCACGAGCGATGGGCCCTCGAGATAAAGCCGGGTTTGGTTCACTACCCGCGCACCCGGCGGACCCAGGCAGCCGGCAACAATTTGATCCCGAGGGCAGAGCGCACCCTGGACACGACTTTTTGGACACCATGCGATTCAGCTGGGCATCGGCGAATATGCTTGTGTTTGAAGAATGATTTCCACAAGCTTCAGTGCTTTCTCTTCCTCAGTCCTGCGAGTCATCAATTGAAGACCCACGGGAGCTCCATGGAATGCAAAATTATCATCTGACACTGCTGTTAGCGGGCGAATTTGGAGTTGGGAAGGAAGGAGACATGCATGCATCATTCACAGATTCATCGTCTCTGCTGAGTGGGACGAAGACATCGGGCTTTGGGTCCAGATATCTGTCGATGAATCCGGCCGGAAAAGAGACGGCGACGAAGTCGAGTACGTTTACTATGGCACTGTATCCTGTATCTGTAATTAGCGTCTTTCATAATGTTAATCCTCCGTTGCTCACCGTAATATGTCATTTTGTTCTTGCAGCAAGCAGCATCCGCACAGACGGGCATGATCACCCCGTCCACTGGGAGTCTGCTCGCAGTGCTCTGGCCGGTGGACTTCCAGTACCTCTGATAACCTGATTGATACGTTTCTAGCGATTTCATAAGGGCCAGATACTCTGAAAGAGATAATGGTTGAGTGGGTTGGTGGAAATACCAATCTCTCAGGAGAGGAACGGGTGGCTCTCCGCTTGCTTTGATGTGTTGTCTGGTTGCCTGCGCACCATCAGCGCCGATTATCTTGAAGTACGTCTCTACTGGTGCTGCATGAGATGGAGGTTTCCATTCAATGACCTGATAGTTGGCTCGCCTCAAGCACTCAACAATTGACCTTAGAGCTCGCCGAATCGGTGGCTGAGGCTGGATATGACCATCGCACTCTAGCACTGCAAAAGTTGGACGCCTCAGCGTCAACTCTCTGACTTTTGCTTCTCTCCACGGCATATCGATCCAGGTAGGATCTTCTTCAAATGCCGTAGACCCAAGTGATAACTTTGCGACGTATTGCAGCAAATTGAAATCCCACGACATCGTGGCGATTGTTGAATTCCTCGAAGGCAGGCTTGTCTCGCTGGAAGCGACTCCAAGGGTTGGAAGACGACCGGAAGAAACCTTGAGGCTAAACAGACTGCCAAACACAGCGGGAATACGTGCTGAGCCTGCAAATTCAGTAGCCCAGCCGAAAGGGGAGCCTTTCATTGCCAGCAACGCCCCCTCACCTGATAACAGTCAGAGTCAAAAGTTTTCGCCCAGGGTCGCGCTCATTCAGCATACCTCCTGCAGCGCCACCGCTGGATAATAGTCCTGAATAAGGGTTACTGGTACGGCCGTGTATGTTGTTCGCTGTTTCTGCCAGCATCATGCTCTGAGGCACGTTCGTCTTACAAAAAGGGATGGCGCCCAGCGCCCGCATATGCCGGACAATTAGTGATTCAGTGACGTCCGTCTCCCTAGGACCGAGCCAGGAAATAAAGCCGGCGGCTGTCTCTGTGCCAGCGACACGGAAACGGTCCATGAAACTGACTGGCAAGCCATGCAGTGGGCCCTTCAGACCGCCTGTCTCACGACGATACTGGTCCAGCTCGCGCGCAGTGTGGACAGCCTCCTCGAATAGCACTTCCGTCAGGCAGTTCACAAATTGATGACAAAGAGCCGCCCTGTGACAGTAAGCACGCACAACATCCTCGCAACTCCAGATGCCTGCGTGCATGTGGGCCAAAGTGTCCATTGGGGGGGTTTCGGTAATTGTGATTTCGTCCGCCGACAAATACTTGGCTGGCAGGTCAATGACCGCCGAGTTATCATGTTCCAGGGGTATTTGATCAGGAGGCACGTGCCATCTGGACGGAATCGCTTTCAGCACGGTCGCCCTTTTGGCGGCTGCCCGATTCTCCCAGGCAACGAGTGGCATTGTGAAGAAGCCTCAATTCCTGAAATGGGATACTAGGAACTGGAAATGCGAATCATCGGCAATAGTACCTATCGCTGACGATCAATCGGCGCTGATGATACATAGAATCATCTATATGAGTCGTCATCAGCTACCAACGTGTGCTCGCTCGGATAAGAGATACCGAATGCAGGGTATAAATTTTGGGGAACCGCAGCGGGGATATAGTTAGACTGGGAACCGCATGGAAAGAGACCTGTTTGAATGCGTCGAATCGTCCAGGGAGCTGAATGTCGAGGGGCTTGGAGGTTAGGTGAGAAGGGTGGAAGCATTGATGTCATGCAAGGAGACTGCCGTTGAAGCTCGATCGCAAAAAGATTGATGCGTGCTAGTAACCGTCCCCGACGGGAAGTGGCCTTTGTCAAGAATAGAAAGCGAAGGCCGTGATGGCCCCAAACCGTTGCTTGCTCCTCGTTACTGGGCCATGGCTAGATGTTCCTGAAGTGCCCAGAGAGTCGCTGGATGGCGGGCTTTTATTTTTCCGGCAGGCCGCTGATTGGCCCGAGCGACGTCATTTTCTTTAGAACCGCACCGCAGGTCACGCTACGCTAATCGGGGTTCAACCGACTTCCGGAGGTCAGCCAACGTCGTTCAGAAGGGAATCATGATCATGATCTGAACCGGACACTGCCGTGCGCACTGCTGTGCGGGAATGAGATATATCTCGTCAAGCCTTACGCTTGTAGAACTGATGAGCCTTCCTATCCCTAAGTTCTACTGACCATCTCAGAGACCAGAGACCAGAGATCACCGAAAACCCTAGCCATGTTCTTCATCGTCCCTGAACGCAAGGGTTCAAACCCGCCTGCTAGCCCAGTATCGGACGACCCATCGGCATCTCCGCCACAGAGAAAGCGCCAGCGACTGTCTCCCGAAGCAGAAGAGATGTCAGGCTACTATCCTAAGCGTACGCCGAAGGCCTGCGATCGTTGTCGTCTAAAGAAAGCACGATGCCAATGGAATGCCGGAAAGATATGTGACAAATGCAAACGAGATGGAGTCATTTGCACAACAAACCGGGAATCGAAAAGAGAACCCAAACCGCCGAATGCAGCATACGTCCAGCTTGTCGAGTCCCAGAGAGACTGTCTTTTACGGGCGATCGGTAAAATAGTCGAAGGAGGACTGTCAAACGATCCTGTGGCAATGGCGAAAATGTTGCAGGAGTTGGGCATCAGTGTTCAAGACCTCAAGAGAGCGCCTCGGGAAGGTGTTGTGGATGACTCTAGTACGAGTTTGGACGACGCCGACATATACGAGAATGCAGCCGAGATACAGGCACTTCTGGATGATTGGACCTCAGAAAACACAGGAATAGGAAAACACAACCGTTTATCGACGCTGGTCTCTCGCAACCTCGGAGCATCTCAGTCTTATTTCGACTCACCACCTCACAACGATTTCCAGTCAGACATGTCCCAGACATTATCGAGAACATCGGCAGATGCGACATCCACGCTCGATACGACGTTCCTGCCATCACTTGGAGCCGACGATTGGTTTGTATTTGACGGCTACACTGATAATTGGTCACTACCTTTCGCGGAACCGCACATAGACGGGGTTAAGAGCTCAGTCGGAGTATAATGAAGTCCGCCCCCAGCCAAGTCGAAACGAGCAGGCTTAGTCTGACAGCCCAAAAGAAGACTGCACCTGGTCCAGCAGAAGATTACGATACTGAGGGAGCGGCTACCGGGCCAAATATAATGCTGACTGGACTAAAGAGGGACTCTGTATCACCAGCGCGAACCCAAGGAGACCTGGGTTATGAAGACCGCCTTCGATCTTATGGTAACCGGTTTCCATGTAACCGTTCAATGGACTTCATCGAGATTGCGGAATGACTGCCACCAGCTAGGGCGCAGTGATGCTTACAAAGCCGTGCCCTCGGGTCTGAAGATATTCGCACCTGTTGCTGAAATGTCCAATGGCTCCCCGTCCTGGCATAGATGCCGTGCAAGACAGGCAGAGATGGGGCGGGAGTTGCAACGCAAGGCTCCGAGCCCCTCTCCTTTGATGCTTGCGCCATGCGCACTTGGTGTCTACCATGATCGGGAGCGAGTTGGTAAGTGGTCTATAACCAGGAGAGTTAACCCACTTGTAATGTACGGAACTTGGCATTATCGATAGTATCAGTTGTCATAGAGTAATGTACTTACCTTGGAGGTGACCACTCCACGTGGTTAGACCAAAGATTCTTTTGAACGCAATGATAGTCTGTCGCCCGCCTTTGACACACTGTCATCTAGCTCGTATCTGGAACCCGCTGCCACTGAGTGATTGTCCGGCCTCTTTGCCAGAACATCCCCAAACGAGGCTCCTTCAGCGCACGGGCCACAAGCGGGCTCCTCACTTTACACTAGACCCTATTCGTAAAACATGAGAGCATCAAAGTTGTATTTCATCCCCCGCGAACAAAGTATTCTTGTTTACCCTTTTATTTTTTTTCCATCTGTGAAGTTGGGAACATTATAACCACATCGATTCCGCGATGTGACCGCCCTAGTATTCACCTCAGTGCCCTGCAATTTTGACAGTTCCCAAAATCTTTCTCCCACCTCCCTCTCTCCCTCTCTCTCTCTCTCGTTCTCTGTGGGGTTGCAGCGGCGACTCTCATTCCAACAAGCCTGACCCGGGTTTCCGCACACTGCCAATCGCAATGTCCTCCGCGGCGCCGCCGCCGTTGCCATTCTCGGTGGCGTCCGAACTCAAGGCCCTCAGACACGAGAAGCGGAATCAGAATCTGGCGCGGCTCCCCCCGAACGCCACCATCCAGCGTCGGCCGTTGAACCACGCGCCCGTCGCCGACCTGCGCAGCTCGGGGGCCAAGGCGCCGAAAGTGGTCTACGTCTCGTCGCGCACGCCCGTGGTCGCGGCCATCAAGCGGGTCAAGAAGTATCTGGCGCACATCGAGAGGCGCGCACTCCAGGATGCCGGAGGACGAAGAGGAGGAGGAGGTGGTGGGGGCAGTGTGACGAAGACGCACGGGCCTGGACCAGTAAAGGCCATTGAGCAGGCGAACGAGGCGTTGGCCAAGGACAAAGAGGAGGTACTGGTCAAGGCCAGCGGGCGCGCAATGGCGCGGGCGCTGCGGGTGGGCGAATGGTTTCGAACCAAGGAAAAGGACCTGCTCTGTCAGGTTGAGATCAGGGCGGGCAACGTCAGCACTGTGGACGACATCGTCGAGGTCGAATTGGAAGGGGACGAAGAGGAGGATGGCAGTGAGGGTGCTCGTGAGGAAAGTGAGAACGTGGCAGAAGGACCGCTTGAACAGGCCGAGTTTTCAACACTCCAATGCGGCGACACGACCTTGGAGTTGTTGGGAGGCCTTGACGTATCTACGATGAGTTCAGCTGAGAAGAAGAGCCAGTCGTTGATAGACGAGGCTCAACTTGGGGTGCCGGCAGAACAGAGTGCGAATCATGTCGGAGAGGACAGCTCCTTGCCAAAGCAAAGCCGACGAAAGAGGAAAAAGCGAAAGAGACCAATGTACGAGGCGGAGGATCTTCCCGAGGCACGGATCAGGTGGATCAAGACCGTCGAGGTTGCGATAACTTTACAAACTTGATGTCATCAGTTGGCAAGACTCGGGGATATTGTCGATGTCATTCACGGCTGGGATTGCAATGAACATAACCCCAGAACCAAACATCTGTAAGAGTCAAGAATTATAGCCACTAAATCAACGATTTTGTCTGTCGCCTGAAGCCTCGAATGCTCTGCCGCCTTTGATTCAGCTTGATCAAGGGGCGCTTCTTCTAGTCACGACGGTCAGGAGACTGTCCTCAACATTGCGGGTTTGCAGCCTGTGAATAGATCAGGCCCTGATGGCGCGAGGTTCTTGAAGATGAAAGCGCCTTTCCGCAGCTCCGCCATTGAACAGAGGTAAGGACTCGGCCTCTATGCCCTTGCTGTGCTCAGTCATGTCGCAGACTATCCACCAGTCGACGGGATGCAACATTCAATTGGGGCGTATGGCGGCTATCATGCCTCCACCGGGGCCGGCTTTCTGAAAGAAACCTTCTCCACCGCCACGTTTTCATTTCCACTCTCATCCTTTCGTAGTTGATAGACATATAATACGAGGACGTCTCCTTGGATCTAACACCGATCAGTAAGGATCCAGGAGAAAGGTTGTCACTCCAGAACGTACATCCATTAGGCAAAAGCTGGGAATCGGATCTTCTTCGATGGCCAACCAACTCGTACTGAATGCGCCGGTAGCGCTACCTGGATTGACGAAGAATTTACCCTCCAGCTCGTATGCCTCGAACTTGTGTGTACCACCCCATAACAAGATGTCAACATCCATTTGCCGTGCGGCTATCAGCAAGGCATCCGCATCTCCCTGTGGAATGACAGTATGACCGTGCGTGAAACCAATTCGAAGCCCGCCATGTTGTACCACTTTTGATAAAGCTAAGCTGGATGCTTCGGTGTCGAAGTCACCTTTCACGATGTGCAAATCTGGGGCCGTCTGCCGTAGGAAATCGTACGTCTCTTTATCTGTTATGTTGCCTAGACACACAACCTGTCCAATCTTTCCCGGAGCAAGGAGTTTGCGGAACTGCGACACCGAGCGTTAGAGGGAATGCTGCAGCCTAGAACTTGACCAGGAGGCGGAACAACCTTTTGCGGAATCTCCTATGCCTCAATGTCAGCTTTCTGCACCAGGAAAAGCGCAAACAAGACGAATGCTTACCGGCGCTCGATCCGGGATGAAGAGGTCGCCAATGACCAGCACCAACCTGGAGGCCATGCCTCTCTCTCGCTCTCCGCGGACTTATGCCTCGTAGCAGAAACAGCACATGCCCACAAAATCAGCCTAGTTTCAGACCACGCATCGCTGAAGAATGAAACAAAGCTGAATGTCGGGGAGGCGCAGGCAGCGGTGCTTTGCATGGAGGGTGGGTGATGGGCATCGCAGAAGGTCTAGGCGAGAACAACTGCCACCAAATAGGGAATGTCAGGCGAGAGCCAATCAGAGTGCCCAGACGGCGGTTGGCCGGTTGAGGCTGAGGCACATCTAGATGTAAAACAAGCAACTCTAAGAGACGACGGTCGTCTCCTCGCACCCCTCGTCTATTGACGCCTCCCGCTATTCTTGGAACAAGAGGCAGACTCAGGGCCTTTGGTATACCAGATGCTTCCACGTCCTCTACCAGAACACGAACTTCTGGGCCACAGTATATCGCTATTCCCCTGCAGGGCGGCCGTCGTTGGTGGTGTAGAACCCGGCAGATTGTTCCATGACTCCTGCGCAAGGCTGACTCGCTCCTGTGAAAGCCCCTGGGAGATCTCGCTTCCACCCCCAGTTCATCAACCTTTCCTTTTCTCCGCTAGTCGCCCTGGTATCTCTGTCCAAATCCTGGGAGTCGGTCACAGATGGGAGTCAGAGAGGCTCTAACGTTGCCAAGCTCCGGGATAAACCCTCCGCGATGGTCAGCGCGTTTGGCCAGAAGAGGTTTGGTCACTCAAGTTGGCCAGGAGCATCCCCCTCCTTCTCTGACTGTTGGTTGCCCGATTTCCTGACCTCAGCTGTTCAGGACTGATGCCTTTCCTCTGGCCAGGGACCTTTGGACAACCTTTGTTTGTGTCTTGCCGCGTTCTTCATGGAGGCTCTGCATCTAACTCTCATGTGGCCTTGTTTCGTATTCCGCCGACCGCCGACTTGAGGGAAAATCCCGAGCAGGCCCTGGTTACAAGAGCGTCGAGCGCTCGGCTACATCGTTGGCCGGGTACAAGGTTTTGGGGCCGCTTGAACTCCCAGGAGACTTTCGAGGAGCAGAATTATGACCCTTGGGGGAGAACGGCCGTCCGTCGATGCTCCCCCATAAGCAATTCGCCTGGCCACGAGACGCATCCAAATATTTTACTTGCTACGAACTGGTGCCTGTCACTCTGTTACTGGCCTTACATTTGCTCCACAAGTTTTCCCTACCTCTAGTGCTCCTTATGCCTATTGGATGCTATGGGCAACACTGGTAGATCAAGTACAGGTTGTGCTCGCTGCAAGCAGCGGAAGGTCAAGGCAAGGATTTCCGCCTCGAATTCGTGAATGATGACTGACAACGTATAAGTGTGATGAAGGAAGACCGGGATGCAGGAAATGCGCCCTGTTGCGTAAGCCGTGCCCCGGATACCCATACCAAGTCCAACTCCAGTTTCGAGCACCGCCAAAGGGCGAACCTTCGACAAGCCCAGGAGATCAGCCAGCCGGTCCATCTATATTCCCGATCCGCCCTACTGTCGCTAGAGAAACCCCATTCCCTTTGGTCACTCCTGAGGTCAAGATCGAGGATGATACAAGCAAATCAGCTTTGCAGAAATTGCCGCCAACCCAACGCTCGATCTCTCCTCCTTTGCGCTACGACATCCAACATCAGTCGTTGTGCTTTTTCCTCAATTTGTTCTGTTTCCAGGCGGGCCGCCTTTATTCGTTTCCAGTCCTCGATTTTTTGCCGGGAATGCTCCAGAGTGCTGATCCGCGCTCCTGCATTCACAAGGCTGCAATGGCAGTATCCCGAATGACTCTGGCCGATAGATACAGTGGAAAGGATGTGAGGCTACAGACTGGTCGAGAATACGGTCATGCACTGAGTTTGACCAACGCGACTATCCGCGACACAGCTGCGAGCATTCAAGATGAGACCGTGCTTTCTGTCTGGCTCCTTGGACTCTACGAGGTAAAACCAGAGGATATTGTGCTGGTCCTCATGCTAAAATTACCTAGATGATTAGCGTCGTATTGATGCACGGGCGAAAAACGCCGGAATCGCGATCGCTAGAGGAAGAATGGCAATCACATCTACTGCATGTCAGGGGTGCCATGAACTTGTTGCGTCTCCGAGGAATGTCACAATTCACAACGGCACGTGGAGAGAAAATCTTCCGGCTTTTCAAAGCCGCAATTGTAGTATACCTTCGTCCAAATCCTCTGCTTTCCACTGACAACTACCAGCAAATGAGACTCTTCATATTGAACTCCGTTACTTCCAAGGACTTCGACAACCTTGAGATCGACGTCTACCAAGACGAGCATGAGTTCGTACCCTCTCAGACCGCGAACAAGGCTACTGCATACTTCCACCGCGTTGCACGACTTCTGGAGAAAATCAAGCATTTTCTCGGCCGAAGTGCTGCTCAGCTAGCCCTTTCCAACGCCACCGCCGATGTGTTCTTGAAATATGGCGAAACCTTGGATGAAAGCATGTCCGACTGGAGCAAAGACGAACCTGGCTGGGATATGATGAGGGTACGTGCCTCGACAGCCGGCACTATGTGGGCCCTCTACCCATCTCATGCCCTCCACCATTTCTACAGCTTCTGGGTTTTCTTATACTGGCTGCGATTCCTGACAGCCCGGTATAAGCTGTACGAGGCTCTAATTGAACTCCTGAAGCTCCGCCTCAAGTCCCTTCCCAACGATCCTCAGACCTCCTCCGCAGCCAGCAACCTTCAGATTTCCAAATATCGAGCGATCATTCAAATGACCGCATCGGAGCTCATTGGTCTGACGGCATACGCCTTGGGTGATGTGACTCCTACCGGGGACTTCCATTCATCCGTATCCGGCCATCACCCGAGAAAGGGTTTCCAGGAAATCAACGTTGTTGCGGCGATGCAGCTGGTCCTTCCGCTCAAGATGTTGCAACGATCAGAACATCTCACTGCCACCCAAAAGGGAGCAGTTGACCTTGCTATTTCTCATATCGGCGATGGCTTCCGGCGGCAGCCGTTGATGTTAATTTGACCTAGAAGAACATTCCATGACCAGAGGGTCGCGAATCTGACCGTCACCGAAATTTTTGTGTTTGTGTTCTTCTGCTTGGTACGCATTGGGACAACAGGCTGTTCTTGTCATTAGGATTGGCATCATTGAATGGACCAGCTGAGGCGCTAATTTATCGCGTTCTGCGGCCTTGGAGACCAGTTGAAAGCCCGCTTGAGCAAATCAACAACGCTTCAGCGGCCGCAAACGAAGAAAAAGATCTTTCCTGTAAGAACTGGCACCTTCAAATCGGCACCACCCGCAGCTGACACGATCAACAGCCTGCGAAACTAGCTTTGCCGCTCTTACCAGCCCCGCCTTCTGGGCGTCTATGAGATGCTAATTGACCCATAGAGACTTGAATGGTTATCCCTGCCGATATTCATCAGTGGTCAGTCATTCTCAGCAGCCAATGTGTAGCCACGTCGCGGCATCTGGGTCCGAGATTGTTTTCAAGTTTGCCTGAGTAAACGAGGTGGCTCAATCTTGGTTGCCGCTTTCGGTGAACTATGCATTTACCTGGGATCATCGATGTCTGAATCTGCAACATGAGTCTGGTGAAGGATGATGTCGTTCAGTGCAATGCTTGGAACTTCTGACAGTGGACGAACACTGAACCTGGAAGTTGTGAAGGTATACAAAGGAAGAAACCAAAGTTGGCATTTGAGATGCCGACTGGGGCAGGCTCAATACACTTGTAGCACTCTCGCATATCATGAGCAAATCAGCAAAAGGAACGCTGAGTTTATGCCTGACGGAAGTAGAATTGGACCAGGACGTTGTGTGGACCCTTCACGGGTCCAAATCTCAGTCCACATAAGATCAGTACTCGCGCAGGCACGTAAGGCTCTGCTTGACAAGGCTGTATAACTCAAGTTATGATTGGCCGAACGCCAGCCCCGATGTCATTGTGCCCAAGGGACGCTTGAACCTAAACCTCGCTCCGCAATAGACGACTTCGTGTTATTCACCATCTCATCCTGGCCATTTCGTCTTCTCTTCACCACCCTTTATTTCCAAGATGGCAACTCTTCAAGGAACAGTCATCCCTAGGGTCAAGCTAGAACCCGCGCCGGACCAAAACATTAAGATGGAACCCACGGAGGACACGCCGTCACCTTTCGTAGACGAAGATGATGACATGTATGAGGATGCGGGGGACCTCGATTTTTCACAGGCGCAACAACAACTATGGCTCAGCCATATTCCGCGAACCCTATGGGAGACACTCTCAAAGCTTCAAGATGACGACGAGATCGAAATTGGCAGACTAAGGGTAGAAGGCGCAGAGTCTAATCCCTCGAGAGTACGCATGCTCCTTTGATAGCCTTTCAACATATGCTCTCAACGCGTGGGAAATGACTGATGAGATGGATAACAGGTCAGCTTACTGTTATACCCACTGCCGGCATTCGAGAACGAGCCCAAAGAGTACAACCTCTTCGCCCCGCCGCTCGAAAAACTGCGATCACGAAGACCCGGGCAGGCATTAGTCTTCTCGGAGAAAGACCTACCAGGATACAAGGCGCGCACATTTGCATGGGACGACATTGATGAAGAAGGCAATCCGGGACAAGGCCGCTCATTCCTCTACGAGAGGCACAAGCGCGAACAAAAGAAGAAAGAAAACAAAGGCCGCTTCGTGCCCTACACCCGACGACCCATACCAAAACAAACAGCCATTACGGGCACGGTTGCCAGGGAGTTCGAAGCAGTACCGGTCAAGAACGAGGAATACTTTATGCTCGAGAACAAGCAGGCGGCGGAGCTCCTCAAGGTGCCTGAGCGAGAGCAAACCATCTTTGCCACCGGCGACTACGATCCGGAGAAGAACAGCAGGTCGTTCATGACGATGAGTGAAAGACAAGCTGTGCTGAAGGTAAGCAGACCACGACAAACCTCCCTCTTCTTCCGTACCGCGCGGGCACGACTGACCACTTGGACTCATAGAGCGCCCAGGCCCGGAAACACGCGCAAAAGGAAACTCGCGCGGCGCGCGTGGACAAGCACATCCTCATCGACAAGCTCTTGGACCTGTTCCGCCAACACCGCATCTGGGGGCTTCGCGACCTCAAAGTCAGAGTCAACCAACCGGAAGCGTATCTCCGCGAGACACTCTCCGAGATCGCCTTCATGTGGAAGTCGGGCGATTTCAACGGCAAGTGGGAGTTGAAGCAGGAATTCAAGCAGCAGGATACCACCTTGCTGAACCCGACGGGTGTCGAGGTTGCGCCAAAAGTGGAGGATTCGGACATGGATACCAAGTCCGGCGTGGACGACGACGACGACGACGACGACGATGTCTTTGAGGACGTGGGGGTCGATGTTTAGGAGCTTCTCTTCCGGATGAATTGGGATCGACTGCATAGCGACGGCGTTCTTTGAAATGGGGGGAACTTCGACTATCTACAAAAAGATACCCCCAGACGGTTCACATGTAACAAGCGGGCAAAGGTTGGGCAATCAGGTATACTACACCGGGTGTTTTTGGACCAAAGAGCAGAGGTCAGACCTGTGGGAGCATTCTGCCTTATCCGTTCTATCAAGAGCAAATATTCATTCAGCGCCAGACTCTGAGTCGCATTGCAGACCTCTATCATCAAAAACCCTCTATCTCTATGTGCGCATCCCAATCCGAGAAGAAGAAAACAGAACGGCAACATGTAATGGCACCCGCAATTATCTGTGCAACTCCTTCTGCTCAAAGATGGGGCTCAATAGCTTGCCCTTTTCCAGCGCAAGTCTCACATTGTCAATCGCCCACTCCTCCATCTTCTCCAGCGTCTCGCTCGTCCACGTACCCATATGCGGTAACAGGATGACCTTTTCGTTTCCCACCAAACCCGGGTGAATTCGGGGTTCTTCCTCGTACACGTCCAGGCCGGCGCCCGCGATGAGGCCCTTATCTAGGGCGTCCACTAGTGCCGCTTCATCAATCACCGCTCCACGTGCGGTATTCACGATTATCGTGCTTGGTTTCATCAGCTTGAATTGCTCGGTGGAAATGGTGTGGCGGGTTTTCGGGTTCAGCGGGAGATTCAGACTCAGCACGTCGCTGCGCTTCAAGAGTTCTTCGAAGGAAACATACTCCGCACCATCAGCCAGGGAGGGGTCGAGCTCTCGTCTGTTGTGGTAGATGGCCGTCATGCCAAACGCCTCAGCCTTTTTCTTCATGTTTCGCCCGATACCGCCCATCCCTAGGATGCCAAGTACTTTCCCTTGGGGATCGTGACCTAGCGACGGAGGTGGAATACCACGCCATTGACCCTTTCGTAATGCCGTCATACTGATGTTGAAGTTTCGCAGGGCGCCCAGCATGAGAAATATCGCCGTGTCCGCTGTAGCGTCGTCAACCGCTGTCGGAACATTGGAAACCAGAAGTGGTGGATCCCGTGCGGAACAGGCCTCGGGGTCGATCTGGTCGTATCCAGCGCCACAATGAGCAAGGTATCTCCATGATTTCGGGAGAGCATTGCATAGCTCGGCGTCAAAAAGACCAGTTATGCTCGTTGACTGGAAAGTGCGATAAGCGGCGACCACGCCGTCGAGTTTACCGTCTCGACAATCCCTGATGAAGTCGTCGCGATTGGTGGCGGTCGGGACTATCAGATCGCCGAGCGAGCTGAGAGACTGCCACGCTTCTTGAGCACTGTTGGTGAGTACCGTTAGGATGAGACCAAGAATGAGAGGGATTGGCTTCCTAACTGATCAATCTGGCCGAGAAGGAGGATTTTTGGTTTGGAGGACATAGAGACAAGCCACTGATATGCTGAACCACAAACTGAGATCCCTTAGATGCAAGTCAACAAGGCTCCTTGGACCGGCTGGACAACTTATTTGCCTCTGACCAGGCCGTATCTCCTTTAACTAGCGGCTTCCTTTACTGATTGTTTTCTCGGCCTGGATTATCGTGAAGCAACGACCAGCAGGCTAGGAGTAGTTGGAAACGTGCAATGTAGTCTGTAGTCTAATCTTGCCTTTGCGAAGAAGGGCAGAATAAATATAAGAAAGTGACCTCCTACCTTGAAAACGTCATCTAGGGTCAGATAACAGACAGGCAGAATGAGCATTCTCGAAGGAGGAGGTGCTGTCAGACAACCAAATGGCAGGTTGCTCTGAATACGACATCAAAATGACTGTTGTCCCGACAGAGCTGTTCTCTAGGTATGAGATATGGAGCCTCCCTTTGGAGATATGGTATCCTCCATTGTAGCCTTGAAGCTGCTTCAACTGCGGCGTAAGAAAACTGCCCGTCAGACGTGCTCATTTTCCTTAAAGGAGAGCTCGACGAATTCCTGGCGCACTTCTCAGCGGCCCAGAGGTACGTAGGGCCAATCACTGGGTGGACCATTCCTGATGGAGCTTGGGTAGCGCTGGCAATTGGGGAGAATTGTCTCATCGGCATTGAGCTATCAGCTTGAGATCAAAGGAACTATGGGCCAGGGATTCGGAGTAGACGGAGGGTGGTCCGTTCACGCTGGCTTCACGAATTCAAATGTATTTCGAGGTGGCGTGCTGCACCGGTGCCAAGCACTACGGTAGACCTTGATATTTGCACTTCAGCCGATAGCTTGATGTTGCACGAAGCCCATACAGTAACCCACCGTCATCATAGCCTTGAGTTGATTTCAAGCTTCCTGCCTTTCTCGCTTCGTGTTTTTCCGTGGTCGCCGTGTGAATCTTCAAGTTTATCAGGAGGAGATAGGTCGCCTTCCTTGACCACGGCCAAAATGGCCGCGAAACCGATCAAAGATGTCGTCGCCGTTGGAAAGGTACTACCACCACAACCCCCAGTTGGTCTACCTCAGTACTCACTCTCCTCCAGAAATACACCCAACAAAGCGTCGGCATTTGGGAGACCATCCGCAAACTACTTTCTGTTGACCCTGACCGTAGCAACGGTGTTCCAGTAAAACATTTCCGCAACCCAACCCCAGGAGGCCTCGATCCTAAGTCATACGATGAAGCCGTCACCACTCCGGCCGCCGACATCGCAGACAATCCGTATTGGAAGAGAGATGTACGAAGGGCATATCCAACCCTGAGCACGGTCACACAAGGTGATGTGGTGGGGCTGTTAACAGTGGGAAGTGCTGCGAACCCGAGTCCCAAGTTGTTGGCTGGTGAGGAGGGCAGCAAACAACTGGTGGCCGTGAAGCACGAAGGAGAGAAGGGATTGGCGACATATTTCGATCATGAAAAGGCCGCGGCAGTGTTGGGAGAGAATGGCCTACCCCCGAAGCCGGTGGCATACGGATACAAGAAAGAAGTCAAATATGAGGTCGGACCAACGAGTTATGGAGATGCGTATGCATTCCCTTTCAAAGACATTATCTCTTGCTAACACCATTTGCAGCTATCCGTGCCGAAGCTTTGTCTAGACTCTATTGCAGTTGAAAAGGGCAAATGTATATAGTCCTCGCAGCCCTCGAATGCGCACGAGGAAGAACTCAAGAACTCTTCGTTGATTCGTCCATCGCAGCTCGCCTTTCTGCTTCCAAAGCAGCCTGTTTTTGCTCGAGGATCTCTCGCTGTCGAACAGCTTCTTCTCCGACAGCTTTTTCTCCCTTCCTTCTCTGGCGCTCTTCAAAGGCTTGCCTGCCTTTCATGATGCGCCCGACGATCTCGGCGGCATTGACGTGCGAGTAAGGATGATTTTCGATCTGACGGAATATTCCCATCTCCTTTGTGTCAACATATGGATCAAACGTCGAAGGCATGAACGTGGTCGGACCGTGATATACCGCAGCAATCTTTCCCATAGGTATCGCTTCCAAGTATGCCCTTGAAGGGGAGAATGGAGCTCCAAACACCACTGCGTGGATGTAGCGGCATTGCAAAACACAGAGCCCCCGCTCGAAAATGTTCATGATGGGATAGTTGAGGCCTTTCCAGTGGTTTATCACGTCATCGTTGTGAACCCCAGCGACCACATAAGCCTGGTAGTTCTCTGCTTGATTGACCCGCTTGAGGAACTCGATTTGGCCCGAGGAGAAGAGATCAAAGCCGCCGTCCACGTACACTACACGTTGACCAGGTTTTGGGGCCTTCCCAGGCACAATCTTCTCGAATGTCCCAGCGTCGGCAGCTTCTTGCTCTCCTGGCTTGTTCAATCGAGTGCCAGCCCAAGTCCATACTTCGGCACCAGGCTTCGAGGCTGTCTCGTCCATGGCATAGTCTGTGATCCTCTCCAGCATCTCGGCCCCAGCGGCGACCTTGGTTGGATCAGACACGCCGTCAACCCGTCCCTGGAGTTCGTCTGTCAAGGACCTGATGAAGTGCGTCTTGGTACACAGTAACATCCTACCGACCAAGTCGGTGGTAGATATCCCAGGCGTCCTCTTGAAGACGAGAAAGCGGCCAGCCGCCTTGACAAACCGGTAACAGTCCTCGCCGCCGGCATCAGAAGTGATGTCATCGCCGTGGGCGACATACCAGCACCCATAGTGGGAGATCCAAGGCAAGGCCGTCACGTAAGGAGCATGGGGAATGACTTTGGTTGTCCATCGACAAGCGTCGCAGGCGGCAATTCTTGCTGAAGACTTAGTTTTTCTGCTGCGGAAAAAAATATAAAACAAAAAAAAGAGGAATTACACACCGCTCGTCTAGAGTCATGACCGTCGGGCCTTTGTTCTCCAAGATTTCCTCATCGGAGTGCAGCCCAATGTAGAGCTCTGTCCCTAGTTGACGGGCCTGTCTCAGTGCACCAGCATGACCTGGATGGATTAGACTGGCTTACCTTTAGTTCATGGCGGAGACCTACCGTGATGAGTGAAGTCGAAGCAGCCATCAACCCAAATGCGATCTTTTCGGATCTCTTCGTCGTCCTGGGGATCAACCGGCCATTGACCAGGCTTGGGCACCTCCACGTCCATATTTCCGGTCGAGGAAAAACGGAGGGTTCGGACTCTTTGGCGCAAGGGAGTCGACGTTGAGGATTGTGCATGCAGTTGTCAGAATAGAATCCTCCGAATAGTATTCTTAGACCCTTGATCGGCGTGGGACGAGAGGTGTGGGAAGACACATGACGGAGATGGGCCCCTGAACAGATGGCGCAATGTGAATGGCACAGACTTCAACGCCTCTCCCCACAACTCATCAGCTTTGGCCCCTCTGCCCCCTGTCTGTTCGTAACCTCCCCTTACACACTATCTGCAGGTACCCTTTGCAAAAACTCCGCTCCCTTTTCTGCGTGGTAGCACAATTCGCCGGCGCACACTATTGCCCTGGGCCACCGCTCTGATTCGGCAATCTCGATCGCCTGATCAGGTGGTACGAAAGAAGAAACAACTAGGAGGAGTAGTATGACTGAGCCTAGTACCCAGAGCCAGAGTCAGCCTCGGTCTCAATCCTCGCGCGATGGCTCCATCAGTTCAACCAATTCAGCAGGAGGAGCCGCATCAGCAGGAGGAGCGGCTGGCTTCCTATCCAAGATCACTCGATCTCCTTCGCGCAGACACAAACCTCTAGGATCTAACACTTCCATCGACGCTACTCTCTCTGCCGCCGGCTCGACACCACCTCGCACTCGTTCCCGTCCAACCTACAGTCGAACGGCTACTGCCCCTCCTGCGCCCGTCACCCTGAATTCCATCAGACCCGATCTCCTCTCCCGGACCAACAGTGATGTGACTGGCCACGCTACCTCTGATAACAATATGCTGCCTCTCCCAGCTGGGAATATCGCACCAGTCTACAACCCCTCGGGGGCGAATCGCGCCCCGTTACACAAGGTCTCCAGCAATGTGAGCGTCGGAGAGGATACTGCAAGTACGCACCCCACGAAAGGCAAAGAAAATTCATCGCGAGAGGTGGATGTCCCCTCGGCGTTGGCACTCAATGGTCTCCTCCTCAACAACTCGACTGCGGCGACGGTCTCAAACCAGGCCAACAATTTTGCGTCCTATGCACAGATACAAGAGATGACACACAAGAGGGTAGCAACATTGGAGTACCTGCGAAGGGCACACGAAGGCCGGTCTTTTTGGTTCAACACAGTCCTGTTCCATGAAACCGATATCGCAAAACTGCCCTCTTATACGCCTAACCGACTTTCGAGGCGAGCGGTCAATTTCATGCTCCTAGGAATGTCATTACCTACGATCCTGGACTTTCACCCTCCGCAGCCGCAGACCGCTTCGAATGCTGCGAACAGCACTGCGGTCGCACAGGATTATTTAAAGAATTTGAATACACTTTTCACGGAATTCGAATCCTTTCAACAACTACATCCGCCTGATGGCAGTTCGGCAAGTTCGCTGAGCCGGGCACGAATCCCCCAAATGTTCAAGAGGGCCACCACGACGTCCAGACCTCGGAAGTCAAGTGGTCCTGTCACAGACATTGGCCTCCCCATGCTTCCGACCACTTCGCCGCCTTCAACCGTGCCGGAAGCTGGGCATCATGGATCACAACCCTCAATAGACACTACAGCTAGCGGGGCTACGTTTGCCTCGTCGGCAAGTACATTGGTGAATCCTTCTCCTTTGGCTCCTATGCCGGCAGTCAACTTCCCCAGTGCGTCAGCATTTCCTCCTCCAGCACCATTTGATGCGCCGAATTCGACACTATTACCCAACGAAGGACCATACACCCATCTTCAAACCCCGCCTCTGCCGTTCACGCCGGACTTTTTCACCGTGTTTGCCACTTTGTGCGACGCGCTGATCGACACTTATCAGCGGTTGCTGCAGATCCTGACGGGTCCGGCGGCATGCACGAACGTAATCAGCGATCTGTTTGCCAAACTTGACGGGCGAATCCGAAAAGTGATTGTTTCCGCGATCGTCCGGGAGTTTGAACAAGCTTCTCGAGAGTCGGCCAAGAGAGAGATGATAGGGGTGCAGAAAGTGGTCTTGGGAGGGTTGATGGCATGAAGAACGAAACACGAAATCGAGACGAAACGGATAGGCGACGTTGGCCCACTTTCTTATGTTACCTGACCTGTATGATGATATTCTTGGATACCACATCAAAGCGCGGCGTTTGGAAAGAACCTTGCAAGATGGGCGCGTTGCGCGAATATGTAACAACTGGCCGAGAGAGGCACAGAACTATGGTGCTGCACGATGGATCTGCGGCAGACCCCTCCGTACCATGTAATATGTACAACCGTTACGCGTTGCCAGAAGAGGAGGTGACAAGGCTGTGATGTGTGATATTGCTGACACGACGTAAAACTGACACGCAACCACGACGTTGTTCAAACCGCCAACTTGCCCTGCCCCTCGATTCGACCCCCTTTTTCTTGTTTCCCGCTATTCGTGGACCACGACCGAAAACAAACTATGGTTGACCGTTATCATCGAAAGGATGTGTCATGGAAACTCGACAGCGCAAGCAGATGACGGTCGCGGGAAATGAGTTCTTCACAGACTTTTCGCTAAGGGCAGATTGCTTTTTGGCAATGGTGGGCAGTCGTATGCAGCTGGTGGCTGATCTATCGGGCAGCTTCCAGGCCAGACGGGCCTGTGCGCCCGAGAATGGACAAAGGAGAGGCCCCCCTGATTGCTGTTTTTCTGTGGGGTAAGATCCTTGAAATTGCCCGCCGAGCCCGCCCCCAACACCCCCCCCGATTGTTATTCGGGGAGGCCCTGGTCGGTGCCCTGTCACTATTAGGCCTGTTCAGTGTCGTCTGAAGCCTGTGAGCCCGCGCCCAGCACTTTCACTTGCCGAGGAGTGTCTCCTGGAGCGGGCCAAACACACTCTTTCTCTCGCTGTGAGTCGTCCTGCTGACAGATTGCCATATCGCGCTTCTAGGGGTGTGTACCAGGTAGGCTAGGGTCGGTTGCAGAAGCACTGAACAGCGGCATCTTCTCCTTGCCTGAGTGCTTGTCTGATCGTGGTGGCGCTGAACGGTTGTGCCTGGCTAATCCCTTTGGTGTTTAGTTGATCCCCCTCCCGAGGCCTGAGTGGCACCTGCATTGACCTCATTTCCCTATCAATTCTCCGAACGGTCCATCCATTCATTATTTCTTCAACACGTACAATAATAATACAAACTCTCCTTGTCGCGCAGTATTTTCTCCCTTCCTACTTGCCTCTACTTCTTGCCTGTTGATCTCTCCGTCTGTCTCGAAAGAAGGACTTCGGCAGAGGCGACGCTTTACAGCATCGGTGAATGACAGAAGATTGCGCATATTACTAAAGTGGTGATTGAGGGGCTGTCAAGAATCCGAACACATATTCATCGCCTGTCCCTGCATGTTCCTGCGCGCGAAGATTCCTAGCGTTGAATCAAGTCTCTGAACACAATCCTCAAAATGTCGTCCATGCGACGCAGCCAGGCCGTGGCCCTCACTGTTGGCATTCTCATGATCTACTTCCTCTTCTTTTCAGGCTCTGGTACGAGCACAGACTTCCGCAAAACCACCGAAGCCTCCTTATCGCGCCGTCGGGGCATCTTGAGAGGCGCGCTCTCGGACAAAGAATTGACTGCGCAAACGAATCGCGAGTTGCAGATGATCCTGGACAAGCAGAAGGAACAACGACAACGGGAGGAAGACCAAAGGATATTTGACGCATCGCCCGTTCAAGGCAATCACCCATATACCTCGACCATCAGTTTTGACGACGACGAGGTCAGCATTGGCGGGAGGAAGACCATGCTGAAAGAGAAGCCGAAATACCCTGTTGATACAGCCAAAGCTGCAGGCGCTACGGATGTCACTGCGGATGGAAAGGGTGAGGAAACCGCGTATAACGGCAACAAGGTCGAAAAAGCAAAGGACGACGGAGAGGATATGGCACGGCAAGAACTCCAAAGTATCTTGAAGAAGAGTCCGAGTAGGTCGAAACCCGTATTCATTTGGCAAATGCATCATGTTGCGTTACTGACGAAATCCCCCAACAATCAGTTATCATATTCTCCAAATCCTACTGTCCCTATTCAAAACGGGCCAAAGCTCTCCTTTTGGAGACGTACAACATCACGCCAGCCCCTTACGTGGTGGAACTCGACCTTATGACCACTCCCGTTCCCAAGTCTCACGATGCTGATGAAGATGACGATGGGCCAGCTCCCACGCTAGGCCGCAAGTTACAAGACCTCTTGGCCACACTGACGGGTCGACGGACCGTGCCAAATATCATGATCAACGCGCAAAGTCTAGGCGGGAGCGATGACGTTGCTAAAATGCATATGGAGGGCACACTGGAGGACGAGATCAGAAAGATGGGCGGAAAGAGGATAGTCAGCATCGAAAAGAAGCACAAAGACGGGGAATGATGGACAAGGGGAGCTGTGATGTTTTGATGAAGTCCGGAAACGATTTTGCGCATCCAAGAGGCACTAACTGTCCATTTCCTGCGAAGCCCTTGGTGCCACCCCTATCCCTGTGCGATCATGTCGTGTCACATCTGTCAATGGGTTGTGACACTCGAGCAGCTCATGGTCTCAGATGACAGCTGAGAAGATGGTGCCGCAACGCCAGCGAGCTGTGCCCCCAGAAATCGCAGCACAGAAATTCTGCTCCACAGTATGCACTGTTTCCAGTCTGCCAGGATTGCAAGGGCAGGAGCCCAACATCCTCAAGCTGGCGCATGACGCAACGACGCAACGCAGACGAGATGGCAGGTTCTTCCTATATGTCAAAGTCATAGCCCTCGTTGCCGAGCGAGGCAGTGACGGCAGACTTTTGTCATCGAAGCGCGAATCGAGCGACCCGCGAGATTGTGTGAGCTTCTACGATTAGCAGGACGCGCAAGTCCAGGGAGGTAGCAACCCTGGCAAGGAAACACAAAGAAAAGGCTTCAGACAGCTGAGCGGAGAGAATCTATGGGCTTTTGGAGCTTTTGCTCTTCGAGAGTCTAGCTGCCCCAGCAGAAGACTCGCTACATCCTCGATTGAACCACAGTATCCCTGGGTTTCAGCCTGGCCAAAGGCCGTCTCAACGAAGGATTCGGGGCGACAAAGGTCGACACAAGTACTCTGCTTGGACACTGGTCCGTCATCAAGCACAAACATGGGCCATTGCGCGGGCTACAAAGGGTGCCGATGACATGAGCATGGTAGGCACTGGTATTATACGACATGATTACTTACGAGGATATCGATGAAATTACCCAAACTACCAAGCAACGTTTCTGTTCAAGACTTTCTTTAACGCAGCCCGGCGAGCGGGATGCAATAGTACTATTCATAAGCACCTAACAAGTACATATGTAGGTCTGTCAAGATATTGTCAGCCACCATTCCAAGAGCATATGTATGTACATAGGTAGGAGGTGCCTATGTAGATCCCCGAGCAGTTCTGTTCCTCCATCCCGTATGATACGACGCCCTCTCCTCTCTTCCTTCTCCCTCGGAATTCGAAGCCCGACAACTAGTTTCGGGCTGTTTATGATTTTGCCGGCCCAAACACCGGCTTGCATTTTGCTCTCTCTGTCCCCTTCCCTCGACCTTCCGCTTTGGCATCTAGTTCCATGTCACAAAGGTGATGCAATCAAGCAAGAAGGCAAGAAAGCAAGAACAGCCCAAAGGAGGAAGAGAAGAGTCTCGCCGAGTCGATGTCCGCCTATGTACTTACCTGCCCTGCCCTGCCCTGCCCTACCTAGGCAGGTGTTACTACGTAGGTAGGTCCCCCCCCCCCCCCAGTTTGATATGCCGGGTACCCAAACCTGGACGTTAACCGAACGCCCCGGCCCCCAAGAAATACGGAGTCAGCTTCGTATTCTTATTATTCTTGTCGTCCACACTTTTCCGAGTTCTCTCTCTCTCTCTTTTTTGGTTTTTTTGCCCCTCTCCTTCGACCGATGCAGGGTTTCCGTGTTAGTTTGTTCGGTACGAGCAAGGTAGCGAGGGAGGCCCGAGTCAGATTCGGGGCAGGTAGGTAGGGACTGTTTGTGCCTATGCATGCAGGCCGGTGGATAGGGTATGTATGTCGGGGTACTGTACTCGGTCGGCCGGTAGGTACCCAGATAGGTACTGTAGGCGTTGTCCTCATCAAAAAAGGCTCCATCGGCTGAAAGGGTGTTTAATTGTTGTTCGTTTGTTTGCTTCGTTCTTGTTTGTTTGGCTGGGGCGCAAAAAGTTTGTTCCCCAGAGAGGGACCTGGAAGGTGGTACGGAGCTGGATAACACGGATGTCTCGATCCGTCCAGGCAACAGGTCTCTGAAACTTGAAGCCCGAGTTTGTTGGGCGCGACTCCTCGTCGTCCAGCTCGACTTTTCAGCTGCGAGCCCCAACCCGGCCACAGTCCAGGCCCCCATACCCCGATGTGTTCGACTCGAGTTGGTAAAGGAGGGGGGGGGGTTCGGAGAGGGAGGGAGGGAGGGGTTCATGCAATCTGCGTGCCATGCATGTTTGTGTGAAGTATGTACGAGGTACCTAGGTAGGCTACGTACCTGCTAGTGCGATGGGACCTTGCCTACCTACTAGGTAGTGGAGGTAATGTATGACATGGACGGGAAGTATCTTGTTTGTCGAGGGTTTAATTTTTCGTGGTTTCGTTGGGTTTTGGGCGTTGATTGACACCGTTCTAACTGCTCGTGTGAACATACATATGTAGCTAGGTGCTCTAGTAGCTTTGGGGCAGTGTTGGGCGGCCCCCCCTCTGCCCTCGATACTTTCCTTCCCAGCGCCGGCTGCTTGAGGAACACAAATCTAGACCGCAGTCCACCTCCTGTCTTGATGTTCCTTGTCGTTGTCGTCGTTGATACCTGTTCTTCTTGTTTTGCCTCACGCCCCCCACACAGCCCTTAATTCGTGACTGCAGCAAATAACAACGAGTCCCGCGAGAGAAACTTTGGTCTACTCTGACAGGCTATGAGGTCTAAAACCCGGGAAAGAGACCTCGCTACCGAGCCTAGACTCGCTACCGGCCCGCGACGGTGATCCCCTGCATGCTCGCTTATGCTGGAGCCAGCTCGTCAGGCTCCAGATGTTGGTTGGGTTAGCCTCATATATCGAAAATCGATATCCGCATGTGATAGCGGTTGATATCATCACCGTCGGCACGGCTCCCCGGCGACCACGGAGCAAGTCGAACATCTTGTGAGATGTAGGGCCTTCTGTACAAAGGATCCTACGAGTAATTACGCAGTCAAGTCTGTGTTAGAGATGGCAAACGTTGCCTGTAGAGAGTACGACAGGCCGGTGAAGGTCGGTTCGGTCCCTTCTGCGTTGCTAAATCCTATTTACAACACAAGCTCGGCTTGTGGATGGGATGATGCCCACCGTCCACTGTCAGTCCTTTTTCCATTCATACGCCAGGCATGCCACCGAGCAACCTTCGTCCAGAGTTCCCGTCCCTCTGATAGGTAGTGCAACCCTGATGTGACACAAGGAGTAGTAAGTTACAATAGTAAACCGCATGCGGCCAGTAACTAGGACAGATCGAATATGCAGGCTGCTCCCATTTCCAACTGAACAAAAGGGTATGTGTACCATTCTCTGTATCTTGACCACAACCATAACCAAATCAAACACAAATGAAATTGTCGTAGAGAAAGACGTAAGCCAGGTCACAAAGAGCAGACCCTGGATGGAACCCAACGACATTGATTATCCCTCAAACGCCCTCAACGCCATGCCAGAAAGAGTCGCAAACACTTGATTCGTGGCTCGTCCATTCGCCTGACTTTCCAGGTATCTCTTTGCAAGTTCTCGTTCCGAAGTAAGGTCGCCATTGCCCCCAGATGCCAGCAACATGATACTGTAGATGACATCTCTGCTCTCCATCCCGTCAAGATATGGTCGGCATTGTCTGACCGCGGCAGCCGACAAGCCTGACCCATCGGCCCTCTGACTCGCAGCCGCCGCTTCAACCAACTTCCAAAATTCTTCAGATCTCCTATCAAGTTGCTTTTCCAGCGCACTGGTTTTCGGTTCGGGTTCGATCTCCTCTTGATGGACAAAATCCGCCATTGTTGCTGTCGGACTGCTGAAAGGTTCACCGGTCAGGATCGCGCCCAGTGCTCGGCATCGGCGGGCGAGTCGGTCTGCATCCTCGCCACTGTCATGCGCAGGTCTGATACAGAGCTCAAGCAGTGCCCAGGTCACTCGGGCCTCTTGACTAGCCAGGGTTGCATTCTCGGTGGGCGTATCAGCCTGGTTACTAACCAAAGTCAAATACGCCAACATGTTGCCCAATTGAGTACGATCCGCGCAGAGTAAAGGGAACCCTTCCCTCGCAAACCATCTCGACTGGCCGGCCTCCAAAAGCTTGTCGAGGCCAGGAGCAAAGGCAATGTCGTACACTTTCCGAATAGACTCGAGATTGGGGACAGAATCAGGGGGAATAGGTGGTACACTAGGAATCTTTGTGCCAGCAATTGTACAAATGGACTCAATGGTCCTTGGGGTGGGACGAGAACCGACGTCGGTCATTGTTGCACTGTCCCGGATTAGTCCCAAGGGACAGAGGGATCACCGACTCAACTCCACTCACTTCGTCCTGGCGGTGGATATGGAGCTAAACCAGGTTGATGCGCCCCGTCCATATGATACGGCTGATTAATGTGAGGCAGGATCTGTTCTGGCGGCCGTGGGAAAGGGTATTCTGCGTGATCTCGAGGCGAGCTGGAGACAATGGAGGAATGGTGATTGGTCACCGGAGGACTGATGGGAGTGGTGATAAACCGCCGGGGTTGGTTGCTGACGGAGGAGGTCGGTGGAGGGTTGTTGTTGATGTTGTTGTTGGCAGAGGCAGATGGCGCAGGGTGCAGGGAATGCGGTCCTTGCGTCTGAAAGACCGGGTCGTAGCCTTGACAAGTGCGCTTGCTCTTCATGCAATTTCTGCACTCTGGTCGGCCTTCATCGCACTGTCAATTGCATCGAGTCGTTAGCGCCGTGCGAGGGTAGAGAAGGGGAAATCAACGGTCGCGGTTGCACCAGACTAGTAGAGCGCAGGTGGACGCGAGGGAAAGTGCTGCCGTGGCCCAAAGGGGACTGAAGAGCGGGAGAGCAATCTCGAGACGAAGAGAGGCGTTGAGCGATGGAGTCGCTTAGACAGAAAAAAATGTGTGTAGCGCCGTTGAGTTAGGGATGCAGTAGGGAAGGTTTGTGACACGGGCGGAGATGGCAAGGTCGATCACCAGGCCCCAAGGCCTAAAAAGGGCCGGGCATCCTTTGGGGGGGGAGGGGGGCGCAGGAGCTCCCTGGATTTGGACTTAGGCGCCACCCACGGCTATCACTTCACTAGCCCGGGTGGAGCCCCCGTGTAAACTTGCCCTCGCCCGGCCGCCCCCCCCAGAGGGTTCTTGCCTCTGGCCTGGCCTTGCCATGCGCTCGCTGCCAAAACCCGCCAACCCATGTGTGTCGGCAACGTGGGCAAAAGACTGGATGGTGACAGGAACACAATGGAGAATTCGGGCAGGGCTGAAGAAGGCAGATGGTTGCAGGAATCACGCACGAACAAAAATGAACTCACCTTGATGCGCCTCTTTCGGCATGTTAGACATCCTGTCTTGGTCCGTCTCTTGACCTCTTTGGCTTTGTGTCGGGGTGGTGCCACGATCAGGTTCGGGTCCGTCGTCGAGGGTAGAGGCATCCGCCCTGGCATTTGCTGGTACGGCGAAGGTATCCCCGGGTAGATTGGTCGTGTGTGTACATACTCGTGAGGCACAGGCGGTGGCGGCACAGGTGCCGGGGCTGGTCGAACAGCGTAAGGATACGGCAATGGTGGCAGCACACGTTGCGGTGCTGGCGGTGGGGGTGGTAGAGGTTGCACAACTTCTGGTTCCGGCCTGTGTGCGACTTGAGTGTGGAAGTCGATGCTGCTGATCGGAGGCAGGCTGATCGGTGCCGTCGAAGCTTGTAGAGCCGCCGTGGTCATATTTGAATAGTTCATCAGGTCCGTGGCTTTTCGCCCTCGTGCTGCTTCCCGCGAGCAGCGCCGGTCAATACAGCAAAGTCGCGACGCAAAGCGACGTCGATGAAAACAAAGGCTGGCAAGGTGCAGATTCGCGTCGTCGTATACTTTGATTCCCAGAGCCGTAACCTTGGGATTGCGTCTCAAACGACCAATTGGACGATCATCAGCGAAGTTTCCAGCTCGTCGATGTTCAGGTCCAATCCTTTGGTCCTTTTTGCCACGATCCCGTGAGATTTCGCTTCTTTTCACAACTGGCTTTTTTCTGTCGTTCTCGCAGCGACGGGGAAATTTGAAGTGCGTCTGTGCACTGGACAAGCAAGGAAACGCAAGTCAGTAAGCGACTCAGAATCACAACCCAAAACAAGCCCAGCGGATCGACAATGGAGACACACAACCCAGGGATGAAGGGGGATGAAGCGCAAAGCAAAGGTGTGAAGAAGGTAAAGATACTAGGAAGACGTATGGAGTTTGCGGTATGGTGTGCCTGCACCATAGTAACATAACATATGACTTGGGATGGAGGAGCGAAGTGGCATGGCACTGGACGGAAGGAGGAGCGGCGGTTGGCAGGCATGCGAGTCCACTGACAGGGCTTGACGGGGCAGGGGGGGGGGGAGCTGCTGGAGTGCTTGGTCACCCCATTCAGGCCCCGTGAAACGCCCACCAGTCGCCAGTGGCTCAACGCCTTGACCATTTGAGCGCTCGCTCTTTTGCTCCAGGCGTCGCGGACGTCCTAAGTGCCGAAGCGCAGGTGAGCATGAATCAGATTTCGATGGCGAAATTGGAACGAGCCTCGCTTGGGATCGCTTCGACACGATCAGCCGCCTTACCTAGACGACAAGCATTCTCTGGGGGGGCGAGGCAAGGAGCAATAACTCGAAAGGCAACCGTGCTCCAAATGCCATGCTAGGCCGTGAGGCACTAGCGGGCGAGGAGGTGGACAATAATGGATGGAAACAACGGACAAAAGCACCACTCCATCAAGTGCCCCGAACGGCCCGGAACCAGGTGAGTGTCAATCAACGGTCACCAGGAGTGGTGACCCAAACGACTGAGCAGCTGTGCCCGCTGGGTCGACTCGTCTGTGGCCTCCTGCTGAGCAAAGAGTTTGCACCCTCCCTGGTACCCAGTCAAGAGGCTTCTCGCTTAGGGCATCTCCCGACGCCAGACGACGTTAGGCCCGAGTCTAAGCACCCTTAGACTGTGCTTCATCCTGGACGGGGGGACCATCTGGGGGCGCCCTTTACTGCCGGCTTTGCCCACTGCTAGCGCTTCCCGCTCCAGGTCGGTTGCATTAATGTGCATCGGGGCGGCCAGCTATACACGGTAACAATTATTGATCAAGCTGAGAAAGACAAAAGACAATCATCCAACAGGGCATAGTCCCGCCCCTCCCCCCCATGCGAGGAATAGTGCCCGAGCTGTCGAGGCTGGAGAAAATACAACAAAGTGTACACCGTATGTTTGTCTTGGTGGATACGGTGAAGGATGAAGATTGCTCAAATGACAAGCAGGGATGTTGGTCCAAATGGAGGTGGGAGAGACAGAAAAAAAAAGAACTCGGATTGTCAAAGCAACTTGGAAGCACACAGGCAACAAATCAGGAACCAGGCAGATGGAGCTGAGCCAAACACAAGGATAGATAACGCACCGTGGAGAGCAGACTTCTCGTCCCACAGCTCAGCTTCGAGTCTTGGGACGCGGACCAATGTTATTGTTGACGCTCCCGGACTCTCTCCTCCTCTTGTGAATGCAATGTCCCGAAAGAGAACGACCTCAGTGCCCTGGATGTCACGACGCTGCTGCTTGACCGTTGCCAAGGGACTCTAGAACCCTGCTAGCGGGATTTCGAGAAATGGAGTCGTATCAGTCGAGGCGCCAACAATTTTGGAAAAGTGAAGGCCGCGAGCGCCCACTTCTGTAACCGAGCCCAGTAGTCGACTCGACTGCACTTGGGCTTGCATGCAACTCCCTCCCTGACTCTGCCTACTCGAGCATAGCACCCCGACAGGGTACTCCGTATCCTTCCTTTGCGGCTGTCTCTCAATGTGACCATGTCAGCATGCAAACCCACCAAATCAATCCATGTCTAGGGCCCTGCGGGCTCCAGAGAAGACCAGACTGGTGCTTTTCCTACCTCGTCGACCTTCGCGCTCCGCTTCCTGATTTTTCCTCTGTTCCTGTCCTGGTTCGCTCGAAGCGGTGCGCCACCGGCTACCCATTCAGCGTTCCACCCCGGTGGACTATTGGAGAGGTTGGGGATGAGGGGGACAAGAGATAGGAAAACTCTCAGAGGCTCCCACGGATTGGCGTGTGATATCCCTGGAACCTTGCTGTTTGATCACCATGACCCCCGTCACGCTACCGACTGAAACAAGTGTTCGAAAATCTCCAGACAAACTAGTTGGAAAAATAGCCCAGGAAAACTCGTCCTCGACAAGTCCACGACGGCCTAAACACTCGAGATACTCCACCACGAGCGTTCCCTCATCCACACCTCTCCGGCGCACAGGGCACTTTTAGCCTTTTTTGAGTTCGTATGTGCTTCTTAGCGAGACAAGTTTGACCTCGCTCCGAGATGTGCCTTGCCTCTGTCTTTGCTGCACTCCCCCTCGAGCTCTGGACTTTCTTCGTTGATCATCCCAGGAACGCTCCTCGAGCCGTCATGATCGCCCAGCCACAATGCATGGTGGCCCGCATTGGATCCGGTGCCGCCCAGGTACCATTTGTCAACCGTCGTCTCGAGGGTGGCTTTGGTGTCACATGAGCCCGTCTGCTCAACACGAGAAGGTGCATGCAATCATACCCTGAGACGGCACTGACAGGAGACCTCGACCCCCTGTGAGCCTCGACGTGGCCATTATAGGGTAATGCTTCTCCTGTTAATAGCCTATCTATCCAAGGACGTCCTGCGCGAGGACCAAAATTGCCAAATTTTGACCGAGCTGATAGTTAAGGGTTTCCACCCAAGTAGCCTAACCGTCGAGATCACCATGAGCATGACTGACAGAAGTGCGCCGGGTCGGGAATCATGCAACAGTTGCAGCACAATATTCTCCGAACGAGCCAGATCCCTTTGCGGGACCAAAAGGCGAGAAGCACAAGCAGCATGCAGGTTGTGCAGAGGCGATCGAGAGGCCCTTGCCTTAGGCTCCTGGAGACGACTGCCGTGGGTAACGCACCGCTCGTGCCCTCCATCACGGGAGGGCGCATCGAGCACTCCTCGGCACAATCAGGAATAAACGAGGATGACAACTGGAATGATCCGGCCTGTCCCCGACTTGCAATTGGCCGCTGGTGAAATGTAGGTCATGCATGACACCGTTTCTAAAAGACCTTGAAGGCGGTCAGTGATGACGACGTTGATTTATCAGAGTCTACGTAAACCTCGCCTAACGAGCAAGGGCTCTGTGGATGTAGAGTGGCCGAAACAGTCAGTTAGAAGAAGTGCCCTATGCAGAGTATGCCTTTCGGCATCCCCGATAGACTCTTGGAATGCAGACCTTTATGTTTGGCGTCTTGCTGATGTTGTACTAGTTATTGCATAAATTGCCGTGGTTCTCTTGCTGGTCCCCTCCCTCCAGACGAGAAAATGCCGACTCATGCTCGCCTGTTCAAATTTGGGTTTGGATTCCTTGGACTGTCCGACTGCGGGACATACCTACTGTACCTTCGCTTGGCTGGCTCTGGGGCCGCAACACCTACGAGACGAGGATGATCCTGTCACTGCTGTCATATCATCAGTGTCGTCGTATTGTGTCACTGTAATCCCACGTGGTTACGCCACTTGAGAAGTTCGTGCAACAACTTGGTCAATTAATTCCCAAGGGGGGCCAATGGTTCCGCAAACTTTGCATCAGAGTTTGGGCCAAAACTGAACGTAATCAGTCGACAATCAAAGGTTGGCTTGATCATGATCTCGCTTATCTGGGACTCCGGTTCGCCTCTGCCGGCCTAGATTCCACCATACCAGCGGGAACCATCAGTTTATGGGGGTTTCAGGATATTTTCGCCTTACGTTTCTTGAACACAGGAATCGGGATCTCCTCAGGGATTTGGTCCATAGACCTAGGCGGTTGTGATGAACCTGGCTCCTCTTTCTTCAAGACAGGATCATCTTCGCCTGAGCGGTTGTTGGAAGGAGATTCCACCTTGAGTGAGGCAGGATCTCCACCTTGACACCCATCTTGACTGAGCTCAAGGTTGTATCCCTGTTGCGGAGAGTCCTTCACTTCCTTTTTAAATTGCAAACCCAGGGATCCAGACTTTTCTTTCTTCACCGAGATCGAAGCCGACAAGAGTTCGTCTAGATCGGCTTTGTCTTGGCCAGGATATCTTTTGGTGGCAGCGCCCCATCCGCGTCGCACGACTGCCTCGCCAGCTTCTTTCTTTTCCTCTTCATCTTCATCCTGACCTTCATATTTGCGCTTTTTGACGCCTATACTTAGAGGCGCTTCTGATGGTGTCTCATCAATCGTTTGTTTTGACATCACCTGCCAGTCACCCGCCATGGCCATCTCAGAGCGGAATTCTTCAGGAACTTGGATCCCCATCTCGGCCAGCTGCGCCCATTGTCTCTTCCGATCTGCTGTGGACTGAGGGCCTGTGGGAGGTTTCGATGCAGTATGAGCGCTCTGCGTGGAAGATGGATGTGAAGGGCTCGAGGGTCTGTTTGTGTCACCGCCAGCGACCCCCTTCAGTCTCTCGACTTCTGACTTCGCCCGCTCCTTTTCCCGTTCGCCTCTCTCATGGCTGTTTTGAATATCGCGGAGAAATCGCTTCAGGTTATTTTGATGCTTGGCGGTTCCCTCATGTTGTTTGCGTTCAAATGGAGTATCTTTGACATAGGTGCTGCAATGCTTGCACCAGTATTTCGGCTGTATATCAGTCAGTATTGAGCCATGCAGACCTTGCAGTCATTGAGCGGCGTTGACGTACTGTTGATTTCCAGTATTCCGACATGATGAATGAGTGCTGAGTGAGGGCAGACTATGTCATAGGTGAAAGGTTTGGGGAACTGCGGGCGAATGGCACAAATCTTTGAGCGCTTATCTCGGTGATGATTGCCCGAAAATGGCTCGTGAATGATGGAAGGATGGACAAAATTCCGGATGGAGAAGGCAAGCTGGATGATGAAAAATAACTTCTGCCTGACAGCCAGCATTTGCCCACTGGATCGGCGAGATGAGTCCTGATTTGTTTGTCAGACATCTTGCTTTCTCAGCATGATTGTTGAGGCGAATCAATGCACGTGACCAGACTAATCCTCCGATCCTCCCCGGGCACCCAAAAAGAAAACCCGAGGGTCGAAGTCCGGTAATCGGTTGGCTATTTTTCAACTTTTTCCTTTTTCCTCCCTCCGCATGCGATTGTTCGACGAGCAATATCCACGTCGATTGCCTTCTTTACCACACTCCTTTTTAAACCTCTAGCTTTGCAAAAGCTCAGAAAAAGGCTCAGCAACCAGTCAACTTGAATTTATACGAAGCCTGCGGTCAATAGAACAACGCCCATTCCCTTGAATAGAAAAGCTCCAGACATATCGCTCGCCGTCCACTCTCGATCCCTCCGTCGCTAATTCGTACAAGCCGGGCACCATGAAGATTTTCTCGTCCTCCTACACCTTCGATTATTCCTGGGAGGAAGTGAGCACCAACAATTGGCGCAAATACTGCCCTTGGAACGATAAAGCTTCTCATGTTTTGGCGGTTGACACGATCTCCCGCCACATCGACCCTCAGACAGGCATCCTCCGCACCGAACGTCTTATTACATGCCAACAGAACGCGCCGAAATGGATTCTGAGCATCATCGGAGGCGAAACCACGAGCTATGTCTATGAGGTTTCGTACGTGGATCCAGCCTCCAAGAAAGTTACAATGTGCAGCACGAACATGACCTGGTCAAATCTTCTGGAATGCCGGGAGACCGTGATCTATCAGCCTTCCTCCAGCGATGCAAAACAGAAGACGGAATTCCAACAACAAGCCAAGATTGTGGCATTATGCGGTGGCTGGCAAAAGATCCGTACTAAAATTGAAGAAGCCAGTATTGAGCGGTTTCGAGAAAATGCCGCTCGAGGTCGGGAAGGCTTCGAGATGGTCCTGGAAATGTCGCGCAGGGTCTTTGGTGAAGAACGCGAAAGACTACGAGCGGGCTTGCCGGTCACGGTGTGATAGGACATGCGGCCGATATTTTCTACCTATTATCCTCTCTGCTCGAATCGTCAACGTCGGCAGGCTCATGCACGCCGTCACGACTCACGACATCAAAAGCGGCATAGATTGGTTTTGCGCGTCTGAGACTGCTTCTGCTCCTCAATGGGATACACTGGCGTCCACGGAAAAGTGAAAGAATACATGTTGTCCTTGAGCGCGGCGTTCTGGAAAGAATATTGTTTTTTTTTTTTTGAGAGGAATCTGCAGCGGAGGCCGCTGGCAGGTTTCGAAACTTTTGGAAGATACCACGATACATCGACGCCTTTTATTGGATTTTCTAGAGGAACGACATCTGCTCAGGGTGTACTGAGCCATCGAGATATCGGAGAAGTCGATACAAGCTGGGCTGTTTCCTGCAGAGTCACGGGATGTGGCTGAGGATTCAGCTCGACATCGCGTTGTGCGCTGCAATAGAGCATTGTGTCTTATACAGGTCGGCTTTAGTCTTTTTTCTAGACATAGAGGTCAAACTCGCACAATTAGAATCCATTACGATCCTGAACAACTCTGACTGCTGCGACAGCTGAGGCACAGATGAAATGGCTCCGTCGTGGAAAGGATCGGGCCACTTGGGCCGACTACCTAATTAGTTGCAGTTTGCACCGTTCAAATTCTCGCGTAGGTACATTGCAATGTCCGCACTCCACTGCATTGTCAAATCAACGTCGCACCACAATGTTCGAGGGCGATAAGACTTGTTCTGCTGGAAAGCGACCAACCTGAATGAGTTTTTGCGGAAAATATACCCCTGCCTGGCAATCGCAACAGGCACCTCTACCAACGAGGGACGCTCTTCGACTAATGGCCAGGAGGGCCGCCGGTGCCTGGCTTGGAGCTCCGCAGACTGCAGCTAAGGGGACAAGCTCGTCTGCGGCTGATCAATCATGGTTGAATCTTGCTCGAGTTTCGTGCATCAAGCCATGCCCGCCGGTTGATGAACGGATGATCTCCATGCGCTCTGGTTCGTCTCGAACTCCTCGAGCTAGCCATGAGGGAAAGCCAAAGTCGCCTGGTCTGACAAAGGGGTTTTCCTCTCAATGACCGCGGTGGGTTCTCGACGAGAACAAAGGTCAACTTCAGTTGAGATTGATATACCAGGTCATTGTTAGAGCCGGCGATTCTTGATTCCTTGAAGTGTACGACGCACAGATTTTGTCTCTCTGGAATCTGGCGATCTCGCCGCCGACGGGCGCCTCGCTGTACACTGGTCAGGGTGAAACAGCACGTTTTCGACGGTCAGACTGCAGGTTAATTTTCCGAGCTGGGGCGCCCTTTACATACTGCGCATCCACTCCCCAGTCCCTTTTCAAACATCCCCGGCGCAGGGCTCAACGCTCGCAGAGCTGCTCAATCACTTGCCACGTCTGCAGCTTCCTGCCCCAACCCTCCCATACTTCATTGCGCACCCCTCTACATTCAAAGACGCCACGATACAGCGCCAGATGTCTTTCACACGTCTTGAGATATGACCTCTAGCCCACCGACGCGGCTTCTCTGCCAAATCCCATCCCAAATTTCGCCTGTCCCACAAATTTGCCCCGATTGGCTGTAGCGAGAAGCCTTTCCCCTGTCCGCCTCCTGGGCCGTGCCTCGACTGTGCATGCGCACTGCACCGACACCTCGAAGCAGTACTTACAGTGGCTCTTCTACCTCTTTCACCTGCAATGTAAGGCATGGACTATCACAACGGCATTGCATCTGTCGAGCATTCATACGACCACACCTTGGCGCCTCAGCCTGACATTGATTCTCCCCCCCTCGACTCCGCGCAAATACCACCGTCGTCCTTCCGCCCTGAAACCCCCCCAGAATCAGTACAAGTAATCTCCTCGCTCATCGATTCTCTGAGCAAAATATCTGCCTCTTCATATTTGAGACAAGAACCTGGCGCGAACGCCAGCAGAAATATCCAGGGAGACGTGTACAGTCGTCCCAGTTCGACGGAGCCACCCAATGCGGATGACTTGGACAGGGAACAACACGATCCCCCTACCGCCGATGATAGCAGCGAGGGAGAGGCCGCCGCTGCGCCGGTGATCAAGTACGCCAGAAGGCCACCTCTATTGTCCAAGAGGTCGAGCAGATCATTCGTCCACTCCCTGAATATGACTTCTCAGACTGGTCTTGCCACAAGAGAGTCTATACAGAGCCTTAAGTCGCGTGCCGAGTCTGACAGCGTCGGAGTACCCAGCATTGAGAGACGAGATCGCTCTAGCGCTAGCTCTACCTTCTCATTTGTCAGTGGATTAAGCGCTCCTCATCGGAAACCAACGTTCGAGTCAATGCGCGAGATGGCTGGAACGAGGCCCAATCCTCCCAGGCGAGTCTCGTCGGACAGACGACGGAAGACCGAGTCCCTGTATAGCATGGATCACGAGAAGGAGAGCAAGTGGCCTACTCGTGCATCGTCAATTGACGGGCGTTCGAGCGTGGGAACACAACTTGAACCAGCGCCCGCTGAGAGTCCAACGATCACCGCTCTGAGATTAAGCAGGGGTGACTTGGGAAGCCATATGATACCCTCTCGTCGATCATCGCTCAGACGTAGCGTCACAGGCCTTTCAGACGTCTCTCAGGACCAGCAATCCAGACACTCTTTCTCGGGTCGCGACCTGAAAGAGCTCAATATCGATTCCGAACTTATTGAAGGCGATAACTCGACCGTCAGACGCATCCGGGAACTGCAAGAAGCCCGGGAGAAGCGCCAGAAGGAGTGGCGAAATGAGGCTCGGAAATCGGAGCGAGCTGCGAAGAGACATACCATCGCCACACCAAAATTGTCGTCACAACGGTCAAGCCCGTACCAGACTTCGAGGCTCTCTGTTACCGAGGTGGTGGTAGAATCGCCCGAAGTGGAAAGCCCGCTTGACCTGTCCGCGACGGTCACCGCATCTGATCTGGCGGACATGCCTGCCTTCATCCCAGAACCCCCTAAAGAAGAGCCATCAGCGCCACCGCTTTCTATGGGCGGCGTCATGTCAAACCCATCTAGTGCAGCACCATCCCGACGCAACAGTGTCTACCGGAACTCCATGGCTCAGAGAAAACGGAGTTCTATGACCCATGCGTCGAAGCAAGAGCCTGCCATCACAGAGATGAAGTCAATAACGGAAGAGGTTGACGCCTTTCTCGGCGCGCCCCGTTTTACGCAAAAGATACGACATCCTCGTACTGGGCGGACAATCGCCTTCTCAGAAGTGGGAGATCCAAACGGATTTGTAGTCTTGTGCTGTGTCGGCATGGGATTGACCCGATATCTCACCGCATTTTACGACGAGCTTGCCAGGACTTTGCGCTTGAGGCTGATCACACCCGATCGGCCTGGGGTTGGTGCAAGCTCGCCGTTGCCTGAATCGCAATGTACACCACTAAACTGGGTTGACGATGTAGCCGTCATATGCAGTTCTCTGGAGATTACGAGATTCTCTCTTCTGGCGCATTCCGCCGGCGCGATCTACGCTCTGGCAACGGCTTTGAAGATGCCACAGTATGTCCGAGGGCGCATTCATCTCCTAGCACCATGGATACCACCTTCACAGATGCCCAAAGGGGCAGTGATAGGACCCGATTCGCAGCCAATTGCCAATCTACCATTTACTCACAAAATCCTGAGCGTTTTGCCAGCACAAATTCTTAAGGTCGCAAACTCAAGGTTTTTGACCGCGACAAGTGCTTCCGTGGACACGAGACCGCTGAAGTCAAAAAAGGCCAAGCAGCAACTGGAGAATATGGACGCATCATTTGGTTATCCTTTCCAGGATCTAAACGACGACAGCTCATTCAGAGCTGCGCTTCCTGACTTTGAACCCGAGCGGCCGCGAACAGGCACACCGAACCGGGCACGGGCTCTATCGTGCTACCAAGCCAATAATGAAACTTTGGGAATCCCAGGACCGCCACTGTCCAGCCCAAAGGCCGATTCTGTACGGCAGACGTTTTCGTCCACAAAGGCTGCTGCCGCGCCTTCCCGACCCATGTCCCCACGCTTGAGCTCCGAGGCGCGTCAAGCACTCTACAACCAGACGCTTACGCATCGCATCTGGACGCTGGCTACTCAAAACGCCAATCCCGCCATTGATCTGTTGGTTTGTCTAGAGCGGCGGAGACCCATTGGGTTTCGATATCCCGAGGTGACGAGGTCAGTTGTTATCCATCATGGGGCCAAGGACACGCGGGTTCCGCTGGATAACGTACGTTGGCTCCACGGAGTGATGAAGCGATGTGAGTTACGGATCCTGGACGGTGAGGGACATGGTCTTATGGCGAGCGCATCAGCCATGGCCACGGTCCTCGGCGAGATTGCCCGGGAATGGGAAGAATGGGAAAAGATCGCGCAGGGCAAGGAGAAGAGGAAAAGAAGTGACGCAGCGTCTACCTTCTCGAGAGGAAGGTCCTTTCACAGTAGATTTGTGGATGCCTCATACCGAGAAGCCGCGTCGCGTGACTCTTGACCGAGTTTCAGCCAGGGACTGGATGCGAGATGCACTTTATAGAAGAGGTCGTACTTCTCCTGACCGACTTCTGGATTGGGGACTACGTTCCCCCTGCCTGTGTGACCACCTGCCAACGCAATAATAGGACTTACATGCCCACGGCTAGGTGTTGACGGCAAGGGAATAGAATTGGAAATGGGCAATGATAGCGAACTTGGATATACGGATGCGGGTGGCAGAGCAGCTGCACTACATTAAGATTAATCTAATCTGGCCTCGTCCGAACTTTTGGAATTGAAATCAAGCAAACATCATGCCAGCGGAAACGAGTAGCACCGTGCTCGGTAGAGGCCGAAGCGTCTGTCTGTGGCTATCTTTACACCCACGTGTCGTTGAGCTGGTGTTCCCCTGTCTGCATTTCTCCACACCCTGTGCGCTTGTTCCCGGCACTACTCAGAGGCACCGAGCTGTGTCCCACCCTTCTTCCAACTACTGTAACTAATTCTCTTGATTGCACCCCACCTACTTGAAGACATATTTCGAATAGAGCCCTCTCTGTACACATCTACTTGTTGGACAAGGGCCATCAGACATTCCAGCACATGTTCAACCTCCGATTTACCCACCGCCCTTCTCCTTCCACTCCAACTCCCACCGAACCCTTATAGCGCCTGCGATGAGCAAGGTTCCTGATGCCTGGGAGGACGAGTGGTCCACCACCGCTGATGTATGTGAGACGGTCCTTGTCGAGGCCCATTGTCCCAATCGCTAAGCGCTGTTTCCCAGGATCTGCCAACCCCTCCCTCGGAGGCCAAGAGAGTCTCGTCGAAAGTGACAAAGGCCCAGAAAAGGGCTCAGCAGGCCGAATTCAACCGCCAGCTGTGGGCCGAAGCGTACGCCGCTTCCCCCATTGAACTGCTTCCACCTCTTGACTCTGTGCTAACTCTCGGGGGTGGGCTGACTACAGTGAAGGACCGAGGGAAACCAACTACTTCTTGGAATCGCGCAACATCGTTCCGCTACGGTCCGAGTTCAAACCCCCTCCAATCCTCCTCTCGAGAAAGGGCCCCATCATACAATCAAACTCCCCGCGACCGCCTACGGCGGGCCTCCAAGACCTGAGCCTGAACAGCGACAAGAACAACTCTGGTGACCGCGAATCATCGGAGGACGAAGAGGAGGTCAAGGCCCGCGAGCTCTCCGTCGCCGAACGACAAGCCCAAGCCGCCAGGGACCGAGAGGAGAAGCAGCGCAAATACGAGGAACGCAGGCAAGAGCTGTTCGGGACCTCCAGGGCCAGCACAACCCTGTCCTCTCACCAGCAAGCAGGTCATAACAAGTCCGGAACCTCCAGTCCCGGGAGCCTGACCCCCCCAGGTTCGCGGTCTGCGACGCCCAGTCGAAGCCGAGGCGGCAGGGGAGGGCGTCGCGGAGCAGCTGCAGCCGCAGGAGGAGGAGGCGTGGCGGGCAACCACAACATCAACTCGCGAAACCAATCAAGAGGCGGATCTCAACATCGGGAATTATATGATCCTTCATACGCTTCAAGGCCGGACTCGACGTACATTCCGCGACGGGAGCGGGAGAATGGAGTGGGAATAATCCATCATCCCGCCGGGCTGCCTCAGCAACACGTCCAGGAACCAATCCGGGCACCGAGAGGGCCAGATGGCAGCGGCCGAGGTGGCTTTGGTTTTGCGCCCCGGGCCCCGACAAGCGAGCCTGTGCAGGCCGAAACGGCCGCTCCAGCAACAAGTCATCCTTCTATAGACGCGGGGGAAGCCGCCGCTCCTCCTCCTCCTCATCCTCCTCCTTCTGACACTGATGCAACACGGACGACCTCATGAGCGAACCTGCCTCGTCGCTCCCGGGCCGAATCAGACTGGGGAGGGAAATGGCCCTTTTATCATTAAGCCACGAGTCCCAGCCAGGACCGAGCGAGGGCCGGAAATCATTGTCCTGCTAGGGAGTTCACCGGACTATTTTTACAAATCAGCGTAGACACGGCCATATGTCTCTGCGGCCCCAACTCACCCGGGGCTTTAGAACTCTGTACCACACTTCCTGGGGGTGGTTTTTTAGAACGAGCATGGAAAAAAGCAGAGTAGAATGCCATCCCTGATCGCTCCAACATACCTGTGCCCAAGTCGCCGAGTCAATCAAATATGCTTGCTCCAGTTTTCCATGTGGACACGATCCTCTTGCGTCTAGCCAGGGATACCTACTGTACCTACCACCTTAACTACCTACGTAGGTACTCTGTCTGTGCGGATGGTAAAGAATATTCCCCAGCACAGGAACAACCTCATTGGATGAAAATGTGGGCGGCAGTAGTATACGGGTGAGATGCCATGGCACCTCAAAGCTCGCCCCTATCAGTCAACTGGACGTGGAACATGGACGAGGTACGGAACGCCATCCCACGCCAATTGCTTGAAACGACTCTCATACGTATCACATGTAGACACCGATTGGTATGGTGCCGGGTTTTGACCAAACCACTTTCGCGGATCCATCGATACTCGATCGAGATAGACGACGCCCTTCGACGTCGGGAAGGAGATTTCGGCCATCGACAAATCAGTCAGGCGATCTCAAGCATATTTCCGCGCCATCGGTCGCAACAGCGCCCAGGAACCACAGTAGCGAAGCACACGACCTAATGAGATGGCCGTAGGACCTCCAGCATTTTACTCGAGACTTCAATTGTTCGATACCGTTGTGTCAACTGAGCGCATGTAATTGGGATGTACAGCTCGTAAGCCTCCTAATGCTTGTTGCAAGAAAGCCGTTGTCGCAACCCTCGCTTTCCGAAGCACATCAAATGTTCATGATAGAGTCTGCCCAACTGCGTCGGGGTTATGGACGGCCTCTTCTTCAGGCAAACGCCCCCAGACATCGCCGCCTAACCCAAATCCTTCCTGCGCAACGACTTTCCTTGCGTATTGGATCTCCACGATGGGCTTATGCGCATCCTTCGCACACCATCCATCCTCGCCCACGCCTCTGTACACACCGTGGTATGAATTTTCGTCACTCACGGTCCGCCTCACGCGATCGTCCGCTTCGATAGCGTCGACCCATTGTCTCCAGCGCGTGCCAATCTCCGGTCTGGGAAAATTGCGATAATAGCTCAAGACGCGGGAGAGTCGGATGATCCAGGGCGCAAAAACTACATCGACAAATCCGATCTCGTTGCCCAGGAAGAATGGTCCCGTGGCGTGGCTGGCATTGACCAATGCGGTGATGTTCTTCTGTAACGTGGCGACGAGCATGCTATGTTGCGCCGCCGATGCCGCGTTAGTGACTTGCGCGTGTTCATCTCCGTCGACCTGCATCCCGTCCAGACCCATTGGTTGTTCGACACTGGGTGAAGGAGGCGGGGTCAGGAGCAAGCTGTAGAAACTGGGAAGGATCTTGCGGTTGATATGGTCCGTCCACAGCCGACAATGTGCTCTCAGTTGCGGGTTACCCAGTGGCAGTAGGGAGTGTCCCATGGCTAGATCCTCAAGGTACTCCAAAACAACACCGCTTTCCCAGACACCCCAATTGCCGTGCCTAATACACGGGATATTCCCTTCCGGGTTCACCTCCAACATCTCCGGCGGCCTGTAACTGTCGACGGTTGCGGGCATGATTTCGACCATCTGATACGGAACACCCTTGATCTCCAGAGCGATCCAGATGCGTTGCGCGAAGGGGCAGAACGAATTGGCGAAGAAGGTTATCTTCGTCGGGGCAGGAGCCGCGTGGGATCGCGCAGTGAAGAAAGCCATTCCCGAGGCCCGGAAAGAAGGAGACACCGACTCGTTGTTTGTTGTGGATTGATTCGAAGTACCGGAGGCGGGAAGTTTCTAGTAGATCATGATTAGCCGCGCAAAGATTGGACGTATATGAGGAAGATCCAAGCAGACCTCCTCGTAGTGTTGTAGCAGCCAAGGGGAGACTGGGGAGGGGTTGAAACACTTACACTCAATCGTTTCTTTTCCTTTTCCTCCTTTAGCATCCATCTTTGCACGCTGTTCTTCTTGATCCGGTCACTTTCTTCAAGGGTATGCTTGTGGTCCAGATCCGCATTCAAATTGGGGTCCAGCACTGATGAATCGATTTCGTCTTCGACGTCGCCGTTAACATTACTGTCACGTTTGTTGGAGTCTTTGACAGCTCCCCCACCAGGATTACCTCGGACACGTTGGATTGTGAACCATCGCTTTCCATCAGCGCCTGGGTGGCCTTGAGGTAGAGGACGGGGAAGTTCAAGCAGTCCAAAATTTGGATCAATGGGGTTGGCAGCGTTGTGTGAAATACCCCCACCGCCAACGCCGCCGCCGAGATGACCAACACCACCGAGACCGTGGCTGCCGTCTTCGAGGACGATAGTCAGCTCGGTGTTGTCTATACTTCCAAAAGTGCCCATGTCGCTCGCCATCGTACCGTTGGCATTGCCGCTAGCGTCGACGCCATTCATGTCGTTCCCACCTGCCAAGCCCAACTTCCTTGCTTCTTCAGCACTGAAGTACTCGGTGATTTTGATTTTGACATCGCAAAGATCTCGCTCCCGAGCCTGGCGCTTGCGCTTTTTCTTGTTGGGGTCATCGCTCTTGGGGGTTCCACTCGGGCGACCCTTCAATCGACAGTCCCAGTAGTGACTAACGAAGGCCTTGCGTTTGTATTTTTGGGTGGAGCGATGGGAGTAGACGTTGTCGACGTGGGGAAAGTAAGTGAGGAACTCTTCTTCGGACAGCACCAATGTCTCTGTGATATTGAAGAGTTTGTTGCGCCATTCCTCAAGGTCTGGCGGGTCAGACACCAGAGGGAAGTTGGCGCTGAAGGGGTTTGCCGCAACAGCGGGGTCTGTTTCTGCACTGTCATTGTTGCCATTGACATTGGAGGCACCATTGGCTTCGGTGGTAGAGGGGGTAGTTTGGTAATGAGACACCCAGGGATCAGTTTGGACCACACCATGCGGTGTAGTGTAGACTTGTGACTGTTTAGACAAGGATCGAGTAGGGGTGGGAGTGCCGTTCGGGTATGCAGACGAAGAGTTTTTGAAGACGAAGCCATTTTGCTTCTGGGATTGCGCCGGGTCTGACTGCCCTTGTAGATTATCAGACTGTTGGTTCATCTGTGTGGCTTGCATCTGGGGAGTCGTATTCGAAGCGTTGCTACCGTTGCGAGACGGAGTGGTCGAGGCTGCATTCTGGGCAGCTCGAGTCTGGGCCGATATGCCGGAGCGCGTCTGCTGGGGACTGCGCATAGCGACATTCGCACTAGGACTCGTTGTATTCCTCGAATTGTTGCTTTGTTTTCGAGTCTGCACGTTCGGAGAGCTGTTCGGCGCCGATGGCAGTGGTGGCAGGATTATGGGATAGGATTGGTTGTGAGGGTTGGCGTTGAGGGATTCAGCAGGGGCATATCCAGCTGCCGCCGCGGCATCTTGCGAGGCGCTGTCATGCTCGTTGCTGAAGGCAGGGAATTGTTGTTGAACCGCCGCGGCGAAGGTTTGGAGAGTGTCGGCCTCCATTGCTGAAGGGGGGATTGATGGACGGACTGAGGGTGCGCAGATTGATGATAAAGCGGCGTGTCAGAAGGAGGGCTGGAGGGATGAGGGCTGAAGGCAAAAAGAAATTTGGAGATGCTCGAGGCTTGGTGGAGTTGGCAGCGGCTGCCGAATCTGGTCATTTCAAGTCCGCCGGGTCATTTTAAAGTGCGACTTAGTCAGCCTCTCATGCATGGTTCCGCCACCACCGCCATCCTCTGTACCACTCGGTGATATACGAGCACATATCGAGCCCCCCACTACTTTACATGGCAATATGCTCGGTCAGAGTTGTGTTATCCAACGGCCGACCCTGGCTTCGATATTCACCGGGTCTGGTTTCAAGGGCGGTCTTTCTGGCCTTCAGTGCCGCCCTGACGACAAGGGTGACACAGCGAAACCTAGCCCTTCTCTGTGTGCGTCAGATTCCAACCTTCATCCCATCTTCCTGTCCTTTCTCTTGTCATAAGCTTGTGAGTTTTTGAAGGGAAATCCCGACGTTCGCTTATCTGCACCTGTCCTCTTCGACCGCCTGGCCTCCGTACTACCAAATATCACACTCCATATTCCCACGCTTGCCAGTATGCCGTACCCCAAAGCTCCGAGCATGTACGCCGTTTGTTCGTAGTTTACATATCGCATGTAGCAATACACCATACTGAAGCTGTGGAAGAAGGTGGTGATTTGTAGTATCGGCCTGGCGTAGGGAGCCTTGGGATCGTTGTCCTCCAAGCTGACCGGCTCACTGATGCTCGACGACAATGGGATTGTGCCGGTAAAGAATATTGCAATCAGCGCAATCAGGACCAGGGCAAAACCCAGCGATCGACTCAGATAGATTTCGACATCTGTTTTGTTCGGGGTCCGAAGGTCGTCAGAGTGGCTCGTAACCGGGAAGGATCTCAGATGCAGCCGTGGATGACGACGCCATGGACAGTCCCATCTTACCTGAAGTTTGGTGTCCATCTTCCGCTAGCATCATGATTATCAACTTGGGCATGACAACCAGCGGTACAGCTTGCATTCCGAGCCACACTGCCGTGCCATACGTGTAGGCATAAAACACCTATTCAAATGTGCCTGGGTCAGCTGGCAGTATGATAGTGGGTGAACAAGGCTACCACTCACGTCCATTCTCGAAACAAGACGCAATCGGTGTCAAGGAATCCAATGATATCGAGTCCTCGCGCGTTGGCTCATTGGCGAAAACCACAAGGAACTCGAACCAACAGAAGACCTGGCGAGCTTGCTACAAACAAAGAGAAAACAGATGACGTCATTTGTCATCAGCAGAGATCTCTCGCTACCTGGGTCCTTCTAGGGTATGTGGTCCATACTGATAGGAGACGTGGTGCTGTTGCTACATACATATGTCGTTCGTAGCAAAGCCTAGCTCGGTTGGATACTGATGTGGTATCTTTGCAGCGAGCATGGTTAGTCAAATAAGGTGGTGCTTGGTGCGAGTAAGATAAGAAACACAAGTACATGCAGTCCTTTCAATCGATTAGATTGTGGCTAAAGACATGCTAACAGCTGTAACGAAAAAAGGAGAGTGCTTGGATAGCACAATCTCTGTAGACCAACGCAACCCTGTATGGGCTGGGTAAATGTGGTTGAAAGCCATGAAAATGCTCGCCTTTCTCCCGTGTTCATCCAGGATATGCCCGCCCGAGCGGCCAGCAACTTCGCCGTGATACGTATATCTTGAATGCTTTTGAGCCCCCCACATGCATTCTATCATCGACATTCATGCTAGAGATGTGACATTCTCATACTCCTCTCGTCCGTTTTCTTCTCGTTCTCCTTTTGCAAGCCGCGGCGTCTTCTCTATGAGTTTTGGAATGCAGTAAACGCTTTGTATGTGTATCCAATAAATGGCAAGCTCATTTCGGCGTCTTGTTCTGGCGAGATCTGTTTGGCATGTGCCCGGTGCATCGCGCTGTTATCCTCTTGAGGAATCTCGTCAATGGGGAAGTAGCTGACGTCGATGTTCGACGACAGCTTCGGTTCAAATGGTGCTCGGATTTTCCGTAGTTGATCCCACACCACTCCTCGGAAGAAAGGGTGTTTCTTGATGGACGACGCGCCGTCATGTGCTCCTCCCTCTTTGCCCAATCGATCATTGGCGTCACAGAGGAAACTATCCGTGTCAGTATCAGAAAACGTACCCCAGTTGTTTCACATACCTTCTGATCATGTCTTCGGCATCTCGACCCAAGACCAGTTCATCTGGGAAATACAACGATTCCCGCCAGTTGACAATCTTGCGATATGTGTCGTGTGTGTCTTCGGCGCAGAAGGGTGGCCAGCCAACCAAGCATTCGAACATAATGGCTCCAACGGACCACCAGTCGCATAAATACGTGTAACCTTGACCGAGGAAAATTTCAGGAGCAATGTAGTCCGGTGTCCCTACTGTCGAGTAGGCCATGTGACGACGCGATTTCCTCCAAGTATTCACCAGCCCCCGGTTGCTGACGGTCAGATTTATCTGCTCATTCAGGGCCATCGAATTTCGGTTTCCTGACTTATCGTTGGCTCCAGCCTTGAGAAGTGCTTGGTAGTACGAGTTCTCGTGCTGTTTGCGACCGCCGGTAGAGAGACCAAAGTCAGTCAATTTGATATGACCACCTCTATCCAGGAGGATGTTATCTGGCTTGATGTCACTGGAACGGCGGTTAACTTGATACTCTAGAACTTGGTTTGGGGCCTCTTACCGATGAAGAAAGCCAAGCTTATGGACAGCTTCAATAGCCATGACAATCTCAGCCATGTAGAACCGCGTGATGTCTTCCGAGAAGATTTCGTATTTGATCAGCATAGTCATCAGATCACCACCGGGTAAGAATTCCATCAGCATGTATAGGTACGTGTTGTCCTGGAACGAAGCATGTAGCTTAACCAGCCATGGGTTGTCCTTGGAGTCTGCCAGAATGTCACGCTCCGCTCGAACGTGGGCCAATTGATCCTTTTTGAACATTTCCGACTTTATCAGAGACTTCAAAGCATAGATCTTTCCGTCAGTTTTGCGTTGCACCAGTTTGACCTCTCCGAATGCTCCTTTGCCAATGACCTTGATGGTAGTGAAGTTTGAAGGCACTTCTCGCGTTCGGATGAAGCGTAGGAAGCGCGCCTCTTTCTGCGCGAGAGTGTTGATTTCCTTTTGTTTCTCGATATCGCTGACGGCGGGGTTCTTGAGTAGGGCCTCCAGCTCTTTCGCACGACTGTTCCTATCCCTGGCTCGCTCAATGTTCTCTTGAAAGAAACTGTTAACCAACTGCTTAGCAGCCGTCCCTCGTTTAAGAACATTATCAGAGTATCTGCGCGGGTTTGGTTGTTCCTCCTCTTCAGGTTTTGGTGAAGGTCTCGGCATCGGTGGTGCAAGATGACTTTGGTAGGGATTCTGGACTTGTCTGGCCTCGCCGGCTGTCCGAGGACGCGACATGGCAGGTGACGGAGTGCGGTTGGCGTTGACACGTGGGGTCGCCCCTAAATCTTGGTTGGAAAACTGTTGGATGAGACCACTCGTTGCATCATTGTTGTTCGTCATGTAGGGCCGTGAGTTCGCTTGGTAGGCGGGTTGAGGAGATTGGAGGCCACCCTGTGGCTGGTACTGATATTGCTGCTGATATTGAGCCTGATGCGACTGAGAAGGGTATTGTTGATTCAAGAAATAGCCGGTGTTCGTGTTGGGATTTGGCGACACGAGACCACCAGCATAATCTTGCTGTTGAGTGCCATAGATCGGCTGAGGAAAGGTGGATGGAGTAGTGGGATACATTCGAGCATTGGCGGCATCAAAATTATGTTGGTTGTCGAACTGAAAGTTCAGTCGAAGACGGTTATTGTCGTGGTCCATTGCTGCAGTAGATCAAGAGGCGACAGCAAAGCGGACAAGGGGGAGCACGGGAGGCTCGCTGGGCTATGACTCTGTCCGATCTCGTTGTGGGTATTCTCTTTGATCGCAGATGCCTTGGATGATCGCAAGTAAGTGGACTGGAATCTCCTTGCACCGGAGAAGGTGTAGACAAAACCCCCTTGGGACCTACAGCAGTCGGTGTAATCTTATCCTTCTTTGATCTGGATTGCGGTGAATCAGAGTCCCAGATTCCTGCTCAGGCGACAAGGTGAGTGACGACAAGACAAGGAAGGCGAAGTACCTTCACTTTTCCAGAGAAAGGACAAGAGCAAGGTGAAGAGGGCATGGAAGGGAAGGAGGTGTATGGGCTGTGGGTGCGGAAAAATAGGGTGCGGTGCATAGAGATCGGTTACTGCAGGGTGGGAAACAGTCTACGGCTAAGGATTAGGGGCAAGTGCCCACTGGAGGCTGCCGCTGCACTAGAGGCAAGCTTAAAGAGACTCCTGAGGGTCTTTAGGCATCGACTGGGGTTGTCCTTCACGCCTGTGTCCCAATTGCACACCAGGAACGGCTTCATCGCCAGGCACAAGCACGCGATTGGTTCTCAGCCTCCTACCCTGGGCTGACATAGCACCTAGAGGTACGGCAAGAGACCATTGCGAGGATGCCAGATGGCTGCTCGCGTGGTCACACACCTCGCTTGTACTTCCGTCTTTATCTTGCACAGCTTCTCGGATGACATGGTGACCCTGACATCACAGAGCACAGGCACAAGATCAAATGATTCGGGGCAGACGGACAAGCGGAAGACATCAAGGTAACCAGTGTCTCGGGTGGGAGTCTCCAAGCAACCCTCTCTCAGCTCCTGCATCAGACAGTGGACCTATTTATGGGCCTGTATGAAGTCAAGGAGCAAGAGACGTTTCTTTTCACAATGGTGAAGAGGTGTGGGTGCTGTTACTCCCGGTGTTTGGAATGAGCGGTAAAGGGTTCCAGTCTGCTGCTTGCCCGTGCGAGGCTCACTACTTCACCTAGACTGCTTTAGGGGGGAGGAAGATAGGCCAATAACCAAATTGCAGGGGAAGGTAGGCCGAGTCCACTCAGAGTCCATCGTCGGAGCAGCATATCCGACCGTCACTTTTTTTCTCTGGGCAAACCATGCATGCGCAAGGTCCATCTGAGCGATCATACTATCTTGCTTTCCACAAGCTTGAGGCCGGAGCGCCATCAACACCATGGCCGACAGCTCAAATCCTCCCAAGCCAGATGGATTGCCTCAGGGTGCCAAATATGAGGCACCTAAACCCCCCAAACAAAATCCCGCTCTTCGGATGATGGGTCAGTCTCTCAGCAGCCAATATCTTTAAATCTTGCCTGACGTGCAACAGGGATGCCCAACCTCCGATTGAGATTGCCTTCGCGGAATTGGATGATCTTCTTAACCATCGTCGGCTCCTGGACTGCAGCTGTTGTTTATGACAGGAGGGAAAAGAAGAAAGCTCAAAAAAAATGGTGCGACTTAGTCGCTCACATCGCCCAAGAGCCTCTTCCAGCGAACCAAATGCCCCGCAAGTTGACGGTCTTCTTATCTGCTCCTCCGGGTGACGGCATTAGACCTTCGAGACAGTACTTCAAAGACTACGTCAAGCCCGTTCTTGTCGCCGCGGCAATGGATTACGATGTAATCGAAGGCCGGAAGGAAGGGGACGTCCGATATGGAACAGCAGAACAAATACGAAGGCTACGGCGGAAAAAAGGCGAAAAAGAGCCTAATTCAACAGAGCCAGAGATGGATACCGAGGCAGCGATTGATATGATTCGGGATAAGATGCAGATTGTGCCGGAGCCTGGAGTCCGAGGGGATCTGGTCCTTGGAAGACATACCTGGAAGGAATACATAAGAGGATTGCATGAGGGCTGGCTAGGGCCAGTAGATGAACCTCCAGCACCGCCTGAACCTGTCTCCATTTCGGAAGCAGATCCCTTGTCTCCACATCCTCCCATCGAAGTTCGAACGGATAGTTCGCCAACAGCCACAGAAAGTGCAGAAATGTCGAAACCCGATTCAGAAAAGAAAGCAAGCGAAGAAGAGAAGAAGGAAGAGGAAAAGAAGAAACCATACCCACCGCCAGCATACCTATCCATCGACAAATATCCATCCGCCAGTTTATCGCCCCACACTCCGAGCATATTTGAACCGTCTCAGCCAATCCATCAGCAGCATCTCTTGGGCTTCCTCAAGACCCCTCAAAGGATATACAACTTCCTTACGCGTCGATATCTGGCGGATCAAATTGGCCGCGAGACAGCAGCCATTGTCCTTGCCGCTAGCAGGCCGTACGAACAGAGTGCCTCGACGACCACTTTCTTTACAGATCAGTCAGGTCTTGATGCGGATCCTGTGGCTACCAAAGCACCTGAATCCGACGCCTCTTCCTCGATGTCACCGTCTCCGCAGAGTCAGACAGCATGGGAACAACAGTCTCTCCTCATTCAAGAGGAACCCAAATGGCACAAATCCGTGCGCAAACCCCGCAAGGATGATGACGAACTCTACGAGCCCATCTGGATGAGAGACATGGTCATCGACGAAAGGATAGGTTCGCGAATGAGAAAGTTCCAATTGGATGCGGATGAGGAGGCGAGAGCGGATAGGATTGGTCGAGGGCAGGAGAAGGCGCGGGTGAAGGAGGTGGTGGATTTGAGGAACGAGAAGGTCATTGTCGGCAACCTGGATGATGATTGAGACGCGTATGGGAGGTCTCATTTGAAGATCGATCGTGCGAACATCGGCTTTGTTGGTCTCTCCAAGCAAGCACCGTCTATCTACTCTACTGTACCAAAAGGAAAAAAAGTAATTCTGCAAAAAGCATCGGGAGCTCTCTCTGTCCCAGACACATTGTGATCAATTGGTTTCTACCGTCCCATGCGGTTCAACACGGACCTCTACCTTCCTCGTCCTGCTCCAGTGGTCGGCATGGGTCCCTCCCAGCTGCAAACCGTGACCATGACCGTGGCCGTGGCCGTGGCCGTGACCGTCATCAAGGTCTAGAAAATCCCCCCACGGGCGCATCCCGTCGAGGATCTCGGTCTCGCGCTTCTTGAACCGGTTGCCCTGGCGCGTGATGTACATCGGCATGGAAGCCGTCGTGGATTGGGCCTCTCGGTCGTCCAGCAGGTGTCCGTGGTCGACTGCAGCGGACGACAGGTGGCGGGGATGGTTCCCCTGGCCCGGTTCTTGCTCGCCACCATCGCCTTCGCCATCGCCTTCGCCTTCGCCATCGCCATCGCCATCGCCATCGCCATCGCCATCGCCATCGCCATCGCCATTGCTAGCGCTGACGCTACCATCACTGCCATCATCTACGCTCTCGTCCCCGTCGACGTCCCAGTTGCCCCACGCCTCCCACGCGTTTTTGCCATCGCCCGTGCCCGCAGCCGGGTTCCTGGTGCTGGTGATCGGCTCGACGGGGTCATATTCATGCGACTCGTAGACCAGCCTGAACTGCAGCGGTGGGAGGCCGAAGTGCCGCGCCAGCAGAGATTTCAGGCGGTACACGGAGATGGTCGTCGGGAGGAAGCGGTGGAATGGCTCGGGCGTCGCGGCAGACGCGCGAGCGGGAGGGATGTAGAAGTGGGCGTCCACGAGGCGGGAGCCGAGCGTGCCGGGAGCGTAGGCGTCGAAGTCGGACTTGTCCTGGGATAAGTCTGAAGAGGGCGGTTTCGCCGACGACTGCGGTTGGAGGTACCGGAGGAGAATGTCCTCGCGGTCGTACTGTTCGCAGAGCCGGGAGTAGAGGGGGTGGGCTTTCCGGGCCAGCTCGACCGTCTCTTGAGGCGAGAGACGTGGTGACGTTTCAGACACTTGGTCTGGCGGCCGCTTACCCGTGCTTCGCTGGAGCAGGGGTCGCAGTTCCTTCTCCGCGATCGAGAGGTAATAGATCTCGCCTTCTTCTCTGTCCCGCGGCGTGATAGTCGTATAGTTCAGGGATTTGAGATTGGGGATCCGCGCCAGCGTCAGGTAGTACGAAGTAGAGTCCGATGTTGTGCTCTGAGCCTGTTGCTGGTGCCGAGGGCCAGAAGAAGGCGCCGGTGACTCGTCTGAGGATTTGGTTGGTTCGTACAATGGATTCCGTGAAATACGCAGCGAAATGAGGCTAGGGAATAGGCTTGGAAGACTGTTGACAAACGAGTAATCTCGGATCTTGTTGTTGGCCAGATTCAGGGTTTCGAGGTTGGGGATGCTGGAAGGTCTAGGGGCGCCAGAAGTGTCAAGGCCTAGATCAGATATTGTGTTTCCCTGGAACGACAGTGTCTTGAGGCATGGAAACAAAGTCAAGAGGACGGGTAAAGAAGATAGGTCTGCAAATCGGTTATTGTCGAGTATCAACGTGGTCAAATCCGGACATTGGCCAACCCCCGTCGTGCCGTTTATCTCAAAGGAGTCCAGCTCGTTCAGGGAGAGCGATAACGTCTTCAAGGAAGGAAAGGCACATTGTCCTTTCGGAAAGAGAATGTCGATGATCTGTCTTGAAGTGAGAAGACACTCGTTGAGATGCAACTCCTCGACGTTCTCAAAAGGATGAGGTTCCTGCGAATAGTCGGCTTCAAAGTCCCTCAAGCGCAGTCCGCCCGCTTTCAAGATCTTCAATTTCCGAAACGGCACGCACATGTCCACAATGTCTTGCCAGGTTTCGATGATGTTCCAACCCAGGTCTAGTTCAACAATGTTTGGACACGTGCGTTCAAGTTCGAGCTGCGCATTGCGAATGTGCTGAGTCGAAGAGCCATGTCTGGCGATGCCTGAAACCACTAACTCGTCGACGAGGACAATCTTGAGATCGGCCAGGACTGATAATTGCTTCTGAATTCGTTCAAAGCCAACTTCTTCCACCACCTTTCCTGATATCTCAATCATGTCGTCCACCTCACGGGCAGAGGCGGCATTGGCCCTTAAATTGTTGACGGGTGCATACTTGAACTTGATTGCCTCGAGAAGCGCCCGTTCTGGGTCTGGATTGCGGGAAGGCCTCAAGAAAGAGGCAGCTGTTGGGGAGGGCGACAGACATTGAAAAATCTGTTGACCCTCGTGTTGCCCGTTGTGTTTCCCACGGCTAGGGTCGTCCCATTCGATCCCCAGCCATTCGCCTTTCGTATTGGAAAGAGGACCACGATACCGCACAGTGCATAGTGCGCCCCCGTAGCTGCGGCGTTGCCCAATATAAACTTCATGGTCGGCCATATTGTTAGGCGCTGGTTATCCTGAAGTTACCTAGCGAGGTATCGCCTTGACAAGCATGTTGCAAACGAGGCTCTAGGGGGACCCAAGCAACACAATAATTCTGGGACAGAAGCAAGGTCTTCAGTTCTGGCCAGAGGCGTGAGCTGCAAGTCAAAGGATTCTTCAAAGTAGCGACAGAAATGCTACCAATTTTGAGAAAGTAAGAACTGCAAGGGAGGTGGGAGCCTTGGGGGTTGAAGTGGCCGAGGCTGCGAAACAAACGCGATATTAACATCCAAAGCGGGTTTAGCGTGGCATGTATCAGGCTGCAGCGCTCGAGAAGCCACTGATACCAGGAATACCATGACTTCAAAGGTTTCTCCAGCACATTCTTCTCTGCGTCCGGTATAGCACGTATTCACCATCAACCTCTCATTCAATTGCTGATCTTCGGCTCTCTTCGTAGCCCTCCCTCGCATCTCTACGAGGCAATTATGCTACAACCTCGCTCCAAACCCACACAAATATGCCATACCTCATGATGGTGCTTTTGTCCAACCTGTTGTGATGTGGCCCCAAAGCTTCAGAAGACTTTATCCTGAATAATCTAAATTCCAGATGAGCCAACGTCCGAATAACACTCCCTGAACTCCATAACTTCCACTCGCTGCATTGCCGTGCTTTCAGTATACTCCAAAATCCGCAAGGTCGAAATCTGCATCCATGTCCATATCCATATCTGCATCGAGGCGGATGTTCTCCTTGTCCAAGTCTTTTTCGTAGCCACCGCTGATGAGCTCACCCAAAACATCCCGTAAGACAGGTCGTTTATCCAAGAACTTCCGCAGACCGCCATCAGGGCCACCGACCAGTGCAGTCCCTCTCACAACCTTGTCCGGCTTTCTGAAGGGGCTTCGCTTCTGCTTCTTCTCAGGACTCTTATTGCTGTAGTTATTCTCGCTCGTCTGCCGAATCGATCGCTTTTGCTTCTTTGATGATGGTGATAGAGGTGAACTGCTCGCTTCTTCCACACCAAAAAGTCCAGCAACACTACACTTCTGCGTAGCACCGTTGTTGGCCTGAGTGATCGCACTCTCGAAGTAATGCGTCTCACAAGCTTTACCTGGCAGTTCCAAGATCCACCCCTTCTCCCCCATAATCCTTGTCAAGCCGTGTAAGATGGGCACATCACTTCCTTCCAAAGTGCTCCTACTTCCCACGAGCAGCAGCTTACTCCTTGCCCTCGTGATTGCAACGTTCACTCGTCGCCAATCTTTGAGAAGGTCTCCGACGTGGTTGTTCTCGTTACTCCTCACACAGCTCAATATCACAACCTCCTTGTCTCGGCCCTGATATTTGTCGGCGGTATGCATTTCCACCTCGCCTGACGCAACAGAGCCAGCGAGGGCTTTCACGTCGCTCTTTAGGAGTGCAAGTTGAGAACGGTAGAAGGTGATTACCCCAATGGATCGGGCTGCGACGCCGGAGTGAATTAAGGCGGTGACCAGCTGTGCTGTAAGGATTGATTCGATTGTGTTGGTGATTCGGGCACCTGCCACGGTTTCTCGTGCCAGACCTCTGGGTGTGGAACTGTCAGTGTCGAGGAAGAGGCAGCGAGAAGAAGGCGAGAGTGCGCGTCGGAGCCAGCAGCTGGGGGTGGCGAGGCAAACTGTCTGCGTACTGTGATTGCTGGTCTTTGCCAGGGCAGACGCTGTGAAATGATGCGCAGCCATCCCGCCATCAAGGTCTGGGATGTCAAGCATCCGTCTGGCAACAGCTTCATTACCACATTTGATTCGGCCTGAATAGACAAGTTCTTTGGACAGAAGCATGATGTCCTCCGCCATACGGTATTGGTGTTCCAGGTTGACCACAGAGTCTGGCTGCGCATCAGACAATAACTTGAACAGACTCACATCTAGACCGCCCTCCAAAGCCTGTTTATTCTGGACGAGAGGTGGTAGCTGGTAGTGGTCACCCACGAGAATAAAAGTCCTGGCCATGCGAATCGGTCCCAAGCACACCGGCAATGTGATCTGAGAAGCTTCATCCACGATGCAGTAGTCAAATGTCCGGGCATTGAAAATGCCATGGTTGACACCAAGGCAAGTAGTTGCCACAACCTTACTTTCGTGCCACGACACGTGAAGCTCTTCGGTCGTGCGTTTGGGGATCCCTGAGATATCTGCAAAAGACTGCACCTCAGGATGCACTTTGTTGACAGCTCCAATCCGCAGGACGGGGATGTTATCACCCTTGATTTTCAACAGGATATTGTCCACAGCAGTATGTGTGTACGAGGCAAGAAGGACTGATTTGCCTTGTGACACAAGCGCGCGGATGATGTGAGCAATAGTTGTGGTTTTCCCCGTGCCTGGCATTCCGAGGACGAGGGCATAATCTTTGGCACTCATCACCTTCTCAATGGCTCGTTGCTGATCAGCATTAAGATTCTGTTGTGAAGCAGGTCCAGATAGAGTGTAAGCGGTTGAAGGGACCGTGAACTCTGGATGCCTGTTCTCGATGATCAACTGACGAAGCTCTCGGGCTCGCCAGAGATCCTTTTCCATCATGCGAAGGATATTGTTCCTTGCCGTAGCCATGCCGTTCGCAAATTCATCCTTGTCGATCCGATAGAGGATGGGTTCGTCGCGTTGTGAAGTCTGGGAGTTGCTGTTGTTAGCTACATCCATACGACCAGAAAATACTTGGTTGGCCACAGGGTCGAAGCCTTCCAATTTCTTTTGTGCGCGTTCGAGTTTCCGGTCTACCACTACCACCACCCTACTAGGTTGTACATTGGTGACGAAACCGGCTGCGAAGTTGAAATGTCCTCTCTCGTCCGATATCACAATTGGCTCCCCGGTGGTGATCTGTGAATCCCTGAAGGAGAAGCCGGGGCGGTGCGTATGCTTGACAAAGGTGTACTCGAATCGGTTGATCTTGGAGCCTTCAGCATTTTCAAGGGCTGATCCAGGCTGAATGACTACCTCTGAAAAGCAGCGTCCAAGTGTTTCGCGCTCTGAACTCAACATTGTCCAGAGCTCGCGGCGGAATTTCATGGAATCACGCTCTTCCTTCGTGAGCAAATCATCCCACTTTTTGAAGAAAGACTGGTGCGCCGGTGACAGGTGGCCGACAACTTCGTTGAACTTCTCCCCCAGACCACTGGTTTCTGCGGTGCCATTTTCGGACAGCTTGTGGTAGGTGAAACAAGCCGCCTTTGAATAGCAGCTTTTGCAGAGGTGTTGTTTCTTGATCATGGGTGGCAAAGCTAACTTGTCGTGAACATAGCATGCCAGTTCATTTCGCTGGATGATCATGTGGCGTATCTCGTTTCTGATGCCTTCAACCCTGTATGTTTTGGAGGTTTCCAGGTAGTAGAGAACGCCGCATGTCACAGTGATATCGTATCTGTCTGATAAGAGCAGAGTATAAAGTGCTGTTTGCACACGGTGCTGCTCCACATTGTCCTTCTTACCGGTCTTCAGCTCGAAGGGCACTAGCAGAGTCCTGGCTGATTGTTCATTCGGCAGCTTCATCTGTGCTTGAACTGTGGCGTCGATGTTGCCTTTGAGACCGTACATAGGCGACCAGATATGTTCTTCGAGTTCAAGCAACTTATTAATGGAGGCGGGAACGAGAAGGCCATTTCGGTCACGGATGAGAGCATCTAGTGACAAAGTGTCGCCGACGAAAACACTAGCCCATGCCATCAGTTCCGGTGTCTTTCCAAGAAGATATTCCGTTGCTTCATGCAGTCGAACGCCGATTTCATACAGCGATTCGACGTAAGAAGGAAGAATCTTGTCAATGATCTCTCTGAAGGACTGGATATCCCATCTGTTTATCTGTAAAGCACGCCCGAACACTTCGTGCAGGATGTGGCCGTAAACCTGAGGCTGACTCGCTGCGCTGGTGGCTTTTACTCTGTCTTGGAGCACGGCACGCCGCATACAGGTGAAGGAATCTCCGACCACAGTTGAGGAAATGAGATGGTCAGGATGGATAATGACCATGTTGTCGGCATCGTTGACGATGCACTGGCCCGTGAGATCAAATTGGCCAATGACGTGAACATAAGATCCTTTGATGCATCTGGTATCGTACCAGGATTCCCGTAACAGGATAATATAGCACATGCTAGATCTCTCATCTTTGACTGAAAGCATCTAAATCCGGTCAGTGCTCAGAGATTGGCGAAAGAAGGGGGGCTATACTTTTTCAGGTCTTTTGCGGCCGGGCTTGTACTCATACTCACTCTCAAAGACCTCCACTACGAGATAACGTTTGATGGCTCGATTGTCAATTGATCTCTATTCACTCTATCAGCATGCGCATCATCAGATTGGAATCTATTAAGAACGTACATGATCCTTGGATGTAATTGGTGTCCTGCTTTTTCCATAGGTCGCATTGGCAATGTCCTCCCAGAGCTCATCATCGTCATCAAATACGTCTTCAAACTCATCGAGTGTTTCAAGGTGCTTGGATTGTGGATTGGTCGCTGAAGTAGGCTTCGCAAAGGCTTGTGGATCGGCTGCAACGGCCTGCGACTGCGAATCATACTGTGCAGCAAGATCAAGCATCTCATTCATCAATTCTTCATCGTCATCGTCATCATCATCAAATTCATCAAATTCTGCAGCAACACCCGACTGGAGTGGCTTTTGATTCTCATTTCGTTGCCTCTCGTTTTGGTCTCCGAATCCATCAAGCTGGAGGGTTCCAACCTTATCGTGGTATTGAGCACTCGGCCGCGTACTCGGCCAGTCCACTTTGCGATCTGGTTCAGTCTGGGTTATTTCGATCTTCGCCTCGACCTGTTCGAGGGCCCGTTCAACACATTCGAAAGCTTCAACATCGAGACCATCGTCGCTGAATTCAAACGATGACAATGTTTCGGTCGGGACCACAGTCTCTGGTGAATGAGCTATTCGGGGAGCGTGAGCTGCGTCTGCTGGACCAGCGGACCTTTGCCTGGTTCTGTTCGGAGGCTTCGTTGGCGAAACAAATGCCTGCGAGCGTCTGTCTGGAAGTGGCGAGGAACTTGAGGGGCTTTCGGCAGCATCGGCCTTCCTGGTCAAACTCTCCTGGATTCTGTCAAGCAGAAGACCAACTCGAGTATTATTGGAAAGATCACGGCGCAGAATCTCCTTGCGGGAAGCGGCAAATAGCTCTTTAGTGCGGCTGTGATGCTGGGTCGTCTCTACCCTTCGGCGCTTCGCTTTTGACGTGGGCCATTCAACCCCGCAGCTGTGTGTTCGTCTCAAGCCGCTGTCCTTACTGGTAGTGCTCGGTGTTTGAGGGGATGAAGGAAGTAAATGGACATATGCAGGCAAAGTGGGCTCTTTCCCGTCTTTCTTCAATCCATTGGCGGTTGTGTACCTGTTCCAGAGATCTTGTGTGGGATCATTGTTGGGAGTGCGGAGGGACTTGTTGAGGGTGTCAAGATTCAAGGCATCCTTGTGTGCGGAGAGCTGTTGTGAGGAGGAGGGTGAGGAACTGTGAGCGCGTTTTCTGCTTCTGTGCGTGGCGCCAGCTACTGCTGAGGCGTCTGAGCTGTCCGGGTGTGTCTGCCAGAGAACGTGGTCTTTGGGCGTCCCTATCGGTGGAGCGCAATTGTATGCATCTTCGGTATTTGCAATGAGGTCTTCGATGGGAATGCGCACTGCGGGTGTATGAGGGACTCTAGGCTCGGGGACCTCGTCCTGACGGTCACAGTCATCTGAGTTGGGGTTTGTGATAGCATTCTGATCCGATTGATTCTCCTTGTCTTCGTCTCCGCCCAGCAGTCTTTCGTCGAATGCAAAAGCTTTGAGCTTTCTCCTCGATTGCGATGACACGCCAAATGGGCCGGAGGGCATAATGTTAGGGGAAATGGAGTTCTGGTATCGGTCATGGAGTGTGATAGATGATAGAAAAACTGGACGATTCCTCGATGTTGTGGTGGAGCATGGTGGACGAAAGGTCGACACAACCCACACAACGGCCCAAGTCGCGTTCAGGTGGGAAGCGCGTCGAGAAGCGTGGGCACGTGCTTCTCTGCGCCATGATGTCATATCGTGCCCTCCAAGAAAGGGCACAGCCTCAAGGCTCAGGAGACGCTCGAACCACATGCGCCCCCCTACTCCGTACTCTTTGGTCAGCTCAGGCAGACTCAGCAATTGTCAAAGACCTCTCTGCCTTAAACATTGTGCATGCACCCCAGGAGAAAACTGCTCTGACACTTTTTCGACCCCGAGCGCCTGTGTATTGGTCGACAGTCATGACTCAATTGTCCCCGTTTCGAATCTTCGAGATCTGCAACTTCCACTGCCGCCCCGGACGCACAGACTCTTCAGCCTTACCCAGATGACCATGCACCATGCGAAGCCTGAATGCTGTCAGTCGGAATCTCTTGTTCTTGCAATCGAAGACTTGAAAGGGACAACGCCCAGACTCAACGCTGAATATCTCTCAACCACTCGGTTTACGCAGCCCGTTTGATCGTGGCAACGATGGCCACTTCAGCACCTCACTCCCCTGCCCCTCGAGATGGCAACTCTTACTTCGACATTTCACCCGATCGGCCATCGCCTTCTAAGCTACTGCGTATTCATCAATTAAACATGGACAGAGCGTCATCCCTCCCACCCCGACGACTCTCTTCCCCCGCGAAGAGAGTTCCACAAATCCGACCCCGCTTGAATCAGTATTATACGCTGGATCATGCCGTTTCACTCCTCAAATCCTCGAAAAACATCATTGTCTTGACGGGCGCTGGCATTTCGACTTCGTTGGGAGTACCCGATTTTCGTTCTGCTAACGGTGTTTACAACCTGCTCGTTGACTCGGTATATGATGATCCACAGGAACTTTTCCACATCGACAATTTCAAAGCCGACCCCGAAGAGTTTTTCAAACAGGCTGCAAAGGTGTTTCCGAAAATGCAGGGCCTTGTGCCCGCTGACAGGGCCGTCGATCCGAGCAAGCCAGCGCATGATATTTCTGCTCCTCTAGTTCCAAAATACAGTTTAACGCACGCCTTCATCTCTATGTTGCAATCAAAGGGGAAGCTTTTGACCAATTACACCCAAAACATTGATGGACTAGAGCTTGCTGCCGGTGTCTCACCCTCGAAATTGATCCAATGTCATGGCACGTTGGCAACCGCCACCTGCATGAGCTGTGGGAAACGGACGACAGCCAGGAAGTACATGCCTGTTGTGCGGGCGGGAGGAGTGCCCTATTGTAAATGCACCCTCGCCGACGGGGGTCCAAAACCCAGAGCTAGCACCAAGCACCGCGGACGCAGCGGCAAAAAGAAACGCAAGCGGGACGAATTCGAAGATACGGACTCCGAAGATTCAGCGGCGAAAACTGATTTTCCCAAGGGCCTGCTCAAACCGGACATGACCTTCTTCGGCGAGGACATAGCTGACTCTTACGCTCCTCGACTGAAAATTGACAAAAGCAAAGTGGACCTGCTCGTCATCGTTGGCACATCTCTGAAAGTCGAGCCTGTCAATGAAATGCTCCTCAACATCCCTGTAACAGTGCCACAGATATGGATAAGTAAGGACCGTTGCCAGCGGGAAGGGGTCAAGGTTGACATTGAACTTTTGGGCGAGTGTGACCTGGTCTTGGAAGAAATTGCTCGCCGGGCAGGCTGGGAAGAAGCGTTGAAGGAGAAGCTGTGGTCCAGTGAAAAGTCCTTAACCACGAAGGATCCGTTTACAAAGAAGCCGAGTTCCAACAAAGAGCAAGCCATGCCTGAAGAGAGAAATGCCAGTTCGCCGCCCGCGAAAACCGAGGGATCTCTCCAGATACGCCCGAAAGCGACCGAAGCAGCTGGTCCCAAGACACCACCCATCAGGGACATCATCATCAAAATAAATGACGAAGAGATCGCTACGTCTGCAGAGGCAGATGTTAAACAGGATCCAAAAGAAAGGTCAAGCGAAAATGGTAACAACGGCGTCGACGCGAACAAAAGCAAATCGAGATGCAGCAACGGCGCAGCGCACGAACATGTCAATATGGAAGCAAAACAGAAAACACAGCATCAATCACCGTCAAAAGTTATTGTCGAGCTCGAAGAAGGGACCAGGTCGAGATGGTATATCCGACGCGCAAAGTGAAATCGGGTTTCTGGCTGGCCAGAAAGCCCTGACCTTGCAACATCGAGCATGTCCTGAACATCAAAGTGGAGTTATTGGCATATGCATTGGCTTGGGTACGAACATGTGTATCGGCGTTGACATTAGCACCTCGCGCTTGACGCCGTGCGCTGTGCACTGTGCACTGTGTGTATGTGAAGCGTCGGGTTGTGCACGTCCGGACATTGAAGTCGGACTATGTATTTACCATAGGGCCTGCTTGAGCTACAAAAGTTATTGAGAGAGCAATTGGCGACTGAATACATACTTGTTTGGCCAAGTGCACAGCCGTCCCTTTTTGCTTCAGCGTTTCTCCTCCGTGGGTCTCCCTCTCCCCTTGTCTGTAGCCCTCTCCCATTTCGGGAGGACGAAGGGGCTAAGTATGTTGTTTATAGCGCGGCCAAATCGACGATAGTAGTCGGCGGGCATGTCGCTGGAATCATAGAACGAACGCTGACCGAATCTAAGCAAAAGAAACGGCGTAACCGCTCTCTAATTTCCCCCCCCCTTCTTATTTCCTCTCTATCTTCATTTTCCCGCGGAAGAAAAAAAAGGGGCTCCAAGACAGAAAAGTAAAACGTGTAGAACTTAGCTCAATTGAAACTTGAATGCGCACCGAGTACCCCTCCCAGATTTTGCGCCGAACCAGGCGAGCAGGGAAAACAAGAGCATCCTCTCTATCTGCTTCTATCCGACGAGATCTTTCTCTTTTCCTCGTTGTCTTGGGCCGGGTATCCAAGAGGCCTTTCGAGTCCTGTACTTGTATGCTCAACTCCTCGATCTGGGGTGGAGGAGGAGAAAAGGACGAGAGCGCGCGCTCTCTCTCTCTCTCTCTCTCTCTCTGTCTCTCTCTCTTGTTCTCCCGCGCACACTCACTCCACTCAGCCGATCGGCTGAGCGCCCATCTTTCGGAACCAATCCATCACCCCGGTGTAGACGACCAGCAACACACCGCCTCCGGGGCCCAGTCTCAGCACTTTCGGCAGGAAGCCCTTGTACAGCGCCGCGAAACCTTCCTCCTTCATGATCGTGCCCAGACCAGGCCAAGCCCAGTTGTACTTGGGCACCTGGCCGTTGATCTTGGGCGAATTCTGGATCCGCGACTTGACCACGTCCATGGGGGTGTTCAGGATCGTACCAATGGTGCCACCGATCGTGCCCGAGATGAAGTCGTTCAGCATTGCCTTTCCGCGCTCGGCCTTGTCGACTTTGGGCATCAGCGATTTGACTTGGAAGATGCAGCCGAAATACCCTGCGTTCCAGAGGATGTGTCGCCACAGAGTTGATTCCAATCCGTTGTACAGGGCCAAGGGTCCTTCGCTCTTCACTGTCTTGACAACGCAGTCCATTATTCCGTTATACTTCCCCGCCGACGCGCGATCTTGTAATCTGATCTTGACCAGTTCGAACGGTACGACGACGAACGCCTCTGTCGCGCCGGCTGTCGCGCCGGTAAGGATCGCGAGGGGTTGAGTGGGCTTTTCCACGCCAAAGAGATTGCGGTAAAATACACCCCAAGAATCATTTGCGGCGAATTTCGTGGCTCGCTTGGGGGCCTCCATCATTATGGGCGCGCCGATGCCACGATATAGCCGAGAGGGACCTTCATTCTTGACAATCTTGCGTAGGCAGTCGAACATGCCAGTGTAGTAGTCTTGACCGGGGACGGGGGCTCTGCCTTGGAGTTGTCTGACGACAGAGCAGGGAACGGTTAGCTAGATGCTGCTTGCGCTGTATGGGACTTCTCGTGATCGGACTCACACTCTCGTCTTGACCACGTCCAACGGGTACCTGAATAACAAAGTCAGATAAAGATCGACATAGTTTGTTCCGTCATATTCTGCGCTTCTGGGCACAGTATGCGCGACTGGAACTCACATTATGAGAATCTAAAGACTTCGATTAGCCAGAGCTCTGAATAAGCCGCCTTCTTTTCCTTCTGGTCTTCTAGGTTCTTGAACCTACCTCGGAGACACCAGCAATAGCTCCGGCACCAATCTGGTAGCCGAAGCCCAAAGGTTTTTCGGTCATCTTGCTTCTAGATTATTGTGTGTGCGGTATCCAGTCTTCGAAGCGAGAGGGACGGGGGATCTATAGGCGCAGACGGAGGAGCGGAGCGGAGAGACACAACGACCCGAAAGGGAGGAGTGGAGAGGAAACACAGCAAGGAAGAGAGAGAGAGTCAGCTGAAGTTGCACCGTGGAGGATCGATGTCTGCTTCAGATGAAGGCTCGAACAGAAGTAAATAGGTTGGACTGTTAGCGAAATGTTTTGGCGCAGGGGACGGTCGTCTCCGACTTTGGGGACTTGCGCGAAGAAAAAGTGGTTGGTCGTCTGCTCCCTCCGGTTGGAGAAGCGGGAGAATCAGGGGAACGGTTTGTGAATGGGCCCCGACAACGGACTTCTCGGTAGGCAGATCCGGGTCTCGGATAAGCGACCGGCCAGGCTGCGGATCGTGAACTGATGCGATGTGAATGGTACCAAGGGCTCAGTTCATGCACACAACCATGGATGATGAAAGCGACTAGGAGGGGCGCGACACAGACACTGCCCTTCATTCAGAATATTAATAGTATCATGCATTCCCCAGCCACCAAGTCATGATCCATGCTATCAGGTCACGGCGTGCATGTTCTGTGTCTACCTACAATACATGTCCCGTTCCAGGCCTGGCTCTGCCCTCTGCCCTTGAGTGGAAACCCATGCCCATGCCTCAAATGTGCGCCGGCGTAACAAAGGAAAAGATAAAACGTCAGAACGAGGGGGTATCCAGGCAAAGAAAAGACAAAAATCAACTGGAACGAACACAACCACAAATCCCATCCGGCAATACAAGAAAAATCGCATCCCCAGCTGGTGGAGATAGTTGACGGGGAAAAGGAGAGACAGCCAAGGGCCTCAGACCCAAATTCCATCAGCTCGCAGAAATGTCCCCACCCTCATATACTTCTCCATTATCAATGCAGGGTGGTATATTCAGCCTCTGTGGGCTTGCACTGAAAGTGAACCCCTGTCAGCGTCGTGCTTGTCGCGCGCGTTCTCGCTGGGGTGGCGCTCGACCCGTCACTTTGTCGTGACGCCTTCATCAATTCATGTCCATGAACTCATCTTCTTCCTTGAAGCTGATGCCTGTATGTCCAGCACTGTGCCAGTATTGTGTTTGGCCAGCTCCGTTACTACCGCTGTTGGTGCCACTGCCGCCGCTGTGGAAGCCAGGACTGAGCTCGAAGTTGCTTTGAGGACTGAGGCTGGGGTTGTTCTGGATCCGATCCCCCGCGACGTTGGTATGTCGAGGGACCCGAAGCCCAGTGCCATCTGCCCTGGAGTAGGCAAATGTGCTGGAATCATTCTTCTCCATGGCATCCATGACCTCGGAGCGCATGCGCTTCTCGTCTTCTGTTACTTGGAAAGGCCACTGACCACCTATCGACTGGATGTACTGGAGCAGTTCGTCTTCCTGTTGGTACTTTTGGTGAAGCGCCCACATGAGATCTCGAGTCCATGCCACCGCCCCATTAAGGATATCACCCTTGTTAGGACCTTTCTCCTTCTCCTCGATGGGTAATCCAATCGTGATATTCCCTGCAGTGCTGGCAGCGCGACGACCGGCCGCGCCTGCAAGTAATGATGTGGCTGCATTGTTAGCATTCGGCGGGCTCATGCTTGCAGCGCCGGTAGTGGGTGACATTGGTCCAGTAGTCTGCAGCTGTTTCTTGACCTTGTCATCCTCCAGGCGATGTTGGGGTACCAAGTGGGACAAGTCGTGGATGCGTTCATTGATATTGTCCCGCCGTCTCCGTTCAACGGCGTTGTGAGATGCCCGTCTCCTTCGCTTTTTAGCCTCGGCAGTCTCTGCATTGCTAGTACTCAACCCGGTGTCAACCTTGGCCGGAAGTGAGGCATGATGACCGGATCCAAGAGTCTCGGAAATGCCAGCGTGATGGATGCCATTACCCGGGGACGACAACGGCGAGTCCAGGTATGAATGGAAGCTGCCGGGCGTGCTGTCATACTGTCCCGACAAGGTCTTAGCATGTCGGTTCTGGACGTTTGGAGCGCGGATTGGGCGACCATTGGCAAGATTTCCCGACTCTGGGGTTCCGATCTGAAGTCCCGCCATCGCAGCTGTACGTGGAGTCAAAGGGGATCTCTGATCGGACGACTTCCGATTCGCCGCCTGCATGCTGGGACGCTTTCCGAATTGGGAGCCCTGATGAGGCGACATGTGAGTCGGAAGAGAGCCCATGGGCCTAAATTGATTGTAGTCAAAGGTTCCCAGGAATGGGCTCTGAATGGGAGGGCCGTCTGGAGTACTAGAGTAGACATTTGGCACCTGGTTCGGCTGATCCATCTGGACCGCACCTGAATTTCTGTTATTGCTGTTGGGTGGATTTGCCATCGTAAAATCATCAAACATGCCTTGACCGTTGTTGTTTCCGAAGTCGAGTGATTCTAATAACTCGTTATCAGTGTAGGCAGGTCCCACCGGGCCGACTCCATAACTGGAAGAGATGGTGTTTCCACCATAGTTGTACGGCATGCTGCCATAGTTGGTGGCTGGCATAGAGAGCTCCGAGGGGTCGATGCTCCCGCCATCTTGTTGGTTGTGAAACTGGTTGCCATAGCCCTGAGAGTTGCCATAGTTCCCTGATGACATGAATCGGTTCGGGTTGTTGCCGAAGTCATCGGGCTCGCTCTTAATGTAGGGCATGCCGGCTGAAGAATGTGTCATGATCCAAAACAAAGGAAAAAGTGAGAGAAACTGCGGACGGGTTGAGGTGGCAATGGGAATAAAAGAGCTTAGCTCGCGTGCTTGACCCAGATGTCACTCAGCAGCAAACAAAAGTGGCTGTCAAGCGGCTATAGCCATTGGGATTGCTGACTCGGTTAAGCAGTCGTGGGGAAAGGTAAGGCACGGGTATCGAGGGTAATCCCGTTCCAGTGATCCTGGTAGTGAATGGACTTGGACTGTGACCGTCAGGAAGTAACCATGCGTGCCGAGCAATTCCCAGTCGAGATACTGACGAGGCTGACGGCAGTATGCGCTGTCAGCGATGATTCACAGTCGTCCGGCCTTATTCCGTCGTGTAGTCGTGAGTGATATTCGCTATCGTGGGTGGCGTAATAGCGTTCGAAGCGAGAAGAGTCGTCCCAATTCGAACACCAGCAGACAGATCAAGGGTTGTTCTCCGTCGGCGTATATCTTTTCGGGTGCGATGTCTGACCCAAATCACCGATACCGCCTCTTTTTCTGGGTTGCCTTAATGATACGGTGGAAATCGACTTATGCGGTAAGGGGGGGGCGATTGGAGGAGCGCAAAGCGAATAGAGAGCGCAAAGTGAGAGTTGCGCTGAAGACTTGGAGAGGATAGCGGTCGTGGGTTGTAGCGGAAAGGCTACCAGAGGTGAGCCGTGGGACAGATGGCTGATGGTCGGAGTTGCACTCAATCAAGGGATCGTGGGCCGCAGGTACAAGTAGCACAGACGCAATGTCGCCAACGTCAGAAGTTGTCGTAATCGAGGTGTTCGGCAGAGGCAAAATAGAACAGGACAGAGTGTCTGAGATGGGCGAGGCTCCGGGGTTGTTGTGGTTGTGGTCGAAGGTGGGATGCGGTGTGGTTGTTCGATGGCAGTGTGGAGGGAGGGAGGGAGGGTACAGTCAGGTCAGGGTTGTGGCAGTGGCAGTGAGAGAGAGGCACCTTGGGGAAGTGAATTTTGAGTGCGGCCGAGATGCCGTGACCGAGTGGGCGGGAGGCCAGGAGCAGGCGAGCAGCAGCAAGGACCACGGAGAAGTCGAAGGGCAACAGTGGCGGGCGCTGGGGGGGTTGGACAGCTGGCGAGTGGCTGCCCACCGCAGCCCAGGTCTGTCACCGCGATTCAACTCTGCCAATCGAATTCCGAGTCGATCTGGACTCGAAGCTCGACCTTGGCGCAGGGCGGGGCTGAATTGGGCGGCGGCACAGGTCAAGTCTTTGACTCAAGATGCCACCACTCATGCCACGAGCCCGATTCAATTGGACTGTGCGCCGTCTTAAGGTTGACACTTGATGGGTCGACTGGTGGACGGGCACTTCGGTACGACCTTTTTGCAGTCTGGGGAGGAGAAGCTATGTATCGTGCAGGTCGCTGGCATGGACGATCGCTTGGAGAGGGGCGGGTCGATGGAGATGCAAGAGGAATCACCACCAGCAGCGCGAAAACGAATTGAGCCGAACGGCCACTAGGTGCTAATTATTAGAGGACAATCTAGACGGACGATAAGTTCTCGCTACGTCCGACCCGGATCAGTCGATCTCTTTATATGTGCATGCAAGGCTGGCTTCTCGACAGCCAGTCCAGGCTGCGCTCTGCACCCTCCAGCTGCCACTCCCGTTGCGTATGCACTCCACCATTTCTTCCTCATTTGAATCCATGCGCAGCCACATGAGGCGGCGTGCAGGGTGCCGGATACGACCGGAACACCAATCGAAATACCTTGCCCCAGGCCTTGGACCCTGGTCTGATATGAGCGGCATGAAGCAACACGGGTGGACCCCGAATGGGTGTGAACCCCTCCGGTCCATGCTCTACTGGCTGCGCACCCCTCGAAGGCGACGAGGCGGCATGGGACGAGGAAGAGAGAGGGGACCACCCCCCCCCTTGACTATATCTGTTATGTTTGCCAACTTGGTCTTGTCTCGGGTGCCCGTGTTGGAAGGGCTCATGAGACTGGGACAGAGTTCGCTCCTCTGCCCGCATGGCTATGTACATACACCCTTTCATCGCCCGCTCCAGCAGCATGACTTGTATATCAAGGCAGTCATTACATCAGTCGATCATGGTGAGCAGGGTCAAGTGCCCCCCTCGCAACATCACTCCGGCCAGCCAAGCCACAATCTCCTGCTCACTAGAGGGGCCGTCAAGGCTGCGACGTGCGTACTGTGGTATTTCCAGAAAAGTCATGATGCTTGCAGATGACTGTTTCCCAAAATCGCATCCATGCTCACCCACGGCGCCATCCATCCTTGACCGGGAAACAAAAAAGTTAGCACGTTCAATTGCAACGTTGCCCGGGTTGGAGTGAAGCCTGTGCTCCCGCCTGGCATGCTGTGCAACACGACACCAAGCGATCAGATCCCCGGAAACTGCTTAGAGTTCGTCCTTTTGCTCGAAACGTTGGCCAATATCACAACCTTGTCATGCTTTGCATTGAGCATGCAGGGTAGATCTGCAAAGCTCATGCAGCGTGCCTTCTCTACAGTCGTCGCGGTGCGACGGATGCGCCCGTTGCACCAGGGAATAAAAGCTTTCTTGCGGATTGGTGACTTGACGGGGACGGGCATGGCTAAGGTCGGAGGTGGCGCTCCATGCTGCAAAAACATGCGGATGGGACGAACCGCTGGCTGCTCGCGCTCTGGGCTCTGCCTTCTGGCTTCTGGCTTGTCCGGCCTCGTTCAGCAACCCGTAGTTCTTACTAAAAGTTACGCTTTACCAGAACTGCCAGGGCGATGAAAAGGTGATGGAATGAATCAACGGGGGCCAGAGCTGTTGGTTTAGCGGCGGACATTCTGTCCTTGGGCTGATGACCACCGTCCGGGATACGAGCAACTTCGCGATCCTGTTCACGGCATAGCATGGTCTAAGCTGGGTCAATCCTGGTGCGATATGCGAGCAATACCTCCAGCAGAAAAAGGGGGGGGGGTTAATGGAGGGGGGGTGACGCGAGGGACCAGGTGGAGCGGTGATTGGATGCCTGGCCCAAATCGCCTCTTGGTGCATTTTTAGCGCAACGGTGGCAGCTTCCCAAGCGCTGGATCTGCGCTCGGACTTGTCTTGGTCGCTCACCCAAACTCCAACTTTCCGCTCGATACAGCCGGACCTCTCTGCATTTGGCTTCACGCTCTGGCCTCTTCCAGACCTTGCCCTTGGCCGCACTGATACCCTTGCGCGCTGTGCACTGCTGTTGCAGTTCCCACCTCCCTCTCCATCCTCTCCATCAACCTCGAATCCTCCCTCCGCCTTCTGGCCCCTCGGTGAACTCCGGGAGGCTGTTACCTTGCGAAGCAAGACATTCTGCAGGCAGCCGGCAAAATCCTGCTCTCCCGCCTTGCCTATCGTGCCTATTCTATCTGCGTTCCCTACACAAGAGTTGAGTTGATGCGCCCCGGAGTGGATTGCCCTTGCACGGCGTTACTCTTACAATTACTGCGGTCCTGTCATCCCGCGAGGTCGCCTTGACTTGGGTCTTGGTCACAAGCGAGAACCCTGCACTGCGCTAGAGTCAAAGGACATTCCAACCTTCGGTGGTTCCTCCAATTGGTGTCTGTCTTCCTCAGCCTGGCCGGACAGAAGCTCGAAGCTTCCAACGGAGCCAGGCCTCGTTGTCTGAAGGACCAAAAGACCTGAAAGCGGGCAGATCGACATTCTGAGAGGTGCCACGTCCGTTGCGGACGGAGTCATTGTGCCGACAAAGCAATCCGACCTGACGAGGGTTGACCGGTTAGGATGGCGTCGTCCTCTTTTCGAGAATCGATGAATTCCTTGGGGTGGTCCAGAAGAGACCCGGATGTCCCGCCCAATACCTCGTCATCAAACCCCTTGTTGTCCAAGATTTCGTCGCTCAATCCGTTTGGAGGCAAAGGCTACGTCCAATTACCCACACACGAGGGTCCTGGAGCACCACTACCGGCGCCGACGAGGAGAGAAGAAGAAGAGGGGTGGTTCGCATGTAGGTTGGCTTCGCGCATGACTCCTGTCCAAGAATACAGAACAGACAGCCCAAATCCGCAGGCACAGGAATCACTGACATTTATGACTTTACAGTAAGCCGATGGGACCGTTTGTTGATCTTCGGGGGCTGCAATCTTGCAGCGCTGGCATGTTTTGTTATCTGCTTCGTGCTGCTCCCTGTGCTGTCCCTGAAGCCTCGAAAATTCGCGATCTTGTAAGTCTGTCAAAGTCATTCCCGCCCTCACCGCATTTGCTTCACACCACCACGCGCTGGGCTACGGGCCATGTGACAGCGCGTACACCCCATGATGATGTCAGCTCCTTTCTATATTGAGCTTGATGCCCACGCTCGGGAAACCCCCTGTGAGGTGTCTATTTGGCAATCAGAGCCTGAATTTCTGCATGTGTCTAAATGGAGTCGTGCGTGTGGCTGACGCGTCGTGATAGGTGGTCGGTCGGCTCCATGATGTTTCTCGCCTCTTGGGCCTTTTTGATGGGACCGGTACAGTACGCAACACATTTGCTCTCAGGCGCTCGTTTGCCATTTACTGCCGCTTATTTTGGTTCCATCATCATGACCATCTATTTTGCTGTCGGGGTAAGTACAATCCAAGGCCCTTGTCGCGATGCTGCAAGACATTGCTGACACGACCGCGTCAGCTCCACTCGACCATTCTCACTCTATTTTCATCGATTGTGCAGCTCGTCGCTTTGGTGTGGTACTTAGTCAGCTACTTTCCGATGGGAGGCAGCGGCTTGCGGTTGGCGGCTAGATTTGGCTCCAGTCGAGTCACCGCGTGGATGAACAACTGAATCCTGCGCGGGGAACAGATCTTCGTGTTTGCTTGATAGCAACATACAACCATGTCACCGGCTAGAGCCGGCTATGCTTGTTCCCGTCTGTGTCATACCCAGCCTGGGATGTGAGAAGTCGCCTTGCATGACTCGCCGTTGCGAAAGGCCACTGCGCCTGCAATTACTCGATACGTCTCCTAACATCCCGGCCTTCGTTTCCCACGTCTCTGACTGCGTCCGTAATCAACTCGCGCAGTTCTCTCTGACCTTCTGCCGTGTGGAGGTTCTCCTTGGCTGCCAGCTCTTCTATTCTTCTCCTGAACTCGGGGTCGGGTTCCTGTGCGAGTGTTCCGGGTGTCACATCGGCCTCAGTGCCGATGTTGATGGAGACATTGGGTGGAAGAGATGGAGGGCGTTGGGCTCCATCTGAGACCGGCCTAGGGCGGGTAGAAGCGGTTCCCGCAATAGGATCTAGTGAGAGGAGACTGCGGAGGTATTCTGCGACCTCTGGAAATTCCTGCTCTGACTCGAACTTCTCGAACGCATTCATACCTTCGTCATTTTGTACTCGTATGTCAACATGCAACTCCTCCACCAGACACTTCGCGACCTCCGCCGTCTCGGCCACAAACAAACATGTTTCACCATCCTCGTCTTTCAAGTTCACATCAACTCTGAACTCGTTGACCAGTGCTCGTAAGAGATCTACATGGTTGTAGGAAGCTGCAGCATGCAAAAGAGAATAACCATGTGCGTCTTGTGCAGACGCTAACTCGGGTCTGGAACGAAGTAGGGGCAAAAGTCGGGGGTCTGGGTCGGGGGTGTTTGCTGCGAGTAGGAACGGATTCAGGTTGGGTTCCGCCGACATGGTCGATGTAGGAGAGGGAAGAAGTGGCGTCAACAATTCAAGGCTGGTCGGGGAGCATAGTTGACTCAAGGGGACGTAGTGGAAGACCAGGTGGTAGTCCTGGGGCTGTACGGGGCACAAATGTGGGTGTTCGCAGTCAACAGCCGCGAGGCAGAGGGAGATCAGATTGAGGTTAGAAAAAGTTGAAGTGGTACATTGAGTCACCGGGCTGAGGTCCGCAAGACTCTGAGTGGCGGAATGATCCTAGCGGGCTGCGCCTGTGGCCGCAAGGCTGGTTCAAGTGCTCGTCAATCAGGCTGAGCACTTCTGGTGGCCCACTAGGAATTCTTTCAAAGTCCACATTCATTTCCAATCGCAGTTGAAATCTACATCCTCCTGGACTTCACTGCTGGTGTGTGACTCAACTCCCGTCGGGGCCAAGGTGAATCTCTGGAGTCATAATTCGAGGCGGCGAGGGTTGTGTCTTCCTTGGTGTGGGATAAAAGTGATTCCCATGACTTAATTTTCCGGCAACTCCCTCCCACCTCGTTTTGTGCTTCTTTTGTACGCCTCGTCAATTCTGCAGCCTCATTCCCCACAGCCAGCGTGTATTATCGGCCCTTTGGTTTGGGTTCGGTTCTTTGGCCTCCCGAATCATCCATACACTCCCCTTTTGACCGATTTGGTGCCTGGTTGCCAAGATGGCGCAGGATCCTCATCGAATTACTCAACTAATCCAAACACTCGAAGCCGCAAAGTCAAAAGGAAGACCAAAGGGCAAAAAGGGATTTTCTTGCAAGAAGGCAACGTTCCAGGTTGAAAGCTCCCATGGCATCACTGTTGACTCCTGGCGTTTCAACGACTGGGACTACAAGCGAGATGACCTCCCCACCTATGCTCGTGGACTCTTTACCACCAGGAGATCAGACGGAACCCCCGAAATCGCGATCCGAGGATATGACAAATTCTTCAATATCGATGAGGTCCCCGAAACAAAGTGGGTCAACATTGAGAACGACACCACTGGCCCCTACGAGCTGAGTGTCAAGGAGAACGGTTGTATTATTTTCATGTCCGGCCTTGAAGATGGCACTTTGCTAGTTTGCAGCAAGCACTCTACAGGAACACGAGCCGACGTCGACCAGAGTCATGCCACTGTCGGGGAGAAATGGATTAAGAGACACGTCGAAAGTGTGGGCAAGACCACACGGCAGCTAGCAAAAGCGCTGAGAGATATGAATGCCACAGCGGTCGGCGAGCTGTGTGACGATTCATTCGAAGAGCACGTACTTGAATATCCTCCGGAAGCGGCTGGGCTATACCTCCATGGCATCAACATCAACGTCCCTGAATTTGTTACTTTGTCCGGTCCGGAGGTTCACGAGTTTGCCGATACGTGGGGTTTCAGAAAGGCACAGTATGTGATGATTCAATCGCTTGATGAGGTAAAAGAATTTCTGAAGAAATGCGCAGAGACTGGCTCCTGGGAAGGGCGTGACACAGAAGGGTTCGTGGTCAGATGCAAGAAGAGAAGCAGGGATCGGTCATTTGCACCAGACTGGTTCTTCAAGTACAAATTCGAAGAGCCTTATCTGATGTACCGGCAATGGCGTGAATGCACGAAAGCCATCATTTCCGGAAGACCGCCCAAGTACAAGAAGCATCAAAAGATTACCGAAGAGTATTTGAAATACGCACGGCGGCAACTGGCTAGAGATCCATCGTTGGCCAAGGAGTACAACAAGAACCACGGAATCATCAAAATGCGTGATGGTTTTCTTGCAGAAATCGGTCAGAAAGGGTCCGAGATCATCGCAAAAGAACGCGCTGAAGGTGACGGCGCTGGGCATCATACCTCGGTCAGCGATATCGTCCTTGTTCCCATCGCCTCGATCGGATGTGGCAAGACTACTGTTGCGACTGCGTTGGTCAAACTTTTTGATTTTGGTCATGTACAGAACGACAATATCCAGGGACAAAGAGGTCGACCAGCCCGGTTCGCCGCAGGCGTCATCAATGCCATGGCAAGCCACAAAGTTGTCATTGCTGACCGCAACAACCATCAGCGCCGGGAGCGACAGCAGATCATGGACGATGTCAGCAAAGTGGTCCCGGACGCACGATTTGTGGCATTGCACTACGTCCACGAGCCCAAGGATCGGATGCTCGACGATATCCGCAAAGTCACCCGCGAGCGTGTACTTGAGCGTGGAGACAATCATCAAACTATTCGAGCAGGAAGCAAAAGTCCGCAGGAGATCATTGGGATCATGGAAGGGTTCTTGGAGCGCTTTCAGGGCTGCGATAGGAGCACTCCACCAGATGCCGGCTTCGACGAAGTAATTGATTTGGACGTCTGCGCGTCGTCTCTAGAGAACTTGGAGACAGTCATCACCCATCTCTACAATGCCTACCCCGGACTCCTGCCGGAAGAAATGCCGAGTGATGAGGACATGCAATCGGCGATTGAATATGCAATGGGCAGCGAAGTCACGACCAAACATGACCTCTCATTCGGCAAGCCCACGAACGGGGACAAGCCTCACAAGCAGAAAATGGCGGTCCCAAGTCAGCTCGAGGAAAGGCCGCTGACATTGGACCAAGTGACGGGCAAGCTTGAATATTTCAGCATATCCGTGCCGACCAGGACGGTTGAATCGATTCTAGCCTCCATGTTCGACCATGCTTCAGCGGAAGAAGCCCGGATGTACCGCATGTTGAAGCAGTCGCGGCGACTTCAGAACGAATTTCATGTGACATTGATCCATCGGGCATCTGCTAGCCAAGATCCCAGGCTGTGGGAAATGTACACGGAAGAATATCGCAAAGCTATGGCTGGCAAAGACCTTAAGAACAAGAATGAGTTGGCGCCGGATCTGGGGCAAGCCCGAGTCAAGCTGGAGAGAGTCGTCTGGGACGACCGGATCATGGCATTTGTGGTACGCATTTATCCTGGTGCGGAGGGACCTTCGTGGCGGAGTGCCAACGCCATCACACATATCACGGTGGGAACAGCTGGGCCGGACATCAAGCCAAAGGAGAGCAATGATCTGCTGGCTCAATGGGAGTCAGGTGAGACAAAAGGGAGATTGATCCACGACAAAGAAGTGCCGGGAGGAGTGATTCTGGATGGGAACGTCAGGGTTGTGTTCCAGCGCAACTTTCCACATGGGAGGTAAGAATCAGCGAAAGGGAAGTATCAACACGGGAAAGCTACTGTGAGCATGTAGTCTTACGCCCAGCATTGTGTGCTTGTGCATGGTACTGTAGGTGCCGAGTACGAGTCTTATGATAGGAGTGCACGACTTGATGCTTGTTGCTCGATGCTGGTGATGGTGATGGCGATGGTGATGGTGGTATATGTGTGAGCGTTAGTGTCTACGGTGGCATGGTCCAGCTGGTTGCCGTGGCAGCAGAAGCAGCGAGTCGAAAGCGCCTTTTGGAGCTTTGGGCCAAACAACGCCAGGCGCGACTTGACGTGCAGCAGCGGCCCCAGCCACAGCTCCCACTCGCCAGTTCCCCCATCAACAACAGATGACTTTTTCTCGACTCCATCCTCTGTCCCTCCGCCCGGCCCATTGAGCTTTCATTTGTTGACTCTTTTCTTTTCGGTGCACACGGTAGATTGCAGCATCCTCAGGTCTGCATCACAGTTCCCTTACCTTTTGCTCACGCAGGATCCAAGAAGAGGAAGAGGGCCACACGAGGTGCGTATGTACCAGACCAACTCTCCACCCCGCACCCAACCCGAGCCACCGCGACGCCCACACAGCACGCGCGCCGTAGCACCATCACCTGCAAAACTCGGGCCCGTCGTGCCCGTCCAACCTGGCGCCAAGCAACAACAACAGCAGCTCCACCGGCGGTCCTCCGAAGCACCTCTGCCACCTCTAACCTCCATCCATCAGCTTGTGCCTACTACTACTTGTACCTGTACTTGTGCCTGTACCACTACCACCACGACACGCCTCCACCACCCCCTTCTACCTCTCATGTTGTCCTTCGAGAACTCCTCTTCTGTCTTCGGAGCCGTCTCTTATTTGTCTCTGAATTATCTCTGACGCCCGTCTTCCTTCAGCTTCGACTGAGCCTCACGTCGTCCGCGTGCCGCTTTGGATTTGCTTGCAAAGACAACAACGCGCCTCAACCCCCTCGTAACCACCGGCACACCATATTGGGACCAGAATTCCATTGAGAACGCGATACCTTTGCAAATTCGGACGCACGCTTCAGATCAAGCTGCACAGCTTTTCGTCGTCGAGATTGCAACTCGTCCAGACACGTCGGAAAAGCTCGTGCGTCATTCCCCAATCATATTGGATTCCTCGCACGCATCGTTTGCTAATCCTGTCTAGAACTCAGATCTCTCGCAGTGCCTCGACACTTCAGCTTCCTCTTCGTTACTCGTGACCTTTATCGTCGTCTCTGCCCTCGCCATCACGGCGTCAACCAAACAAGATGCCTGTCGTGAGTCCTGCTTTATGATACATTATCATCCACGCGTCTCGATCAATCTCCGCTAATCTCTCAGCAGGCTCGTACTCGGCAACGAGTAGTCAATAACGAAAACGATGAAAACTCGGTGGCACAGACTACCCGTCTGACTCGAGCAAAGGCCGCCGGTCTGGCCAGCAACGAAGACACCACCTCCGCCGCGAAGAAGCCTCTGCAAACCAAGAAATCCACAGGGGGAACACTGAACGGAGCCACGAGACGTCGTGCGCTGGGGGATGTGACCAATGCCGCGAAAGGTGTAGAAGTGGTTCTGGACGGGAAAAAGGCAACGGCAACCAAGGTGGGACTGCAGTCAAAGGTCGCTCAACCAGCCGCCGGAGGCGTCCAGAAACTCTCGCGAACAAACTCCTCAAGGGCCGCCCTCGGTGTCAAAGACAACAATGTCAAACCCAAGGTTTCTTCGGCGGAAATCAAGAAACCTGGAAGTGGCTCGGGTGTCCTCGGAACCACTGGCAAGAGACGAACGCAAGCTTCCACGTCGACCGCGCCTTCGTCGAAAGATGTCACCCCTGACATCGACGAACCTCCTCGCAAGAAATCCTGCACAGAAGAAGCTGTCGAAGAAGCCCAGGCCCAGGCCGAGGATATTTCTGACATTGTTGCTGATCTGGATGCGGAAGACTTGGACGACCCGTCTATGTGCGCCGAATACGTCCGCGAGATCTTCGAATATTACTTCGCTCTCGAAAATACCACGCAGCCTAACCCGAACTACATGGATCATCAAGACGATCTCGAATGGAAGATGAGAGGCATCCTCGTCGACTGGTTGATCGAGGTGCACACCCGCTTTAGGCTTCTGCCCGAAACGTTGTTCTTGGCCGTCAACATTGTCGACCGCTTTCTCTCACAGAAGGTTGTCCCGCTCGACAAGCTCCAGCTCGTGGGGATCACTGCCATGTTCATCGCCTCCAAATATGAGGAAGTCCTTTCGCCTCACGTTGGCAACTTCGTTCACGTCGCAGACGATGGCTTCACAATTGAGGAGGTTCTGAGTGCTGAGAGGTACACCCTGTCGACACTCAAGTACGATCTTAGCTATCCTAACCCCATGAACTTCCTGAGACGAATCTCGAAGGCCGATAACTATGACATTCAGACTCGCACACTGGGGAAGTATTTGATGGAGATCAGTCTGGTGGACCACCGATTCTTGGAATACAAGCAGAGCCATATCGCGGCTGCCGCCATGTATCTTGCTCGCATGATACTCGAGCGTGGTGGATGGGTACGTGCTCCAACATTGTCCACTCTGAATCTCTTCCTAATCATTGACAGGACGCGACATTGACCAAGTTCGCTGGCTACAACGAGGAGGAGATCCTGCCGGTCTTCGATCTGATGATCAGCTATCTGGAAGCCCCTGTCGCACATGAAGCGCTGTTCAAGAAGTATGCGTCCAAGAAGTTCCTCAAGGGTAAGTCCAAGTCCCCAGTGCAAGTTCTCGTCGACCCAAGGCTAACATGACACAAGCATCAATCTTGGCCAGGAAATGGGCTAAGGACTATGGTGCAAGTCGCAGAAACGGTGGCTTGACACTCAACGATGCCAAGGTTGCACAATAGCTTGTCAACTTGCCATCAATGGACCTGCTTGCTTGAATATCAGGCAAGCTCCTTTCGGCTTGATCTCTCTGGGAAGTCGTACACGACGAATTTTCGGGCAGCCCTTGTCAAAGGGTCATGCATTCATGTCTCCATCAACACGACGATTGAAAACGATATCGGCACATAGACTAGCATTCAGCATCATTACCATCATATCGATACAGCCACAAACATCTCCAACCACAGCACCCTCCAGTCACAGCGAAGTCTCACCGGCGTACCTGGCATTGGGCAGTGAGATCTGGTTTCTCGCCCAAGGACCTGGGGAAGTAATCTCCGTTGGCGCATCTTTCCAGCTTTTGTTGTGACACACTGCAAGGGCGTTCGACTTGTGGATAGGTTTGCCTTATGGATGGGAGCTTGATTGACGGGCGAAAACGGGCGAACATGGCGTTTATTGCTTATTGAAAACGGGAACCTACAAAGTTGCGATTTGTCTCTTGCGTGCAGTGAGTTGTTTGACTTGAATTCCCATGCATCAGGCAAGACCGGGAGGATTGCGACCGTGAGAAAGGGGCTGGATATGAAACGAGGTGAAAAATGGGTTGAGCTCTTTGGATTATCGAGCGGCAGCGGCGGTGTGTTCTTTATCCATGCCGGTATCTCATGGTCTATGGTTCAGGGTCCTAGATGGGTCGTGCCGACATGGCTATCGCAATTGCAACAGTCTTTGCATTGACATGATTCCCGGTTGATCGTTGAGTCCCTCGCCAATCTCGACTGTACATGAGATTTTCCTTTGTTGTCTCCTTTGATCCATGGTTTAATACTCTAACTCTATTTTGGTGATTGCGACAGATTCATTGCTGGGGTGCTATTAAAGCTGGTCGGATACAAGGTGTATGGTGTATGGTGTGTGGTGTATGGTGTGTGGTGTATGGTGTATTGATTGGGCCATTGCTATCTGCGACCCCATTTCGAATTGTACAGCGATACACCGAGGCAAGGCACGGCTAGAACGCCTCTCTCTCTGGACAGAACCATTCCTTGCCCCTTCCCTTATTTTCGTTCCCTGCTTCCTTTTGTATGGTGCTTTGCTAGCTAGCTATCAATTTGATGAATTAATCAGTCCGACCGAGTCCTGGAGGAGTTGTCTGTCCCTCCATCTGTGGGTCTTTTCACAGGTCGTGGTCGCCATCATGGCCACGTGGCGCTCGACGAGGCCGGGCCACCGTCTCCGTGCGAAACGTCCCGGTTTGAATCTGATCCTTCTCACTCAGTCTGGGTCCAGATCCGCCGCGCTGGGGTCTCGCCGTGGAGCTCTGGGCAGTCGGCGGCTCGTGCCAGGTCGGCGTGGAACTGGGCGAGAGCGAGGGTACGGTAGTCGCCTGGCGCCGGGGGAGATTGATCATCTTGACCATGACCATGATCTCGATTCCGGTCCTGGTCCTTCGTTTGGGTCTCGGTATGGGTTTGGTCTTCCGTTTGCTTTTGCCTGTGAGGCGTACTAGCACGGCTACCGGCAGGTCGGGGTGAAGACGACGCCGTCGCGGGGGAGGGGACTGAAGGTGATGATGGAGAGGCGGGAGTTTGGGTCGAGACACAGACCAGAGCCGGTTGGTGCGCAAGAGGACGGACCGACACCTGGATCTGGATCTGGACCTGCACTTGAGCCTCGGGTCTTGCCTCTGAGGACATCTCCGACTTGTTCGTCGAGGCCGGACGCTCCTGTCGGTGCTGCTGTCGACGGTGGTGATGCTCTGGGACCCGAATCCGCTGCTCTTGTGGTGGCTCGATTGCGACGTGGATGGTCAGTCGTGGGTCGCGTTCCGGGCAACGCACTCTTTCCTCCATGCTCATCATGTGCAGGAGAAGAAGCAGAAGAGGAACAATAACGATCGGGAGACTGTGAATTAGGTGTGCTAGCCTGACTCTTGGGGTATCTTGGTGTCGAGCTTGTGAAATCGAGACTGGGGGACAGTGTTGGCACATGGAGAGCCATTCTATTTAACGATGGGCGGAGGAGAGGCAGGGTGATCTTTGGTTCGTGGTTGTCTTTGTTGTTTGTTTGCAAAGCCAAACAGCTTGATCGCCAGGCGTTGCGATCAAGGAGCAGCTCTTTTCCTGTGAAATCAGAAGGCAAGCAGACAACAGGTGAGGATGTCGCCGGCGGACTCCGTTTGTACGCAGAGCATCAGGGCCCCAATCTTGCAGGAGGCAACGGTCTCGAGAAAGAGCTGTGGTATGCTAGTTCAGGGCTCCCGTCCCGGGAGAGTGATTTGATCTCGTTGGTTGAGGCGAGTGATAAGCCCGGGCGGATATGGTATATGGTGACTCGATTCTGTGGTATTGGGTTAGGAGAATCCCTTGGATCGAGGGCGGGCCAGCGAGGATATGAAGACGTGCCGACAGATTTCGAGATGGGAATTGAGGGCATTGGCTGTGTTTTGGAACGACTAATCTGAGATCTGATTACGAACACGCAGTTTGCGGTCAATGCTGCCTGCTGACGGTTGTAACGTGGAGGCTTCGCCAGTGTTCGTCATTATGTTTGCTGAAGCTGTTCCAGTTCATGCCCTCGCTATAAATCTAGAGCTTTCTCCACAAGCGATATTCGTACCGTAATACCTCTAGCGATGATCTCGATCGACCAGCACGTTGTGGTTGGTGAGCGAGGGTATCGGTTGAGGTGGTCCAGCCGAGCTGCCAGTCCAGCCGGGAGTCCAAGGCTGGAGATCAAAGGGGCCATCATCGCGACAAAGGCAGAGTTGGCCCCGAACAGATCTCCTCAGACCTTCCAAGCCAGACGTCTGCCATTTCCATCTCCACCGTCGCCTCCTGCTTGGCTGCCTGCAACGGCTGAACTCCTCGTGCCGGTCACCGTCTCTGCGGTCGCCCGTCCTTCTTCCCTCCCGAAGCTCTTCTCCCACTCCTCTCTGATCGCCGCCCTCATATCCTCCACCAACACTGCGGCATCATCGTAGTCGAGGTCCTCGCGCATACCTCTTCCAAACAGAATGGCTGCCGCTTGACGGCCCGAAGGCTGACGGTTTGGTGCGTATTTCCGCGCCGACGATGTTGGGGTGCTAGCTTGGGGATGGGTGTAGTTCAGAGGGGGCCGGGGGACAATGTGGAAATGCACGTGCGGCACAACTTGAGCAGCGCCGGGGCCTAGAAGAGGAAGATGGCAATGCTCAGTTTTGGGGATGGAGAGTGGTTTGAGAGGCAGAGAAACAGGGTAAGACGGTCAGGGAGCGCATTTTTGCAAATGGCTTACCATTGTTTTGCACCACATTATAGTCGGCATCCTGATGCGGAATATCTGGAAGAACAGCCTTGATGACAGACCGCGCAAGAAGAGGCAGGACTCTCCCGATCTGTGTGTATGAATGTGACCTTAGTCAATGAAGCCTTCGTGGGAGGGTTGGAAGGCAAGACTATCCCAGTGACTGAAATGTAGCCCGAAAGAAACTTTATGCGATCCGTAGCCCAGACGATGGACATGAACAGCTGGGGACCGATCTGACGGTGGCCAAACATACCTCTGCGCCCTCGCTGGGACTCAAATCCCCGACTTTAACGCGGTGCTTCCGGGGTGCAACCAACACATGCCCTCTCGTCAAGGGCATGATATCCAAAAAGGCAATGACGTGCTCGCTCGAATAGAGCACGAAGGACGGCGGGTCGAGCTGCTCTGGGTCGAGTGCTTTTGCCATCGTCTCTGACGAGGACAGAGGAGACGTCGTGGAGTACGTGCTTCCGATGGCGCAGAAGGGGCAGGAAGACGAGAAGTCCCGGTCCGATTGGGACGAAGGGTGGGATCTCGATTCGTGGATGAGGCGGGGGACGTCGGACATTTTGACAGGATTCCAGAGGGGAATAGAGGTGAACTGGCGCTATAGAGAGGGCAAGGGAAATCTATAAGGGAGGTGGTGTATAGTCTATAGCATGCACACACAAAACAAATTGCAAGGATGGAAATATAGGAGGTGGATGGGAGCGGAGTGGCTACATTTATTTATGTAGAGATGCTCAAGGCTGATATACGCCAAGAAGGGAAATATCACAAGTTGTCGCCCGAGGTTGAGTCGGAGGGTCGTCTGACAGAATGTTTACGGCTAGACTAGCAGACGTCAAAGATTGTTACACGACACGCTATCGACAAATCTTTTCACCCAGTAACCATTTAAATGACAGCGGGATTTTTTTCAGTCAGACGACCGACTTGCGAGATGACTCGAAATCCACAGTTGGATGGAGTTTTGGCCAAATTCTGCCTCGTCGGTTTTCAACCCAATGAACAACTGGAATTCGTCTCTGCCTACCTTACTTTGCCTCGATCAAAGGCTCTTTCACAGGTCAGCCTCAGCCGGTTCTGGTCAAGGGCCCCAAGGCAGAATCATCCGGCCACCTGTCCATGGCGACGTCCACCATCCTCTGGACCTGATCATGGAATATCTCATTCGGTTCGTCCAAACGCACGAAAGTTTCCGACGGCCTGAGATCGAGGCACTTTCGACGCTTGCCCGATTACCTTGTGAGATTGTATCCTATGCCGAGACTTCACCGCTCTGTGTTGTGAGGTTTCCTGGCCTCGAGACGCAACATGGGGAAGAAGATGACGGCCCTGCGGTGGATGAGGGCTCTTTCGAGAGACTCGAGGCAAGGATAAAGGACTTTGAAAGCCGGTCCATCCTGTCAAAGTCCATCTACGAGATATGGGGCCAGGGGCGAGATTACGATGAACTTCACGCGGATGTGAAACGAAGAAGTCGCCACCTCTGGGACCGGTTTCGCCATCTGTCGTTCAAGTTCTCGGTGGACTGTTACTGTAGCACGAGGGACATTGACCAACAGAGACAAATCATCAACTCATTTCGATACCTTGATCTCAAGGGCAAGATCAAGATGAAGCATCCGGAAGTGGAGTTCGCCGTCCTGGAAGAGTGGCTGCCTTTGAATCCACGGAGCGAAACCCAGGAAAACGCGTCACGCCCTGATGCTGCCGTCGACAAAATAGCAGGCACGAGCCTGAGAAGAGTGTTCCTCGCCCGCAAGATTGGCGATTCATGTCGTGGGCTAAGGGAGAAGCATGATCTCAAGAAGCGGCCATACATATCGACAACCTCGATGGACGCAGAGCTGGCGCTTCTGACGGCAAACATGGCCCTGGCAAGCCCCGGCAAGCTTTTCCTGGACCCCTTTGTGGGCACGGGAGGCTTCATGGTTGCCGCCGCGGAGCTAGGAGCTGTCGCTCTAGGATCAGACATCGATGGCCGCAGTTTTCGTGGGAAAGGTCTCGGTCTGGATCACGGGGTCGGGGCGAACTTTGAGAAGTATGGTTTAACGCATTTGTTCGGGGACTGTCTGACTTCTGACTTGACAAACACACCGTTTCGCTGTGCTACCACCGCGCTCAAGTCGAGTGATGGTCGGTGGCTGGATGGGATTGTTTGTGACCCTCCGTATGGCGTGCGTGAAGGGCTCAAGGTGCTTGGAACGAAGTTGAGACAAAGTCGTGTCGAGGCAGCCGATGTTAACGGCGAGGGATCCGATCGCTCTGAGAGTTCCAACCCGCTGACAGAAATTTTGATCAACGGCGTCCCGGCGCATACGCTGCCTGGATACATCCCGCCAAAGAAGCCCTATTCCTTCGCGCGCATGCTCGACGATATCCTTGACTTCGCCGCCAGAACACTGGTTGATGGGGGGCGGGTTGCGTTCTGGATGCCGAGCGCGAACGAGAACGAACTTGGCGAGGAAGAAGCCACCACCATACCGACACACCGGCATCTCCAACTGAAACACGAGTGTATCCAGAGATTCAACAAGTGGAGTCGAAGATTGCTGGTGTATGAGAGAATGCCTTGGACCCTCGATTCAGAGGTACACGTTGACGGGTCTGCAAATCGAGAGGGAATCTCGACAGCCAGCGCTGGTCGCACAGCCGACGAGCTGAATCCTTTCCGTAGAAGGTATTTTCAGTCCTTTGGGGCAGACAGAAATGGAAGCTAGCATTCGCCAGCTTTTGTATCCTTGGGACCATCATAGCGTTCGTTCATAATCCTCCAATTGTCCCCACTCCTGAGAAGTCAAAGGGCGACGATAAGACACCAATCGCCTTCCCCTTCCAATGCAAGAGATGGCTCAGCCATCCACCTTGAGCTTCTCCACGGCGGAAACAGCGTCCTCTCCGTCAATGTCCTCCTCGTCACCCTTCCCAGCCAGACCCCTCTCCCACAGCTGCTTCCCGGTCAATCTCTTCTCCTCGACCTTGCCGCCCTTCTTCTTCCTGTCCTCGGCCTCCTCCTCCTCCCTCGCCCGGCGCTCCTTCTCCTCCATCTCCTTGCGAAACCTGTCCCGCCACTCCAGGAACCTCTCCCTGTTGACCAGGGTGCCGTGGAACTTGCGGTTCTCCGCCTCTTCCTTCTGCCGGATTTCGATCTCCCTGACTTCTTCGGCCTGCCGTATCCGGTCCGAGATCAACACCTCCGCGGCTTCCTTCAGGGTGGTGACCAGTGTAAACACCATGGCCATGCCCAGCGAGTCCTCTACCGTGGGCTGCAGGGCGTCGAGGAGTTGTGCCTTGTCCTCGGCGACGTCGAGTTGCGGATGTTTGGGCGCATTGGGAGGGGCCGTAATGTCTAGATGAGGACCAACGTCCGGGTAGGCTTCTGGGTAGGTGACGTTGAGCAGCAGGACTGGCGGGTCCGGTTCTTCGCCGTGTCCCTCGCTGGGGAGATCGAGTGTGATGGATATCCGGTACGACGAATCTGAGAGGTCTAGCATAAAAGCCGGGGTGTCAGGGTTACTCAGTCCACAATATCTTTCCTGTCAATTGGAGTGTACAAACCTGTGATCTCGTCCGGGAAAATCGACTCGAGGACTTCTCGCTCCTCCTTCTGCTCTTCTATACCCATGTTGGAAAGAAAATCCGACGCGGACTGCCCGAACGCAAATCAAGTCGAACAGCTAGGGGTCTGTACGCCACATCAATGCAAAGCAAATGTGGTCGATTATTGTCTGTGAGGAGTTGAAGTGACTTTGATTAGCCGAACATAACCCGGCTGCCATCTTTGCCGTGGGGTGCAATAACTAGTGGTACTCGATAGGATGCTTGGTATATTGATGACAGCCAACGGGCACCATGAGCACCACGCATTCTCGCAAGAGCACAAACTACAACTTGAGTGCCCCTCCTGCTAATAGACCGCCAGGAAGACCTCCCTTGTTACCTTTCTTCCCGCCTAGATCCTGCAATTCCCCTTTCTTTCCCACAACCTTGACGTTGCCTTTGCGAAGCTCAGACAGGATATCCGCCTTCTCTTGCTCTCTGGTTTTGGCTTTGGACTTCCTGGCATCGTCGCCTCTACCTCGCGCACTCGTAGCTACACCTGAAGTCGATGCATTTCCGTGTGTCTTCTTCATCCGCTCTTTCTCCCTCCTCCTTCTGCGCAATTTCTCTTCTCGGGTCATTTCTTCTTTGCTTACACTTGCGCCGCTCTTGCGAACAACCAAGCTACCCCTGTTCCTTGTCTCTTCACCAGGCCGATACACCTCCTGAGGTGCAAGCATGCTCTCCTCGGCATTGACACCCATTCCAACAGGCCTTGCATCTTCCATGCTGATCGTGGGCTTGTCTTCAACTGCTTTGATCTCGACTTGCACTCGTTTGGGCTTGAAATGTAAATTGCTCAGTAGATCCAATTGACTCGACACCTCTTTCCACAGCCTTGAGATCTCTTCGTGCTGTTTCTTTGTCGCCGCGGATCTCTTGTCAACGTAGCCTGGATCTGTAGCACGAAGATGGTCCTGCTCATAAAGTTCTGCGAGGCCAGACTGGGGCTTCGTGTCATCAACTTCCACCCGGCCTCTGCGGGTTTCGTTCGCGGCGCCCAAACTATCGGGGTGCCGGCGAACAACCTCGTCAAACTCTCGAGCCAAGATGCGTCGTTTGATCAGCTGTTCGATGTCTTCGGAAACCTCGGCGGTGACCACGGGCACAGGCTTGCCAACTCGCTCGAACTCCAAGTCTTCTTCGATCAGGGAGTTAAGGGGCCGATCTGCAGCGCGTGCCTCGCCAGAGAGGGTCCAGTCTCTCTTGGCCACGTTGGCTGCCTCAAGACGGCGGATTTCAGCTGCAATGGCGGCTCGCTGCTTCTCATGCGTTGACAAGTTCTGGTTTGACCTCTTGACGCCCTCCATATCACTTCCAGATTCCAAGTCAGAGTCTTCCTCCTCCGACTCGAGTAAGTCACGTCGAACATCGGAAATCGCTCGCTGCATGTCGCTCTCGAAGTCTTGAGTGGGCGCTTGGGGTCGGGTGCTCGGTTGAGTCTTCGGTAGTGCTCGCATCCGCGTTGTCTTGGACAGTTTCTTGGGCGGAGGGGCGAAAAAGTCGGCGTAGCGAATCTCATTGGTGTTTTGCAGGCCGTCGACACCATCATTGAGAACTTCCTCGTCCTGGCTCATCATATCGTCGTCGGTATCTTCTGCGTTGAGGTCGGCGTCTCCAAATGTTGGGCCATCTTCTTCATCTGATTGTTCTCCAACATCCGAAAGGCCATTCCCTTTCTTGTCTTGGCTGGCGGAAGTCGCCTTCGGCTTATGGAAAGGCATGGTCAAGGGATCTGCATCCCAATCGATCTCATCCTCATCGCTAGGGTTGTCGTCTTCGCCAAGCGCATCCTGCTGCTCGAGAAATTGGGTCTGCTTGTTGAAGTCGTCGATGGAGAAGAAGCCATCGTTGAGGCCATTGGGGTCTGGCACATATGTTCCAGGATCCCGTTGGTCGGCCTCGGACGTAGAATCTTCCGCCTCGACGCCCTCAAAATCTTCGAGACCATCAAATTCTTCTGCACCATCCTCTTCATCGAGGTACTCGTCCTCTAGCACCTCATCCTGCACGTCATCGTCGGCTGAAATCTCATCCTCATCCTCTGACCCATCCAATGCCTCGACTTCATCAGAGTCATTGCCATTGGTGGCACTCTGCTCCTGGAAGTCTGGCTGCACTCCAGTTCTGTGGGCAGCGATGTCTCTCTCTGTCTCTTTGCAAGAGGCATCCAAGATCCTTCTCGTTTGCTCCCATATCTGCTTTACCCCCAGGCCATCTGTGTAGACTTGACGCAACTGCAGAACTTCCTCTTCTCGCTCAACATCACTCCGCTTTCTCTTTTTCCTGTTGCCGTCTCGCCTCAACTTCTGCGCAGCTGCGACATTGACAGCCAAAGGGTCGAGGATCGATTTCACATAGGCCAAGACCTCGGAGTGGAGAGAGGACGAAGGTTGTAGAAAGGCTTGGGTGGAAGTCGATAGCGTGGTGACAAGCCCGCCAGAGTCGGCCATCGTGTTGTCTATCGCAGCGGTAACATCAGCCACTACATGCGCGCAAGGCTGCAAGATGGTAAAGGCACTCCGCACACTTGGGATGCCGCTTCTGAATGCTGTGGGTTTTGCCATCAACCGATGGAACACTTGATAATTTTTTTTTTCCCCCTCCTAGGCGGCGAGTGCTGCAAAAGGCAAAGGGTCAAATTGGTTTTTAGGTTTAGGTGCAGCTCGTTGGTGGTACAAAATCCTGGGCAGAGAGAAATGGGTGGGGAAGTCTGGCCACAGGCCTGAAAAATTTGTGAAGCGGAGTGCGAGTGGAGGTGCTGAGCATCCCCTGCAGGGCAAAGGTTTTAATTATTGATTTGTTTGTAGGCATGCCACTCGGGCGACCAGCGGGGCTGGTGTGGCCTGCTTGGGCGAGTCGTGGCAAGGACGTCACTGGGCCTACAAGGGGAGGGTTCTGTAGGTAAGCATCCCTGCAGCTCTGGTAGTGCCCCCGAGGCCGTCTGCAGCTCATCTTTAGCGGCGGCATGACAGGACATTTACCTGTTGCGGGTTTAGCACGGACTACTCCGTAAGAGTTGCTGCTGAAGAAATCGCAGGCTGTGGATAAAGTTTCAGTTATCATTGTTCCCAGCCACCTGGGCCCTTGGGACAACGCGCAGGCACTCTTTTCGTAGTAGTCCATCTCGGCTCTCGGTCATTGATAGGGCGCAGGTCACAGAGATGTTTCTTTGGCTCTTGACTCACTCCAGGCGATACATTGAGCAGCACAATGGCGAGTGAAGTCAGTGCGGAGGAGGGGAGAAGGGATGGGGGCGGCATGGGTTTCTGCAAATCTCAATACTTTCACATGGGTGTGAATCATAGTGTGGCTGGGTCCCATCGAGCCGTGGATGTCGCATCGAAAGAATTTTCTCTCCAATCCCAATTTACCCGCTTACAAGGTAGATACTTGCTTAGTGCAAGTTGTTCCAGTGCAATAAGGAAAGAGAGAAAGAGAGAAAACCAATGACAAAGCCAATCGAGGGCACAGATGTAAAGCAACCGTTAAGGATGAGGGGCAAGAGGCAATACGAGGTACAGCACCAGAGTCCGACTGACCCCCGGCTGCGGTTGCTGCTGGGTGTCATGCAAGGTTTCTCACCTGGTCTCGGGTGGCTGCTCGTGCGGCACCGTACGGGCATGGATAGTTTCCAAGGTTCTCGAGTGTCCAAGTGAAATCGCCCGCCAAGTGCCCGATGGATACGGAGATGGAGATGGAGATAGACGAAGCCGGAACATGCCCAGCCCAGGGAAGCATTGAATGTATGGTACTGAGATAGGTCCTATTATGGTTTTTCCACCGAAGGCAAGCTCGCACTCTCCGCCAGCACGAGTTGCACGGTAGTTCGAGTAGAGACGAAACTCTATCTCGGTGCTGGTGGTGCTTGTCTCCAGAATCTGGCGGTGTTCGTTTTGCGAACTGATGCTCATTGCTCCAGGACCAGAGCCCACCATGGTCAGGATCCACGGGCCCCTGCAACTGTTGTTATAATGGTGGAGCTGCCGGCGGCGGGGCGGAACCCGAATCCCATGTCAGCCAACTCTCCTACCGCCCAGCTCGCCAGGTATCAATCAGTGTTGGAGAGCTAAGCCACTCTCTGCTACCTCTACTACCACTACCAAGGTATCCATTACGCTCGATAATAATTGGCCTTGCTCGCTTTTGCTCGTGCTAAAACATTTCTCTTTCCACTTTCTTCCCATTGGTAGCCCCCCACCCCAATCCATAGCCCTGTCTGGTCTCCTTCTCACCTCCATCCTACCATGAAACAATCAGCTCTGCTCATTTGAAAGGGGAAAATATATGTGCTCCGACCGCCGCCTCGGGCGATTCCAGCAGCCACGCACGCACATCATCGTGACCTTCGAGGTCGAACAGAGCTCCCCCTCGCCCTAACCTTGAGCGGCGGCAGCCACGATGAAGTTCGGCGACAACTTCTATCAGAGGTCGGTCCCCGAATGGGCTCCATACAACTTCAACTACAATGGCATGAAGCAGCTCATCAAACAACGGACGTCCGCCAATCTGACCGGCCCTGTTGAAATCCCCGTGCAAGGCAGAAGTCGATGGGAAGAAACAGACAAGGTCTTGCTGGATTACTTGCGAGACCAGTATGACAACGTCACGCTGTTCCTGCGGATGAAGCGGGGAGAAATTGACCGCAGACTCAGCTCGCTCAAGAAGCAGATCTCAATCCTCCGGACATTTGCCGACGAGAGGGCTCTGGAAGTCAATGCTGTCGCTGGTGTTCGGGGTCGCAAGTATCGAAGACTCACCCAGGAATGCGAAGAGCTCGGGGATCTTATTCAAAAGGTCGCCCGCTTCGCCTCTGCACAGAAGATCGCTTTCCGCAAAATCCTTAAGAAGTATACGAAATGGACAGGGTCAACCACATTGCAAACGCGCATGGATGTTGAGGTCTTCTCTTCCAACCAGCTGCAGACTGACTACTCGGATTATCTTCAAGAATTGGCCGAACAGACAGCCATACTGACCGAAAAACTGGCCACTTCAACGCTTCCAAGACATCACCAAGAATCACCACCCAGTCAACAGCAGAATAGAACTCCTGTATCCGCTCTGCGGTCTCCTATCGTCAAAATAAACAATGCCCTCAGCCAAGCCCCGTCGGCCTTTGATGCCGCCGTCATGACAGTCCCATATGGCGAGGCCGCCGGCAGTGCCTTCTATTGGATTCACCCAGACAACCTCGATGAGGCCCGTGCTCTCATCCAGAGACACATGAAGAAGGATGACTCCGCTGCTCCTACTCCGTCACGGAGGGACTCCGAGGGGTCACTGATACCACGGAGAAACACATCTTTCAGTGCCTCCAATAGTACTCTCACTTACATGGTCTTCCTTGACAATGCGCAGCGATTTGTCAAAGATCAAAGTTCTGTGAGACCCTCAAGGATCGCCGTGAGTGCGTATTGGACGTTCGACAAGGACGCCGCGGTGACGCTGGCCGGGCTCTCACCTAATTCTTCCGGGGAAAAGGCCCTTCTCCTCGACCGCGAAGACCTCGGTATTGCCTTGGATCGGGATTCGCGTCTGACAGGTGGTTCCAAAGAAACCACCACCGTTCAGCGATATCTCGTCGAGCACAGGGATGTCAAACCCTTGGCCGAAGTGCAAACCTACCGGACGCGTTACTCTGGTATGACCAACACGGCCGATGTCTCGAATTGGGCGACTCTCGACACCTCGATCACTTTTGGCGCTGTGGACATGCAGCACCTCGGGGAATTGCAACCATTGCCCCAAACCAGTCACACCTTCCCCCATGCTACCTTACACATCCGCTGGGAATTTGCACGGACACCGGCCGTAGTTCGCGCGCTGGACGACTCGCATTTGGCATACCGAGTTTACGATTTTACTCTCGAAGACATGGCTGTTCGCACCGTCCAGAAAGACCTCCCTCCGTCACCTTGGCAATCACTGCTGGAAAAGGACATTACCAAGCTGCCCCTTCCCACTATTGGTGAGGCCAGCCACTACTTCCGGCTCAAGACCACGAATCGACTCAGGGTCAGTGCAAATGATATGAGTGGAACGTCCTCGGGCCCATCCTCTAGTGAAGGCCGTGCAGACAGTCTCTTCTCTACCGCTACACATGGACAGTCCTCCATCACATCCAATGAAGCTCGAGCCACCGAGGCCGTCACTTCTCCTGCCGAGTTAAAATCTCCGTCCAGCAAAAAAGGACGGAAGCGAGCACGGATTGTGGTGCCTGAGCCGCGTCCGTCTCGAATGAGATACTGGAACGAGTTTGACGATGGCGACTCCGATGTCAATCCTCAGGAGTCTTACGCAATCTACGTTGATCCAAACGAGCCTCTTTTCCCCGGGATGTCCAAAGCGTGGGGAAGCCTGAAGTCGTGGTGGCCGCTGAAGTCTCTAACTGGAGGGAACAAGCCCGCAAGCGAGACAACGCCATTGCTGTATGATGAAGAGACTGCTTCCATCGAGTCATCCGACTCGGACTCGCTATTGATAGTGCACGAGGGGCAACTGCGCCGGAGTTTTGTTTGGGGGTTGATCGGCGGCTTGAGTGTCGCCTTTGTCATCGGCTTTGCTCTGGTCCTGTTTATATGTTTGCAAGAATGAAGGGTGTTCACGGCCAAGATGGGACGGGTCATTCTCATCGTGTTTCTGTGCGGCTTGAGCGGGGGCGTCGGATGGTTGTCGAGGGGCTTTGCGTCTAGCCTCCTTGCTCTGTTTGTTTTTTTGCCGCGGCCGTACATTTGCTTTCATAATGAAATACGTGCTATACACAACCTGCACTACGGACCTAAATCGTGCGTAAGAATACGCATTGAGGCCTCGCAAAGCCTTGATCGATGCCCTCAGCCAGGGTGGAATCGCCGATGGACCGGATTGACTTTGGGCTAGAGGGAACATGGTAAGAGAGGCAGTGAGAGGGCACGCGAGCACACTTCCCTGGACGAGTCCTTCACTGCTTCTTGCAGCATTGGTGGCATTCTTAGGCCGTGGGCCCCAAAGCTGGTGGGCTAGACACGGGTTTAACGCCGCGCTACCGAGCACCTACTTTCAACTACATGGACGGAACAAATTGCCAGGCTGCGGCGAAGCGACACTGTCACGAGCATCGACTCTCTTTCTCTGCCCTCAATGCCGGCTCCGCAGGGTGTTGCGAGGGGTCTGGACCAACATAATAGCTGGACAGTAACATAACACTAGGCATTCCTCCGTCAACCTTTGGCCCAACCGCGGAACATGCCGCAAGCTAATGCGGATGGTCGAGTAAGGAGGATTCTGACACTGGGTAGTTGAAGTATTGCTTCTGCCTTTGCCATCATCCTCGGGAAGGCGTTTTCTATCAGAATACCCCTCACGAGCGATGGCCAGATTCAACTAGTCTTATCCACAAGACAGTTTAGCCCACCGGCCCTACCTCAACTGTGCATCTGCATGCATTCGGGATCTGTGCGCTGCGTCATGACGGGTCACTGTGCTCTGCAGACTCTGATGCTCGCTTTCGCCAGAGAGCAAGCGAGGTGGATTCTGACAAACTAGTTGGCGATGCGACTCTTGGTAGTGTCGCTTCTGAAGACTTACCTGAGACACTGGAGTGTAAGGTAGAGACTGGCATGCAATGCAGTGCCTGTCAGGTATCCCCAGAGAGCATGCCCTCCCTCAGCCCTCTTGCCAGGCCTGTTGCGTCATCAACCTTCTGCAATGTTATCAACTTGAAACCCACCAAAATCGCAGGTTTGCCGGCGATTTCACGTGTCACTGTCATTTTGGCCCCAACCTCCCTTATCTTGACCGTGCCTTATCTTTTAAGCCACCAGAACCCTTTTTCCAGGGAGGCTCACCACCAGCACTGGAGCTTATCAGTGTTTGTCCGAATCTACACTTCTAAGTGGCCTCCCTTGAGATCTGATGGTTCCCCGGAGATGCAGATTTGAGCTTGGTATCTACCAGTCGCGGCGTCATAGCTCTCAATAGACCCCCGTAAAAGCTGTGACGTTGGTCAACATGTCGCCTTCGGCACGCTGGGGCTTTCTGCAGCTTCGATGCTGCTCCATCAACAGATATGGCGGCAGACGAGGAACAACCGGATGAAAGGACGCATCTCCTCCCTCGTGACAGGAGGCTCAACTCCCTTGCTGTAGAAGAAGCGGACGCTGCTTCGGTTGTCTCGTCCCACATCAGCAAAGAAGAGCAGGCGCTGGGCGACACCGCCGTGGGAGAACGGCTGCCCTACAACGATTATACGACGATTGACTGGCTCCATGACTTGGTAGGAGAATCTGGCTGCACTTGACTGACTCAAATTGACCCCCCACAGGTCAAAGACTCGTTCAGATACCGTTCCGTGCATAGTGGAAAGGGCATCCGAAATGGACTCATGGCGCTCCTTGACTCGTGTCAAGGCTGGATTGCAGCTGCAATTATTGGCACTTTAACGGCATGCGTTGCCTTCCTTGTGGACATGGCTGTTGCCACTGTCAGCGACTGGAAGACGGGATATTGCCAAAAGAATCCATTCGCGAGTAAAGACCTGTGCTGTACGTCGAAATCGCCATTAACGCCTCTCGCCGACAGCGGTGAGACCTGCTCGGACTGGAAGTACTGGACGGGGAATTATTGGCATGGGTTTGGAATCTACGTGGGCCTCGCTCTGCTTTTTGGAATCATCAGTGGGACAGTCACGTTGACCACGAAAAGAGCGCTTCCAGCAAGCGCCCCGGGCGCCGGAGACAGTGGACCAATGCAGAAAAACAGCGATCAAGCCAGTCGCGAAACCCTGAAGCCTACAGCGACTGGCAAGTCCATCTACATGGCCGCTGGGAGCGGCATCCCCGAGATCAAGACCATTCTATCCGGCTTTGTCATTCCGCACTTCCTGGACTTCAATGTTCTGGTCGTGAAGGCCGTCGGGTCAGTCTTCGCCGTGTCAACAGGCATGTGTTTGGGCAAGGAAGGCCCTTTCGTCCACATTTCCACCTGTGTTGCATACCTGGTGGGAATCCGATTCCACAAGTACAGAGGGAATGGTCGCAAGCTCCGCGAGCTTTTGGCTGCTGGTTGCTCGAGTGGTCTCTCGGTCGCATTCGGCGCGCCCATTGGTGGTGTGCTGTTCGCATATGAAGAAATCTCGACGTATTTCCCGCGGAAAGTGCTTTGGAGAGCCTTCATCTGCTCCCTGTTCGCGGCCATGACCCTCAAGGCTCTCAATCCGACAGGGACCGGCAAGCTTGTGCTCTTTGAGACCAACTACGGCACCACGTACCGACCCTATCATTATATTGTATTCGTGGTCTTGGGTGCCGCTGGGGGCGTCTTTGGAGGCGTCTTTTGCAAGGCCAATTTCTTGTGGTCTCGCAGCTTTCGGAAGTACACCATCATCAAGAACTATCCGGTCCTCGAGGTATTCTTGGTTGTTCTCGCCACAGCCCTTTTGCAATATCCCAACCCTCTGGCTCGAGAACCTGGCGACGTCATCATCAAGAATCTTCTGGTCGACTGCAACGCAAGCTCACGGACAGCCTACGTCTGTATGCAGGAGGGACACGATTCACCGTCGTCAAAGTACTTGGGCTGGCTCGCCTATGGAACGCTCATCAAGCTCGTCCTGACGATTATAACATTCGGTGTCAAAGTGCCATCGGGAATCATCATTCCCGCCCTTGATGGCGGAGCCTTCTTCGGCAGGCTTGTTGGGCAACTGCCTTTCTTGGCACATTCTATCTCCCCCGGCATTTTTGCCATGGTTGGTGCTGGTTCCTTTCTGGCTGGCGTTAGTCGAATGACTATTTCACTGGCGGTCATCATGTTCGAGTTGACGGGGGAACTAGAGTTCATCGTGCCAAATATGATCGGCATCATGGTTGCCAAATGGGTGGCAGATGCTCTGGAGGGCGAGGGCGTGTACGATCTGGCACAGACAGTCCTAGGGCATCCCTTCCTCGACCTGGATAGTGCCATGACGCTAGTCCGGCAGGATGCCCATCTTGCTGAGGAGCTGATTCCTCCTCCTCAGACTATGCGCGAGATCACGGTCGACGTCCCCGAAAGTGGCATTGTCCCCCGCGGTTTACTGACGGAGAAGATGCACCAGCTGCACCGTCGAGGCCTTATGGACGCTGGCCTTGTGCTTATCCAACGAGCTATGCTACAGGGCTATCTAGCGCAGGGAGAACTCGAATTTGGGTTGGAGACTCTGGGTGAGACGTTCCCCGCAGGCTGCGTTGTTCGTCTTCTGCCTCCGCTACCTACTGCACAAGTACCAATGGAGCACGAGGGGGAGCTTGATCTATCACCGTTCATCGACCGGACACCATTGACGATCTGTGCCAAAGCCCCGATGGAGTTTGTGGTGGAGATGTTCAGCAAGCTAGGCCTCAGGCATTTGTGCGTCACGGAAGAGGGGAGCGGACGGCTTGTGGGAGTGATCATCAAGAAGAGGTTGGTGGTTTGGCTGGAAGGTTTGAAGCATTGACGGGGCACGCGGAGGTTTAGAGGAGGGAAGTCTAACTTGATGTGACTTTTTCTCGTATGATGTTGGAGTAGCTCCTGCTTGGAGATGCAAGATATTTGCAGGACGTCACAACATACATCAGGGCATGACAAGAAGAGTATAGAGGGGTTGGTTTTAGTCCAGTCCTTTCCCCTAGGCGAGGTGGAAGACGTTGGCCGTTGGGGTCAGGTGAGGATCATGATAAGGAAAAATAGACGAATGATGTGCATGTCACCTCTGTCTCCCTCCGAGTATTACAACATGTGCCTATTGAACTTTGCCCAGTTAAAAGAGGGGGAGCCCGCCAGGCACAAAGAGGGGGTTTTTACAGGGATGGCGCCCTGGTTAAGCATCCAATAGCTTGTACCAGCAATGGCGGGGAATATGCCGCCTCCAGTGTTCGTCCACTGCCAATTTCTTCGCTTGCAACTGCCACCATGCCCGACGTGCTTCTGTCTACTACTATTCGAGGGCACTGGTTTTACTCCTCACGCATCTTGAACATTCTCGGTGGGCTAGCAGATGGATCCAGCTGCTGTTGCTGGCTTCTTTTAGCTTGGCTTCTCTACAAAGGGCATCAAACTCTTCACGACTTTCAGCATCTTCCGCCACTAGCTTCGCAAGCCTCCTTGAACCGAGCCCTGATCCTCGTCGTCAGCCCCGCCATGCTCTCTTGCCTCCGTCTCCACTGTCCTGTAAGAAGGAAAATTTTTGGAGGGAGAAGAAAAATTTTTTACTTTCAGCAGCTGACATGGTTAAGATGGATTAAGTTGCAAGAGCCAGTTTGTACCAGGACAAGCCTGCAAGGCCGCTCCCGAGTCAAGTCCACAGGAATCCACACGGTAACGTCCACCTGCAACACGAGGAGCGAGCTTGCGTCGACAAGAACTGCATCTTGCTCACGGTGTCCGCCTTTTACCCTCGGGTCGACCTTATTTGTCCCGCTCTATATTCCTCATTCCCAGACGGTCTCGCGTCACACGAGGGAAGACTACAGGCTACCGACTAGTACTCGCGAATTAGCATAGCATCCCTGCCTCAGGCCCAAGGCCCCTTGTGCATGCTATCCTTTTGGAAAGAGCCGGGCACTAGTAGTGGAGTTTGCATGTGAAGTGCGGGACAACATGATATCCTCATGAGCAGCTAAAATGTCGACGACCTCTTCGAGCAAACAGCATGCCCGGCATAGTTCCAACTTCTCAAAGAGCCGACCAGCTCCGATGCCCAGCTCTCCTTTGAAAAGATCCCACAGTGATCAGGGCATTGAAGAGAGCAGTCCCTTAGCCGTTTCCGACCGTCCTTGGGTTGAGCGCCCTCGAGCCAGCTCCTCGTCCAGTCAAGCCGCAGAGAAGACTCCCGCCAGGTCTTTCTATGTCCGTTCGTTCCATGGCCAGCTAGATCCAGCTCAGTATTCTTCTTCCGCTGGCCTCAGAGATCAGACTGCAGAGCTCGCTGCGTTTGCTCTTTCTGAGAACGCCTCCCACCTTGGAACCTCTCCGCCGACTTCTTCAGCTGCTTCCGATGATGGTTACCCTGAAGTTATCGAAGAAGTTTCGGAGCCAGTAACTCCAGCAAGTTCGGACCATGACCATCCTGGTGATCCAGCCGTCTCCGAGTTGACTGCAATGATACAAAATTCTATGGGGCAAGAGGAGGACCGTCATCAACACCTGAATGATGTCGATAAGACAACATCGCATCGTCCTGCGTCATCGAGCAGGCCGGAGGCTAGTCAGGCAGACGAGTATACAGCCCTCATTGGTGACCGGCGGACAGAACCCACAAAGTACGGCCATTATGTGGATGTTGAGCGTCAGTATGGTTCGGACAAGGGTGGTATCATCCAGAAATGCAGAGACTCCGCGAGAAGAGTGCGTTCATGCTGTTATACACTCTCACATCCCAAGACGTGGAGTGCCCGTGCCATTTACCGGGAAGCAATCGTCCACCCAGTCAGTCTCCTTCCAGCTGTCTTTCTCGGTCTGCTCCTCAACATCCTGGATGCTCTCTCCTACGGCATGATCTTGTTCCCGCTGGGAAATGAAATCTTTGAGGGTCTGGGCTCGGACGGGATCGCCATGTTCTACGTCAGCACTATTGTGGCCCAGGTCGTCTATTCTTCTGGCGGCTCAATATTCAGAGGCGGCATTGGGTCCGAAATGATCGAGGTTGTCCCCTTTTTCCATAAGATGGCTTTTACGATACTCCAGAAGGTGGGGGATCAGAACCCCAAGGCTGTCCTTGCCACCACGATACTATCCTTTGCCATCAGTTCTATCTTGACCGGAGTGGTGTTCTTCCTCATGGGAGCTTGCAAGCTAGGATCGCTGATTGGCTTCTTCCCGCGCCATATTCTCATCGGCTGTATTGGAGGCGTCGGCTGGTTTCTTGTTGCAACCGGCATCGAAGTCTCTGCTCGATTACCTGGGAATCTGGAGTATAACCTTGGCACCCTCAAGCAGCTGTTCCGGAGCGACACAATCGCCTTGTGGACCGTGCCGTTATTACTTGCCATCACTTTACTCATTGTACAACGCTTTGTAAAATCAAATCTGTTGGTCGGCGGCTACTTTCTGTCTGTCGCTGCCATTTTCTACTTCTTCAAGTCCGCCTTGGGCATATCAATGGAGACCCTGCACACCGGAGGCTGGGTTTTCGATCCACCACCGGCCGGGAACCCGTGGTACCACTTCTACACGCTGTACGACTTCAATGCGGTCCATTGGGGAGCTCTTGCGGACACCATCCCGGCCATGTTTGCTCTGACGTTTTTCGGCGTCTTGCATGTCCCCATCAACGTGCCCGCTCTGGGTATTTCTACCGGCGAGGATAACTTGAGCGTCGACCGAGAGTTGGTCGCGCACGGTGTCTCGAACTGCCTCAGTGGTCTCTTCGGAAGTGTGCAGAACTATCTTGTCTATACCAACAGTCTTCTCTTTATGGACAGCGGGGGCAATGACCGTCTCGCAGGGCTGCTGCTGGCAGCCTGCACTGTCGGCATCCTCTTGGCTGGTCCGGCTATTATTGGTTATATTCCCATTATGGTCGTTGGGGCCCTGATTTTCCTCCTGGGCATAGAGCTGCTGGAAGAAGCTCTTGTCGGCACCTGGGGCAAAGTACACAAACTTGAATATGCCACTATCCTAATCATTGTCGTCACGATGGGAGTGTGGGATTTCGTGATTGGGATCCTGGTTGGCATTTTGCTCGCTGCTTTGAGCTTTGTTGTGCAAACGTCTCGAAGAACTGCCATCAGAGCAACATACTCGGGGCAAGTCGCCAGGTCTCTCGTCCGACGACCGCCAGTTCAGCTTAAGTTCCTGCGGGAGACAGGCAAACAGATCTTTCTCCTCCGGCTGGCTGGGTATTTATTCTTTGGGACGATTGTTGGGGTTGAGAACCGAATTCGAGCTCTTCTGGAGGAAGATGCCTTTAGGGACCGGCCTCTGAGGTTCCTCATCTTGGACATGGCTCAGATCAACGGCATTGATTTCTCTGCGGCAGAGGCGTTCACCAGAATCAACCGTCTTCTGCAGAAGCGCGGTGTCGAGCTTATCGTGAGCAACTTGGACGTTGATGGCGAGGTTGGACAAGCTCTTCGCAATGTGGGGTTGTTTGCGGCAGACTCAAACGTCCAGATCTTCCCTGATCTCAATGTGGCACTGGAACACTGCGAGAATAAACTGTTGACCGCCTTGTATCGTCAACAAGAGCAGCGCCGCCCGAGGCGGATAGGCGGGCACCTTGACATGCCTCGAAGTCGGGCTCAAGAGCTTTCGTCCTCGTACAAGGCAGAATTCATGGGCAGCTCCCCTAGACGGACTCATCTCCACCAAGTCGCTCAGACTACTCTGGACGAGGACACGTCCAGCTTGGCTAAGTGGCAATCTTTCAAGCAACCTCTTCCCTTGATGCTGCAAATCTTTGCCGATCTCTCCGACAAGAACGAGGACTTTTGGTACCGTGCCATGAAATACTTTGAAAGGGTCGTATATCCCAAAGGGTCGGTGTTGTTCAAGGTTGGAGATCCTCCAGACGGCTTCTATATGCTTGAAGAAGGCATTCTGCGCTGTGATTACGATTGGCCACAGGGCAAGTACTCGGAGCTGATCGTATCTGGGCGCCCATGCGGAGAGCTGCCATTTTTCTCCCAGACACCGCGGACTGCCACGATGGTGGCCGAGAAGGATTGTGTTACTTGGAGACTAGATACGAAGCGATGGCATGATATGCAGGCACGAGATCCGGATATGGCCGAGGAACTGCTCGTGATCAGTTTGAAATTGACCAAGGAAAGGATGGAGGCTGTGACTTCATATGTCCTGACCACGGCAGGCTGAAGGAGGGCATTTGTGATTTGCTTAGCGAGGCTTCCACAGTACATATTCGGAGTGGCAGCCTGTACGGAGTAAGGAAAGGAAGACAAAAGTCAGCAAGCGTTGGGTGATGAACAGCCTCGCGCTTTTGTGTGTTTGGAAGCGAAATGGCGCTGTTGGTATTCATCGAACTGCGCATGACTCCCTTGTTCGGGAAGAACTACAGGTCGACAGGACATCGTTTACAGTGCGGCAGACATCGAGAATCTGTACCGAGTACCCCGTATAAACATGGTCATTTTGGTGTTGGCCGAGACAAGAGCACGATCTTGCTCAAAAGTGTTGTAATGGTAATGGTATTTGGGTCTCTGCCTGTAGAGTACGGAGTACTCACAACAACCACCTCGGTCTCCATTGTCTCTCTATTATTGTTTCGAGATTTCCATCCGTTTTGACGGAGGTGGTATTTCACAAGGACTGGCGCCTTTTTAATAACCCGCCGGACCGTCGCTTTTCGAGTCGCTGATATACCCGCTTCGACTAAGGCCGTGTGATAACGTGCACTGACCTCGGTGATTAATGCTGCTTCGAGTCTCGAGTCCCCATTGAGCCGCGCGGGTGTGGTGTGGTTGTCCACTACTCCGTCCTGTGCACCTCTACCTCCTCCTCGCACTACTCGAAGGTGCTCGTACCTAGCGAAAGCGACCGCCCCCCCGGGTTTGAAGATTGATGGGGCCTCGTACGAGTAGTACTCTGTATTAGTGAGACCCGGATCCTCATCGGTTAGATGCGCGGCGGCCCCCAGCGGGCCATGGGCTGGCCTCGACGGGAGTTGTGGGCCATGGGCTGGCTCCTCATTCCCGTCGAATTTTTTAAATTTTTTTTTTTTCCTACACAGGAACTTAGTGAATCGTGGTGGAGTGGAGTGGAAACATGTACGAGGGCCAATGAGTACCAACGTATCCGTTGCTTGAGTGAGTGAGTGAGTGAGCGACCTCGCGAAGAGACGTCAAATCGTGCCGCTCAGAATCATGTCGCAACGAGTCCGCAGCACAGGTCAGTCAGTGTAGGTACTATAGGTGGCGCGTTCCAGGGAATGATGGGATTCGTGGCGAGCAGGTCTCAGCTTGGACCAACCGACTAGCGCTCCTTTGGGAGACATGTTCTGCAGCCGTTTTAGGCGAAATTTGGGGGATCTCCCCCCCATACCAACACCGGGTGTGTCTCGAATCTCGATCGGAGAGTAGTTAATGAATGAAAAAGAAAGGGTGCCTTTTCGGGCGTCCGGTTGTCGTGTCTTGAAACTCCGTGGGCAGATGGCTCTGGTATTAGTCGGGCTCTCCTGGACTCTCCTGGACTAAGGGGATTGAAGAACTCGGACAAGCACCCAGCGAGGATGAACTAGGTACTACTCCGTACACAGGTATCGTTCCATCGCAAAGTGTGCATGTGCTGATCGAAGTGCATGCAACTTGGGGTGTTCCGTATATCCAGCCTGTTTCAGGTTTGGACCTGGATCCCCCTGAGGGGAACCTACTGGATGGAGACCAATTCGCGCCGTTCCTTTGCAGTGGTGGAGATGGTTTCGAAATTGCAAGACCTGCACGACTTAAGCCCCGCCAGCTTGATTGATTGGTGATCTGGCCCGGGGCTTTTTTTCGAAGTCTCCCCAAGATATCGAGATCGACACCAAAGCTGCTCCATTGCAGGCATACCTCCATGGCCGCGCATCAATGAGCGATAACACCGGTCGCAGTTAATCCCGCGAGACGATAGCATGGACATGACAGCCGGCTGGAAGAAGAGCGATGCATAAGTCACGCCGGCGGCAATGTGGCAGGACCGTAAGAGAAGGGCCATTCTGTGCTGGTGATGATTGAACGAGAAAGTTGAGGTCTCACCTGGCGCTGTGTGATACTGCACCCGGAGCGCAAGGCGAGCTGACGAGCCTTTGCGCTAGATTGATCTCCTTTGGAGCTATCTGCCTCGGGTTTTCGGGATAGGCAGAGAAGAGCAGAGAGGGCACATTTTGCTCAGATGTCCGCCACCAATCCCCGTTGTCAGGTTCCTGCTGATGGAAGGATATGGAACAGTTCTTACAGTCATGGACTTGCATTCTGCAACTATCAAAGAGGGGGTCGGATCGGCCACCGATGCGAGGACTTATTCCAGGATTCGTCCAGGGCATGTGACGACTGCACAAGGCACGTCATTTCTGCAGGTGGCCAGCTGGTGCCGGTTGATGGTCGCATGACCAACGACCTTTTTTTCCCCAGTGATATGGTGATATCTTGTCCCCTCAGAGGCCAAGGCCATCGGAGATCCTGTTGTGAGTCACACGTACAGTCCCATTCCCTTGCTTTATTGTGGATGCCATCGAAGGAAAGTCGAGCACGGTGAAGCCTCCAAAGGAATATGATATCGTGGGTTCTTGGACCGTGTCTTCCTCGTCCCATGGTCCAAATAGACCTTTTTTCGTGGAGGGATAAGCTGATCGGTGAGTGGGTGGGTGCACCTCGTGGCAAGACGTATTATGGCATCTGTCAAAACGCGCCCTGTCGCCTGAAAGACTTCGGACCGCTTCCCACACAAAGTTCGCACAGCCCTGAGTGACTTGGTGCCTGAGCCTGAGGTTGCTGCAGGAGGCCCCCTTGGCGTCAGAAAAGAGGCGTGGACTGCGTTGCGAGAGCCATGTCAATGGCCGTCCTCCCTGCTGACTGCAGTGGTGAAACTTTCATCGACCGGTAGAGTGCGCTGCTCGGGACGACCTCCCAGCGCATGTTCGTATCGTATATCGAGGCGTGGTCACTAATGAAAAACCGTCGTGAATCGATTCATCGGAAAACGTTCGATGTGATTTTGTTTCCTGGGAGACATGTGGGCGGCAGCAGAAATGGCGAGGGGCTACCCGCAGGTCAGTGCTAAGGCTATTGCGCAGGCTAGCGCGGGAGGGGCTAGGGAAGGCTACAGGTTTCTCCACCAAATTATTCAGAGCAACCTGGGCCTGGTGGGCTAGTGTTGGTTAAAGGGCGAGCACCGGTGGGGTCGGCCGTGGTAGCGCGTTGCCTAGGGGCGCCTTCAAATCTCCTTGCCCGGTAAACGCCCTGTGCAGCCTTCGTGACTGGAGCCGCCCAAGAGAGCCCGTTACCAGCCCCAAACAAATCGAACTGGAGCGATAAAGACAAGACAAAAACTAGACGCATCCCATCTCACACCACTCCTCTTGCCTGCCCGCTCTCAATCTCGCTCCCTTCATCTTTCCTGGAAACCAATCCCTTCCTACTTCTCATACAAATTTGGTCCTCTTCAAATCTCCTGCGACTACTTCTTCATCAATCCCTTCCCTGAAACGTGACTGCCGGCCCAAAGCCTCGTGGTCCTTGATTGTCATTGTCAATTTCTCCCTTGGACCAGACCCTCCATATCCACTTATTCTTCAGACAACTTATTCTCGCTCTGAAGTATTCTTCTTGACGTTCCCTCCTTCCTCCTTCAAGTTGTTACTGTCTTCCACAAGCACCTCCTAGTCTCACATCCGTAACATTCTTCCTCTTCCCACTCCAGCACCATGTCTGTCGAAGCTCCCAAGCCCGTCGAAGAGACACCGGTCGTCGAGCCTACAAAGGTTGCCGCCGAACAACCAGAGACCACGGCCGAAGCCACGGAGACTGCTGCTGCTCCTGCCGAGACCACTGAGGCTACACCTGCTGTTGCTGAAGAGCCCGCTCCCGCTGCACCGGAGGAGGTCAAAAAGGATGAACCGGCTGCCGAGATTACCCCTGCTTCAGAGGGCGTGTTGGGGTACAAGGAGCCGACTTTCTTCAAGTATGCTTGCTAGCCATATGATCGATTTGGAGTGACGAAAGGGGACTGACTGGATTGCAGGAAATTCATCTTCAGCAAGCACTACTTCTGGTTCCAAGAAGAGCCGGCCACCGCCGAGTCATTGACCAATTTCATGCGATCTGAGAAGGCAGACACAAAACACTCTGACGCTGCATGGGCACGTGAGACCGGAAAGGGACTGCTCTTCTACTCCAAGCGAGCCGAAGACAAGGCAACTCCAGCTGGTATCATCAACCTGGTGAGTTTCAACACGTCTGGGAATATGTTGACATCCATTGACGATTGCTAGTCTGATGCCTCGACTATTGCCAAAGAAGGTTTCCAATTCTCCTTCAAGGCCGGTGCTCACGTCCATCGGTTTGAGGCATCATCCGCCAAGGAACGGGACAGCTGGATTGCTGCTCTTGAGAAGACAATCGAAGAGGGAAAGAGCCTGAAAGAAGATGTCACTGGACGCGAGAGCTATAAGAAGAACGTCGAGGAATATGGTAGGTTGATATACGTCACTGTTTCTGCAGTTCCGTTGTCTCCACGCATGATTATAAGCTAATGCAGCTCTAGCCAAACCCGCAATTGCTCCTGTTGCGGCGGCCGTCAAAACTTCCCGCTCCAAGTCGAAAGAACCAAAGAAGTCTGTTGACGCCTCTACCGCCGCCGCCGCCGCAGCTGCTGATGCTGCTGCCACTTCTAGTGACGCAGATGAAACCACAAAGCCTGCCGCTGAGCGTTCTCAGTCACGGAAGCGTGGTAGTATCTTCGGAACTCTTCTCAGCAAGAAGGAGGAACATGCTGAAAAGAAAGAAGAGAAGCCAGAAGTTCCTGCCAAAGATGAAACCAAGGAAACACCTGAGGCAGCCGAGGCATCCGCGGCCAGTGCTGGTAAGTTCTCTCCAATACCTCTAGTTTGATCATTTCTGACCGGTCCCAGTGCCAGCTGCGGTTGTCGCTTCTGACAAGAAGGAAGAGAAGGAAGATGTGAGCCCTACCGAGAAGAAGGGCAAGCGTGGCTCTGTCTTCGGCAGCCTCTTCAGAAACCGTGTAGCAAGCCCGACAACCGAGAAATCCGAGAAGGATGCTATGGCCACAAGCGACGTCCCTCCAGTCTCGGAGACCGCCCCCAAGATTGAGGAGCCGATCGAGAACAAACCCATCGACGCTGCAGCTGTCACTGCCCCAGTCGATACTGTCACTACTCCCGCCGAAGAGCCTGCAGCAGCGGGAGAAAGCTCTTCCGCACCCAAGACGGAGAAGAAGGGCGGTTTGATCAGTTTCATCAAGAAGACTGAAGCTAAGCTCGAAGGCAAGAAGGAAACCAAAGAGGAGAGCAAAGAAGACAAGGCTGCCGAAGCCATTGCTAAAGAGCCCGTTGCTGCTGCCAGCACCGAGCCAGCCGAAACCGCTGCTCCCACCGAAGCCGCCGCCGAGACTACTGCACCTGCGACCGAGGAGCGCCCCGCTCGCGACAACAAGCGCCGTACCTCCCTTTTCTTCAACAAGAAGCAACATGAGACCCCCGAAGCCGATGATACCGTTGCCGAACCCAAGCGGGAAAAGTCTCCTCTCCCTGGTGGCAAATTCATCGGTCAGCTTGTCCGTCGCGCTAGTAAAGCGATCAAGTCTGAGGGGCCGAAGGAAAAGACTGCTGAGCCTGCCGCCGCTCCTGCCAGCGCGACTGAAGCCCCTGCCTCTGAGACCCCAGTCGTTGCTCCGGAAGCTGCCGAGACCAAGCCTGCCGAACCTGTCCCCGAGCCCGTTCAGTCTACACCTGAAGCCGTCGCTACTACGGCTCCAGAGGTCAAGGCAACGGCTTGAAGGTCCGACGAGGTCAGAGACAAGACTCCACGCACATCTCTATCACATCCATCTCGACTGTCTCGAGCGTCTAGTCCAGTTGAATTCGAGAAGTGGTGGGACGAGAAGACTTACAGCACTCCTCCGGCGGTACCTCCTCGCAGCCCCTCTCGTCTCTCTGGCCTCGTGGTTTCGAGGTAGCGTGACACGGTTGGATCTCCATCAGTCCGTCCTGTTTCCAGTATCGATCTTTTGAGATACCCGGGCCTATTTTGGCCCATTGACGACAAACTCGGACATCACTCCTTTTATGCATTTTCTCTCTTTCAGGATACCCCACGCACTGCTAGATCGAAACTGTTTGTCTTTTTTGAGTTATTGTGGATTGTGTTTTCTTGGTTTTTTGCTTTGAGTACAGATACCCCACTTAGGCAAGTCTTGTCCTTACGAGAAGAGATACCCCCGAAAGCAAAGTTGTTGGTGGAAAAGGCAAGGAAAACAGGCATACCATCGCGAGGGAAAAGGGAGGCTTATCAGTCCTTCCTGTTCCTCGGCGATACGGGACACTGCGGGAAATCTTGTGGAGCACATCTGGTGACAATGTCCATGTTCACAGTTTTGATTGAGATCGACAGATTGGATCGAAACTCGTGGGCAAGTGAACAGGAATCATGATTGCAAAGCAGGAACAAGACAGACAACAGAACACCTAGCCAGTGAACCATGCAAAGCAGAACCAAGCGTTAGGATAGTAATAGCTAATACATGAAATTGCTAAATAAAAACAGCGGAGTGCACTTGTTTAATGTCCGAAGTCCTCGTGAAACCTATGGCAATGACCGTAGAAGTTGCACAGAATCAACCTTTGGAAATTGGGGCGTGAGAAGGGCTCGATCGAGCCTTGCCCGTACAGACAGCCCCCGTAAGACTCGCAAAACCCAAGACTCCCGCACCCATCGCATGAACGACACACATTCAGTCCGGCGAGTTTACCATACGTAGTCGGCGTCGTAGTCGTGACCAAGTGATACCTGGCTGTGGATGCTTGGTGACAGCTGCGTATCACACTCACGCGCTCCTCTCTTCAAGCGCTCAGCGCAGCAGTGACGAAAATTTATTTCGGAAAAGCAAAAAAAAAAAAACCAAACAAAAAAAACCAGGACGATGAACGCTAAGAGATGGTTAAAGTGACTGAGTTGCATTTCATACCCCCACACAAAAAGCAACGTGGAGGGGCTTTGCAAGCCCCTTTAGCAGAAGCCTTGCAGATCTCATCAGACTATATAAAAGAGTGGACCGAACACATCCCCGTTCAACCCACACTGCTAAGCATGGACTTGATCCGTGACAGTTCATGCGTTGAAAGAGGAAAAAAAAAACAACACGGAAAACAGGCCTCGAGTCAATCCCCTTCGCAGGACGCCGCAGCAGAGGAAAATCCTCTTCTTGTAGAATCGAGAACGAAAGAGGAGACAGTCAGAAAGCCGTTTCATCGCCGTCGCCATCAAAACTCAGCACAAGTCACAAAAACCTAGTGACCAGCCATCGAGGTTATTCAAAGTCTGCTGTCACGCGTTCTTCGAACATCTTCCGACTGTCATCGGTGAATAAGAAATCGTAGCGATGTGTAAAGATAAGGGGAAGCCTGAGCAACCCTGTCGGGCAAAGCTCATCAACCCCAATGATCGCTGTGAGGCCCAATAGATCATAAACATGAAAAGAAAACAAGGGCGACGTGGCGGTTCAGGGGAGGCAGCCCTCCTGGCTTCAGCCTAATATAACCCCCAACCCCAAGCGTCATGCTGCTGTGTCGGCAACTACCAACAAGGTGGTAGTCACAGCTTCAATTGTCGTCCGATTGCAATTCCAAGAAACCTCGTCCGCTTCAAAGACAAGGCCACGAGTCCACGTAAGAATTCCACCAACCATCAACAACCATCATACACTTCTTGAAACCCGCTCATAGACTCTCTGCGTCAGGATCAGCTCCCAGGCGGTAGATGATGTTCCTGAGACGTTGAATCTCGGCTTCGGCGGCTTCGGCGTGCTCCTGCTTTCGCTGACGAGACTTTCGGGCGGCGGCAGTGTTTTTCTTCCTCTTGGCTGTCTCCTTGTCATCATCACTCTCGATGGTGATTTCGGGTAAGTTCTTTCGAGGCTTGGACGTCTTGGAGACACCGCTGGTCTCGGAGCGCTTGCGATTATGGTATGGTTGCGAGGGCGGTCGTCCTGGCGAGGACTTCTGTCGTGCCATACCAGTTTCTTGAGCGGCGGAGGCCGGTCGTGAGCTCAGGGCGCTCGAAGTCGACTTGGTGAAAGGCTCAGGAACCAAGGGTTGGCAGGCGAACTGATCCAAACCATTCTGAGGGAAGAGAGGTACCATGCCGTCGAGTTCGGCGAAGTTCAATGTGGCATCGAGCTCGCCATCTTCCAGTGGGGATGTGTTGAGGCCGCTGCTGGCCATCGCGGGTGACTCCAAGAAGCTCGAGTCTGGAGTGCTCAGATTGGGGAACGCCGCGGATGGTGGGGCCGACATGATCATTGCATCGTCCTTGAACAGGTCGGTGGGAGAAATTGTGCCATCATTGACCCCGGAGTTAACAGTGGTGAAATGGTTGGACTGGAAGTTGGACTCGAGGTCCAAGAAGTCGTCGTGGGAGGCGCTGAAGTCGCCCCCCGGGAGATACATCGAGTCGAAGGCGGTAGCCATATCGCCTGAGGGCACAGTTAGTGATCTCGCCCGAAGAATCGGGCGGTGGTGGTGGTGGTGGTGGTAAGTACCTTGCGGAATGTTGGGGACCGAGTAGTTTCTACGAGGAACAGTGGTTGAGTCAAAGGCAGGAACAGGCGGCAGACGCTGCAAATGAGCAAGCTGGCGCAGGTATTTGTCTTGAGTGGATTGGTTTTGCAATGCTAGACTGGGAAAAGACCGGTGATTGGGAGACGAGTAGAGATGCCCGTGAGATGGAGACGAGATAGACTGAACTGGAGACACTCTGCTGTTGATGGAGAGATGCCGAGTCTGGGCTAGTCGTTGGGTATTAGGGGCTGTACTCGATATCGCCTGCGCACGCGAGGCTTGAGGAGAGATCCTGAGAGGGGTCTCCGGAGCGGCGAAGAGCTGAAAGTCCTGATTGAAGTTGTGCTGCTGTTGGTTCTGCGACGATGCAGTTGAGAAACTTGGGGTTGGGGAACGCCATGTTTGCGGATGATCCGTGGTGAAGGATGTGAAGTCCAACGCGGGAATGGTTGCGGTTGGAGGAAGAGAGCTCGTTACGCGGGGCGCGAAGACGAAGTCCTGCCGGATGTTCACAGGTACTCCAGAAGGAGACTGTGAGCGAGGGGTGAGTTGAGAGTGAAGAGGAGCAGTGACGGGAATGGTGACTGGTCCTATCTTGCCTGAGCGAGATAAGAGGTGAAGCCGAAGACGATCAGAAGGACTCCATTTCCTGTGAGTCGCAGTGATACCGTTGATGTTGTCGTAGTGATGAATGATGATTTGGAGGGGTTGAAGAGAGAAGAAGAGGAAGCAAGTTCTAGGCATCCACCAAGGGGGGGCAAGGCAAGATTATAATTCAGATGTTCTGTGGGCGGGACGAGGAGTGGTTTGAGCGGGAGGTGCAGCCTGGGCAGCCCTGGGGGGGGGGGGGCGGTGGTGCTCGCCTGGTGCCCAATCCGTGGAGGCTTTGGTCAGCCTTGACGCCACTAAATGCGAACCCGGGCTACGTCGGCCACGCTAGAGGGGATGGCAGCCAACGGGAAGCGTCGACAGCCCCCCTGGTGGCCCCCTGGTGGCCCCCCGTAGCTGCCGGCCAATCTGTGGCCTTCTACCAAATGACTCATAATTCATCAAAAGAGCACTTCCATGTGGCCGTTGCGCTTGAAGGAGAAATTGAGCATCAAGAAAGGCCACAAATCCCCCCTGTGCCGGTGGTTTGACCATCTCCCGGCAAACACTATCTACGAGCATCTTAATTCCCCCCTTTTAGCACGCGCTGGATCTAGGTACGAGCAGCACGAAACCAGGGATTGCGGTATGGCCAGTATTTTCGATTTCGTCCTTCCCGTCCCGTTAAGGCAGTATTTCCTCCTTCACAAAGGCCCCTGTGGAACGTGCTCCGCTGCTGACCAGGACCATGCGGCATTGCTCGCTTTTGGCTAGCCACAAGGCAGACTGCCAGGATCAACTGTCGTGCTTAGTTGCAACTCTATTTATCCCTTCGAACCACTGCGCCGAGGGATGCACGGGTGTTGAGGGAGTGCCGGCACACCAGGCACATGTGAGCACACAAATGTCTCTATTTCCAGGATGAAACACGATCCTTGGTGCATACTCAGGTCACCAACGGGAGCCAAGGCGTGTGTTCGAGGCTCAAGCATGTCTACAAAAGTGCATTGCATGGCAATTCGCACCAAGGCTGCCTTGATTGGACTTGATCCTACCCAAGTCGGCTCCCGGCCGACGATCCCAGGGCCACGTCCATTTGTGGTCCATGTTGCCGACCGAGACTGAGACCTTTGGCATGGCGACCAAAGTGCTCCGCGTTAGGCTTAACCCTGTATGGGGGACGCGCCCTTTGGCATTGTCGCAAGATTGCAAATGGGCTGCCGTTGACCTTGACGCCTGGGCTCTCTTCGGAGCGTTCCATGGACTGGCACACTGAATCCTGCCAGCCTACATAATTACTCGTGCAGTCCCTTGAGAGATGGTCATCTGAACAGCTGGCGCATTGAATCTCCAAGCACACCCCCCCATATCGTATCCCCATTGAGAGTTTCTATCCACTACTCCGTACCCTGCTTTGAAACAGCCGGCCTCTTGGGTTGCAGTGAATGTGCATTTGTGACTCACACAAACTGAGGCTCTGCGCAATCATGCATATTGTGGAGACGTGGCCGTTTGTTTCTCGATAATCGTCTCATCTCGATTATTCCCGCCCACGCTTGAATTTTGGGGGGGACCTTTGCGGGTTGAAAGTGCGAAATGCCTGCACCATCGCACCCCTGTCTTGGCGCAGTACGGGGGACAACATCATACCTACGGAGATCGAACACATATGACTGTTGAGAATCACCATAGAGTGCTAATGCCACCACCTCTTCCTTCGTGCGCCGGAGACCCACGGGTAAAGGGGCTTTTCACACGAGGCTGATTCTCGAGCCAGGCTGGCACAGCTGGTGCTCAAGGTGGCTGAATTCAATGGCTACATTTGTAAAGACGGTGCTTTCTGAGTGCACTACTCGCTGTCTTTGCGAATTCTTTTGGTCTGACACATGGTCCAATTGGGCAATCGTCCACCTCGAGTTGGCGTTGGCGTTGGCGCTGGCGGACTGCGACCAAGGCAAAGCACAGCACAGCTGGTCAGATGGAATGTGAATTTCCACGAATAACCACCCTGCAGTTCGAGGTCGGAGTCGGGCACTTCTTCCTTTTTCACGACACCATGTTCCTTTGCGGCAAGTCCCAGCTGCCATCATCCGTCATCCATCATCCTCGATCCAAACTTTCCGCACGAAACCTTCTCCAGCCGCGCTGCCCAAGGCTCCAATTAGACCCGGTCGAGAAGAAAAGGTCGCATTTTTCCCAGACTGTGGTCTCGTCCTGCACTGCAACCCGCGAGATTTTGTAATCCTCCTATCACATTGTGTCTCGCCTCCCAAATTCTCTTTTTGAGTTCTGACATCCTTGAAACCTCGTTACAAAGAGGAGGGATTAGTTGGTGTGGTGCTTAGTGCGCAGGTAGTTTGATAGTATATACTCCGTACACACTGTACCTAGGTCCGGATCAGGTCTTGATCTACTCCGTGTCCTTGCTTGGAAACCCTTTTGCCAGATCAGAGCACGTCACCGTCACCGTCACCGGGGGGACCCGTGGGAACAAGTTCTCACTCTCTAACCTTTTCCCGTCGACAGACCAAGAACGAATGAGAAGAAGTCGTGTGGTCTCTGGCTGACAAAAAGCGCTCCGAGGATCGACCAGGTCTATCTTGTTCGGCAGCATTGAGCCCTGTCTGTGGGTGGAACAGACCCTCTTGGCAAAGGTTGAATGCGATCTGGTTTGATTGATTTTTGCCGACCCATGAGAGGAGAGGGTGTGTGCGTTTGAGTGTGTGCTTCAGCTTCCGTAGCGGTACCCTCTGTCCCAGACGACCAGGCTTTCCGGGAATACTCGGTGATGCTGGATCTTTGCATCCTGCTTCAACCCCAATGGTGCGGTCCTCGCCTTGCTAGATGCGCTTCAACAAGCTGAACTCGAGATTACCCGTTGCCAACCGTAGCGTCCCCCAAGTCTTCCCTCAAATAGCATCTCACGTATTCGGATTTGTCAAAAAATAGTTACTTGGAGTGGAAAGAACCTCGCAGCGGAAAAGGATCATCGGACCCCCGTCTAAGCGCAGGGACCGGGATGAATTCGTGATCACACGATCTCGTACAATTTCGGGCCAATTGTGTGTGCTATGGACCTGTGCGTCGACGAGCCGCCTGGGCAATCGTTCATGCCACTGAAGCCGCCGAGGTCGTGGTGGTGGTAAGCGCCTCTAAGCCTTTGAGCATTTCCCATGGATTTCGATCATCATTCACCTTCTCATCAGTGAACATCTCCAAAACTTGTCCGACTTCAGCCTGCAACACTGCGTCCAATAGCTCCTCCGACCGCTGCCACTCCGTCCTCCTGTTCTCGTCGGCCCCTTTTTCGTCTCCCACACCCCTTCTGATCGGGTTCCCCTTGGCGTCTTCCGTCGTTGCCCGTAGATCTTCCAGTTCTTGCTGTAGATCGCGGCCTTCTTGTTCAGCCCAGTGTATCTGTCGACGCAAGAGCCGGAACCATTGTGATGGAGGAAGACTGCGCTCGTATTCGTCCATGTCGTCCCAAATCTCGGTCGGATAGTAGTCCGCAGGAACAGGCAGAGACAACGGAACACTATCCACGTCAATTGCGTCAACGAGCTCTTCTGGCCCATCATCGTCCGCCATCGCAACGTCATCAGGATTGATTCCCATCATAGAAAGCGTGTACCGGGTCGGTAGAGAGGGCAGATCTCCGATTAGAGTAGCTTTTTTGTCGCCATTCGTCTTGCCCCCCATGGTCAGCTTCAGTCTTTTGATGGGGATGCCGGATGATCCTCCATTTGATATGCCCCCGGTATGCCCCCTAGGCACTGGATCACTCGGGCGTAAGGCCTCAGTCTCGTGGACTGTGCGCATATGCTTTGCGAGGGCATCAGACCTAGTGAAGCTGCGGTCACACTCGGGCAGAGCACACATGAAAGGCTTCTCCTTGGTATGGCTTCGCATGTGAGCTTTCAATGCGTAAGCACTGGTGTGCGGCTGGCCCTTGCGCGCGCAACCCTCCCATTCGCAGTAGTACTTCTTCTGACGCGGCACGATGTGAACGTCGTTGATATGAGCAACCAGGTTGTCCATGTTGCCTTGCTCCTGATCCGTGCAACCATCCCATAGACACTTTGTTACTTGGACATAGTCTGCCAATTCTGGGTTTTCAGGGTTGGCTTGGGCAGCTGCGTATGCGGTCGACAAGGGATGCGTAGGGCCGAGGTTGGCAAACGAAGGTGAGGTAGGCACCGAGCCTGACGAGTCGCTTGATATTGACCCTGTTGGCGAGCGAGGAGGGATGACGGTTGAAGCTGACTGAGGGGTGGCATGATCGTAGCTCGAAGCCCCAGTCTTTCGACGTTTGGCGGGAGGCATGTCGAGAGCTGCTGCTGTAGCACTCATAGCGGACGCCGTCTCGTCATCTGAGGCGGAGATAGTAGAGTCCCGTGAATGGGAACGCGACCTGCGGTGAAATTTGACGTCCTCAGGAAATTCATCTGAGTCGATATCTGACAAGGGCGACCCTGAGGCCGGTGTTTCTGGCTCCTGCTCCATGACTATAAGTGAGGTATAAGTGAGACGACTCTAACAGCCAGAACCAAACAAAGTGAAGTAGAACCCAGACTCTGATTGAGCAAATATCACTGTCTGCAGAACCACACCGTGTCAAGTATCGCCCTGAACGAGGCCGGGAGTTAGGATTGCGCGACAGCGCCAAACTCGGCAGACCTACTTCTACAGGCAGCTTGACATGGACCGCGACAAACGCGATGGCCCCTTTCCAACTACTATGGCGCACCCTGTATTCATACATACAATGAAGACCCTGTCAGGACTCCTTTCTGCGGACATGGTGGCCTTCGCGACGCTTTTTCCTCACTTCCCATTCAACTGAGCCAAAGGGGTGATGTCCCGTTTCTCTTCCTGATATCACCGGGAGTTGTGCAAGCAGTGTCAGGCCTCCATCATGCTTTAAGCGAGCGAGTTGAGGGGGATTTCACTTATGCGTTAGTTAGAAGTGCCTAAGTTCTGTCTATGTCGAGGTAGGTAGTTGTGTTATCTCAAATCTTAGCATCACCGGCAACCTATCGACTATATATGTAGTTGGAGAGGTGTTGCATCCGCGACTTCTCTGACTTGCTAACATATCAGACACCCGACGTATACTGCACCAGCATTCCTGGTGTGCCTGCAGCGACCTGGCTGAGCGTTGGAGGAAATGGCTTCATTGCAGATAATCATCATTGGCACCGGAATCGCTGGTCTCGCGACAGCGATCAGTCTTTCTCAGAAGACCAAACACAACATTCTGATTCTCGAAAGCAGTCCGATCCTGACCGAAGCCGGTGCTGGTATCCAATGCTCGGCTGCTGCATCTCGCATCCTAAGCAACTGGGGGCTGCGGAAGCAATTTGAGGCGGTAGCGACTTGTCCGGACTTCACGGAGATCAGACGATATGAAGACAACGAACTTATCGGTCTCATCTTCGCCAACGTCAAGAATTATTCTACGCGGTTGAGGGGGTTTCCTCACTGGCTTGTTCATCGAGTCGACTACCAGAAGATTCTGGCCGAAGCGGCTGCAACAAGCGGCGTCAAAATCGAGTTCGGACAGAAGGTCATGGCTATTGACGTCGAACAGGTTAAGGTGATATTGGAGGGTGGCAGGTCCCTGCACGCAGACTTGATTATTGGGGCCGACGGTATACACTCGAGAACCCGAGCCTCGATCCCTGGCTTGAAGGATGTTGTGCCTCAAAGAACCGAGAATTACTGCTACCGTGCCTTGGTACCCCGTGAGGAGATGCTGAAAAATCCAGTGACCGCTACCTTGATAGACAACCAGAGTCAGCAGGCTTGGGCTGGCCAATTCAAGCACATCATAGCTTACCCAATCGCCAAGGGTAGGTTTTATAACTTGGTGATGACAATTCCAGACCTTGGCGACGCCCCGTTAGGCAAATATAATGAGCCAGGCGACGTTGTGGAGATGCGTCAGGTGTTCAAAGACTTCAATGACACCGTTCAGGCCGTGCTGGATGCCGTCGACAGCTGCGCCAAATGGGTACTGGCTGAACTCCCACCGTTGCCTACCTGGTCAAGTCCCGATGGGCGTGTTATTCTCGTGGGAGACGCTTGTCACGCTATGGCACCACACGCCGCCTCTGGTGCAGCTACGTCGCTCGAGGATGCCGAAGTTCTTGGTCTTTGCGTGGCAACTTGCAACGGGCTGGCAGATCTTCCGAGAGCCGCAAAAGACTATGAGCACCTCCGTAAGGCTCGGTGCGAACGAATTCAGGAGATCTCGCGCGAGAACGCGACCACTTTTGCACTTCCAGATGGGCCAATGCAACAAGCAAGAGATCGCATATGGATCGCCCAGAAAGCGATGCTGGAGAAGCAGCTGCAAGAGGACAGTCCGCTGATCGTCCCGGCGGAGGATATGACCCAACAATTTCCACATCCGGCTCTGGTCCAGTGGCTGGTTGGGCATGATATCATAGAAGAAGCAAAGAGATATCTGGCAAGTCGAGAATAGTTTCTACACCTTTTGAGTACGAGGGCATTAGAGCATGTTGGTACAGCCTGGCCACATGGTTTATAGACACCGGCGTTGTTTCCGCTGTATTGCCTATTCAGGCAGGTGGTAGAATACTTCCAGCGCCCTGTGATAACTTCTCTTCTATTCCTTTCGCAACCTTTCCTTGTTCAGCAGTCTGTACAGCGTGTCAAATTACACAATAGACATCGGCTCTCTCTTTGCGGGCAAAGAATCATAGAACAGAAATTTTTTATCAACGGCGCACGCCTAGAAAAGGTCAAAAAGGGCGCATACAAAATCCGTCCAAGAGCAAATATCCCGACCTGATTCAATATTGGATACAATCCCTATTGTCAACCACCACCGAGAAATCCACCCCCAGCATACCAAAGGATGTCGACGTCTCTCCCTCGAACAGTCCTTGCCTACCAGCGCAACGCCAAACTCTACACGCTTTCCACCCTCGTCACGTCCGTCACACCTTTCCAACAACTCGCCGAAGCCAGCCGGCAGCTCTTCAAGGCCGTGCCGGATGAGGATTCCTTCGTGGTGACGACGGCCGAAACAATCTTCCACCCGCAAGGGGGCGGGCAGCCGTCCGACACGGGCTCCCTCACGTCGGCCTCCAACGGGGCCAAGTTCGACGTGTCGGCCGTGCGCACGGACGTGGTCCACGACGGCGTGGTCCTGCACCTGGGCCGCTTCGCCGACCCGGCCACGACGTTCGGGGCGGGCGACGCCGTCACGCAGGCCATCGACGCGGAGAAGCGCCTGCTGTACTCGCGCCTCCACACGGCGGGCCACGTGCTGGGCGCGGCGGTGCGGCACCTGCTGGAGCGCGAGATCGCGGGGTTCGACGAGCTCAAGGCCTCGCACTTTCCGGACGCCGCGGCCTGCGAGTTCCAGGGCCTGATCGAGGGCCGGTGGAAGGAGCCCATCCAGCGCCGCGTCGACGACTACGTCGCCCGCGCCATGCCCGTGGAGATCGAGTTCTGGGACCCCGACGACTTCCGCCGCGAGGGCCTCGAGAGGCTGATCCCCCGGGAGGACGGCGAGGGCGTCAAGAAGCTAGCCCCCGGCGAGAAGTACCGGGTCGTCCGCATCGTCGGCGCAGAGGTCTATCCCTGCGGTGGCACGCACGTGGACACGACGGATCTGTGTGGCAAGGTCGGCGTGAGGAAGATCAGCAGGAGCAAAGGGACCAGTCGGGTGAGTTACAACGTCAGTTGACTGAGGGTTTCTTGTTTCGGGCATTTTTTTAGAGCTAGAGGGGACTTCTGGATTGTCATATAGAGTGCAAGAGGGACCAAATCCCTGCGGAACCCCCTCTACAGAACCTGGTATTGTGTCTATCGATGATGGCCTTTTTCGCCTTGGGAGCCTCAAGATCTAACAAATCAAAATGTACAAAGACAAAACTTGGACCTAGATCCCTGTTTCTCCTGACGTCCAGCTTCATTTCGACCCGTCCAGCTTGTCGCCAAAGATGCCCCGGGGCGGCTTCCACTCATAGTGGTGGGATCCCTTGAGCGGTTTTCCGGGCCCCTCGGACTTCAGGTCGAAGCTGTGCGCACCGAAGTAGTCGAGCTCGGCCTCCATGAACTGCGTGGGCAGCTCCGTCGCGCCCGAGTACTTAATGTATTCGAGCGTGGCGGACAGAGATGGGATGTACGCGTCGGCCGCGAGGGACTTCAGGACCACGTTCTTGAGCGAGGCGACGCATTTTCCCAGCTCGGCCGCGACGGCGTCTTGCGAGAGAAGGTCATCGACGACATCGTTGTTGGACAAGACCCGATCGAGCAGGTCCGAGATGTAGTCGCTCTGAATGATGCAGCCGCCTCGCCAAATCTGCAGGATGGCCCGGTAATCCAGATTCCAGCTCTGCTCTCGGTCTTTGGTTTTGATGATGCCAAGCCCCTGTATGAACGCGCACAGGAAAGCGGCGTAGAGCGAGAGCTTCAAGTCCTCGATGAACGACGGGAGGGCTTTTTCGTGCGGTACCTCCAGCTTGATGGTCGCCGGTTGTGCTGCGCCGCCTGCGAACGCCTTGTTGACTCGCTGCCGCTTGGCCGCGTCTGCGGATGCAAGCCGGAACAGGTGTGCGCTGACGATGGTGGGAGAGGGGACATGTAGACGGACCGTCTCCTCGCAGGTCCAGACGCCTGTGCCTTCAGAGTTGTCCACGTCTTGGACGACCTTGTCCAGGACATTAGCGAGCACGAAGTTCCCTTCTCCGTCCCTGGTGCGGTTGATGTCGGCGCCGATTGCGACCAGAAAGTTGTCTCTGAGCGGGTCGCTTTCATTCCACGACTCGAACGTGTCGGCAATCTTTTTGTATGACATCTTCAAACATCTGTTCATGATGAACCAGACCTCGGCGATGGCGGACATCATGCCTTGTTCAATGCCATTGTGGACCATCTTCACGTAGTGCCCGCTACCAGCTGGCCCGATGCATGCTGTGCATGGGCGACCCTGCTTGTCTTTCGCGGCGACACGCTCTAGGAACGGTATGATCTTCTTCAGGGTCTCTGCATCGCCTCCGGGCGACATAGAGGGTCCGTGTCTCGCGCTTTGGTACCCGCCGCTGACACCACAGCCAATATAGTGGATACCGTCAGGGTCGAGGGCCTTCTGTCGTCGCTCTGTATTTCGCCAGTCTTCGTTTGAGCAGTCGAGTATAATGTCACCTGGCTTTAGATAGGGATGTAGACTTTTAACCGTCTTATCCCCGACAGAACCGTGAGGTATACTGAAGACGAAAAGTTTGGGTGAGTCTGGGGAAGAAATGCTTTCACAGAGCTCTTTATAGTCTTTCTGGTGCACAATTCGGTTGCTAGCATGGATGGATTCGGCGTGCTCTTGAAGTTGTTTGACATTTTCCTGACCTGTTCAGATGAAGTCAGCGCAAATTATTGTGATACCGGGAGCGAGGCCCGTGAACTCAATATGGAGGCATACTTGGATCGTAGTAATGAACCTCGACACCATGCTCGGCGTATAACAAAGACATCATGCCGCCCATGCTCCCCACGCCGATCATGCCAAGCTGTATCGGTCGGTCAACATGCATCCCTCTTTTGACGTATTTGGCTCCTGATGATCTCGTCGGGGCGGACAGAAGCATCGTTCTGCTCATCACGTACCTTCTTGAACTCTGGGCTGTCCTTTTGACCCATAGTGTCTATTCAAATGTCCCACGCTTTTGGTAGAAGCTGTATCCGTCCACGGCCAAGACAACACTGTCAGTTATGTAGGTATAAGGCTCGATCAGGCGGCAACTTGTCATTAACCCACAAGTAACAAGTCATACAGGAAAGAAAATCCGCCGAGTGCATGTCTGTGAGGTGAAGGTGAAGTATTTCTTCTCGCATATATTGACGTCATATAAGACAAAGTGGTGGATGTTGTATTTCCGGACTCGGTTGGACAGGCGCCGATGGGAAAAACAGTGACGAAATCTGGAGGATTCCTTGGATTTGACAATTGGGGACAATGAACCAACTGCTCTTCCTTTGATATACTCGTACGCAAGAAACGAGGAGACTCCAAAGCCGAAGAGAAGACGCACCACTCACGGCAACCTTCATCCCAATCAGCATGGCGAAATGCAACGGGAAGAAGATTCCAGTCTGTTATGCCTCGTGCTCTATAGGGCACGACAGTACAAAGCATACGCTTCCGACCAAGTCGAAGACTCTTGCCGCTGCTGGGTTCGACGCCATTGAGCTTTCAATGCCTGACATCCTCGCATACGGTCAAGAGATCTCTGAGAGCAAGGCAGAGATTGACCCAAAGGACTACCGGAGTCTTCGATCAGTCGCCGCAGAGATCCGCAAACTGTGTGAGAGAGAGGGCCTGAGGATCTTGATGCTGCAGCCATTTGCCAACTTTGAGGGTTGGCCCAAGGGTAGCGAAAAAAGAATAGATGCTTTCAACAGAGCCAAAGGATGGATGAGCATAATGGAGGCAGCCGGCACAGATATGCTTCAGGTGAGGAAATTCTACGTCTCTCCTGACCGGGAATGGAACATGGCAGTATTGACCACACGAATAGATAGGATCATCTGATGCGGAGGGCATCTCAGCTAGTTTTGACGACCTGGCGTCCGACCTCGCTGAGCTTGCAGATACTTTCGCCGAGAAGGGATTTCGGATTGCATACGAAAACTGGTGCTGGGCTACTCACGCTCCGACGTGGAAGGACGTCTGGGAAATTGTCAGGAAGGCCGATCGACCCAATCTGGGGCTGTGCCTTGACACCTTCCAGAGCGCAGGAGGAGAATGGGGCAGCCCGACGACGAAATCTGGACGGATCGAAGACGTCAGTACAGAAGACTTGGATAAGAGATGGAAGAGCAGCTGCGAAGAGCTCTCGAAGACAATCCCTCCGGACAAGATATTCTTACTGCAGATCTCAGACGCATATAAGATGGAGCAGCCGTTGGACGACAGACCAAATGACAATGGCTTGAGACCCATGGGTCAGTGGAGCCACGATTATCGACCACTCCCATATGATGGTGGGTACTTGCCCGTGGAGGATTTCACCAGGGCTGTGTTCAAGACTGGTTTCACAAGCTGGGTGTCAGTGGAAATATTCGATGGCAAAGCACCGAAGAAGTATGGGGACGACATGGGGCCCTTTGCAAAGAAGGCCTTTGAACGGGTGCACGCATTGTTGAAGCAGGTCGGAGATGCTGGTTGATTGTTAACTGTCCACCGAGAATCAAAGTTATCAAAAGTACTGGACCGGGTTCAGGAAGCGGATTCAAATCCAGAGGGCATCTGGGCCAAGAATCCGGCCGGACATTGCTTCAAATAGGGAATCCATCGCAACACCAACACTTCATGGCTCTGTTACCTGTTGGGTCTCGTTTGACTGTACCAGTGACAGACCTCCAGACATTGTATACTGGGCGAAAGTCGCAGAAAATCGAACAGAATACGTAGCTTGCAGTTATGTGACTCAGGCTAGTCGTAAACCAGCCTTGTGAAACCTCTCAAGGTCTTCTGCCTGCACCACAGCCATTTCGCCGCATGAAAGAAAACACAGAGGTTGCAAGGGCGCCGAAATGGGCCACTTACATGCAATATTCGAAGCTGTACAACATCAGCTTGGGCGTATTTTTGGTTTCTATGGGTCCTCAAAACGATGCGCCCGTGAGTAACTAAAATAAGTGTCTTTAGCTGACAACACACCCGTCATATTGCAAAAGAAAACATTGCTCGTCAGTAGGGAGGGCCTAGGCCCAGGCGCATGGAGGCCAGGGACTGGTGTATGATGTGCTGCGTACTCGTAAAGGAGATGTGGGTTCGGCAATCTGCGTCCAAGGTGGGTTGCAGATGTTTACTCGGGTCATATGCTAGGCCATGCTCAGGTAGGACACAAGCTCAGGTCCTCTACCGGGTATGCCATTGGGAAGGGCGATAGTGATGCTTGCGGTTGTACCAAGTACTTCGGGCCCTGTTTCCGTATTCGAAGTCGGGCCCATGTCTCGGACTGATCGAGTGCAGCAAATGCAGGGCCCCTAATCTCCTCGAGAGAGCGGGTTGTTGTACACGGGCGAGCGCAGGTAGGTCCCTGAGTGAGTGATCGGCCTCTCCTACCTCCGTGCGGAGGCCTGTCTTTCTAGAGCAATGTGGCGAGGGTCATGATAGCCGTCGAGAAACGCGTTCGATAGGCAGCTCGGCAGGGCAGCGCGTCGTAGACTCGTGGTGACTCGTGAGGTGATGGAGAGCGGGAGAATGTGGGCGGAAATTGAGGCTGCCGCAGCTGCTGTCCAGCTTGGCTTGGCACCAGATAAAGGAGCAACAGTTGGTTGCAATTTCCGAACCTTCCATCAAATTTCCTCGCCGCCCATGGGCCCATTGCTGCCCGTCATGCTGCGCCAGTTCCAGGATGCACGTTTTGTTCTTCTACCCAATGACGCCTTTATCGTCGCTGTGGTGCGTTGTTGATGCTTGCTATCGCGTCATGCGGCCCCCAAGCCCCATCCACAGCCGCGGTCGCTCTGTGCCCGACGCCTCTTGCTCAGTGGCACAGCATCTTCACCAACAGCCCAGGGTTTATACCAGATACCCTTGTCGTCGACGAGTATGAGCATTTCTTCTCCTTTGCTCCGCAGCAAAAGTCAGGATATGTCCGGATCGGGCAGCCAGTGATCTTCATTGCATCATTCTCCTTGTTTACCTCCCGAAGGTACCTGCGTCGGGTACCGAGTGCACCGACTCCTTGTTGACTTCGAATAGCGACGGGAGATCGTCATTGCAAAGAAGATCTCCTGCAAGGGGCGTTGGGAAACATACATTCTTGGCTCTTACGGATCGACCGTAAATGTCTGCCTCGGAACAGGCGCCAGACGCTCTACCAAGTGTCCAATCCAAGCTCTGCGTCTTAGTCTGAAGCCTCCAAAGTGGCTTTCCTGGTGGCTTTCGCCGACCCATGTTATACGAATATGCTTTTCCGAGAGACTTTCCTGGACGTCTCCACCTGCTTACCACTGCACAACCAAAACACCTCTGCAAGGTTCATGACGATACTAAGGAAACATGCTACGGATGCGTCTCCCAAGCAAAAGGCGACATGGACTAAGTCATACCAACGGTAAGTCGGCGCCGATGCTCAAGACCAGAAAGACATCGCGAAGCTTCCCCTGGCACGGCAGCCCCATTCGGGGTCGTGTACACACCACTTTATAGTCGTGTATCCCTTCCCTTCTGGCCCTTGCTCAGCTAGTTGCTGGGATTGTGTGACGACCGGGCCTTCTATCCTCATTGCTTATGTGCTTTCTTTTTCACGAGGTGCACCATTCGCCATACTGCCCATCATGACTCCCCAAAATATTATGAATACCCTGAGGTTAAGCATTCCCTCCACTACAACGACAGACCACGACCACAAGAGTGGAAGTCCTATCGATATGGAGAAAGCTCCCCCTTCAAAGGTACCACCTCCTGGACCTCCTGGACCTCCTGGACCTCCAGGCGGCTGGCTCTTCGCGCGCATGTCACGACAACAAGAGATTCTTTTCAATATAATGGTCGCGTTCCTTCAACTTATTCCCCAATCAACCTTGACGACAGTTTTCCCGGTCAGCCGCGACCTCGCACAGTCTTTCACCATAACAAACCCTTCGGTACTGCCGTGGCTAGTCGCCGCGTACGCGTTGTCCTTTGGAACTTTCATCCTGATCGGAGGACGACTCGGTGACATCTTTGGATATAAGACCATGGTCGTGATTGGATATTGCTTCCTCAGCCTGTGGAGTGTTGTGGCCGGGTTAAGTCACTATGTTGGCTATGAATTGTTCTTCGTGGCCAGGGGATTCCAAGGGCTCGGCGCAAGTCTAATGGTACCAAACGGCCTAGCCCTCCTAGGCCGAACCTATCCTCCAGGATCGAAAAAGAAAATCCTCTCCTTCACTCTTTTCGGTCTATGTGCGCCGGTTGGAGCCTACCTGGGGATGATCTTTGGAGCCTTGTTCACCAAATTTGCAACCTGGTGGTGGAGCTTCTATACCCTCGCCGTCGTATCTTGTTTTCTGGCCGTCGCCGCATCCGTCATATTGGTCGCTCCACCACCAACTCCAAAACAGATGCTACCGGTCAAGGAGAAGTTGCGGGACATGGACTGGCTTGGGGCCGTCACAGGGGTTGGCGGTCTGGTTTGTGTCCAAGTCTCACTCGTCTCTGCTCCGGCCTCGGGGTGGAGTACTCAGTACATTTTCATGCTGCTTATCATTGGCATCTTGCTCATTGCCTTTTTTGTCATCACCGAACTCAAGATCGCCGAACAACCACTGGTCCCTTTCAAGATGCTCAGGGCAGATGTCGGTTTTGTCCTTGGTGCTGTGGCCTGTGGATGGGCCACATTTGGAATCTGGACATGGTTTCTATGGAGATTTCTCCTCGGGATCAAGCATGACGCGCCTCTTGAGGCTGCACTGCAAGTTTTGCCAATCGTGCCTGTCGCGCTGATAGCCTCAGTGTTGACGGCTTGGATGATGCGGAAATGTCGCCCTTCCTGGACTCTTTTCTGGGCTTTGGTTGCTTTCACATTTGGACCTCTCCTCCTGGCCGTCGACTCAAATATCGACAAGACGATATACTGGAGCTGGACCTTTGCCAGCCTCGTTGTCATGCCTTTTGGCATGGATATGTCTTTTCCAGCAGCCACATTAATCATGTCCAACTTCTTCCCTCCTCAACAACAAGGTGTCGCTGGAAGTCTCATCAGTACTGTTGTCAACTATTCCATCTCGCTCGGTCTTGGTCTTGCCTCTACAGTTGAAGTTCACGTGAACAATCGTGGCCTTGATCCTCTCGCTGGCATTCGCGGTGGCTGGTTCATGGGTGTCGGCCTCGGTGGCTTGGGAGTTCTCATCTGCGTCGTCTTCGTCATCAAGTCTATTTTTTATCCGACTCCACAGTTGCCATCAGGACCTCCAGCACGTTCTAGCCCGGATGCGGCCATGCAAATGACCGCCCCAAGACCTGACAATGAGCGGAAGACATCGCAAGCTGCCACCGTTTCAAGTCTAGCAACGACAATGGTGCCAGATAGCGCTACCCCTCTGAGCCTCAAGCTCAACGAGATCGAGCCATTCAAGTCGTTCAACTTCGAAAACATCCAAGGGTCGTCGTCCACATCCACGTCCGCCCTTACCTCACCGCGATCCCCGTCATTCAGCACGTCACCTAACCTCCTCTCCAGCTTCCCCACACCGGCAACATCCAAGCCCAGGGTGAACATGCTACGTCGGATATCAAAGGAGCCTCAAGGGAAACGTCCCGGCAAGGCCAATGCCGGGGATTTGCATTCTCGTTCGAATTCGCAAACGCTTCTCGCTACTCACACAGCGCAACCCCCTATATCTGCGCTCCCGTTGCCAGCAGAACTAGATCCGGTATACCGCATTCGTGGCAGCTTCGAAAGCGAGTCCAGTGGTGAGGGCCGAGCAGAGCGCTGGGAGTCATCCACCCGCCCAGATGGCGCTGCTCCAAGGAGACCGAGCCAGCCATCTGGATACGGATATCCCTATGGCTCAGGAAATGGGCTCGCCCTGCGAGACCCTGATGGGTTCGACTACGACGCGAGACCGGTGGTTCCCAAGGGAATGATGGGCGATAAATTCTGATCCCCGAGTTGACATTTCTTTTTGTTCCTTTTTTCTTTCACGACTCTCTTTAGCTGCAGCTATGATATCGGAAGAGTTTCTATGGGGCCTTATCGATGGCGTCTGGGTATCAATGGCGTTAAGCGGTCCAAAACGGCCTTTGGAATGGCGGAAGGTGTACAAGGATAGAAAAAGAGGGGTCAAAAAGATGAGAATGACACGGATCTCGGGGAGTCGGGATAGACGTGAATGTTGGAGCCTGCAGCAAACAGATAATGGTCTACGCTTTCTTCTCTTGAGGCACTTTGCCTCGTCCGACTTACATAGGGACGGTTTGCAAAACGGCGCACAGAAGGGCTATGAAAACCCCAAACGCGGGTATGAATGGATGATATTAAGCTCCGACTTTCCTAGCACTGCCAAATGGTATTCGAGATCTGACTTGGTTTCGTACTTGACTCCCCGACAAAATGAACTGACTTGATGTCTTCACTCCTGCCAATAAATCTGCGTCCCATCTATCCAGCAACATATGATTTCCCTCCATGCCTTCCAGTTCTCTTTGCGACCCTGCTCCCCCAAGCTCTTCGTTTCACGCGCGCCCCAGATCCCTCCCTAGACGATGAGAAACATCTGATGGTGCCTCGCTCGGCCCGTCCGCCTCACCAGCCTCGACGAGGACTCTCCTTCCCGTGCGCCCTTCCCCGCTGCTCCCGTCGTAGCTCTCCCCGCCTCTCCTCCCGCGCCTTCTTCTCCTTCAAACACTCGCCCCGGCATTCTTGCAACTGCATGATCTTTTCGTCCTGGCCGTACATCTCCGCGCTCAATTCGTCGAGTTTGGCTCGTATTGCTTGGCGCCGCTTGCGCAGGGATTCGTACTTGGTCTTCGCTTCCGCGATGTGGTCGTTGGTGTGGGCGATGGCGCGGTGGAGCTCGTCATCTTGGAGGTCCTGAAGGCGTTTGGCGCGGCGGCGTGCAGGGTCAAGAGGTTGTGAGCGGTCATCTCCTCGATGGTGCTGGCGCATGTAGATCCCTGAGGCGAGTCTGGTGAAGACGTCCATGATTGCGGGGTGGAGTGAAACGTTGTAGAGAGATGTTGGGGTTTTGGATACCTCGATCACAGCTGCAGAGGTGCTTTTGATGAACAGGCTGTAGGTGAGTTTCTGCTGGTAGAGCTGCTGTTTAGCTGAGATGGCTGTCTGAAGATGAAGAAGAGAATTATAAGTTCTCGTCACGACCGTGGTGGTCCTATTTATGCCCCTCCATTGGCGATACTGATTGTGGTGTTAAGCCATCCTGTTTTGCGATTGCTTCCGACGCCAACTGGCAGCTGCGTAGAGGCTGTTCTGTCCATTGTTCTGTGAGACACTCTACTTGTAGACAAAGCTGGCTGACGGGAACTGGAAGAGGTAAATCAAGACCGGGCAGAGCAACAAGGAGTGGGAGAGAGCGGGTTGAATCTCAGCCTGGAACCGGGGTCAGAGAGCAAGCAGTGCTGCAGGGCATGTCTCGGGAATGAGATCGAACAAAGGAGCCTTTTCCTGAGGAAGCAGTGAGACAGGGCATCAGATCCTTGCTCTTGCTGCAGTGATTGCAGAAGTCTTTCATTATCTGCATCTGAAACAAATCGCAGGCGATGGTAGCAGATCACAGAGTGAGGTCGTGTTTAGGTGGTGCTCACACTGATTCAAACAAGCGGAATATTTCGGAGGGGCATCCACTGTAATGACCTGAATCTGCGGGGTGCCGTTTTGTTTGAATGTGCTAAAGGATATGACAGGTGAATCAGATAGACTCTCTTTGCAGCATCAGGCAAACAAGAAGCGAGCAAATTGGGAGCCGACCTGACGATGAGATGCAGCGAATTTGCTTTTTCTTTCCCGCGCGGCGCGAGGCATTTGCATGAGCGGAGCGCAGCTGCGCAACCCCCACCAAGTGACCTCCAGTGCCTGTTCCGAAGAGTCTTTTCGTCAACCCCAAACCCCACCATCCTGAAAAAAATCCGTGAGTCAATTAAGAAAGCTCTGTTTGCTCAAACATTGCAATATGCCCTTGAATCTAGAGGTCAGAAACCTCGGACAATGACAGACATATCCACCTGAAGATTGAGGCAACCGCCCTGCTCGTCTTAAACCCCAAGCAAAGCAAATCTAGATCCATTCTCCTCTCACTTGTCTCCCTCCTCTTGCTCCGATCTCGGTCTGCCTTCCCTACGACACTGCTCCCTAAACATCCACATCTCTACAGCTCGTCAGCCATGCCAGTCACTCTTGTACTGGGATCGCAATGGGGCGACGAAGGCAAAGGCAAGCTTGTCGATATCCTCGCTACCTCTGCTGATCTCGTCTGCCGCGCGGCGGGGGGCAACAACGCGGGCCATACTATTGTGGTCAACGATGTGACATACGACTTCCACATCCTCCCCTCTGGCCTCATCAATCCTTCCTGCAAAGTCAACCTCATCGGCACCGGCTGTGTCGTGCATATCCCCAGCTTTTTCAAAGAACTGAAGGCACTAGAAGAGAAAGGGCTGGTGGGCGTGCGGGAGCGCATTCTGATCTCCGACCGGGCTCACGTATGTTTCGACTTGCACGGCGTCGTGGACGGTATCTCCGAAGACAAATTCAAGAACGTCGATGGCGGGAAGGACATGATTGGCACTACCCGCAAGGGCATCGGGCCGTGCTACAGCGACAAAGTCGCCCGGCGGGGGGTGACGTTTTGGATGCTCGTCAACGAACAACAGCGTTGGGAGAGGCGCTTGCGAGACCTAGAAGCCAATTATCGCAAATTGTACGGCGACGCAGCTCTGCAGGGCTACAGCCTGGAAGAGGAGATCGAAAAGTTGCGCGGATATCGGGAAGAGTTGCAGCAATACGTCGTCGACCAAACGCCCTTACTGGCGCAGGCGGTCGGAACAAAGGGAATGGCTACGGCGAACTCGAACGGCGCTGGTGCTCGCCAACCCCACATCTTGATTGAGGGTGCCAACGCACTCCTTCTAGACATTGATCACGGCACATATCCTTACGTCACGTCCAGCAACACCGGCCTGGGCGGTGTCTTCACTGGTCTTGCGGGTCTCTCTCCACAATCCCTTTCAGCGCCAGGGAGCAACATCGTCGGCGTGGTAAAAGCGTACACCTCTCGCGTCGGCGCCGGTCCCTTCCCGACAGAACTTAACGCTGCAATTTCTCCTAAGGACGCCGAATACGGCGATCGTCTGCAACAAGTAGGCCGCGAATGGGGAGTCACGACGGGTCGCAAGCGACGCTGCGGCTGGTTTGACCTCGTCTTGGTCAAATACTCTGCGGCCGTGAACTGCTATACACAACTCAACCTGACGAAGCTCGACGTCCTAGACGGCTTTGAAGAAATCCGCGTGGCGACGGCGTACAAGGTGAACGGTCAGACACTGCCGGGATTCCCGGCGGATCTGGATGTCATGGAAGAGATGGAGATCGAATATAAGACCTTCAAGGGCTGGATGACTCAAACCACGGGCTGCAAGAAATTCGAAGACCTGCCAGCACAGGCTCGCGAGTATATCGACTTCATCGAGAGCGAGGTTGGAGTGCCGATCAAATGGATTGGCACCGGCCCGAGGAGGGAGGACATGTGTTTCCGCTAGAAGGCATGCTGACGAGGCAGAAAAGGGTTCAGGATAGGGCTGGGACGGGATGTTACGTGTAAATAGCTGGGAAACATGTATTTGGCTTCGGAGGTGATGGTCCCGACAAATGAGAGGCTTCTTGTTTTCCGACATGTGATGGGAAGTGGCCTCCAGCGCTGCTTCGCCCCCAGGAATGGGGAGAGGGATCTTGAAGACAACACAAAAGAGAATTTTAGACGTTTACATCTTTGGCTTCCGAAGTCGTCGAGTCTTTTGATAGAATATGACGGAGAGAACAAAAGGGAGTCGGAAAAAGCGGCTTTGTCAACAAAAGGCTCTGGCCAGCATGCCAAATGTCTTCTGATCTTCTGTCCATCCGATTATCTAGGCACGGCATCTACATATGATGCTCGTATTGAACCTGGTCCTTTCTTCTGTCCTCCGCCATGCAGATTGCCTAGAAGACTGGGCCCAGATGCCGGCGGAAAACACGAATCTCAATTTCGAAAACGACTGAGCAGTTTTTCCGTCTCATTCCCTAGTATTCTGACACGCAGCTGGTAGCTTTTGCAACATGATGGGCAAGAATTTCGTCATCATGTCTCCCAAAGTGTTGGCACAGACGCAGCACCAATGACACGAAATAACCCCAGGCCATCTTCTGCTTTTTTGGCCGTGAGAACGGGGTTCGCCGCAAAAGGCTCCGGCCCTGTTCACAAAACCGCAACAACACCAGCAATGGCGATAACGGCGGCGGCAAAACTTCCCACCTGCTTGGCGTCTGCAGCGGCATTGCCGGTCGCTGCTGCGCCGCCTGCTGAATTAGACCCGGAAGCACCATTGCCACCTGTAGCCGTGGCGGTTGCTAGACCAGTCGAGATAGCGGCGCCGCTGGTAGCGGAGGTGACGATCGTCGTGGTGCAGCTGCAGTCGGAATTGTAGACGGCGGTAGTGTAGACGAACGTGCCGGCCGTGGATGTGTGGCTATTTGAGGACGATGCTGTGTAGGGAGCTGTACATTCCCAACAGAAAGCGGCCGTGTCAGTAAACACTCATCAAGAATTGGTCTGTCCTCCCCAAGTTTGTCCCGGGTTGAGTCTACGTACCGACTGAGGAACCCGCAGCTGAGCAAGTCGAAATGAAGGCAGACTGTGCCGCCGACACGGCATTGCCACTGCATAGGCTGGCAATGGCCTTTTGCACGTCGGTCGCCTCGTCACCGCAAATGGACGAGAGGTCGCCCGGTTGGTCTTGTGTGTTGACTGCGCTGAGGAGGCATGCTGGGGGGATATCTGCCAGGACGCGGACGGCGAGAGCAACAAACGGAAGGAGCAGGGAGGTCTTCATGGTGTGGGTCTTGGCTTTTGTGTGTTTTGTCAAGGGTTTGAATCGGGTTCGTTCGTCGGTGATCTGGAATGGTTTGACGCGTGGTAGGTGCTGCCAGGAATGTAGGTGGTAGGGGTTTTCGCGAAAAGTGACGTTCAAGGGCGCGCTGAACGAGTGGCAGAAACGAAACAAGGGATATCGCTGAAAGAGTGACTGAGAAGGAATGGCAAGAGTGGCCGCTGCTGCAGGTTAGTACAAAACAAAGTCGGAAGGGAGTGGAAAGAAGTGAGTGAATATGAAAGACGTTGGGTCCCCGGGTGTTTGGCTGCAGAAAGAAATGGATAAAAGACGAGCCCCTTTGCAGACGAGTCCGGGGTTGGGGGGACGCGCAGTTTGGGTGGATTGGACAGGGGCTGGTCGCTGGTGGTTGGCTCAAACGACTCAACGATACTGGGTCACCCACGTGATTGACTGCCACGTGATGTGCCACGGAGTAATGTACTTCCAGCGCCGCGGATCAGTCGGCCCTCCTTCGGTTATCAACCATCACCCGAGTCTGAGGCACTCGACAGACACATTCCAACTGCCGTCTACATATCCATTTCCCACGCGTCGAGATTCTGGATCTGTTCTGAAGCTCGCCGCCCTACTATCCTTCGGCCAAGACCTGCCGTTGTCCCCGCGAGCTCTGCGCCCATCAAGCCACCTGGATAGTTTGTAAGACCTGGGGTCGGGCCTTGTTTCGCCAGCGAGATATGACGGATGTTATCCACTTGCCCGGCTGAGCGACTATTGATAAGGAGCCTCGTTCCATATTATGCAATCGCAATGATATAGGCCTATCCAGCCCGACGTTCACACACATCTCTCGACAGGTAGGAAACAAAGACTGAGCATATGAGGGTTGTTGTTCTTGCCTATAAATCTTCATATCATTCCCGGTATAACGCGAGGGAGGACTCTCGCTCACAGCGATCATGGAGTCCCACATTCAACGCCTTGTTGATCAGACCTGGGGTAAGACATACAACCGTCCCTCATTGTCCCTCCCCTTTTCCACGACGTTGACGCCCGGATCTTAGAAAAGTTCCAGAAATGCGACGGCTCGCAGCGCCTCCTGATTGCCATTTCCGGCATCCCAGGCAGCGGGAAAACCACGCTCGCGGCGTCCGTCTGTGCGGGCCTGAACAAAACCCACCACCACCATCAGAGCAAGCGCTTCCCCAACAGCCCCAATCGCTCGGGCCCAGACATCGCCTTTGTCGTCCCGCTCGACGGCTACCACTTGACCCGCAGACAGCTCAGCGAGATGCCTAATGCCGAAGAGGCCATCTTCCGCCGCGGTGCCGCCTTCACGTTCGACGCCCAAAGCTATCTCAAACTGGTGGAGAAAGTGCGCAAGCCCATCAGCCCGGAGACATTGACGATCTACGCACCCAGCTTCGACCACGCCGTCAAGGATCCCGTGGCGAACGACATCGCCATCCCGCCCACGGCGCGGATCATCCTTTTTGAAGGGTTGTACACGGCGCTGGACGAGCCGGGGTGGAGGGACGCCCACGACTTGATGGACGAGACGTGGTTTGTCGACGTCGACATCCCCACGGCCACGCAGCGGGTCGCGAAACGCAACTTCGCCGCCGGCATTTCGGGCTCCTTCGAAGAGAGCCTCGACCGCACGGAGAAAAGCGACATGCGGAACGCGAAGGACGTCCTGGAGAAGAGGCTGCCCGTCCAGGAGATCGTGCCGAGTGTCGAGGACGAGTCCTGGCGGAGTGAGGAGGTCAGGAACGTGGACGGCCGGTTACAGGGCCAAGAGGACGGCGACGACGACAAGGACGAGGAGGAGATGAGGAGGGAGAGAATGACCAGGATGGACAGCATTGCCCTGCTGGCTGCGGACGGGGTTGGCATGTGAAAATTCTCAAAATCTTCTATCGAAATGTGAGGAAGGAGTTGACGGAAGCTGAACTGGATTGTTACAATGCGCACAGCGGACCGAGGTCGAGTCAGCGAGTTTAGCACGCCTAGGAAGAGCCGTGAATGAAGGTCCCTCCCAAGTGGTTGTAAGTGTTGCGCTGCATGGTTCGGCTCCCCGCGGTTTGTGTGGCGCACACAATGCCTCCGTCATGCCTAGCAAGAACCTGCCATCGGGCTACACACAAAAAGGGACTGGATAGTCTGAAATCAAACGAGGATGCCTGTCTTGACATTTCTTCTGTTGTCGCAGGCGCAGACCAATGCAGCCCCCGTTAAGAAAGACATGATTAATAAAGCAGAATGCTCCGGTCCAGCCATGGCATAATCCTGCAAGTCCATTTTGGTCCCAGTCACACAATCCAATCGTCAGCTTCCTCGGGCACTCAAACCTGATAATGCCACTGATTCGTGTTCCAGGTCTTCAGCCTTCTCTTTCCAATCCCGTACCGTTCATCCAACGAGTTCTTCCAGCATTAACAAAAGATGGCTTTTCGGATCGCATCCTAACAAGGCGCCGGCTTGAAATCAGAGGAAAATAACCACCACATCGTGTCCAGATAAAAGGACGTTCTGTTTTCTTCCCACGACCCTCACGAGATGCCTGGTCATCGTGTCCCAATCTGCAAAGAAGTCAAGCTTCACTACCTTGCTCTGCTCGTATTGGCGGATCGACGGGATGTCTTGTTCTGATCCGGGATGCGGCAAAGTGTCGCTGGCCGTGCCCCCTCTATCGAATCATTTCTCAAGCATATTGCCTGGCAAGATCAAAGGGAGTCCCTCTCACAATATCTGGCGACAGACCAACGGCGGCCCATAAGTCATCTGGGATCTCTTCTCTCCTCTGCATCCGATCAAGAATAACTCCGAGCATTTCCAATTCAAGAACCCTCTCGTTTATCCTCGAAGGGTCGTTCTGGCTCGACAACTCGAACAAGTTCCGCGCTTCACGTCTTCGAAGACGAGCAGAAGGGTCCCGTCGTAACCTCCCATGTCGCGCGCGGATTTCCCGGACATCCTCTTCAGTGATGCCAGAGGGAAGATCCAGGTCGCACGAATCATCCCCGCCTATCTCGCCAAAGCTGGTTGCGGTAGTCGTTGCCTGAGACGATTGGTTCGAGCCACTTCTGGAGTTCGACCGCGACGATAAAAACGAAGTCGCTGTACTTGAGTGGCTCGTTTCCATCGTATCCAAAAGAGTTCCCCAGTTCTCCTCCACAGGCCCATCAGATATTGGGCTGGGACTACGCAACCGGTCGCCAAGTCCATCAACCCTGGGTCTCGACTCGCTCGGAGGGCGGGGCGAGATATGATTGACACGTCGCAAAGGCGGATACGCAGCTTCGAGCATTTCTGGGGGATGAGGAGGAGGAATGCTGGTCGCTGTGTCTCCAGGACTTCGCTCCAATCTCCGAGACTGTGAAGTAGCGCGATAACGGTTGTCGTTTTCCTCGTCCTCGGTATCGGCAAACATGGGCCGATGAACTGAGAACGACCAGAGTGGTCTTCTGCTTCCGGACGGGCTGGCGACTCTTGTAGAGCGAGCATCAGAAAACCGAGGCCGCAGGAGCGGTTCTGACTCAGGCTGGGGCGCCGCAACCACTTCGTATCTCAGGCCGGACTCTCTTAACCGGCGTTGAAGGCGTGGAGGATCTGCCTCCTGAGGCTCGGGCACAAGAGAGTCGAAGATGAAAGCCGTTGTGAGTTCGTCTGGTGCTCTGCCGCTGGGCGCGACAGGCGGTCGGCTCAAGGGTGCCATGTCCATATCACCCCGGGCTTCTGACTCGGTGCTAGCCCTTCTGGCAAGCGGCCATTCGACTGTCCTTACTTGAATTGGTGGAGGACTCGCACTGACCGCGTAAATGTACTGCGCCGTGGCCTCATCTGGATCCTGGGTGTCTCGGGGCGGCTCCCGTTGAGATTGTGATTGAGAAGAGGAGTTGTTTGCTTCCTCGGCTTCACGGCGGCGTCGTCTTTCTACCTCTTCTCGTACTCGTTCAATGGCAGCGCGACGATGAGCGGCAAATCGACCCGGACGGACGGTGGACTCGCGCCGGATACTCGATCGTCCTGCGGCTGCAAGCTGATCGAGTTTTGCCGCAGGTTGCTCCGCGGCAACCTCGTCAGGCTCTTGGAACATACTAAAGAAAGCATGTTTGTTAGCAAATGCGCTTGCCGGCGATGGATATGGAAAGACGATGATGCTGACACTGCGCGTGCGCGCGCCGCGGCCAGATGCCAAAGGGGTGGGGGTTGGATAAAAATCAAGGACAAACTCACGGCAAACCCATAATTGTCGTAACCAAATGTGCAGCAGTTGTAGAGGTAAGGTAATGTCAAGATGGAGAGGAGAGTCGGAATGAACAACAATGAAGAGACGAGAAGCGACAAACAATGGAAAATGAGTGGAGAATTGGATGAGATGGACAAGTGGTACAGTGGATTTGAGATGGATTGTTTTGCGAGCACGCAAGTATCCTTCGTGGTGATAAAAGAGAAAGGAGTGAGCGGAATGCTTTGGGCGAGCTAGTCAGCGAGTATCCGGGGGGGAAGGGATGCGCGGAGAAGGCAGTCTCCCGCCAGTATCGTTGGCTGCGGTGGCTGCCAGTCAGTTTGGAGTGAGGCAGACTGAACGAGGCGTCGCAATCCCTAAGCGAGTGGCTGGGGGGGGAGGGGGGGAGGGCAGGCGCTAGGGTTATCCCTTCAAGCTCACCAGGCTCTGGAGTCGCCATAGGCACCCGTGGGCGCCATACCTAGTGAGGACTTAGGCACCAGAGGCGTCCTTGCGTCAACCACGCAGTACGGAAGACTTGGCACACAGATCTGTTTGAGAATCACGTCTCCCAAACTTTGGTCTGTGGTGTCTCTTGCGTTTATTCTTGCCCGAGGACCCTTGTATCGTTACTGTTGAATACCCGCCGTCACTAGTTCTGCCAATGTTCTCGATGGCAAAGACAGAGACAAACTGATGCCTGCGCCTATGCCAACATCTGGCAAGCCGACTTGCGCCAAAGATTACGTCGTATTCGCATTCTGCTCGCTTAAAGATCAATCGTGTCTCTCTCTTCCTTTGTTTGTGTAACCTCCTGTCAGCTAAGTCAGGTCTCTTTGGCCCTTTCCTTATTATCTCCTTGCTCTTCTGCGTCTTTCTGTATCTTGGTCTCAGTAATGGATCCAAAATGGTTTCCTCCCCCAGATCGCCCCTTCCAACCTGGCGGCCGAAGCGTGTTCGGCGCAGGAGTCATTGGCATGACTACCTTGTTGTTTCCACCCGGGCGATTTCGCCAGATAATGCCCATACCTCTGATCCTTTGGATACTTTGGAACCTGCGACAGCACACCGCTGGAAGGCCTGAAGAGGACTATCTAAATGCCATCAATGTCTGCTTGATCTTGCTCAGATGCATCGATGTTGGAGTGTTGCATAATGCCGAGCAGGCGTTCCGCCGAGTAAAATCGGATGGTACAACGGAGACCGAAGAGGACATAGAAAAGATGACCACCTGGCAAAAGTTCCGCTGGAGTTTACAACTCTTCACAACCATGCGTGGAATTGGTTGGAATTGGCGCGTCAAGAATGTTGACCAAGTCCCCAGACATATCTCTCGCAGGTGCAGAACCACATCTTGATATCTCAACCCCTCTAATTGAAGCAGTCGATTCGTCCTAGAGCAGGTTGCCAGAGCCTTCTACTCCTTCCTCTACATGGATATCAACGGGTGGTGTATGCGTCGGCTTCCTTGGGGAGATAGGACCGCTTCCGTTTCCGATCCCTTCGCCTTACCACTCTGGCAACAGATTCTCCTTGGATGGTCTTCTGCCTTCCACAGTGGATTTACAATGGCCTTCAGCTATTACCTTGGAGCGGCGGTCGCTGTCGGTTCTGGGCTCTATACGCCTCAATCGTGGCCTCCGATCTACGGTTCATTCGTCAAAAGGGGTTACACAGTAAGGAACATATGGGGTTGTTGTTGGTGAGTGAGATCCCCAGGTCGAACTACCGACTCCGTCTTATCAGTTCCCGAGGCACCAACTCCTTCGCCGGATATTTGAGAGTGTAAACAAGCCTCTTCTGCAAGTGTTGAGGGTCAAGACCGGTACTCTAGCCTCACGGTATTTACAGCTATACAACGCTTTCTTCGTGTCAGCTCTTATTCATCATGCGGGTGCACTCAATTGCGCGTATTCTTCCCTTGGTTGGTGCCAGTTCTATTTCTTCATGATCCAGCCAGTCGCAATCATGTTCGAAGACCTCGTCATATATTTTGGCAAGAAGGCGGCCTTAAAGGACACATGTAAGTGTCTGCGTCCACTTTGTGTCAGGTGCAGGAGCCAGATTTGACGTTGTGCAGGGAAAACTAGAGCGGTCGGATACGTTTGGGTTGTCTGTTTCTTGAGTTATTCCCTTCGATATGCAGCCAAGGGTATTCTGGCTGCTGGGTTGGGCGGAGTCAGACATCCGGTTGTGGACAAATTTAGCATCATGGACCGACTGTTCGGATAGGGAGGCATGTCTTGATCGGTTTGACAGTTATGGACGGTGGTGTGTGCTGGCAGTTTGCGCCACATGGCGATCTGTAACTTGTTGGTGAAGCGGTAACGGGGGATCTTCTCTCCTCAACTCATGATGTAGCAGTAGACAGCCCACTCAGGCAATGACCATCAGATCAGCGGTCAGAGATGACTGCAGAGAAGACTCGCATACAGCAACAGTGACCGCCACTCGGAGGATGTTCAGTGCTGTACCTAGATAGACGAGGCGGGTACCTTGGGAAGAAAGTCGCGTGCAGCGATTACAATTGACGCGTCCCTGAACGCAGAGTGGAGGTCTCGGTACGATAGGGTCGTTAGCGGCCGCGGATCGCCCTGCAACCTGCAACACAAGTCGCAAGCGAGGGCTAGTTGGCCGACCTCATCTGGCAGCCCAATCCAATCTCGTGCCTTCCGCACTGATTGACCTGTTTGTTTGATGCTCAATGTCTTCATTTCAACGTTCTATGGTGACTGACCACGATCGTGTCCGTGACAGAGCCGTTCCCAGAGTATCACTCCGCAGGACGAGCCACCGGCAATCCTTAGACCACCCTTGATGCCGCAGCCGCAAGTTGCAGTCCAAAACCATCGTCTGGCATCCTGCGTTGGCCGCTCTCCCAGCTACCAATCACTTATTCTCGCCAACCAGACTGCAGTTGGACCAACGGACAATGCGAGAGGGCAAGGCCGCCTTGCCCTTTTAGCTTCTCCCTTCTTGTCTTATTCCCCTCGATATCAAGATGCCTGCTCGCACCGCCGACCCTCCAGAAGATGTCCCTACTACTAGAGCAGTCGATGGCTTGGGCCTTAAGGTCACCAGAACGCCCAAGCCTCCATCCAGCCCGACCAAGAGAGAGGAGAAAGAGAAGACCAAGGCGCAGGATGTGGCCGAGCTGAAAGACTACCAACTGGGAGATTGCCTGGGTAAAGGTGCCTTCGGCTCTGTTTACCGGGCATTGAACTGGGGCACGGGAGAGACTGTTGCTGTCAAGCAGATCAAGCTCGCGGATTTACCCAAAAGCGAATTGAGGGTCATCATGCTGGAGATTGACCTGCTGAAGAATCTTGACCACCCCAATATTGTCAAATATAACGGATTCGTCAAGACCCCCGAAACCCTCAACATCGTCCTCGAATATTGTGAGAACGGGTCTCTGCATTCGATCTCCAAGAATTTTGGTCGGTTCCCTGAGAATCTGGTGGCGCTCTATATGTCCCAGGTGCTCCAAGGCTTGGTCTACCTGCACGATCAGGGCGTCATACACCGCGATATCAAGGGCGCCAACATTCTCACCACCAAGCAAGGACTGGTCAAACTTGCAGATTTTGGGGTGGCAAGCCGCACCACAGGACTACATGAGTCCAGCGTCGTTGGAACCCCCTATTGGATGGCCCCCGAAGTGATCGAGTTGACAGGCGCAACAACCGCTTCGGATATATGGAGTCTGGGTTGCACAGTAATCGAATTGCTCGACGGGAAACCGCCATATCACAACCTCCAACCGATGCCTGCTCTGTTCCGCATCGTGAATGATGACCATCCTCCCCTGCCGCAAGGCGCGTCACCCGCTGTGCTGGACTTCTTAATGCAATGTTTTCAAAAAGACCCAAATCTGAGGGTCTCGGCCAAGAAGCTATTAAAACATCCGTGGATAGTGAATGCGAGAAGGACCAATTCGGACAGGCCGAAGAATTCCACTGAATACGACGAGGCGATAAAGAGTGTCCAAGAATGGAACGAAGCGCTTAAAGATTCTCCGAACAGCAGCTCGATAAGAAAGAATTCAAATGCTTCGACGGCCAGTCCAGTACCTGTGGCAAAAGACATGCTTCGTCCAACCAAATCTCAGACCAAATCCCCTATCCCCCTCCTCAATAAGGACGATAACACAACCAGGTTCCGCTCCCTTGAAGATGAAGACAACTGGGACGATGACTTCGCGACGGCCATTTCTCCAAGCACTTTTCAATTGCCGCATCTAAGACCTCACGATAACTTTGGGGGCATGTTGTCTTCGGAAAGATTAAAGGCCTTTGCCTCGATGGAGAGTGCATTGGGAAAAGAAAACGAAGGAATAGAGGATAAGGATTCGACTCTAAAGGCGCCTCCGCCTGCTGAAGCGGACGCGAACAAGACTGTCCGACTTGCAACCACTGCCCCGGCAAAGAGGCCAGAGGTTCGTCACGCAAGGCACAAGTCTGAAGTGCCTCTTAAGCCAAAGGCAAAGCCTGCGCCAATGCCTCGCAAAGCTTCTTTACCTTCCGCTCGCCAGACAACCAATCTTTCCAAAAGCAAACCACCGCAGCCAAAAGTGCAACATGATGAACCTCCAACACGTCGTTATCGCGAGAGTTCTGTCGAAGATTTCTCCGACATCGTCCAAGGGAATGAACTCGCTTTGGATACTAAGCTTGGGTTGATGCGGTTGCAGAGCGAGGCACCTTCAAAAATCCTGGATTCGCCCAGCGTAACCGATCTAATGCAGAGTATGAGACCGCCCCAGTCGGGTGGTAGTCTCAAGAGGCATCCGGCTCCCAGAAACAAACTGTCTATGCGAAGGACACGATCTTCTATCGAGATTCAACGCTTTGCCGAGAGCGAGCAAGATGAGGACTTTTCCGACGTCTTTGCACAGACTCCTGCAGTATTCGAGCGAGCCGAGAGCGAAGATGGCTCGGAGCTAATGCTAAACTCGAAGATATCAAATCTATCATGGCTTCCGGATGCTGAAGACGAGGACGACCCTTTCGCACAACTCGAAGAAGGCCTCCCAGAAGTTGACCTGGAGTCCAACATTGCCCGAGATAAGCACGCACGACTTCGAACAGATGTGGAGGTTCTCGTGGGTCAGCTGAAAGTCATGCAGGACGACGATGCATTATTACAGATCTCCGAGGACTTGATGAATTTCTTCGACCTTTTCTCGGACACCAAAAACGTCATCATCAGCGCGCATGGTCTCCTGCCGATTTTGGAGATTCTCGAAGACTGCATGCGTCTAGACATTGTCCTCAATCTTCTCAAGATTGTCAATGCCATCATTTTCAACGATGAGGAGGTCCAGGAGAACCTGTGTTTTGTCGGAGGGATCCCGAAGATCAACAAATTCGCCTCGAAGAAATTCCCTCGGGAGATACGGCTTGAAGCTGCAGCTTTCGTCCGGCAAATGTATCAAACGTCTACCCTCATTCTCCAGATGTTCGTCAGCGCTGGGGGTCTCACAGTTCTGGTTGACTTTCTTGAAGACGACTATGACGATGATCGTGAATTGGTGCTAATTGGAGTCAATGGTATCTGGAGTGTCTTTGAGCTGCAAGGCTCGACTCCAAAGAACGATTTCTGCAGAATATTGTCTCGGAACTCGGTTTTAGAGCCGCTGTCGCTCGTGCTGAACCGGGTTCTAATGGAGCCTTCCGATTCTGGAGACCAGAAAGAGCTTGCAGACTTGTGCGAAGGTCGCATCGCCAGCATCTTCTTCGTCTTCTCCCAGGCAGAGAATTATGTCAAGGAGCTGGTCGCTGAACGGACAGTCTTGCACCGGGTCTTGAAGAATCTCAAGAGAATGGCCCCAGCACACCAGGTCACGATGCTGAAATTCATCAAGAACTTGTCAATGCTGTCGACCACGTTGGATGCACTTCACAATTCGAACGCTATCGACGTTTTATCTGAACTCCTCAGCAATAGCATGAGCAAGCCGCATTTTAGGGAGATGTCAAATCAGATACTGAACACCATATACAACCTTTGCCGGCTATCGAAGCGACGTCAAGAAGATGCAGCGCTCGTTGGTATCATTCCAATTCTCATCAAAATCGTCAAACAGGAGAAGACCCCTGTCAAAGAGTTTGCACTACCAATCCTCTGTGATATGGCTCATTCCACTAGAGCTGCTCGCCGTGAGCTTTGGCAGAACAAGGGTCTTGCCTTCTATGTCTCGTTGCTCTCGGATCCCTACTGGCAAGTGACAGCTTTGGATGCGATCTTCACCTGGCTTCAGGAAGAAACCGCCCGGGTCGAAGATCACTTGCTAGAGAATCAGAACTTCATTTCTGCGATCCTGGCAGCGCTGACTAGCAGCAAATCAACCTCATTTGAAAACCTTCTAGAGCCTCTTCAGAAGTTGCTTCGACTATCGCCACCTCTTGCGGCCTCGATGGCGAGAAGCTCGCAGGTGTTCGATACCTTGGGCCAAAAGCTGGGTCACAGCAAGCCCGCGATCCGTCTGAACCTGCTTCGTATCATCGGCAGCATCTGCGACTCGACGGAAGAAGGGTGTTTCCTTCTCGACCAATACGGTCTTTACGATGTGATTCGAGAGCTTTCTTATTCAGATTCTGCGGTACTGGTCCGCAGCATGGCCAGTGAGCTCATTCGATCATGCGAGGAGACCGACAATGTGAGCATCAAAAGTGGGCAGGGTGGCAGTCAAGCAACAAACGGTGCTCGACGAAAGCATCCAGGCTTCCAACGCCGCACCAGCTCGACGACGCCACCCCATCTCCTAGACCGGCAAATGAGCATGCCCACCTCTCCTCAGTTAGGCCGTTCTGAGCGGGCCAGCATGAACATGTATGACCCTCCCGTCGCACAGACACCGCGCCGGCAGCGCAATGGCGTGTATGTCAATGGTACGAGCGTGATGCGCCCTGCCAGTCGCGACGGGTCAACATACGTTCGCGAGAATTCCCCAGCATTCGTCATGCCCGGCCTCACACGGGCGAACACTGCTAGTGTTGTGACGGAAATGACGGTGAATAAGAGCAGGCTTCCTCGCCAGTCGACCGCTGCCACAGGTGTAGTAGGACCTCATCGGCTGTCGCGACAAAGTACACGAGAGAGCATTGTTGGGTCAGCCAGGGCATCGACGGAGAAAGACTCGAGTTCGACGACGGCTACAAGAACTTACCAAGGAACAAGCAGTGGTGGAAGCACGCCTGCGACATCGACACCCGTGTCAGAGCAGAGAGCAAGGAGGGAGGCCAGGCATGCACACTCTAGCAGTATCAGTCAAAGCCGAAACACCAACAGCAATACCAGCGTGGCAGGCTCGCGGCCTGGTTCCGGACAAAGCCAGGGTCAGGCACCCGGGCAGGGTCAGGTTGAGGTCACGGTGGCGAGGAGGACAACAGCCAGAAGGCACGGGACATGGGACGATCGGTGGGGTTAGAAGTCCGGCTGAGAGTGATGTCCTGTGGCATGGATGGCATGTGCATCTTGGACGGCGTAGCTAGGTGGCCGTTTGTTTTGACGAGCAACGAACAACGACTTTGGGAGGACATTAGATGGTACACGCATGAATGTCTATCAAGGTCAGGTCGTCTTCGGTACATAGAAGACCAATAATAGAGAAGAGCGAAGCCGATGGAGCCGAGCTCCTGTGACTTCTGTACAGACTAGAGAGTGTACAGGGAGGTGGGACGCAAGACCCGGACCTCACCTGGTCTCTTTTATCATCAACCCACCGTTTGTACCGTGTCCGATTCTGATCGTCCCGGTCTCTTCGAGTTGCCGCTTCTCCTCGACGGACGATGGTCCTGTCTGAGCCAAGACGGCGACCGAGACGTAGGAAAGTTGAAAAGACATGATCCGCCCCATCTAGTGTCTGGTGTCTGGTGTCTGGTGTCTGGCCCATTTGCCCAAATCCACACTGGGCGCCAGGCTCTCGGACATCTCGCCGGCAGGGGATGGAGGAGGGTGGGAAGGAAGGAGGAAAGGGGGCTCCGGAGCCTCGTTGTGCCCCTGGGGATGGCCATCCCAGTTTTTCTCCCCCTCCCCCCCACCAGGCACAAGGCTGTGGAGCCCCTGATCCTGATGCAATGCATCTTCCCAAGCTTTGGCGCCCATCTGGGACTCCTCGATCCCCGAGCCACCCGCTCCATCTCCATCTCAAGAGCCATCATCTGTGGCTCCTACCCGGCACAGCTATTATGTAGCTAGGGACACTCCGCAGTTGGGTTGGGTGGTTAGGTTAGGCAAGGCAAACAATGTCACGACCGTGACCGTGACGCCGACTCACTCACTCACTCACCACGTGGTCATCACGGACGGAGAGGGGCCCCAACCAAGCGCCAAGGAGCGCCTCGATCAACGGATCTAGCTACAGTACATAGCTACTTATGTTTTGTGTGTGCTTCGCACGAGTGCTCGCCCAACAACACAGGATGCGTTGGTCGGTCAGGAAAACCAAAGATGCTGTAGCGCGCGGTCCTCTCTCTGTGCTCATATCCATCCATGGTGTCACCTACATACACAGACAGACGGCGACGAGGACGCAGGGACCCCTTCTGTAACTGAAGCAAGTGGACCTGATCTCCGCTACCCATGTACCTCCCGCCCTTCCCCTCCCCTCCTCCCAACTCGTTTTCTGTCTTCGTCTAAACGAGAAGCAAAGGACGAGTGCGAGTGCGAGTGCGAGTGCGAATCCAAGCATCCTCTGGGTTCTGATGCTCGTTGGAGGGGACCTACCTACACATCCACCCACACTAGGGAAGGCGTAGATCTGACTTGCTCTCCGTGCACAAAGATATATATGTATGTACATATTTATGCACATTGCTCCGTGCTCATTATTGCAAGTAAAGTACTCCGTACGTCGTATACAGTTGCGGAGCACCTTTTCCTTCGTCTCCTAATCGACTAATATGTAGGTCCCGTGCGTAGGTGAGGTAATTCCTCTTTCATGGAAGGGAAGAACGCGAGCGGTGTGTGGGCAAAGGAAATTGATATGGGGATGTTATTGATGGGTCCTTGGGTTCTATTCCACGCATTGCATCTTTCTCTTTTTTTGTTTTCTCGAAACCTGGGACCGTTAGAGTAGCTCCATCCATGATTCTACCAATGAGCTCACCTTTGTCGGTGAGAGTGGGCAGGTCCAGGGGCAAAGACAAACACTAACTACAACTACTCAGTGACTGTCGTAGATCCAGTCCAAGGTCTGTAGGTGTCCATGAGCCCAGACCATCGTTCTCGGTCTTGGCTGGACTGGATCAAATGCGAGTTCGAAATCAGGCCCCAGGCGTAGACAGGGGTGGACTGACTTTCCTGCTCCGCTGCCATCGCAGTCGTCCACGACGACAACGTTTGTTGTGCCTCGACACTTTTGTCTCCTTCCACAGGACCAGGGAAATTGCACACCAACCGGAACGAGTAGTGTCTCGCTGCAAACCCCGCATTGAACACGAATGCATGCGCCGAACTATTCGGGCGGAAGAAGGGGGCGGAGGGGAGCCTGGTTCGTTCTCAGGTGTTTGTTGAATACGAGGAGCGCACGGCAGCACGGCAGCACGGAAGCTCGTTCAAGCCCCCTCCCATGCGAATGCAATGCGAGGCTGTCGCATGGGGGTAAGATTGTGCATAATTCGAAACCCTTTTTTTTTTCTTTCCTGTTCTCCTAGCCTCCGTCGACAGGGTCGAAGTTGTGGTGTGGTCAGTTTCGTTCGTGATGAGAAAAATTTTTGGACCAGGAATCTAAATCGGAACAAGGGTGCAAAGCAAGCGCAGGACGCAAAGGAGAGCGCCGCCGAGCGATTCGTCGAGCATTAGCCACGGCTTCAGGGTAAGCAGACGCTACCGTGTCATGGGTCGAGCTGGTGCAGCCAACCACGGCGGTCCGTTTGCAGCCGTCCTGCCCGTACATGTCCCATTTTCGTAGGAGTTGTTGTTGTTCGGCCTCGGCGACTCGGTGGTGTGGACAGAGGAGAGGGAAGGTTAGGTCGGATCCGAGGCGATCTCTTGATGATGCCCTAGAAAACGCTCCCTGGAATCTGAGTGGCGCCACAGTGAATTGGTTTTCAGGCAGGCCGGATTGGAAGCTCGTCTGTGACTGCTGCCCACGGAAGACGGACCATGTAGCCGCGGCTATGTGCCCAGCGGACCGTGTCCTGAACAGGCACAGATCGAACCAAATCAGCAACCTGGTCGTTGATTATGCTACGGCTAAACGCATGTCGTGGCTTTGCCTTCCGGTGGGAATAGTAGTTGAGGGATGCTGGTGATGGCGATGATGGTGATGATGGTGATGATGGTTCTGATGCATATTCCCTAGCCTTTTCGACGTGCCCCCTTCGTTCCGGGCGACCAGTTCGTGTTCAACTCGCTTGGCTTCCCCAACGTTTTATGTGAGATCATCACGTCGTCATAACTTCGATTATGAATCTGAGGACAACGGCGAGACGTGGTAGTGGTGGTGGTGGTGGTGGTGGTGGTGGTGGTCGTTCGTGTTTGTTAGCTCTGCAGCTGTCCTCGATCCTTTCCGGGCCTAGAAAGTTGCTCATTCAACTCAACCCGTCAGGATCTGCCCCGGTCGTTCGCCAGGTTCGGCAGTGAGATGGGAGATTTCTGTAATCATATTGCAGTCGTTAGTCACAGTCAGACTCTGTCGAGATGTTCACCTGTTGAGAGCAACAAGCATAGATGCCACGTCCACAGCCTTCCACGGGATGGTCATGGGCGGTGGTGGCGGCTGACCACTTCCGACCCCCCTGTCTCCCGAGTGCTTCCCCTAGGCACACTCTGTTTAGTGCTCATGGAGTCCCCGTGGGTATCATATCCGGGCACTGTTTAGCGTCGACTAGCCTAAGCCCCCGCCAATGTTTGGGGCACCTCTGTAGGAGGGGTGGCAGAGTCGACTACTCGTATCCTGGGAAATGTTGGGTTGTGGAAGTTTCCACGAACTCTCCAGCAATCTTTCTGTCGAAAGATCCCTCTCGGGGGCGTCTTCAGCTTGAACGAAGGCTCAAAGACATGGCCGTGCAACTTGCACATGTCACACTCTCCCACGGTAAGATGGTGTGTCAGCCGATCATTCCAGGGGGGCGTCCTGGCGACCGAGCCACGGGGGAGTCGGAAGATGCACCCTATCTTTTGTTCGCCGAGAAGCGAAGCCAGCCTGGCCTCTCATCTGTATCAGAGGTCTTGGGACATGAAGAATAGAGTAGATCTGGTCTTCGGGCATCGAAGAGATAACTGTAGTGACTCTGGATAGGGGGAGCATCTCGGTAGGAGCGCAATGGAAGGGCGCCGCCAATCAAGCGAATCCGAGGGAAAGACATGTGAAAGAAGGAACACAGGAGGTCATTCATTCTGTGAATCATCATATAGTATCATTGAGGCCGAAAGAGACGTATTCGGTGACTTTTGAGCTCTTTTGCTCTGTAAACATTATGAACCAGCATGTGGGAATTAAAAGCTGAAATCCCATGCCAATCCCCCGATATCAAAACCCCGGGTAATCCCAATCTTTCGGCAACCAAAGCTCTCTAACTAGAGGAGGCTTCATCCAGATCGAAGAAATCGTCAACGCTGAGAGCATTGTAGTCGTACACCACGATCCCCCTGTGGCTTGTGGTCTTGTCTTCCTCTGTCTCTTCTGCCTCCTCAGCTGCAGGACTCAGGCCCGATGAGTGCACATCATACTCTTCCTCAACCTTGGTCAGCTCTTTGACGGCAAAGTCAAATGGTTGATCCATGTGCTTTCCGAAGGGAGGAAACATGTTTTGCAGTAGTACTTCGTCAATCTCCAAGTAGTCTTCGGGCGCCAGTTCCACCTTAGGAGCCACTTCCTTCACTGCTTGGCTGTGTGCCTCGTCCGCTGGAATAGTGGTGACTGGATTTAGGAGATCTTCCATTAGATCTCGCTCGTTGTCTGTGAGACGCATCCCATTAAAGAGGTGCCCAAATGGCCCTGAGCGGAACTGCTCGCATATAGCGGCAGGGGTAGGGCAACTGTCGGTGGAAGCGGGAGACGACGATGTATCGGCAACGAGAGATCCCGGGGAAGACAGAGCATCCTCACTGAGACTAGGCGGCGACATCTGAAGGTTTGTGTCTCTCGGTCTCGATTCTGGCCTTGGCTCGTGGGAGACAGTGTAGCGATGGCGGTCCTTGGGATGGAGATGTTGAAGGTAGTTCCGCATGATGGACGGCTCGATGAAGCTCGGTAAGCAGGACCTGGTCTTCGTAGGCTGTTTGTCCAAGCCGGGGGTGCAGCTAAGTGATTGTGATTCTGAGTTGGACCTCTTGGTACCACGGCCATTCATATGCTCGGACGAGGGTGAGGGTGACGGCCTCCCATATTGAATCGAGGCTGGTGTTGACAGGCGATGACGACGTTGCTCCAAGGTCTGCCCACTGCTTTGCCAACGCTGACCTCCCAAAGGCTCCCTTATAACCTGAGCACTCCCAACACTTCCCGAATCCAGCCTCCTCCTCTTGGGGGCTGGTTCATGCCACTTGTTTCCCAGAGCCTCCAGCTCTTTCTGGGGAAAGAGGAGGTCGACAAAAGACATGACGTTCGGGATGGCTCAGGATATGAGACTCCTTTGACGTTGGAAAAAGACCCGATGCTAGGCAAGAGCAGTGTATCTCGGATAAGGGAGGCGGCAAGTATTCCAATGCACTGGGGAAGGGAATAGAAGAGAGGGACGGAAAAGGGTTTATAGCAAGAAGGCCAAACTAGTGAACTAGAGGCAGTGCTGTTCCCGGTGGCCGTCGCAAGGGTTTCAACAATAATCTAAGTCTGCTCGTTCCCACCGGCCGTAAACAAGGGGTGCTTAGCCCAGACCGTGTGCATTACCATTCGGCCCGAGTCGGAAATAGAGCTTGAAGGTGGTGCATTACCAGGCGTTGGCCAGAGGATCATAAGCATCGGAAGAGGGGAGACAACATTCTTGGGCCAACTATTCCGGGGCTGGCTCGTCTGTGCGTGCTCAAAAGCTGGAGGCAAACCGCTCCACGTCAGATGGATACTGACTGAGCAAGGGCCATAGCGACCTAGCTCTAGTGAGAATAAGCTGACGAATGAGGCAAGGGAATCAATTCAGGGCATCCAGAGCGGTGGACGAACAAGGGAAAGGCTTTGCAAAAGCAAAATGGCGGCGTTGCTTCGGGGCCCTGTCTATTTTCTCCCCCAAGACATGGAGACTCCGTAAAATCCCCGTCTCAACCTTGAATTAAAAGCCAAACGCCAACTCCTGATGAACCCATCTGGGGGGTGGCATTTTGAGGAGTCTGTATCCGGGGGTGGCAACAGCGCCTGTGTCAGGAGAGCCCAGACGTTTTCCAGCGTCGAGGGCAACACGGTCCAAGGGGATTTCCTGTTGAAGGAGTTCGATCAGGTTCGCTCCAGGCTCGTATCTCCAGAGGGATTGGCAGTGGCCATCGCGATCCCTAGCTTTTTCCCAGGGACTGGACTGCCTCTCGTCTCGAAGAGTTCTTGTTCGCGAAGCCACCAAAAGCCAACGCCGCACCTGACGTCTGGAGCCTTCGATCTAGATTGACTTTCTCTTTCAGCGCTCAATGTTTTGACGCCTGCCCGTGCCTGCAGTCGTCTAGGCGGCCGGCGGCAAGCTGCAAGCCCTTGCCAAACGCCGCGGCGATCCACCCATTGCTCCAGCTACGGTCCGGTCGACCCTGAGTGACCCCCACAGCATGGCTGGCCTGTTGACGCCCTGGCTACATCGGATCCGAATGCGGCCGCACGTGTCCAAGGTGCATCGGAGAGAATAGCAAGAGCAGGCCTCGTGCCCCAGACTTTTCAGCGTCCCCTGCCTCAACAGCCTTGTTATAAACGCACTGTTCTCCGGACTCCAGGAAAGCGTGGAGCGTGGGCCTGGTAGCCTTCTTTTCTCCCTTCGATTTTACGTCGCACATGATCTGGCACAAAGAGGGCGCAGGGGAGATTGCTCTGTGGGCAGATGGAGCATTGACTGATGGGTCCTGCTGAGAAGTCAGTCGTGAGGATGGGTCTTTTCTTATGGTGGTCCACGGCCAGGACTTTTCAGGTGAGACTGATCAAATTGTCGACTTCATAAAGCGCGGTAGGTGCAATCGTCGAGTATAATGTTCATGCCTAGGTATTTTATTACCAATGTCAGAATCGTCGCATAGGGCGGAGTGAACAAAGTCAGAATTTAGGGGCTTCCACAAATACGACGAATTCACCACCTGCCTTAGTAATACCGACTTCTGTCCCCGGTGCAACCACAGACCACCATACTCAATTCCCATCTCAACGCCATGCTTCGGGCCAACACCTCCATATTCGTCTCTGCAATGGACGACTTAGCATTACTCTAATTGAAGCTAGCATCAAAAGGCCAGGCACTGGAGGCGGGAGCCAAATCCTCCTTGTTCGTCCTATTTTCTGATTGTCTGCAAACCTGTCACCAGCACGAACAGTGCCCATGTTCTTCGCATGACGTGCACTGCTTAGCCAAACCATCTAAGTCCCCGTAACGCGTCTCACTATGGGAAGAGCACGGGCCGAAGACGACAATTGGTTTGGTGTCCAGGATCCGCGCAAGAGGAAGCAAATCCAAGACAGACTAGCTCAGCGGGCAAGGAGTTCGTTACAACTAACCTCTTTTTCCTGCCGTACGAGTGGTCGACGTCTTTGACTGACGAGCCGCCGGTACAGGAAGACGCCTGGCGGAGGCCAAAAAGTCCGTTGTGGCATCCTGCCCTGACAGTCGAGGCTGCGACAGCAACTCGGACGCCTCACCAAACAGGACCAATCCAGCGGGCTCGCTTTGCCTTGCGCCCAAGGTGCCTCGACTCCTCGCGCCGCATCAGGCACTTGTGCCCACGAGCAAGCCAGATACCTTTGTGACCACGTCTATCTCTGCCTCCATCTATGGTGCTCTGTACCAGAACGGTGCAATGGTAAGTGCTGTTCTCAAGAGACTTTGACTCCTCCGGGGAATCACCTCCTTTTACATCTTCAAGGGTTTCCTTTTCGTTGCCACGTGAGGAGCTGACGGGACCACTGCCATGTCTGAGAGAAAAGATGGGAATAGCTTGTTCTGTCGTTGTCCCCAGCAAATCCAGCCCTGTTGGACCCGACATCCCCGAGTCGCTGCGTCCTACCGCGCTGCAACTCACCACCATCCACCCGTCCTGGATCGACCGGTTCCCCTTTCCGAAGATGAGAGACAACATGATCACGCTGATGGGCATCATTGACGAGGAGGAGTTCCTCGCCGACTTGTTCTGCCTGACGAGCTTCACCCTGAACCCCGGCGCGGCGTCCTGGGACCCCACGGCGTGGAAGATTGGGAAGGACTTCTCGGCCAAATGGGGCTATCTGTTCTACTAATACAGGTCGATCCCATGGATCGGCCTTTTCATCCGGTCCATGGGTTCTTCACCGGGCTAATTGCCAGAAGGGTCGATCTCGCGGCTCTCTCTTTCGACGACGTGGCGCACGAAGCCGCACTTGTCTTGTTTCAAGCACAGAAGTCAATCAGCCTGCTGAACAAAGTCATTTTTGGGGAAAGGGGGAGGGGGAGGAACTTCAAGCCACGTTCACGCAAGAAACCAGGCCATCGCTCTCTCGGCCAATCTCGATTTCGTGAAGAGACGAGGCCGGAATCCCCCACGAGGTCTTTTCAATGGGTTCTCCGGCGTGGCCGCCACGGAATTCCCGGATACCAACCCCAAAATCCCGGCCGTCTTTTATCTGGTGCTTGTTTCGGTGGCGTGGTGGAGGCGTTCCCTTTGAACATTCCGGCCCCGGAAATCTCTTATCCCCACGAATGCCTCACAATACCATCCTTTCCGGCACGCGAGTTTTGGGAATATCTGGTAAAAAGACATGACCGCGGCGGAGAGTCAGGCAGAGGAAACTATGCTGAGGACACAAAGGCGGCGCTTCAAAGTTGGGATGGAAGTGTTATGCTCCAGACTGCATTCTCCCTCCTCCACGTCGCCATCTGCGGGTTATCTATTGCCTGATGGTGCGCTTATAGGTAATGTATTAGGTTTAAATGCTAGGTAGCCATTGCTACCTGATCAGGACTCGCCTCGTCCGTTCAAAGAATAGTCCCAGGCTCAAACAACGACCGTGTAACTATGGCACGATATCACCAGTCTGGATAGATGGCGCACTGTTTCTACCAATGTCGCTGATCATGAAGACTGGCCCCTTACAATGGAACCCGCTTTATAAGCGTGGGGCAGATCGTGCGCCCATCTAGATATATTGTTAATCCTGGAGGACGCCATGCCCAAGAGGACCACTTACCGGCAACGAGGAAATAGATCCATCCTCTGTCGAATTCCGAAACCGTCCCCCTGAGCGGCTTTCTCTTCGAATACGGTTCCTGTGATATCTCTCCGGGCCAGAAGTTTTCGATGACCTCTTGGAGCAGTCCTCAGGCTCAACTCCCAGCAGTCAGGGCAAGACAAGCATCCACGGCAAGTCCCACTCTTCCCTCCTTTTGCCGCACCACGTCATCAATGACCTCTTTGTCCAGGTTTGGAAACATGCCACACAGGGTCTCGACCACAGTCCTGTGTTCGGCTCTGGAAATCCGTCGAGCTTCCGCGGCTTCCGCGCTTGCCTGTCTCGCCGCTGCTTCCTGGGCGTCGTAAGAAGGGACTGCTGCACCTTGGGCTGGTGGCGGCTGGAACATGTTTGGATTCAGCCTCGGAGCCGCTTGAGGCGCTGGACTCGGCCTGCGTTCTTGAGATGATGAGTCCTGGTCAGAGAATATTCGGCCGATCGTGGAGAGAGGTTTCTGGATGGTCCGCAAAAGACCTGCTACACTGTCGTCGGAGCCGTCTCCCGAGGTGCTATACTGCCGATTAGGATCTCGTCGTATAGGGCTGGTGGACGTCACATCCATTGAGTTCCGTGGTGTAAGTTCTGGCTCAGCAAGCGATGATTTCTCGGCAATGGTCGAGGCCACTGGGCTGAATTGTTCCGCCTGACGATTCTGCTCTGCGATCGCTGCCACAGCATTCTCGACGTTACGTTCAAACTCCTCATCACTAACTGTCAAGGTCGTCCGATCTAAACTTTCGATAAACTGAATTGCTCCAGACAGGGAGGACAGGTAGTAACCCGCCTCGCCGCCAAGCTTGTCCTGATTCCTGAATCGAAGAATGTACTGAACATTTGACACGAGGTTCTCTGGATTAGCCTGAAGGACGACGTAAATGAGTAGGGGCACGAATGAATCTGCCGAAGTGTCGGAGCTCTTCGCATTTTTCAACAGACCAAAAATAACCTTGCAACAGTTCAGGACGCAGATGACTTTGTCTCTGGGTGCTCGATACCCCTTTATCTTGAGAAGTTCCTGCTGTGCCAGTCTAAGAAACCTCTCTCCGTTCGGGCCGACGGGCGCTATATCGAGATGCTCCTCTCGCACCCAGCTGTAAATCCGGATTTTCTGGGCGAGAATCTCGTCTCGTTCAACATCTTCCTGGTGTTGACCGCGTCTCCCGGGTGCCTGGGACTTTTCCAGTTCTTTCCTTCTTCCTCTGGACCGCGATCGCGCGACTGGAGGAGACGGTGGGATAGCGGGAGAGAATGTTTGCGAATATAACCTGTTCATCACAAGCTTTTCCATGCCCTCTTTGGCATTGTCGAACTCGTTATCCGACACTTCTCGCCATACCTCACAAAGGGCCATTTTGTTTGTAATGAAGGCTAAAAAATCGCCAATGATTTTGACCTGTTCGTGGACCATCCACTGCTTCTTTCCAAACTCGGTCAAGAAAGAGCGCAAGAATTTGGCCACTGGGTCTGCGGATTTATGCCGGAGCTGCTCCAGAAATCGATGAAAGTCAAATGGTAATTCGGGCTCGGGTTCGGGAGGTGGTGGCTGCATCGGAAGCGAGGGCGATGAAGCCTGGGCTGGGCTTTTGATCGGAGGGCTTCTCAGCGGACTTGAATCATGGTTCAGGACACCAGAAGGCGGCGAGGGCAAAGGCTTTTCTGAATGATGGGAGATCACTGGCGAAGCTAACGTGTCCATATCCCTTGATCGTAGTGGTTCGAGGCTAGATCTTCTGGGTGGAAAACTGCCACCCGATCCTAGAATAGGCCCGGTCATTTCGTGCCGAGGGGACATGATTGATTCCTTTGAAGGGGCTGCCGAGGCGTCGTCGAATTGATCTATGATACTTTGGATTTCTGACGTTGATTCTACATCGGGGTCATTGCTGGACTTCTGGAACGGTGGTTCCCCAGTATTGTCCTGTGATTCTTGGCTATAAGCCGGGTCCTTCTCGTCATATTCTTCGCCTGATGTCCTCATCGACGGGTGCCTTGAGATCGCGGGGGTTTTAGGAGTCGGGTCGAGGTACGGCTTCTCACTGGCAGCAGGAGGCTCGGGAGGAGGAGGCGTGGATGGAAGGACTTTCGGAGGAGAGACATGATTGCTCTCGGTCTTGAGATCACCAATTCGGAGATCTGGTATCCTGTCCGCCACGTCCAAGTCTGGATCCTTTCCTTTTTCTGAGAATACACCGTGGGAGACCTTGTGTTCAATGGCAACGTCACTCCCTTCTGGCTCCAAGTCGATCAGGTCGGACGACGTGTTTTCCGACGAAACGGTTTTCTCGCTGGCGGCCATGGCTGCATGATTGCTGTTAGGTGACATTGACAACTATCTTAGACTGGGCGTTGACGGTCTGAGAGGATCTGTGGCATGTTTTCAAGTTGGCAGTTTCAAGGCTCGTAGGATCGCCGATCTAGTGTTGGTTCATGGTGAAGGACGGACAGGCTGACGAGGCGTCACGCGACGGGAAGAGAAGGTCGGCGGCCTAAGCGAGGAGGCAGGACGTCGTCAAGAGGAGGAAAACGAGGACTTTCAAGCAGAAGGTCGAGGAGACTCCTTTTAATGCAGGTGCAACTCCTCTTATCCCCCTTCCTCAAGGATTCCGATGACAACAGCAGCCTTGCATAATGGTCGGAGATACTGCAAGGCCGCCAGCGCAGTTTGAGTTTCCCAAGCGGAATCGTGCAGCTGGATGCCAGCCGAGCGTTGGATGTGGACACTTGACATGGATCTGTCTTAGCCAGCTTCTGATTGGCCAGCCTTCTGTATCTCTTGGCAAGTCTCGCTTTTCTCGTTCACACTCGGCTTTTCTTCCTGCCTATGTAAATCTCCCACCTCCAGTCCAGTGCACAGCTGCTTCTCTATCCGAACGGGCAGCATCTGCTGCAGCAGCCCTATGTGCGGCATCTTTTTCTCGGTTGCAAAACACCGTGCGATCCGGCCTGATTCTCCTACTGCGAATGAGCTCAACGCACGTGGGCCCGACAGCTACAAAGAATTGAACGTCAGGCTTCCATTTCCGCAGTTAGACGACCTGCACTTGACGTTTGTCTCATCTGTCCTTGCTCTACGAGGGGATTCGGTTCAAATCCAACCCCTACAGGACCGCCCTTCGGGCTCCATCCTCTGCTGGAATGGCGAGGCATGGAAAGTGGACGGAGTCAGAGTAGATGGAAACGACTCGATCCAGATCTTTGATCTTCTCTTGCATGCCTCGCAGTCGACTGAACACGGTGACTATCAGCAGCGAATTGCTCGAGTGCTGACAAACATAGCCGGGCCTTTTGCATTTGTCTTCTATGATGCTACGCATGCAACCGTCTTCTATGGGAGAGACCGGCTGGGGCGTCGTTCTTTGCTCACTAGTCATGACGATGGGGATTCACTGACGCTTTGTAGTATTGGCGTTACACCTGTTGATGTACTGGATGAAGAGGTGTCCACTAGTACTATCCATTTTGTCTCTCTAAGACACAGTCGAATCACCCGTGGCGAACTTCCATGGCAAATCATACCCCCCGTGATCAACAGGGCTGGTCATTTGGAGCTTCTTGAATCGATGCCAACTGCAAAAAGTGTCGATCGCTTCCTGCAGTTATTGAATGCTGCTCTAAAACTAAGACTCTTGGACATTCCAGATCATCACCACCGCCAGGGCATGCCACATTCTCCGAAAATCGCCATACTCTTCTCAGGAGGCTTGGACTGTTCACTGCTCGCCCGCCTTGCGCATGATCTTCTCCCCAAATCAGAAGCTATAGATCTGTTGAATGTGGCATTTGAAAACCCACGGTCACTAGCCGCGAGGAACGACACTACAGATTCAGCCTATGAGTTCTGCCCCGACAGGATCACGGGTCGCTCTAGCTTCACAGAACTTTGCGAAGTGTGTCCAGACCGAACCTGGAGATTCGTGGCAGTTGATGTGCCTTACAAGGAGTCACAAGCTTGCAAAGCCAGCATTCAACAACTGATGCACCCTCACAAGACGGAGATGGACTTGTCTATCACCATGGCACTCTTCTTTGCTGCCGAGGGGAGAGGAGGTTTATCCGAAAATGCAAATGTACAGCAGTCATCCAACGAACTCTACACCTCCCAGGCTCGAGTCCTTCTTTCAGGCTTGGGAGCAGATGAGTTATATGCTGGATATTCGCGACACGCTGCAGCATTTGCACGAGGCGGATTTCTCGACTTGATAGACGAACTCGAGCTAGATTTCAATCGAATCGGATCCCGCAACTTGGGTCGGGATGACCGTGTTCTGAGTCATTGGGGTAAAGAGGTGCGTTACCCTTATCTAGATGAAGATTTCGTGAGGTTTTCTCTGGATCTTCCGGTATGGGAAAAATGCGGATTCAGATCGTCCAAAAGAATTCCCAAGCATTATGAAGAATTCCATCGGCCAGATAAGCCTGAAGATCTTGAGCCGTCGAAGATGTTGCTGAGATTAGCCATGTGGAAGCTAGGCATGCGGAGAGTTGCTTCGGAAAGGAAGAGGGCCATCCAATTCGGCGCCAGGACTGCAAAGATGGATGTTGGTAAAGGAAGGACAAAAGGGACAGACATTTTAGTCAATGGAAGCTGATCTTCTCAGCAGCATGGCAAAGCAGGAAGCGCCGCCAGCTAATCGACCAGTTCCACTCCCAGGACCAGAGCGAGCACTGATGCAGCGGCTATGATGACAATTCACAGATACTTCTGAGGTCTACGAGACTTGAGCTGGATGCAGCAGTCCCACGGAACGCGACTGCAACCGCCGAGTCGACTCATGAAGACTGAAAAAAGGCAAGTCTGAGCCGTGAAGATGAGTACAATGGTTCTGTTGTGGGCATGGTCACTCAATGGACAGTGGACGAGGTGGCCTCCCTGTTTCAATGGTTTCCAACACCATGCCTCACGCAAATGCTTGTGAAAGGCAGCATTCTAATTACGGCACTGATGCAGCACGCTACGTCCCTAGGGCAAGATCGGTATGGAGATTGGAGCGACGCTTTGGCGACGGAGAAGAGCGGCTTGGTAATGCTTTCTCTCTCCACTTTCATCCCCCACATACTGGTTGCACAAAATTTCAGTCGACAAGTAGCGCTTGCGAAGGGCGTGATGACGATCGTGGGTTTGCTGAATTCAAGAGGCACTGCAGAGGTTGACTGCTTTCTGCTTCCCTCTGAGCTGTTGCTGAAGGAGTTTGACACCTATCCCGACCCCGATGGACACAGCCTCACTCCCTGTCATTCAGCAGGTAGAATCTAACAACCCAGAACGTCAAGACGTGGTATTTCTTGCCGAGGGTGACGCAGTACCGAACCATACAGGCGCCGAGGCCAAAACGCAGATTGCCCTTAACATCCAGAAAGAAGCTTATACCTACAGCGATGCTGAGCAACAGATTACAGCGTTTGACATTAACGAGCCAGAATCAAGGAATGGACCAAACGACGCTTTCCCTGAAGGTGGCCTACAAGCCTGGCTTGTCTTGACCGGTGCTTTCCTCGCTCTATTCGCATCGTTCGGCTTCATGGTGTCCATTGGCACAATCCAAGAATACCTTCAGATGCACCAACTCTCAACCTACACGTCCCGCGACATTGGCTGGATTCCTTCAGTCTTTGTCTACTTGGCACTAGGACTAGGCATCTGGGTCGGCCCTCTCTTTGACCGGTATGGTCCACGGTGGATCGCATTGTTGGGAAGTACCAGTTACGTGGTCATGGTCTTTCTGTTGGCAGAGTGCGAAAAGTATTGGCAATTTCTACTTTGCCTTGGATTCCTGGGTGGAGCTGCTGGGGCGACATTGACTACAACGAGTTTGGCTGTGGTGAGCCACTGGTTTAAGCGGAAGAGAGGGCTCGCGCATGGGATTGCAATGGTGGGATCGAGCTTCGGCGGCGTCACGATTCCCCTGATCCTGAGGACTACCCTTCCGAAATATGGGTATGCGTGGTCCATGCGTATCCTGGGATTTTTGTTCCTGGCGTGCTTGGTTATCGCCAATGTGTTGATGAAGCCGCGCTTGCCGCCATCGCCTGAAGCACGGAAACAGGCAATCATATCGTTAGGATTGTTTGGCGACCTGAAATTCACCTTTTTGACGATCAGCGTCTTTGGGTTCGAAATTGTTTTGTTTGGTGCCTTGGGCATTCTCCCAACCTACGCGAACTACGGCGACAAGTTCCCGCACGATACAGGATTCTATATCATATCAGTCCTCAACGCCTCGTCTTGTTTCGGACGGATCATCCCGGGCTATGTGTCCGACTTTGTGGGTCGCTTCAACACCCTCCTGTTCATGATCCTTTTCACCTTGATCCTCATGCTCGCTGTCTGGCTCCCGCTAGGCCACACCTCTCTGGTCGCGCTATACGTCTTCGTTGCGCTCTTTGGCTTTGGCACCGGCTCGTGGATGGCGCTTACTCCGGCATGCATAGGCCAACTCTGCGAGGCCGATCAGTTTGGACGGTTCTACGGGACGTGCTATTTCATCGGCAGTCTCGCGGCTCTCGTCTGCATTCCAATTAGCGGAGAGCTCGTGGAGGCGGCCGGCCCGGAAGTTATGGTCGGGTTTATGTGTGTTGTCGCGGGCGTGGGGATGGGGACATTCATCCTCAGTCGGTGGGCTTGTTTGGGGTGGCGGTGGCGGTGGATGGCTAAGGTCTGAGGAGACAGGAGTGAATGCAAGCGTTGGGTTGAAACGTGAGATGCGTATGACCGTATGGACATTGAGATTATATACATATCTATGTCTATGTCTATATGTATCTTTCCGCGCCAGGAATTTTTTTTAGAAAACAGTCATCTGCGCATGTGCAAATAGAAGCAAAGTGCAACATACACATATCAACTGGCTAAAATGCTGTCAGATTCCCCGTTCATCATAAAGTTGCAGATTAGATCGACAAGGCAAGGTGCAAATTCCCATTGACTGTGCTAGAGGGCTGACCCGGCCACTTGTTCGCTGCTCAGTCTGTAATTCGGCGTCCTGCAAGCCCGACGAATGCCAGAGGTCCAGGCACATTTCGTGATTGTGACTAGTGAGAGGCTGTCTCGAGAGCGATTGGGGACCCTTTAACAATTTCATGCTGATACCACTTTTTCGCCCTCGATAGGTGGAGAAGTAATCTCAATATCATGCACTGGTGGTTGGGGTTTTTGATAACGCTTGTTCCCTCTTGCAATAGTCACTGCAGGGTATATGAGCAGCAGGCCGCCGAACAAACTGGCCGCGCCTCCAAAGGCTTGACCATGTGCGTAGTCGTCCGTCGCCGTATTGACAAGCGCGCCGGCGATGGGTCCACCGATCAAGCCCGCAAATGCGGAACCTGACCATGCCATTCCGGTCCTCGCTCCCACGACACTTGGTGTTGGTGAGAGCATCGGCACCACCGCAGCAGGGATCGCTACTGTAATGCCTGCCATAAACCCCACCAAGATTGCCCATATGGTGACGCCGGGAACGTCGTGGATCCCGATCCAGGCCAATATCAGTATTCCGAGACTGATACTGCCGGCGGAGAGGACAACAGCTGGACCGAGTCTGTGTGCGACAAAGGCGGGGAGGATCCGGCCTGCGAAGCTTCCGGCATTCAGAATGGCGAGGAGGTAAAACGCGTACGAGACATTCGTTTTGATGGAGAACTGGGCGTATGGTGTAATATAGATCAGCGGGACCCAATATCCCAGGAAGACAAAGAATAGCCCAACCAAGAGAACGACGAACGGTGGCTCCTTAAGGGCAGAAGGGTCGAATAGCTGTCCCTTGGGGCGTCTATGCGTTGGGTCTGGCCGGAGTAGGAAGAAAGAGGCTACTACCATGCCGAGGAGTATGAAACCAAAGATGCGATTGGTCCACCCGAAGCCGATCTGGGGTTGTAAGTGACGGAACATGATGGGCAGGACGATGCCTCCAATGGCCGCCCCAGACGATGATCCTCCGATGGCAAGTGGTCGCTGCTTGGCGGTAAAGGTCTGGCTGATCACAGCTATCGAGGGTATATACAGCATTCCATTGCCTAACAAACTAGTTAGTATGACAACAAAGCCAAATCTATTACGGGTGACCGAATACGTACCGAACCCAATACAGACGCCCTGGGCCAGAATGACTTGATAGTATTCCTTGGCCAGGCTGAGCATCATAAAGCCGAATGTGACCAGTGAGCCACCAACAACCAACAACGTTCGAATATAGCCTCGGTCATACAAGGCCCCAGAAACGATCCCTGTGAGACCCATCAATGACACCTGCACCGTGCCAATCCATGATATGACGGAGGGCGTATGTGCGGCTAACAAGTCCTTCTGATAAAAGGCCTGATAGGCACTGAATGAGGAAGCGACACCCCAAGTGATGAAGAAAACGAAAAAGCACCCCAGAATCCTGCAAGTCGAGGTGAGATCCCGCCGAACAGGTGTATGGTTAGTCGCGGGAGCCGGTTGCTGGTCGAGAGAATCGCTCAGGGCCGAGATCTCCCCATCTTTCTCGCTTGTCATGTCCCGTCGAATAACCCCTTGACGGCGTTGAGGAGACCTTCTGCTGAATGGGGGAAGAGAAGAGAGAGTAGTATTATTCGAAGAGAAATAGATCTTATATTTAGATCGGCACTTATCAAAGCCTCCAGATGCCGACCCGATGGGGACCCGGAGAGACGGAGAAGAGACGGAGACCAGCGCCTTGACATCATTGCCCTGCGCAGCCTTGTGAGCCTAAAAGCAGCGGCACCGGCGGCCAGGTTTTCCGCTGGCTTGGCAGGGACCAAATTGCGGCTCTCAAATCGCCTTTCGAGGCCTGTTCGCGTCTGTTGCTGCTGCGAACGGTCATCAACCCGTCACTGCATTTTCACCCTCCAGACGTGCCTCACTTCGATCACGACGCGACTTTCTTTGTTGTCTCGCGGGGCAATCAACCTACGTCTGTATTCACCACCGAATCCCCATTTTCACATGACCTGTGTCCTCGAATTGTTCGACATATAAGAGACACCTCTCGACCACGCCTTACATAGAATCACTTTGACCTACGCTTAAACCATCACGTTTGCCTTCACCCCCACAGCCAACATGCCTGACGAACATGATGTCAAAGATGAACACAAAGACAGCCATGAAGATGGTGGTGAGGAAGAAGTAAGGATGGATCTTCGCTCCGGCTACCACGCCTGCGGTCAAATGATCTCGTGCTCACATGTGTCGATAGGAAGAGATTGCCGCCATGAAGAGGCGCGTCGCCGAGATGGAGTCGGAAGCTGCTAAACTGCGCGAGATGCAAAGTCACCTCGAACAATCCTCAGAGAATATCCCCCGAGAAGACAGGGAAGATGTGGACGCACGCAGCATCTTTGTCGGCAATGTGGACTACGGCGCAACTCCTGAAGAGATCCAAGCACACTTCGCCAGCGGCCCAGGATCGATAAACAGAGTCACCATCCTCCTGGACAAGTTTACTGGTCATCCAAAGGGGTGGGTCTAAAATATAACTCCAAGCACTATCATGCATAAGGCTTGTTCAAGAGCTGGATGCTGTTCTTTCAAGACTTCAAAGACAAAAATCATTTCATGCTGCCTGGCAAGAGATGGATTGCTAATGGAACTATCGCGCAGGTATGCATATGTGGAATTCTCGGATCCAGGGCTGGTGGCTCAAGCATTGGTGCTGAATGAAAGCGTCTTCCGTGGCCGTAACCTCAAGGTCAGCGACGCATCTTGCTTTGGCTTCGGAAGATGGTACTGACAAGATAATTCAGGTCGTGCCAAAGCGTACAAACCTTCCGGGTATGACTCGAGGCAGAGGAAGAGGAGGCCCCGCGCGTGGTGCTCGAGGGTCATTTGGCGGACGAGGCGGCTTCGGTGGAGGCTATGGGGGATTCGCTGGCGGTGGCTATGGTGCTCCACGAGGCGCCCCTCGAGGCGGCTTCAGAGGGCGTGGCCGTGGATATGCACCGTACTAAGAGAAGATTGAGAAAAACTCTTGTTTCGGCTTCCACCAACTTGTCCACGACGAGGCACGCGACACTGTTCAGGGCCAAAGAGTTCACGGCCGAGACAACAAGGAATGCTAGCAGCATTGGCGCTGAGCTTTTCCAGCATATTGGGGCCCAGCATTGGGTCAACTGCGACCTACCACATTTTTCAAGTGGCACGCTGGAATTAATGGCTCATCAATACTTGGGCTTCTCAAATCAATATTGGAAGGGGACTTGGGGCCTGAAGGCTTTTGTAAGATTTATGGAATCAACATGGGCTGAGATCCAAGGACGTCACTGCAACTGCGACCAAATCTCTCTACAGTTGAGACAATACGCAGATTAATAATGGCATGAGGATTTGGTCCTGATGAGCGGGATCTTTCCTTGCCCTAAGATTCAGCGTGTGTTGTTGGACTTATAAAACTGCCCGGTGCTCGAGTTTTCGACGGCGGCCGGTATGATGTAAGCCTGGCTACCTTTGGGACTCGTTCCAGTAGTGCCTGGTCCCGGCAAAATCCACCCACCAAGACTTGGAAGTGCGACTTGGACCTCCGTCCCGCCTGAGGATTATCGACCTTCGCTCTGCCTCAGATTGCTAGCACCGTTGAACACCATCGCGATTGCCATTGCTGCTGCCACTGCAACGTTGGCATTATTGGTAATTACGCCCTTTCAGCTCTTATGCAATCATGACTTGAGCGAGGTGGAGTGTGTCCTTGCCCGTCCTCTTCCGCAAACCTCTTAGCGCCTCACACTCTGTCGAGCTGCGCCTCGTTGACTCTCCAAACCCGCCGCTCATTCACCCATTAAGCCACTTGCGAATACGATCAGGGCGACGTTCTGCGACCCCTGTGGACATCAAGTCCTTCAACTACCTTCGATTCTACACATACTGCCATTGTCACTATCGAGCCGATTTTTGCTGGGTTGTCGTCTTTGTAACGGATCCTGCCCCCAATCTACCCCGCCGCCGCACGAGAGCTGTCCGCAGGCTGCGAACCTGGGGCGCTTCCCAGTGGTTGAACAACTAAGATGCCTGAAGCAAACCTGCCAGCGTACGTGTCCCTCGATGTTCATCCATACCAGAAGATACTAACTGCGATGGCACAGAGAGCCTAATCTGCGAGTCACAAGTATGACCTCCATTATTTCCCTTCGCCCATACGTGCCGTGAAAACTAACCCTATCCAGTCATCGCGGCTGATGGCTTGTACAAAAGAGATGTCTTCCGTGAGTAGTGATACATCCAGAAGCAAAATTGTGGTCACTGAGAGGATTCAGGGTTCCCCGACCCTTTTGCGGTCGCAACCATTTCGGGAGAGCAAACAAAGACAACTTCAGTCATCAGGAAGACACTGAATCCCTACTGGAACGAAGTCTTTGACATGTGGGTGACACATGGCCATCGACTGCAGGAACAAAATATTGACTACTGGTTAGGAGAGTCACAGAGGATAGCATACTGGCGATCCAAATCTTCGACCAAAAGAAGTTCAAGAAGAAGGACCAGGGCTTCCTCGGTGTCATCAATATCCGCATCGGCGATGTCATCGACCTAGAAATGGGAGGAGACGGTACGCACGGTACTTTATCTAATACTGGTATCACATGCTAAACTTCGACTAGAGATGCTTACGAAGGATCTTAAGAAGTCCACTGACAACCTCGTCGTCCACGGGAAATTGATCGTGAATCTATCTACCAATCTCACCAGCCCTCCACCGCAGCAAAATCGACCTCCCCCGAGCACCGCTTCCAGTGTGAACGGCTCAAACCCATACGCCGGAAGCAGCACCAACGTCAATCAGGCGTTGCCCATTCGGTCTAGAAGCCCGGCGTCGCGAACTGCTACTTCTGGCTCAGGGGAAGCGAGATCGTCTAACACTGCAGTTAATGGAAATAGCACTCAACCCCAGCCCAACGGTGCTGGTGCTGGTGCTGGTGCCGGGAGATCTGGAGGCTTCAGCTCTTTCGAAGATAGCCAGGGTCGTTTGCCAGCTGGATGGGAGCGGAGAGAAGACAACCTGGGCCGGACTTATTATGTTGACCATAATACCAGAACCACGACTTGGACCCGGCCTTCCAACCACATGAGCGAGACCGAAGCACGCAACCGCGTCGAGGCCAATATGCAGATGGAACGTGCCCGACACCAAAACCGTATGCTGCCGGAGGACCGTACGGGAGCCAACTCCCCCAACCTGCAGGAGTCTCGAGGTTCTCCTCAGCAACCGAACGCTGTGTCAATGATGGCTACAGGCGCGACAACCGCAGGGACTGGCGAACTTCCTGCTGGCTGGGAACAGAGGCACACTCCCGAAGGAAGAGCTTATTTTGTTGACCACAATACTAGAACCACAACCTGGGTGGATCCTAGAAGGCAACAGTACATTAGGATGTACGGCAACAACCCGTCTGGGAACAACACCACTATCCAACAGCAGCCGGTTTCGCAATTGGGACCATTGCCTAGTGGGTGGGAGATGCGACTGACTAACACCGCCCGTGTATATTTCGTGGATCACAACACCAAGACCACGACCTGGGACGATCCCAGATTGCCCTCTTCCTTGGACCAGGGCGTGCCGCAATACAAACGTGACTTCAGGCGGAAGCTGATCTATTTCCGGTCGCAGCCTGCTTTGAGAATCCTCTCTGGCCAGTGCCACATCAAAGTCCGCCGTGGCGCTATCTTTGAGGACTCGTATGCTGAAATCATGCGCCAAAGCGCAACCGATCTCAAGAAACGACTAATGATCAAGTTCGACGGAGAAGACGGTCTGGATTATGGTGGCCTTTCTCGGTAGGGATTCAACCCTCCTGAAGATCGTTGTTCTCCCCATTGCTAACGCTAAACCAGCGAGTTCTTCTTCCTCCTTTCACATGAAATGTTCAATCCGTTCTACTGTCTGTTCGAATACTCGGCGCACGACAACTATACACTTCAGATCAATCCTCATTCTGGTATCAACCCAGAGCATCTCAACTACTTCAAATTCATCGGGCGAGTGGTGGGCCTTGCGATCTTCCATCGCCGATTCCTAGACTCCTTCTTCATTGGAGCATTTTACAAGATGATGCTACGAAAGAAAGTCACTATCAACGACATGGAAGGCGTGGATGAAGAATACCACAAGAACTTGACGTGGATGCTTGAAAACGATATCACCGACGTCCTCGATCAAACCTTCTCGATTGAAGACGAACAATTCGGCGAAACAAAGACGATTGACCTGAAACCCGGTGGTCGAGACATCGCAGTCACGAATGAGAATAAGAGAGAATATGTCGAGTGAGTATCAATTCCAATCCTGCAGACTTGGGGTAAAAGTTCTAAACTTTATCTAGACTCCTCACGGAGTGGAAGATCCAGAAGCGGGTCGAAGAACAATTCAATGCCTTCATCACGGGTTTCAATGAGCTTATCCCCGCTGACCTTGTGAACGTCTTTGACGAGCGCGAACTTGAGCTTTTGATTGGCGGTATTGCCGACATTGATGTGGACGATTGGAAGAAACATACAGACTACCGCGGATACCAGGAGCAAGACGAAGTGATCCAGAACTTCTGGAAGGTTATCCGATCGTGGGATGCCGAGCAGAAATCTCGACTGCTGCAATTCGCCACAGGCACTAGTCGCATTCCCGTCAACGGATTCAAGGATTTGCAGGGCAGCGATGGCCCCAGAAGATTTACGATTGAGAAGGCCGGTGAGGTTAATGCGTTGCCGAAGAGTCATACTTGGTATGTTTCGCTCTTTCCAGTCGTCCTTGAGACCGTGAGTGAATCCGCTAACCCAAAACCAGTTTCAATCGCCTCGATCTCCCACCATACAAGAGCTACGATGCCCTTCAAAGCAAACTGTCCACTGCGGTAGAAGAAACGCTAGGTTTCGGCCAAGAATAATCGAGTTCATAATCTTCTGAGGTCTGCTCGAGACATTGCTGTCGATGGAAAACTACAGATGAAACGAGCATTGGCTGTGCTGGCGGAGTGCAAAGGCCTCATTTGCAATAAGGGTAATGATGGGATTGCAACGGTGAGGCCGGAATATAAGTGCTGGATATGAGACGAGAGGACTCCAGTTTGCGTCCCAACCAACAGCGGGTCGAATTGGAAGGGAGGAATGCGTGCGTGCTTTCTTGGTCGAGCATTCCGCTTGTTTGTCAAAGCCCGACCAGGAAGGGTGGAAGGTGGTAGAAGGTTGGTTTTGAGTCGCTTCCTCAGTACAATATGCGCTTGTACAGATCAATGTGGTGCCCCGATCGCGAGCGATGAGCCGCGAAGTGCAAAGAGGTGTTCCTGTCCATTGTCATCTCCCGGTTGGGGCTCGGTAACCGAGCGAGTTGGGTCTGTTGAACGAGAATTGCAAGTCAGGAGGTAGGAAGCTGGCGCATTGAGGTTGTCAATAACTAGCCGGACTGAGGGTGAGAGGGTATAAAATTGCTCGAGCCTTTACATAAATTCATTCCATTCATGTCTACGCAGTGTAATCAGTTGCTGAAGATGGCGCATCAGGTCGTCATAAAGCGAGCTCAAACAGGGTTCTATAGTCCACATCTCCACATGCGCGAAACCAGGCCTCCAGAGTGCAGCACTTCTATTGTCCTTTACTTGCAGCCACGCTGTTTTCCAGTCTTGGATCCTGGGCTTGCTCCTTCCTAGGGCCATACCCACCCATTGGCTGTATATGGCGGCGGTTCGTCCTCATCGTCCTCCTCGCGGTGTGGCGGGGAGCTAACCTCGCCGTCGAATGACGGGTCCACGAGCACTCCTTCGGCATGTGCCACTTGCGTGGTGGGCGTCGGTGCAGAAGTGACAGGCGTGTCGTCGTTGCTTTGATCGTCGACCTCATTTGATGGCTGAGAGACCAATTTTGAACGTGATCGAGCGGGGGACGATGACACCTGGGCATACGCTTGAGCGCGCGACGATTCTCTGTCTTGCCTCATCTTCCTCTTCAGAGCGGACTCGGCTTCACCATCCGAGTTAGAGGGTTGTTGTCCCTGGTCGGCGCTGGTGCCGCTTCCTCGTCGCCAGCTTGTCAGCTCATAATCGCCCGGGTCTGCCTCTGATGACTCCGGCGAACTCTGGGGCCTCAAGTCACCACCATCTTCCGCGAGGAGGACCGTGTCCCTGTCCATGATCTCGCGGACATGCTTGGCGAGGGAGCGGCCTTTGCTTTTCATGGCTTCCTCGCCTTCTCGATCGAGCGATTTCCGGCGGTGCTCCTTGATTGCGTCCTGAGTATTCCAGACACGCATCACGGTGTGATATTCCTCCACGCTGGCGTCAAACCCGTACTCGTCACGCATGGTCTGCTGAGTGGTTTGGTAGCTGAGTTTTTCCACGAGGAGATGCTCAAGGACAAGAACTTTAAATGTACACCATTGTCTTAGGCGGTCCCCTGGCATGCGAGGCACCGCCCGTGCAAGCGACGAGAAGTCTTCCGTCATTTCTGCATTGGTCCGAGCGAAGCGCAGGCCTCCGTCTTCGGTAATGTCAGGGGCGTTCAGTTGCCTGGGTACAGGCACTTGTCCACAGCGGCCTCTCATCTCTAAAAGAAACTCCCTGGTGTACCTCCAGTAGCCTCTCTTGGAGCCGTAGACGGCGTCGCCGCTCGGCGCCGCTGATTCAGACATGTAGCTCCGATAGTTGACGGTATCGAGATGCCTGACGAATTGTGGGAGGTCAGCGTCTGGATCGTCCTTGACGGCCTCGTCGCCCCGCATCTCCCTGCGTGACATTCTCATCAGTTTTAATCGTCTCCGGTTATACTCCTCCAAGTCTGCCTGACGTGATGCAGCATTTCGAGCCCTCGCTTCGATCATTTTCTGGTTCCAGTAGTATCGAGTTGTACCCCCGATTTGTCTGGGTAAGCCTTTGTTGCACCAGAGGCAGATTCTCCTTCGGTCTTTATCATCTGCGTCAAGAAGTGCTTTACAATCTTGACCGTGGCACTCTGTGTCGGCGGAGGATATGGCCTCCCAGTTTTGCGAGTCTTTGCACTCAATACAGAGCCATCCATCGTCCTTGAGTGTACAAATACAGTAATCTCTGGTACTGTCTTCGGGATCATACCATTTCCTTTTCGCCGTCGATTCTGACGGGCCATCAAGGGGGAAGCGTTGCGTTCTGCTCGGATTGCCCGAGCGCCAGCAATCCTTGCATAGATGTCGAACTCTGTTTTGGAAGGTATTCTCATGCCCTCGGGCGAAAGAGGAACGGACAATGCAAGCGTCGCAAATGGGTCTCGAGCAGTATCGACAAGGCTTTGGTTCGGGGCCTTTCGTGTGGATCTGGGATGAGCATTCGAAAGGAGACCGCCCTTTGAGACTCTGCCAGTAGGGTGTTGCGTGACGACCGATGTTCAGTTCCGTCCTGACGAAACAAGAGTCCTTAGGCATCGAGGTGATCTCCGGTATTTCGAACGCATGAAGCACAGCTCGCAGTGCAACGTTCAGTCGAGCCAGAGTAATGAGATCGCCTACCGGGAGATATTGGCTTAACGTCGAGGCAATCGGCCACAGCGAAAGCAGTGACTCTAGACTTGGAGAAGAAGTCCCTTCCATAGCAGCCATGGTTTGTACGGGTTGAGGGGAAGTGGTATGCTTGGGCGCCTTATGCTCGCTCCTCAAGGACCGCAGTCGTCGACTGGTATTGTAGCATATGTTGCCCTTGTCATGATATCCTGCAGAAAGCTATGGAGGACACAGAGCTGACCTGCCCTCTACGGATCTCAGGGGGAGCTGAGGGGATATTATCACACATGACGAATGGTGGCGGAATGTGCCTTGGAGTTTCCGAATGGATGAGATTGTGGTTGGCTAACCAGCGACGAGGCTGCACCAGGCTGAAGATCTGCCGCGCCCGAGGATTCTCAGCGAGCCAGGTCCATAATTTTTGTGTCGCTCGCCAGCAACGATGATAGAGAATGGCTGTTGACTTTGACTGACTCTACCACCCACCACCCACGCCGTCGCTGTCCGGGCGCCTACCTCCTCCCCCCTTTCCCCCTTTCATCGACATATTCGCGTGCCTGCGACTGTCTTGGCTGATCGACTCTCGTCATGTCCCTCCAACCCTACATTGATAGTACGTGCCTACCAACCCAACCCACCACATCCCCGCATCTATCACTGACACTCCCTCGTTGCAGAAAAAGTGTTGGTCATTACAGTCGACGGACGAACCCTTGTTGGCACACTGCTCTCCTGCGATCAAGTCACCAACATCGTTCTCAACGAGACTGTCGAGCGTATCATCCGGCCGGCAGATGATCCCGAACCGAGCTCCCAGGTCAGCCATGGGTTGTACCTCGTGAGGGGCGATAACATCACAATTGTGGGATTAGTGGACGAAGAGCTGGATAAAAGCATTGACTGGGATAAAGTCAGAGGCGACGTTATCGGGACAACAAAACATGTGTGATTGTGAATTCGGACATGCTTGGGGAAGCCACAGCTCGAATTGACCTCACAAACACCATCATTCGTATCAGGACGGAACACAGAGCAGAGGACATCCCAAAGCTTGCTCTCTGCCACGAGGATTGCGTTGACCGAAGCGCGGTTCATTCGCTGTTCATGATGAATAAGGATGTGGAGGACTAACTTGGACAAAAGAGTATGTGAAGTCAATGCTTTTTCCCTTGCAACATTGAGCATTAACGGGAAGTTCAATTAAGAAGTCCTCGGTTCCTATACCTCGTTCCCAATCAACGGCCACTTTGGACAGATTGTTGGCAAAGTTCTCGCCATATGGCAGCCTTTTTACTTGAATGTCTTCCTTGGAAACAACTCTATGGTTTATCCGGATCAAACGAGAAGCTTTCCTTCGACAAATCAACACTCAATCTCTGGTAATCACACTCCCACAAAAGTCTGCGGTTCTCACATGTCTGGCGTCGTCCAATCCGTGGACTCCCGAGTATCATTCTCAAAAATCTCTAGACAAACTGCTCTTCCGGCCGCCACCTCCAGTCTATCAAACATCAAGCATAATTCTGCATTTGGTACAATGGAGCAAAACCACCGCACTGCGGTTACCTTCTGATTCAGATATCAATAAGTGAAGCGAAATCCTGGGTGGTCGTCCCCGAGGTTATTCTTTTCGTCGTCTGGCAAATTATACCTGTCATCGCGTCGGCCTTGGTCTCTCAGTTTGTTCTCTCTTCTGATATAGAAGAGGAAAATCACAGAGCTAAGGACGCAAAGCCAGACCAGACCCAATCCCAGACCATACCCCAGCGGATATTCTGGTGCTTGGCTTGTGACAAACATATTTCTAGCGCATTGTCAGTCACAATCTCCCCGAGGTCCTCAGCTCACTCACGATGCAATGATGCCGCCGCAGTTGCCAAATCCGACCATCATTGCGGCACTGACACTACGCTTGTAGTGGCCGGAGACGTTGTTATTCAGCCACACAAGAGTAATGGGCTGAGCAATATATCCACCACCGACGACGGCGTACAGGGCGAAATATCTGACTCCGACACTGACGCTACTTTACCGTTAGCATCCAACCGTTTTTCAAGAGGGACAGGGCCAGGGAAGTAGAAGAACTTGACGGCTGTCCACGATTCAAGAGATACGTACTGGTGCATGTTCAATAAAATTGCATAGCCAATGGTTGCCACAAGGCAGCCGGCTATGATGAATCCGAAGCGATGGCGAAGCCTGTCGCTTGCAATGGCACACGTCAAGGCGCAGACGGTGGCAAAGGCAAAGATAGGGATAGACATGACCTGTGCACGGATTGAGGTCCATCCGAGCTGCTTGAGAATGGTTGGAGTAAAGAACGCGCCACTGTAGCTGGTGGTGACAATGCCGAGATACATTGCAATGCTGGCTAGAGTCAGTCTCCCCTCTCCAGGCACAAGGAATGCGGTCAGAACATGACTAACCCTAGATAGATCTTGACGTCGCTGAAGACACGTTTGGCTGTCTTCTTGTTCCAATGGCTCATATTGGCCCCTTCAATATCCATTGCCAGTCGACGAATGAGGAGTTCTCGCTCGGCGGGCTTGAGGAACTTCGCAGTCTCGGGCCAATCTGGGACAATCCAGTATGAAGCGAAGGCTACCACCACGGTGAAGAGACCTTCTAAGATGAAGATCCATCTCCAGCCACTGTATCCGGCGATCCCGTCCATGTGAGCAATTGCGTATGCGAGAAGGCCACTGAAGGCGCCCGCAACGATAGAAGCAGAAAAGAACAGGTTGAATCTCCATTGCAGTTCGTGGCGCTTATAGAACCTGTTTTCTGTCAGCGCCGTTCGAAATGTCCAGCGTCTTGACACGGCCATATGCAGAAGGCTTTGATTGAGACTGACATGGAAATCAAATAGAGGCACCCAGGGAAGAACCCAGCCTCCAATGCACCTATAACGACTCGACAGACAACAAGGCCGGCGAAAGATTGAGTAACCCCTTGGCAGACGGTGACGATTCCCCAGCCAAGCATTATGGTCGAGATGAAGATGGACGGGCGCACCCTTTTCAGGATGAGGTTGCAGGGGACCTCCAGGAGAATATACAAGATGAAGAACATGAACAGCGCGATGTTGTAGTCCTGACCAGCCATGTTAAGGTCTTCCTCCAGGCCCTGGATGCGAGCATTGCCGATGTTGATACTAAGAGACGAGAGATGTCAACTGAAAGATCGTGGCAAGGATCCTGAAAACACATACCGGTCGATAAACGCGCAGAGAAAGAGGAGGAAGAGGATAGGGACAAGATTGAGATCGGTCTTGCGGAGCACTTTCTTTTCCAGAGCCCGATCGATCTCCTGGGCCTCGCCCTTGATACTCAGGCTGGTGACCTCGTGCATCTCGTGGGCGACAGGAACATCCTCGATCTCGGACTTGTTGTTGGCCTTTTCTGCCATGGTGGGTGATTGCTCGTCGACGTACGAGAGGCAAGAGAGGGGAGCACAGAAAGGAGATGAGCGAGTAACTTGAGATCAGGATGGTAAGACAGTCGCCGCCGCCGAGTCTTGAAGCTGGAGCCGGTCCAGATCTCAACGGGCACAGGTCGCATTTTATCACCATCCACATCCACACGGTCCCCATGCTGGAAATTGATGGACGTTGAAGGCGCTAGTAGACCGAGGATCACTCCCGAACAACTGTCACGAGTTGATTCCGCCCTGTGGCGTCCAGTCAATGTTCCCCAGACCTGGGGTTGCATGGAGCTATGGAGCAAGCGAGCTATGCTTTGGAATTTTCTGAGGTTCAATGGCACCCTCTCCGCATGCACATGGACTTGGCCTGGTCGCTACTAATGAGCAGCAGCTGGTTGGTTTGGAGGAAGAGTCCCCCTGGCAAGCAACGGAGTCAGGGACTGGATACGGTCCCCAAGCGAGCTGTTCTTGCCTGTCACCGACTTCCATGGCCACACCAGTCGTCGATCGTCCGTCACTAAGAAGGGTCCGAACGGCAGAAGTACCCGCCCAAGAAGGGAAAGACTGGGGTTAGTCGTCCCTGGACTATCCTTGCAAGCCTCAAACGACCAGGTGGTCGGTCCGGGGACCATGGCATCCTTTACCAACAACATCCAAGCGGCTCTCGGCGCGCTGTTCAGCCACGTCTTGACTGGTTCATCTGGTCTGAAGCCGGGGTGATGCAGCTCAAGTGGGCAAAAGGTTTATGCTTGGAGACTGTGGGGGACGAAGCCAGTGCGGAATTTGCCACGAGGCGCAACGGACGAAAGCCGCGCCCTGAGATGGATGCTCTTTCAGCCAATCATGCTATGCCTCAATGGGTCAACTTGCTTCTCGTCGCTCGATCCATCTCCTCCGATCAACCAAGGCAAGGAGCGAGCGACAAGGAGCTACGAGCGTCGAAACTTTGGTGAACTGCACGATCCTCTCTCGGGGCCTTGCAGATATCAGACCCGGATCCCGGTCAAGATGCATGGTTCCGACACTCTGATTCCATCCACATCTCCAAGCGATAACGCAGGAAACCGCTCGGCGAGAACTGGAAGAGTACTTGGCAATTCTAGTGTTCGGAATGCTAGAATCCCTCCGAAGGGATGTGAAAGGACGGCCAGACGAGACTCGGAAGAGAAATACGAGGACGTAACACAATGGAGGCTTCCTTACTATCGCCTGTCCGTTGCGAAAACACGGAGCTTGAATACTGGCCTTCCTGCTGAAGACCCGTGGATATGGATGGCATGGCGGTTGCTAAAAACAAACTTTGTGTTACATGTGCCAATCCTGCAGCCCGGTCCAGAATGAGGTCGACCTCAGACCGAAACATCCAGCCGGAATTGCCTACAGGGAACGCATACACGCAAATGGTTCAACCGCACCTTACGCTGTCGCTGGTGTTTACAGACTCCTTCATATCAAGAAGGTGGCGGACGCTGAGGGAACAGCATTGCGGTCTAGACTTCCCTTGGGATGTCCACCTCTAGCACTTATGCACCAAGATCCGATGCATCTTCGCCTCGGATCCCGCCCACCAAAACTCCAGAACGAGGCTTTCTCCCCGAGTTGGACAAGGTGCCACGAGGGAGCGGAATCGTTCCCTTTGCAGGATACTGAAGGGTACTCTTGCGCCAGCGCTTTACTCGACGGCTTTCCTCAACCTCTCCCCAAACTTCAAGGAACATGGGGACGATGAAGATTCTGGCGTCACCCTTGTCAAGCACACTCGAGGAGGGCTGGGAACGAGATGTCTGTCGGAGCGAGCTGATGGTCTTCTGAAGTTGTGGATTGGGGGAGACGTTGACGGGTGTGTTCGTGAAGGAGCCAGCTATGCTGTACCTCAAGAAACAACAGTCGAAATGGGCCGTGTCCCTAGGGAGGAGAATTGAAGTTATTCAGCGTGAGGTTGATGCTGATGCTCTTGACTTGCTGTGAATGATGTGTGACTTCGCCATGGGAGAACCGTTCCGCACCTGTCTGTCTATCCATCCCTTTCGCTATGCCCCCAGGGTCCGGTAAGCGGGAGACGCTCGATGAACAGTAGTAGGGAATGGTAGGTGGTAAACCGTGTAGTCGTTGACAGCGCCAGATCCATGGAGGAAAGCAACGTCTGTCCACATTCACATTCATTAATCCATCACACCCGGAAACCAACCCCGATACGGGTCTATCTCTGGCTCCGTGTATCTATCTATCTGTTTATCCGTCCATCTGCCCATCTATGTTCTAAACCAACCCCCCCCCTCTCTTCTGTTGATCCACTTTCACTCTCCACCCTTCAGTTTCGCCAACAACCCTTCCCACGGCCGCAGCGGGATCTTGCCCTCGCGGGGCTTCCGAGGCCGGCCCTTTGTGTACGTGCCCGCGACCCAGGCCTCGACGGGCGCCAAGTTCTCCTCCGCCGGCAACGCCCACTCGAGATGCTGGCCCGAGAAGTTCAGCACCACCAACCACCGTTCTCCGGACGCGCTGGTGCGGACATACGCCAGCACGGCGGGGTCGTCGGGCGAGAGCTCCCGGTAGTCGCCGTAGACGAAGGCGGCGGCGTGGTTCTTGCGCTCGCGGATGCCGCGCTGCCAGAATTGCCATGTCGACAGCTGTTGTTCGTCGTCATCGCCGTCATCGTTGTTCATTGTGTTGTCTGTCTTCTTCATCTGGTCTTCCGCGTTGATACCGTCCTGGAAGTCGTCCATGACGCGCATCCAGGGCTTCACGCCGCCGCCGCAGAAGCCCGCGTTGTCCGAGCGGTTCCACTGGAAGGGCGTGCGCGCGTGGTCGCGGGCTTTGAGATGGATGATGTGCCGCGCCTGCTCGAGCTGGGCCGGGTCGTCCTTGTAGATCTGCCGGCATTTCTTCCAGTAGTTGACGGTTTCGATGTCCTTGTATTCCTCGTCAATGTCCCAGTCCCGCGGCGCGTTGCGCATCCCGATCTCCTCGCCCTGGTACACGAACAGGGTGCCGCCCAGCGTCGTCTGCATCAGGGCCAGCAGCTTGGCGCCCTTGTCGCGCATCGCGTCGCTGTCGTCCGTGTACCGGGTCACGCTGCGCGGGTTGTCGTGGTTCTCGATGAAGACCGAGTTCCACCCGTCCTTCTCGATCATGCACCGCTGCCACCGGCTGATGATCGATTTGAGTTCCTTGACGTCCCACGGCTTCAGCGCCATCCGCACGTTGGGCTTGTCGATGTCCACCACGTCGAAGATGAAGATCATATTCAGCTCGCCCGCGTCGGCGCCCACGGTGCGGAGGATCTCGTCTTCGTCGGAGACGCCGGGCATCTCGCCCACGGTGATCGCGTCGTATTTCGAGAGCACTTCCCGGTTCATTTCGCGCAGGTAGTCGTGCAGTTTGGGTCCGTTGACGAAGAACTGTGTCCCCGGCTGATACTTGTGCGTGAGGGGATCCAGCACGACGGGGGCGTCCGGGTATGTTGGGACCTTGCTGATCATATTGATGACGTCTTGTCTGAAGCCTGCGACGCCGCGATCGAGCCAGAATCGCATCACATCCCACACAGCCTCGCGCACCTCGGGATTTTCCCAGTTCAAGTCAGGTTGTTCGGGCGTGAAGATGGAAAGATAGTATTCTCCCGTCACGGTGTCGTAGGTCCAGGCTGAATTTGCTTCCCCTAGGATCTGGGCCCAGTTATTGGGCGGTTCGGCGACACCAGCGTCGCTGACTGACTTGGGCGGTTTCCAGATATACCAGTCCCTTTTCGGGTTTGTCTTTGACGAGCGAGATTCCAGGAACCAGGGATGCATATTGGACGTGTGGTTGACCACGAGGTCCATCATGAGTTTCATGTCTCTCTTTTTCAGCTCGGCAATCAGATTGTCCACGTCCTCGAGTGAGCCGTAGATGGGATCGATGGCCTTGTAATCTGCGATGTCGTAGCCCATGTCGGCCTGAGGAGATTTGTAAATGGGCGACGTCCACACGATATCAATGCCCAATTCCTTCAGGTAGTCTAGGCGAGATGTAATGCCCTTGACGTCGCCCCAGCCGTCGCCGTTGGTGTCTTGGAAGGACGACGGGTAGATCTGATAGATGACGGCCTCTTTCCACCATTTTGGCGTCGCATAACTCGATGGGGTTTTGGACATTGTGGGTCAAGATACGGCACTGTGAGGGCAGACAACAAACAACGAAGCCGCAAAGACCGGCGTAGATGGACTCTCAATGCTTTTATCGTGCAATAGTAGGCGACTTACCTCCTATCCCATGACTGAGGAGTCTATTGTACACGGTTTGAGATCGTTCATTTTTCATCTGATTTCCAGCGAAAGAATCTCCGGCCAATGTCGTCATGGTCTGATTTGGAAGTCGAGCCGTTGATCAGATTAGGTATGTCGGTTGGCACCAAGTCTGTAAGTCTGACAAGAGGCATGTTCATTTGCTGTCCAGCGTATACGCCGGTGGTGGTAGCTACTCGTCTGTGCTGCTGGTTCAAGTACGGAGGAGGGTTTGGGGCTGGCAGACTGCGCCCCCGTATTTCTTCCTTTGACTTGGCTCGCTACCTCCCCTCGACTCGCGTCTTGGATCAATGCACACTACCAAAGAAACCATAGAAGATCTCCAGAACAATTGTCTGTGGTAGCCAATGAAGCCCAAAGTGAGTTAAACCTGTCGCATGTTACAGAGTATGTGCCAGTGACCTGGAAAGTTTTGTGCTGCTGCAACTCCCAGCCATCCAAAGGCTGATGGCGCCTCGAGGGTCGAGATCCTCACGGAACAACCATCATAGACAGCATCAGGCTGGCACACCCACTCGAGCAGACGGGTCCCTGACACACGGTCACTATGGGCCACCTCCAGCAAACCCAAAGCCCCTGGGACTGGCAGGTTAAATAGCGAATCGGCTCCTGGGAAGCACCAAGTCTGCGAAGCCGCGACCCCGGAAACGACGACGGAATTTCCTCCGAACTGCCCGCCTCTGACATCTACTGCTCCAGCTTTGTACACGGGTCTTAATAGGGAAATAATCCACTGAACAAGAGGAGAGTTGATTTCTGACAAGCACTGTGTGACCAGATAACTTCAAGCTGGGCAGAAACGACACAGACACAGACACGCACACGGACAATCAAGATGGCTTCTCTCAAATCGTGGTTTCCAATCCCAAAGTCGAGCCATTTTTCTCTGGCCAATTTACCCTTCGGCATTATTTCGACAGCATCCAAGCCCAGTCCACGTCCTGCTGTGGCCATAGGGGAACACTGCTTAGACCTGCAGGAATTTGCAGCTTCAGGGGCCTTCTCGTCGCTCGGATTTGACGTCTCGTGTTTCTCCAAGTCGACCCTCAATGACTTTGCGGCGTTAGGCAGACCGGTTCATCGTTCCGTGAGGAAATACCTCCAAGATGTCTTTGTTGAGAACACATCTCTTGCGAACGTCTTGCAAAGCAACAAACCCCTGCAAGAAAAGTGCCTGATCCCCAAGGAGCAAGTCCAGATGCACATGCCAATGCACATTGGTGACTATACGGACTTCTACGCTGGCAAGAACCATGCCTTCAATGTTGGTTGCCTTTTCCGAGGACCTGATAACGCGCTGCAACCCAACTATACGCATTTGCCCGTGGGATACCATGGTCGAGCCTCGTCTGTGGTCATTTCAGGTACTCCGATTACAAGGCCCAATGGCCAGATCCTGGAGAACCCCGCCGCAACCCCCAAGAAGCCCATCTTCACGCCCTGCCGGAGACTTGATATCGAACTGGAACTCGGCGCGTTCCTGTGCAAGGGTAACAAAATGGGCACCAACATCCCCATCTCGGAGGCCGCAGACCATATCTTTGGATTCGTGCTGCTCAATGACTGGTCTGCCCGAGATATTCAAGCATGGGAATACGTTCCGTTGGGACCATTCTTAGCTAAGAACTTTGGCTCCACCATCAGCCCGTGGGTGGTGCTGACCGATGCATTGGAGCCGTTTCGATGCAAGGGCATCCCGAATGAGACGGATCTGCTACCATATCTACAAGAGAAGGAGGAGAAGAACGTGTATGACATTCGATTGCAGGTTGATATCACACGTAAGTCTGACCAGATGGGCGCACTGTTGTCCAAGTCCGAATGAAAACTAACCCAAAGACATGCAATAGCCGAGACAGGATCGACGACTACAATCTTGAATTCTAACGGCCGCAATCTTCTCTTCTCGTTCCCGCAGATGCTGGCTCATCACTCGATCGGCGGATGCCCCATGGCTGTTGGTGACCTTCTCGGATCTGGCACAATCAGCGGTACTGAGCCAGGCACGGAAGGAAGTATGCTCGAAATCACCAAGGGCGGGAAAGAAAGTATCACGTTGAACGGGGGAGTGGAGCGGAAGTTCTTGGACGACGGAGATACTATTACAATGTACGGTGTCTGCGGCACGGAGGAATCTGGACTCGTGGGCTTCGGAGAGTGTTCGGGCAAGATCCTGCCTGCTCCCAAGCTCTAAGCCGCATAGCCGTGGCATCTGGTAGTTCAGAAGGCAGAATAGTAGCACTACAGTTAGACGCAGATTAGGGGAGGAGAGGAGGAAAAATCAAAGGACCTTGTAACCACGCAATTCCGCTCTCCGGCTCGTAGAGGACTTACTCCATCTGGACCGAGCATCAAAAACGTAATATCCAATCAGTATACACAGATTAAGTATTAGCCCTCGTCTCAAAGGCCCATTCCCCGGATTCTTCCCGTATTCCACATCTCCTCTTCCCCCATGCCTCCCGCACTATTGGCCACTTGGACACGGTCGATACAATGACGATGATGCGGCTTCGTTCCGCTCGTGGATGCCTTTGTGAGGCCGTCGTCTTCTCCACCTTTGCTGCTGAGTGCGGATGACCCCTCCCACTGTAGACCCCTTCGTGAGACAGCTGCGCAGATGGCCTCTACCGCAGGTAAGCGCTGAACAGAAGGAGATTTCTGTCCGAGATTCCTCCAGCGCGTCTCATCCAAGAACAACCACTGTTGGCGGTGTGCCAGAAGGATATAATTGAGAAAGACCGTCCTCTACATCTTCGAGAAATCCATCTCCATTCTTCAACTCTCAGCTCTATCAGCAGCGTCTACCGCTCTCCTCCTGGGGTGTGTATACTAGCGCCGGATTCGATATCCTTCTTGTCTGCATCCAAAGAGCGACGACCTTCCCTGCCTGTGCGGACTATATCGAGGACTCTGAGCCATTTCTGTTCTCCCACGAGACAACTCCTGAAAGCGACCACCAAGATGATCGTGGCACTGTCACCCACAACGCTCTCCTTCGTCTTCCTCGCCCTGGGCTACTTCCTGATCCGCTACCTCAACTCGACCGACCAGCCCAAGATCAAAGGCCTCCCGGAAATCCCAGGTGTGCCACTGTTTGGAAATCTGCTGCAACTGGGCCAGGACCACGCGCGTGTCACCGCTCGATGGGCAAAGGAATATGGCTGGCCCGTCTTCCAGACCCGCTTGGGCAACCGCCGCATCATCTTCGCCAACACATTCGACTCGGTCAAGCACTTTTGGATCACCAACCAATCGTCTCTGATCTCCAGGCCCACGCTGTACACCTTCCACAGCGTCGTCTCGAGCAGCCAGGGATTTACGATTGGCACTTCGCCCTGGGATGAGTCCTGCAAGAGACGCCGCAAGGTGGCGGCCACGGCATTGAACAAGCCTGCGGTGCAGAGCTATATGCCTTTCATCGACTTGGAGAGTTGTGTCGCCATCAAGGATATGTACAAGGATTCGATGAACGGCACGCTAGACTTGGATCCGAGAAAGTACTTCCATCGGTTTGCACTCAACACTAGCTTGACGTTGAACTATGGTATCCGGATCGACGGAGGAATCGATCAAGAACTGCTCAGGGAAGGTGAGTACCTTTTTTTTTTTGGTTTTTTTTTGGAAGGAATTCTAGGCATGGATCGCAAGCTGACGATATCTGCCAAAGTTGTGCACGTCGAACGAGTGGTGTCGAACTTCCGTAGCACATCCAACAACTGGCAAGACTATATTCCTCTGCTGCGACTGCCGTTCATCTCTCGCCAGAACAAATCAGCCGCAGAATACCGAGAACGCCGAGACAAGTATCTCACCACCTTCTTGAACATGCTCAAGGAGCGCATTGCGAATGGGACCGACAGACCGTGCATTACTGGCAATATCATCAAGGATCCGGAAGAAACGCTGAACGAAGCCGAACTCAAGTCCATCTGCTTGACCATGGTCTCGGCCGGCATTGACACCGTGCCCGGCAACATGATCATGGGTCTTGGATACCTCGCATCTCCCGAGGGTCAGCACATCCAGAAAAAGGCTTATGAAGAGATTATGAAGGTGTATCCGAAGGACGGCGAGGCGTGGGAGAAATGCCTTCTTGAAGAAAAGGTCCCGTACATCACGGCCCTGACCAAGGAAATCCTCCGTTACTTCACCGTCATCCCCATCTGCCTGCCGAGGACCAGCATCAAGGACATCAAGTACAAGGACGTGACCGTCCCCGCCGGCAGCGTCTTCTACATGAACGCGTGGGCGGCCGACTACGACGACACACACTTCAAGGAGCCCACCAAGTTCATCCCGGAGCGCTACATCAACGACCAGGAGGGCAGCGGGACCCCGCACTACGGCTACGGCGCGGGCAGCAGGATGTGCGTGGGCTCGCACCTGGCGAACCGCGAGATCTACACAGCTTTCCTGCGCATGATTGTGGCCTTTGAGTTTGTGCCCGCCCGCGACCCCAAGGACTGGCCCATCCTCGACGCCATCGAGTGCAACAGCATCCCGACCGCCCTCACCACGGAGCCCAAGCCTTTCAAGGTGGGTTTCCGGGTCCGGAACAAGGAGGCCTTGGAGCGATGGATCCGTGCGAGTGACGAGCGGACCAAGGATCTCTAGAGAGAGAGAGAGAGGAAAAAAGTCATGAAACTTCCCAAGAAGGGAAATTTGAATCCAGTTTTGAAGCAGAGCGGAGCTTGCTATGTGGCATTGCGGCTGGGATTTGTAAGGCTTCCCGGCTTGGGAGGTCCGTTGATTCGAGAACCAGGTCCCGAAGAGTCTTTTTGAGCATTTTGATGAATGGTTTTCCAACCGAGATGTGCACGAGTTCTTGGGTGCTGTCCTGAGGGAAAGGGCCGGTTCGTTAGGTCTGGCCGTCTGAGCCTTGCCTCGCCTCCGCCTCTGGTCTCACCACTTGAAGGGAAAACTCTTTTCTTTGTTATTTCCGTGCTGCAGGATTATGCATTCACCCCCAGGGGGGAGTTCTTGGCCGGGATAGTTCTGAGAGCCGCTGCAAAGTTTCTTGCATCGAGGCTGCGTCAAGTTTTGAGTTGTCAGTTACTCGGTAGGCGGCACAATGCGCCCAACAAAATTATGCTTGCGAAAGGAAAGTCCTCGTCTCGTGGAACCCAACTTGGGAACGAAGCTTGAATTCTCTCGAGGACTTTTTTGGTTTGGAGGGATCTAATGAATGATCTTGAAGGCTGCCCTACAAATAGTTATTGCGTATCTTCACAGACATGCGCGGAAAACTCCAACATCAAGTGGACTGATTCAGCTGTGAATGCTCTCTCTTTCATTTGGTGAAACTCGATATCTCATCATAGCCCTCACCTCGAAGCATAAGCCGATACCCTGCTTCCTCTCTCCCATTCGGCGGACGCAGAGGTAGATTTTGACAAAAGCTCCATCACCTCCTCGGAATCCCAGGTCCCTGATCCGAGCCAGTCCGGCACAACGACGCGTTCAAGACCGAGTATTACGTCTCATTCACCCTTTCGGCGCCGGCGGACACAAGTCGTCAGGAGCAGGGTCTCTTGTTTGTACCAGACAGAGCAAGGCTCCGAATATTCCAAGCCCTCCAATCACACGGGCATTATGTCGAGACCACGTCTATATGCCACGCAACATATCCCATGGTGGCAACGCAACGAGATGATCCAGGTGGCGCTGGATTTCTTGGAGCAGTGGAAGAGGAACAGGTTGGAAACCGCGCAGGGTAAGCTAGCTCATTTCGCTCTTGTTCAAAGCTCGCCAATCATGTTTTCTGTGCCCAAGCGTCAGCATATTTGTGACTTGTGCAACTATGCGTCAAGTCTTTCCAGCCTGGGAGGTCCCCGCTATGCAGATTTGATACGGGCAAAATGCGCGGTATAGTCGATTTGTGCCACCGTGCGGTTGCAACTCCGATACCGCTGACATCAAGGCCCCTCACGGCAAACCTGGTGATTGGCCGTAGCTCTGCTCTGGAGATTTGTTCAATGCCCTCGGCGTCATTCCGCTGAGCCTGAACGTTTGCGACGCGGACATTGGGATGGGGATTTTCTGAGGACGAAACATCTACAGGTTGTACGAGCAGCCGCCCGAGCCGGCGAAACTTGCCTCCCTGCCCTCGAGGGGCATCCAGGACCAGCTTTTCGCCGAGAGAGCAGCTCGATGCCTGTGATTGGGTTTCGCCACCTCGTGAATCATTCATTGCCGAGTCCTTCTAGAGAATTCGACACTTTCCGCGGGATACGAGCCATCGGGCAGTCTGTTGAGGAACCGAGACTCTTGGGAGGGGAGGTCGTGATTTCAGGCTATTTTCCCATGCTGGAGATCGTCGGTGGCCCGTCCGTGCCGACAACGTGCTCTGGATCGGCCGTGAACACTCGAGAACACAACAAAGTACAATGACGACGACGATCCAAAGAGCGACGATCAACTGGCGTCATACGGCAGCTTGTTGCAAGTGTGGCAGGGGAGTTGTCTTGGGAGGACTTGGAGAAGCAAGTGCTCGGAATGGTGGTTAGCCGTCATGGGGTTGCAACGGGCTCTGACAGGGGCCCCTCGACCCCTTGGAAACTCAAACATTGCTGGAATCGGGCAGCACGGGCAGCCTGCGCTCCCCCTCAGGAGCCAAAGAAAGCCATGGCACAGGCGCTCCCACCGCCGATCTTCAGGCAGATTGTCGCCCCATTGACCGATGCGCCCGGTTCGCCCATACGTTTGTCCCCGGGCGCCCAGAATAACCACCGACAGCGGCCAGCAGCCAGCCACGCCGCAGGAGCATCAGCGTCTTACAACCGGTGTCATTATTTTGGTCCTGAAACGAGAGCGCACGCTTTGCGCAGCCAGCACAGAAACAGCAACAACGTCTCAGGCGAACCAATTTCAGCACCTGGCAATGTGTTCCTGCCATCCTCCTTTCCTTCTCCTGCACTGATCAGAAGACATCAGCTCACACAAGACCACACCCCCAAACTTCGTTCCCTCTCTCACTCTCACACCCCTCGGTTAGAAACTGCATCGCTGGGTGGTGAGGGGTGCATGCCGCATGCATTTGACCAAAGCGTCATTGAGCACAAAAACCTAACCAGTGGGTGGGCTGTTTAGCGGGAAAGTCGGCACAGGAGGCAGGAGATTGGGACATTGGCCTGGCATCGGGATTCTGTCTGGGCGTCTCAATTCGCCCTGCCGATCGCCCCACTGCCCACAACAGCCACTAGGGCCGCCCAGTTGCGCCTAAAACTGGCTGCTGAACTCAGAGAACTGGCTGCAACGCAGGCATCCCGCACTGTCCAGGGCCCCTCAAGCCCGGGCCCAAGCTCCAAGGCAAACCTACGCCTCATTCCGCCATCCATGGCACTAGGGGGCCCCAGTGGCTTGATCTCATCCATTCACAGCCGCCCTGCCAGGTCCGATTCCTATCTCGGAATGCCATCCCACTGTGTCCGTGCCTTTGTGCTGAGCTGCCTCTAACCTAATCTTGGATTCTTGCAGCGAAATTTCTCGCCCGTGCTCGTGTTTGACCAGTTTGTGCGCATTATGGATATGGTGACTTGGAGAGCTGGGAGGTCCTGGTGTGCTGCCCTGCGGGGATGCCCGTCCAACCAGACAAGCACAACATGTACACCCTCCTCGCCCTCGCATCTGAGCTCCCTGCCCGGCTTCGCGGTCTGTCGGAGACCGCCATGTCATTTTCGCGAACGTCTACCCCCTGTTCATCTTGGTCTCTTTGCCCCCCCCCCCCATTCGCATCCCTCGCATGTTGGCGAAACTGGGTCTTAGCGCACCTGCACTATTGTTTTGGGGTTGTATCCACTTCTGCGCTTCGCATCCCATCCTCAGGCTGAGAGACTACTTTTGGGCCGTTTGCATTTCATTCATATCCCTCCCCACGGAATCAGTCCCTCACTTCTTCACAGACGATTCCGCACTCTCCTCTCTGACCAGCCTACCAATCCCTCTCACAGGTCATCATACAACAATACTGCCCTTCATGCAGGGACTTAAACGTTTGCAAGAGGCCATCGAAAGGCATCGAGAAAACAAGGACATCAACATCAAGTACAAGACGCCCCTCACCAGTAAGTCCATTCCGTGCTCGTCTCAGCTCTCCCCGTCAGCCTCGCTCTTATTATTCCCTCCACCGTCTCCAGCCTGGACACAAGAGTGAGAATTGTCGCTAACATTGAGGTCTTCTCATCCTCCAGTTCGCAACGTGAATACCTTTACCGACGAACAAGCCATCGACGATGCCTGTAACCCAATTCGCTGTGACCGACACGTACGAATATCTGAATGGGTTCGGGGGGTACAAAGAGTATGGATCTTAGCGGTCATTTCTGTCTACCTCTGACTGACACCGTGCTTTGCAGGAGTGAAGCAATACAAGGCACGCTGCCACTAGCGGCGAACTCTCCTCAAAAATGCCCGTACGGCCTGTATAACGAGAAGTTGTCAGGCACGGCTTTCACTGCGCCACGAGACGAGAACCAGCAGACATGGCTCTACCGAATCCTCCCTTCTGCTAGCCATCAGAATTTCCAGCCGGTCCCTTCCTCCTCCTCGCAGTCCCTGATCTCTCCTACTCCCAGTTTCGGCACACATTTCAACGCGATTCCGAACCAACTGAGATGGGACCCCTTCGACTTCGACAAAGAAGTGTCATGGATCCACTCTCTGCACCTAGTGGCTGGCGCAGGAGATCCCACCATGAAACAAGGCCTGGGCATCTACATCTACGCCTGCGGCCGCAGCATGCCGGAGAAGACGGCATTCTACAGCGCCGACGGCGATTTCTTGATTGTTCCACAACATGGGGTGCTTGACATCCGAACCGAATTTGGCAAGATGCTGGTGCGGCCGAACGAAATCTGCGTCATTCCGCGGGGAATTCGATACCACGTTACACTGCATAACAACGAACCCGCGCGAGGGTACATCTGTGAATTGTACCAAGGCCACTTCAAATTGCCCGAGTTGGGCCCCATTGGTTCCAATGGGCTGGCCAATGCACGCGACTTCCAGACGCCAGTGGCCGACTTCATCGAAGACTACGAGAACACCGAATGGACGCTGTACGGCAAATTTGGTGGGAACCTGTTCTCGGCCAAACAGTCGCACACCCCATTCGACATTGTTGGCTGGCACGGAACTTACTATCCATACAAGTACGACTTGGGCCGCTTCAACCCTGTGGGCAGTATCTCGTACGATCATCCGGACCCTTCCATCTTCACCGTCCTGTCTGCACCATCACATCCTCATGGAGCGGGAACGGCCGTGTTGGACTTTGTCATCTTTCCCCCTCGATGGCTGGTGGCCGAAAACACCTTCCGGCCTCCATGGTACCATCGCAACACCATGTCCGAGTTCATGGGGTTGATCATGGGGAACTACGATGCCAAGGGGGCCGGCAAGGGTGGGTTCCAGCCAGCGGGAGCGAGTTTACATAACACGATGAGCGGGCATGGACCAGACATGCAGACGTTTGAAAAGGCGTCGACGATGGATTTGCCGCCGCAAAAAGTGGGCGAAGGCAGCATGGCGTTCATGTTTGAGAGCTGCTTGATGGTTGGTGTCACCGAGTGGGGACTGAAGACCTGCCAGAAAGTGCAAGAGGTGAGTTTTGTCCCGATGGCACAGTCTGCACCACCAGAGCCACAGCTGACATTTGCTTTAGACATACAACGCGCATTCTTGGGAGCCATTGAAGGTGCATTTCAAGCGACCGGAATCGTCGCACGGCGTTAGCAACGGGGCCAAGAAGGCCACGACATGAAGAACATTATAAGACCGTGGACGACGCCCGGTGGCGGCTATAGCAATGACCGTGTGTATATTGATACAGTTGTTGCATCTTCGACTGTAACCGAAAAGTCCCAAAACATGATACCCCTAAAATACCTATCTATGCCACATGCACGCACTGTACTCTGGATTTGCTCTGTGCCCCTTGATATTGCAGTAATGAACCGTGAACCACGCACAATCCGGATTCCGGGAATCACATGCATCGTGCCCGTGCTCGCCTCTCTGTATCTGGACTCGCAGCTCAGCGACAGAATAAAGCGGGGACGAGGCCCTTCAATGGCGCAAATCTCTGGCCAGGATCCAATCACATTGACTTCTCGTAGAACGTGCGGCGTATTTCCCCTTGTCCTCAAGCTGCTCTCACCACCTTTCTCAGTTCTCACGCCTCCCTCAGCATGCCCTGCGTGTCTCCTTATGCCTCTCTCAGCTTCAGCACGCGAAATCTCCAAGTGACCACCCCCCGGGGCAAGCCAAACCGGGGTCCATTATTTCTCGCTCTTCCCCCTCCCTCACAGAGATCGCTCAGCAGCCACTGACCGTTCCGCCCACCACACACGAGGTCATCGAGGGCACGGCTAGGCTGGTTTGCTCTGCTCCTATCACCTATCACGGCCACCACACGAGGGTCGTCCATGGGTGTCGTGTGCTCATTGTAGTTGATACACGTGCCCACGTCCGTCCATCTCGACGTTTCCGAATTGCATGTTGCAAAACACTCGTCCTTATTTCTCCCAAGCAGCTTCTGGTATTCCCTGTCCTCCAAAGTCGCTTCCCCCGACGGTGTGGTTCTTATGTACTACTGCCCTCGTCGTTGCCCTTCTTTACCCCCCCTCGTTCCTCCTTCGCTCGCTCATCATGGACTGTGTCCTGTCGTCGTGCTTCTCTTCTGGCAGCATCATGCCCGTTTCGGTTCCGCTGTGAAACGTTTGAACCTTCTCCCAGAACCCGGATATACGACCCGTCGCGTGCTCCCGTCTGAGAAGCCTGAATCACTTCCTCTACGTTCCATATCGGGCCTGAGTACTGTCGTTGGCTTGATTTGATCTGACGGACTATTCCATTCATTCCGGATCAAGGCCCTACGAACGCCCTCCTCCTCTCTCAACTATGCCACGGCCGAAACCGCCGCCCACTCCAACCGGCTCATCTGACCTGAAAGCCCTGGAAAACTTGAAGGCGTTTCAGGCATCAGATATGGAATCGATCTTCACCCTGCCGCCGCCCGCAATTCGGTCAAGCGAGGTACAATCCCAGAACCACCTGAGCGGAAGATCGTCGCATGCACGAGACGCCACAAACACCACAGCGCTCACGCAGAGTACTCCTCCCATCTCCCCCCAAGACAAACCGCTCACTGCGAGTCCGCGACACAAAAGAACTTCTTCGGGAGTGGTCAAACCAACCGTCGAATCTGTGGCTGCCGATCGAGTCGCTACCAATTCCTACGCTCTTCCCCCTCCTCCAAGTCGAGCCCGCAAGATCATCCAGATGAAGCCCAAATCTCAGGCGACAAATAACTCATCTCCGGCCAGTGATGCCAGCTACGTACCTCCTACCTCGGCCGCAACCTCTACGACATCTGCTCCCTCTAACAAAGCATCCGCGGCGTCATCTGGGGGTGCAGCGACCAACGCCACCGCCACAAATTCGAAGCGGAAACAACCCTCTGCCACAAGCGCCGCGGGCAGGAAAATTGCCCGCAAGACTGCCCATAGCATCATAGAACGTCGCAGGCGCAGTAAAATGAACGAAGAGTTTGGGGTCTTAAAGGACATGATACCCGCATGTGAAGGAGTGGAGATGCACAAACTGGCCATCCTGCAAGCGGGCATTGAATACGTACGGTACTTGGAGGGTTGCGTGGCGCAGTTGAAGGGGGAAAATGCGAAGTTGGGAGGCAAAGTGAGGTCCTCCACCAGTTCGAGGATGCAGTTAGACGATCCCGCGGGCGACGATGAGGATTTGGACGATGAAGAAGATGAGCAAGACGAGGACGAAGATCAAGATGAGACCGTCGACGACGTGCCTGCTCCCACGGCTCCACCAGCAAGAGGGCGGAGTCATCGAACCAGCGCCGTGGCCGGGAGCGAATGGACACTGCGAGACTCACGAAAGTCCTCGGTCGCGTCGTTGAGCGGATCTTCAGCGTATCCGTCTCCTCACATTCAGAGCCAATCGCAAGGAGCAATAGACGATACTGGTGGCTTGAGGAAAAGGCCTCTCTTGCCCGCGGGCGTCCAGTCCTTCACAACCTCCCCTTCAATCTCAGTGCATTCGGGAGGAATGGTCTCCTCCGCGACACCGACGCCAACACTCCTGTCACCGGCATTCAACTCGATTCATTTCTCGCCCGATCTAGCACGCACGAAAACCAACAGCAGCGTCGGGAAGTCTGGGAGTGGTGTGCTGAATACGCCTGCTTCCTCATGGACAACCGTCAATCCCTCAGGCAGTTCTTCCGGGTCGATGTCGAACCCGAGCCCGAACATGCAACCATTACCTTCCCCAAAAGCGGCCATAAACCTCCCACTACCTCACCCCGCAGTGGCAGCCTTGCAACTGCCACCTCATTACAGTGCCGCGACCCAACGGGAACGCGACGGAGGCAGTAAGTCTCCCGGTGCCATGAGCGATGCTTCGGGAACCGCTGAGGCCACGGCCAGTGCGGCTTTGATGATGTTGACCAACGACTGGAGAGGTGGCGGACGGCCGGACGCCCAAGCAAGCGTGAACGCCCCTGGGGTCGCGGGGGTGAGAGGCGACAGTAAAGATCGAGCCAAGGGGATGAGCGTGCGAGATTTGCTGAGCTCATGAGATATGCTAGGGGGACATGGCTATTCGTCCCCTCTACAACCAATCTGGAATTGTATGTATTCGATGATGTTGGCGGGTTAGTTGTGTTTTGATCCCTTGGAGAATATAGAAAAAAGCTTACGTTTCCGCATACTATGGGAACAGCAGGATTAAGTTGGACAGGATCTACATCTATACCTAAACGGAGTACATACGTGTATGTGCCTACATCAGTGTCTATGAATGGTTACCTTCCTTGGGTCATTCGACGAACCGAGGGGACAAGAATGTGGGAGTACGAGATAGGGTAGGGTATGGTAGAGTGAAAAGAGGCAGCAGTTTCCTGGGGGTGCAATGATTACCCTGAATACCTACCTAGGTACCTAGGACATGTTGTACATGTGTTCAGCTGTGATACATTCACGTTAGAAGGTCTCAGGATCAGATGGATAGATCAGACACGCAACCCCCATGTGCAGGTACAAGTAGTACATACATGCGTATTTGGCATTTGGCATTTGGCATTTGCATATCTACAAAACACACGTGTGCGGGAATGCACCCATCTACTATAGTAATACCTACATAGTATATCCTCTTGGGCGTTTTCTGGGGCGTCTTGCCAGGGGACAAAAAAAATGAGATGGTTCCCCGGTTTCGTGGATGCCCAGCTACAGTACATCACCCAAGTATGTACTTATATACCGAGTAGATGCAACATAACAACGCCGCCGGGAACAGAAATGTAGAATGTAGAAAGTCAAGGTTCGCTCAGACCGTTCCAGCCCCGACAAAAAGGAAAAAGGCGGAAGGAAAAAAGAAAGGAAAAAGGGCAGAAATGGGGGGAAAAAAAACCGATCTTCTTTTGCCATTCCTCTCTCTCTCCCCCTCCTCTCTATCCTCTACGAGGGGCTAAAGTCACCTTTCCATCTCCTCAGGCAGGGATCTTATAGCTCCACGGGTGCTCCTCGTCGCCGTACTGGATGCCCTCGATCCAGCCCTTCATCCGGCTCGCGACCTCGCCGGCCTCCTCGGTCGGCTTCAGGCCGCAATGCAGCACGCGGTCCTTCCAGGCGATGTTGCGCACGGGGGCGACGATGGCGGCGGTGCCGGCGCCAAACACCTCGATCAGCCGGCCCTCGCTCTCCGCGTCGGCCAGGTCCTGCATCTTGACGTACCGCTCGGCGACGTTCCACCCTTCGGGCTCGAGGCGCTCGCGGGCCAGGGCGAGCACCGAGTCGCGCGTCACACCCTCCAGGATGGTCCCGTCGAGCGGCGCCGTCAGCAGCTCCTTCTGGCCCGTCTCCTTGTTCTTGATGCACACGAACAGGTTCATCGTCCCCACCTCGGTGATGTACTCCTCGGGCCCGAACAGCCAGAGGTTCTGGTGCAGGCCCTTCTTCGCGGCCTTCAGCTGCGGCACGATGCAGGGCGCGTAGTTGGCGCCCAGTTTCTTGTCGCCCACCCCGCCGGGCCAGGAGCGCACGGCGTAGTCCGTGGCCTCTAGCGAGATGGCCTTGAAGCCGGTCGGATAGTATGGTCCGACCGGCGAGGCAATGACATAAAGCAGCGCCGAACCCGGCGGTCCAACGCCCAGCGTTCTTTGTGTGCCAATGAGGGTCGGTCGGAGGTATAGTGAGTATCCCTTCTCGGCGGAGATGAAGCGTTGGTCCAACTTGCACAGCTGGCCGATCAGGTCTATAAGCTTGTCGCCTTCAAAGGTGGGGAGCGCGATGCGGGCGGCAGATTTATTCATGCGCTCCATGTTCTTGTCCGGTCTGAATAGTCGTAGCGAGTTATCTTTGAGGCACTTGTATGCTTTCATGCCCTCGAAACATTCGAATGCGTAATGGAACACGCAGGTCGCGGGATCTAGTGAGAGGTTCTGGTAAGGGGTTATCCGAGGAGGTAGCCAGCCCTGCGAGGCGGTCCATTCGATGGAGAGCATGTGGTCTGACTGCGGTCAATAAAACCCAGGGTCGAAACTGTCCAAGCGCCATACCTGTAAAGGTCCGCCCAAATACAAGATCTTTATTCGGTACCAGCTCTTTGGGGGTGATGGTCTTTGTGACCTCCAACTTTGTCGGGTCGATGCCCGGGAGCTTGGAGTACAGGTCATCCTCCACAGCCAGAGACTTTAGCCGCTGATGCGATGTCGAAAACAGTCTATAGGAAGGCAGTAGCCGTATTGAATCCGACTTGAATGTGGATGAGGTGAGAGCGCGTGCGCAGGGAGTGCGGAGTAGCCGAGGGAGTGACATGGTCTGTTATTGCTCGGGGGTCATCGACAGCCAGGGGGACGAGGAGGGTGACTAGATATAGCAGAGAAGCTGGACTGTCAGGGAGGTCGCCAGCTGCGAGGTCGAGAGTGAGTTGAGGAGACGGGGAGACGAGATGTCGAAGGGCGTTCGTAGATAATCAGCTGGATTGAGAAGAGTAGCAGTGGTTAGTGACTCTCTGCGTCTCTCTGTATCGTTTGCTTAGCCCAATCTCGAAATTCTGGCCGCGACATCGGAGCTCGGAGCTTGGCAGCGACTTTCCGCCAATAACCGGCGTCAGTCTCTCGAGGGCCGGAGTCCTTCGTCTGCCCCCGGCTGACCTGGAGGGACCTCGCTCTCTCTCTTTGCGTCTCTCTACCAAACGTCGTATATGATGACTTGTTTAGAGTGACTCAAGGTGCCTTCTCATCTTCCCGGAGGACCTGCGGTCAGGAACCAACATCGTACCCTGCATCACCTTGATTCCCGATCCAGTCACCGCTACATACCCGTCCCTGGACGCCATGCTCTCCACATCAACCATCCCCGTCCGCTCCGAGACTTGCTTCACCTTCATAGCCGACTTGTCCAAGCGAGAAGCCCAGTAGGGTACCAGAACGCAATGGGTTGATCCCGTCGCCTGATCTGGAGGCCTCTTAGCGCCCCGTCGAATCGCCTCAAACTGGGGGACTCTGCTTACCTTCACCTCCATATGCAAATACGCGCTTTGCGAAGTCAACCCCGTATCGACCCCCCTTGCTCGTGATGATCTGGCTTCTCGTCCCAGGAGGAGAGGCGTTCATCAATCCCACCGCGTCAACAGCCATGCTTTCCGCGGAGAAGTCGACGTCTTCGCTCACCTCGATCACCAGATCCATCAGAGCATTCCTCCCCAGCGCCAGGATCTGTGATACGTCGACCCCGAGACACGCCGCGATGCTTTCCCGAAGCCTCACGTCTCCGTCGAACCACTCTTTGACTGGCTCCGCAGGTAGCTTGAGCTTCACCGTGCAGACACCCCCAAAGTCCGCTGCAGACGATGCCAATGATTGACCCGATATCGTGTAGCCATCGACCTTGATCCCGCCAACCGTCTCAAAGATCATTTGTCTCCCACGAACTGCGAGCTGCTGTCCCAGCACAATCGCGGCCCCCATGATGCCGTGTCCACAGAAAGGCTCCTCCTTGTCCAGCGTGAACGACCGAATGAGGTATTTGACAGAGTCATGGCTGTCCTCACTACGCTTGACGAAAACAGTATAGGATTGATTCAATTCTCTGATTACTCAGGGTTTCAGCCCTGGTTACATCTCGCAACCATCATCCCGGGTGGTGATGCGTACCTTGCAATGGTCTGCAGGACCTCTAGAGGCGGCCATGCTCGGTACTCTGCAGGGTCCAGCTCGAAAACTGGAGTTGGGTTGCCCCTGAAAGCCTCCGCTGTCATCGTATCAACCATCACCTGGTCCATCTTTTCAGCATCGGTTTTCGAGACCCTTTGATCGGCCCCATTTTTATCAGGTGCCAACAACTTTTGCTGCGACCGCCCTCGAGCTTGGGGTTCAGGAAACAATCACGATGGGCATCGTGGGCTGCACATAGGCCGCCCCCCTCAAGCACAGGGACACACTTACAAACTCCCACAGACGGGCCATATTTGCGGACGCGCCCTTCTCCTGAAGAAACTCGGACGGCACGATAAGCCAGTCGCCCTCTCCCTCAACCGTCTGCACAAGCTGTTTCTTTTCCCCTCTAGTTCTCCTTCCCCTCGCTGCTCATAAGCCAGAGAACTGGACGAGAGATATCCCACTTTCCCTGCGTCAAAGAGGACTTTCTTGAAACTCTCACACGCCAGGACCTCGACCCAGCGTTGCTGAAGAACTCAACTATCCATCCACGACCGTCTCGGTCACGGATTGCAGCGCCTGATATATCGTCGAGCGTTTTACTCCCAAACCACTACCCCCCGTGATTGCGCTGTTCCCCATCGAATGACCGAGAACCACTCTGATTCTACCCCGTTTCACACGCCATCCATCGTCATGATACGCCCTTGCGTTGGGAGGGAAAGTAGTGGATCTCCGCTCCCAAGCCCCGGAAGCGGACAAAAGATCCCGCCCTATCGATTCCACCTGCACTCCAAGGTGCCTGTTTATTGTTCGTATGCGCTTCACGGCACGGGATCGGATCTGATCCAGAAAGGCACTTGGCCGAATGGATTGGACGTTAGTCACTGATGTGGACGTCCTCTTTCGCGTTCGCGTTCGCTGTCGTGACCGTGACCGTGGCCGTGGCCATGGTGTCTGACAGGTCCATGCGGGTGAATCCGTGAAATGGACCCGATTCAAGATCAGACCCGAATTGCATTATATATGTACCTAGGTAGGTTTTATGTACCATGGGGAGAAAAACTTGGTCTAGACGTATATCCAGCTTCTGGGTCGTATATATTCTCTTCTTGGGCCCTTGAAGTACCGTGGTGTTGTCCCGCAATGGAAGCAGCTGTTTTCTTTGGGGTTGAGTGCGCCCAACGTCCCTCACGTCTTTTCGTCCCGTCAAGAGTCATTTTCATGGATCTCATCTCTGCTCATGCTTGGCGAAGAGGATGTCGCGCAGCAGCTTCCTCCCCTGCAGATACATGTCAGCAGCAAGCCTTCAACGAACCACCAAGCCCGTGCGTTAGGAGCCTCCCGCCCAGCCCTGATTGCACGAGCGCGGATTGAGACTTACTGCTCATGGAGTCTCTCGCCTTCACCATCATCTTCGCGTCGGGGTTCTCGTACGCCACCAACGGCTGCAACGCCGCGCGGATCCCGTGCTGCGCGGGACCCATGGGAGCGTCGTAGTCGACCGAGAAGACAGACACGGAGCCGTAACACCCATTGTCCACGACGGGGGTCTCGCCGGGCAGAGCGCAGTTGCCGTTGATGCACACGTTATTGCCGTCGGTGATCAGATTCTGATACGTGAAGAGTCCCGTGGTTGCGTTGTATACCGCTTTGTCGGTCGTGGCACCGCCACCCATCCGCGTCTGGATGAAGGGCGGGTTGACGCACGAGTCATTGGTCAGCGACGTGATGACCGGGGTATTGACACTGGGCGAGCTTTAGTAAATGCTTCAATGATCGGCGCGTTCAACTTCGGTTGAATGGCTTACTTGAGACCATAGCCGATAGGCATAAGAGGTCGACCAGGCTGGGAGCTATTGACGAGCTGGTTGACAATGTTGGTGGCCAGCTGGGCCTGAATCGTGGCCGGGTCCGGGTAGCCAGATGCTGTGGTTTTGTTGATCCACGTGTAGGAACGCTGTTCACTGTTGCCTCCAGAGAACGCAATCCCTGGGATATTTCGCTGGATAGCCGCATATGTCGCACCTGTTGCCGAGAGGTTTGGTAAGTTTCAAGTCAAATGGAAACGGATTCTGTAGTATCGAAGAAGAAAACCCACCAATGGTCCCGGAGAGGGTGTACAGAAAGTAGCCTTGGTTCAAGCCGAAGTTAGGTCCTGCCACGAAGAGGTCAATGGACCGATTGGAGTAGAAGCTGGGAAGCACGTAGTCGAGCGCAACAAAGGTGCATGCAGCCGGCGTGCCGTTGTAGTACCAGATGTCCACATCGTTAGGATCACGGCCCAGCGACGGGGCACCAGCTGGGATGAGGTCGAACTCCGAGTTGACAGCGAGCGACTTGTTGGTTGTGAAGACAGATCGACCGCCTTGGCCGCTCTCGTTGTCAGCCGGGGCTACCATGACGACTTCATGCCCGCTCTCCTTCAACAAGCGGTAGAATTCTCGGATTTGGGCACTCCCAAAGCCGTCGTCGTTGCCCAGCAGGATGGAGATTGCCGAGGAGGTGCTGAGGAAGCTCGAGGCTGCGAGAGCAGCGGACAGAAGTGAGCACTTCATGACTGAATAGTTGAAGGGGAGGTCAAGGCGAGTGACACGGCAGAAGGAGTTGGCTGGGCTGAAGAGACAAAGACCCAGCCCACCAGCCTGCCAGCACGAGGCAGCTTTAATAGTCGAAGCTGCATGGCTCCGAACAGGTTAGCTCGCTGGCCTTGCAATCATCCAAAGTCGAAGAGACGGCAACTTCTTGGACGAGCTGAAGCTGTCAGGGTTTCAGATAGATCGATTTCCCTAGTCTTGCTCTGATGTAAAGCCACGTTAGATGGATACGTTCGACATTTATAAGAGGATTTGGATCGAGAGGCCAGATGGGGTTAATCAGATAATCTAGACAAGAGCTCGTGCGCGGACGATTGGCTTGCATAGAGCAGCAGACCATCTCTGCCGAAGGAAAAGCTTCGATCCAGCTTCTTTCCGGGGCTGAAAGATCCACAGAAACGTGACGCCTTGAGGAATGGTTTAGGCCATGTCGACAATGCCATTGGTTGTCTTCATGTCAGGAACAATCTGCCGATCTATCCTAGACGTCCACCCTTATGCATCGCAGTCTGAGTCCTCTGCACGGCTGGTACGATTGGATTGTGTCATCTTGTTGCACAAGGCGGGTTAATTATGACCCAAATTTGCAAGGGGTCGTTCTGGCCAATCCTGAGCCACACCAGTCCTCTCCAGAAAGTCCAAAGATTATACGAAAGAATTGCCTCTTCCTTCCAACTTCGCGTGTGTCGATCCTATCATTGCCGCCTATATCTGACCAACAGTGGCAGGGAGTGACTCGTCACCTTCCCGGCCACTCTGCGGCTTGGGTTCAGAGCAGAGATTCGTACTTGTCCAGACCTGTTTTCTGCTGTTGAGGCGTTTGTTGCTGAGTCTTCTGCGGCTGCAGCACGTTCATAGGCGCGCCGAATCTAGGCCCTGGCGGCGAGGACACTCCGAAATTACTGTAATTTGGCTGTTGCCAAGCGGTCCTCTGACTGCCACCTGCAGGAGGCGGAGCTATCATGGGCGCGAACCCTGAACTAGGCGGCACTTGCGTTCCCGGAGGCGGCGGAAGCTGCCAAGTCGTGTTTGATGACGATGTCGGCGGAGACATGCTGCTCACAGGATTAGAGAGATAACTCGACGGTTGCAGCACCTGATGCTGATTCTGTGAAGGTACAGGCGAAGGTGAGGATGTCCCCCAAATGGAGCTTGATGGCTGGGTAGGTTGAAGACTTGGAAACGCCGAGGCACTGACATCCGGAGTGATCGAGCGGGACAAAGGTTGTGGGTGCAAAACAGGTAATGACGGAGCTGTCTGGTGTGCCAGTGTATTCGTGCCAGGCGTGGCGTTCATGGGAGACCATGAGAAGGAAGGCGGATTTTGCGTCAACTTTTGCCCATCAGAAAGCGCTCCCGCGAATACATCGGCCTTGTCAGCATTCTTATCTCCAAGGACGAGCTTCTCAAAGTCGTCTTCTGGGCTTGCGACCTGGTTGGCTTGATGGACACCGTTGCCGATCTGCTTGTGCGACGAGGAGGTGGACCTCGACTCTAGAGCCCTGCTTGAAGAGAGTTCCTGTAATTTACGAATTTGTTCGCGTTCAATTTTGCTCGAGAGGAATTTGATGACATCCATAAACGCGCTGAACTGAGAAAGGTCAAGTAAAGGCCCCAGAGCAAAGTTCCAAAGAATGGGCATCACCTCAATGGCCAAGAAATCAGTGTCAGCAACGATGCCAATTTGTCGAAACACCTTCAGAGCCGCCATCATGACGGCCGGCTCTTTTGTTTTGATAGCTTTCAAAAGAGGGACGATCTTCTCCTGCATGGTGAACTTGTCTAAGCTGGAAACATTTTTGTCATGCTTTTCTGACTGACCCTTGCCAGAAAAGTCGTCGATGTTGTTGTCCACCTGGCTGGGTGAGACGCCGCAAAGAACCCCGAGCGCTTCGAGCCCTCGAATCTTGATGGTCAAGCTGTTGGTTTTGCTGAAAACGCTAGCCACAACCGGGAAGAGATCGTGCTTGACTGTTGAGAAATCGATTAAAGGGAGCACAACCGGTAATGTCTGCAAAGCAGCATCGGTCAGTGAATGTGTCGATGACTCCATGGCCACATGAACAATGGGCAAGACATCATCCTTGAACTGTTTCGCAGAGCAGTTGTCGGCAATGAGTTGAATGTTGTTGAGAACTGCGAGTAAGGCAGCCTCTTTGCCACTGTCCCGTTCTTCGGATCTCGATTTGGACAAGAATGTCTCTCTCATCCGTGGCAGGATGTTATCTGAGACAAGCTCTTTGCTGAACGGGACGACTTTGACTATCTGGAAAATGTTTTGCATGATGAGCGGGAGCAGTTCCCGGTCCTTCATTTCGTCTAGAAGAACACTAAGGATCTTCTTTCCCAGGACGGAGGGCGGAAATTGAGGAAGGACTCGACCAAGGCCTTTCATGAACTGTGATTTCTCTGCAGGAGTCTTGGCTGGAAATGCGTCCAAAAACCTCATAGTATTCACCAAGATGTTGTCGAAGTATTGCGACTGTTGGAACTCACTGGCGCTCATTCGCTGGGCCGGTCTCCGCGTTAACATCCTCGGCAATGTGACGTTCAACTCCCGTGGTAGAGCATCGTCGCAGAGATAGTTGTTTGCGCTGGTAGGGACCGTGGAAGCGCTGCTGAAGATCTTTTTATACGTTGACTGGTTGCCATGGGTTTCAATAGGTGACCTGTGGGGATGTCGGTAGCATGCGAGGATAACCAGACCTAGTGAGAAGATGTCGGCCGAGAAGGTGATGTTCGAGTCCAGCACGAAATCGGGGGAAGTATAGTCGAGGTCCAACTGAACTGTTCGAGGTATTCGAGAATCATGGTGGAGCACTTCAGAAAGAGAAATCTGAGGAACAGTCTGATGCCCTTCTGCCCCATCGGGCGGCCCGGCAAACCCGAGTCCAGAGATCTTCCAGTCTGACTTGGCATTGATCATGATGGCATTCGGGGTCAGGTTCCCATGGACAAGCTTAGCAGAATCGTGTAAGAACTCCAGCCCTTTCGCGACCTGCAGGAGACCCTTCTGAATTTCCAATTCGTCAATTTCCACATCTTGCTGTGGCCGAGAAGTGGCTCCATCATTCGATGGAGACCGCGAGATACCCTTCCCCCTTCCATTCCCATCTCGATCCTTCTTTGCCAGAGCAACGGATAAGGAGCACAAGACAGGCTCTGTCGCAAACATCAACCCTCCACTGCGGGTCTCTTCGACGGGTTCGACCAGTTGCAGAATCGAGGGGTGGCGTAGGCGAGCCAGACTGCTAGCTTCCTTCTTCAAACGCTCGACCACTTCATCCTGGATCTTGCGCACCGACGTGGCACTGGTAGCACGTGCCCCAAACCCACTGCTGGTGACATCGAGCGACTTCCTGTCAAAGATGAAAATCGACGCCTGAGTGCCACTGTTCTTCTTCTTCGCATCGAAGATAGTCCAGACCCCTACGGTTGCAGACGGATGTTTGGACACTTCATAGTTGGATGTTATATTCGAGGTAAAGGATTTGAAGGCGGACGAGAACATTGGCGGTTGAAGTCGGATCTGCACACCCGGAACATGGGCGGGTAACGGAATTTAATCTTGAGATATCGGGCAGTGGCAGCAATCCCTTGGGTGATTATACGTCGAGTTAGATATCCAGAGAAGTCCCGTGCAGAGCGAAGTCGGTGGAAACCAGGGAACACTCTCTTATCCTGTCGCCTAGAAGCCACGCTCCGTCTGATATTCGAGGGTCGGAGCTGAGACATGCCAAGCATCGGCTATTGAGGCTGATCACGTGATATATCATTACTACTGCGGACCATAGGCATGTAGAAATGTCTGTTCTACGTTTAACCAGCCGTCTCTTTGACAGCCTTGATAATATCATCCGGCCCCAACCCCTGGGAGTTGACCTGCTCATACAACCCACCACTACCTTCCTTGACAGCACCCATAGCCTTGAACTTGGGTGTCAGCTTCCGCTCCAACAGGTGGGTGCCCAGACGAGAACCCAGACCGGTCTTCTGAGCAATGGACTCTACCACAACAACAAAGCCAGTTGATCCATAGATCTTGATCGCGTTCTCGTCCACCACGTTGAGCGTTGGCTTGTTGACCAGACCAATATCCAGACCTTCCTCGCGAAGCCGTTCGACAGCATCCAGCGAACGATAAAGCATGTCGCCGTAGGAGACAATGTAACCAGCCGTCCCGTGGCGGATGAATTCCTCCTTGCCAGGAACAAAGTCGTAGCCTGGGCCGTAGAGCTTTTCCTCTGTGCCCTCCTTGAAGATGTACGGCACTTTTGAGCGGGTGGAAAACACGAATCGCAGTCCCTTGTCGAAGAAGATCTTGCTGACCACTGCCTTCATCTGTTCCCCGTCGGCAGGAAAGTAGAGTTTTGTGCTCTCGACGTCCATCAGGCCGTTATCTGCGAAGAAGTGGTTGAGACCAAAATGGCAGGTGTTGTCGGCTATTTCGTCCACTCCGCTGTGGGAGAAGTGCGATAGGACGGTGCAGTCGTTCAATCGAGCCATCGTGATCTCAGAGATACACATCTCAAGGAATGCCGAGAAGGTGGAGAAGACTCCTTGCCGCTCGCCGTTGCTCCCGAACCCAAACCCTGCTGCCGCCGAGAAATTGCTTCGCTCCATCACGCCGGATGGAATAAACACCTCTGGGTGCTTCGCGTGGATTCCTTTCAAACCAGTGGATCCTTCCAGGTCGGAGTCGATGACCATGACACGGCGCGCAGCCTCGTCTTTGCTCAGGCCATCGAGGACAGAGTTCACCGCCTCCCCAAAAATGGTTCGGTTGGATCCTTTGTCCTTGGATGAACCTCGATACTTGTACGGATTGTCCTGCGGCTTGATCTCGTCGTAGAAGGCAAGCTGCTCTTTGGTGTATCCTCGGCGGGTGAGGTACTTACGGGCAATGTCAACGGGGACAACATCGTGAGCCTTGATTTGACCCTCAACGCCCTCGATCCCAGGGGCCATCCTACGATCGACGATAACCGCCGCGGGGCCGTTATGGACCAGGATCTCGCAGATGGCGCGATAGAGAGAATCAATGTTTTCGCCCTCGGCGCGGACGACGTGAAGACCGTGGCCTGAAAGAGTGCGCCCGACATCGTAGCCTTTGAGATACTCGGACGGGTGTCCTGCAATCGTGACGTCGTTGTTGTCAATGAAGAGCTTGACGTTCAGGCTGCGGGCTGCCGCGATGCGGGCGGCCTCGGCGTCATTCCCTTCCTGCTGCGAGCCATCAGAGCCCAGGACCAGGACGGTCTTTTCCTTGTTAGCCAAAGCAATGCCATTTGCTAAGGCCCACATGTGGCCCAGGCGACCAGAGCTGAATTTGATGCCGGGAGTCAGTCCCAGTTCTGGATGGCCCGGCAGTTTCGAATTGGCGGCTCGGTAATTGAGGAGATGGTCAGGGTCGATGCTGCCGTCAAGAGCGGCTAGAAGATATTGGGTGGCCACTCGATGACCGGCTTCGTCGAAGAGGGCATCAACATATCCAGCGGGATTGCCATTGATGATAGCCAGCAGGATGCAGACTTCAGGCGCGGTGTCGAATGGTCCTCCAGTATGGCCAGCAACACCTCGAGCAGAACCCGTTGCAGTGAACGCAACGATAGCATCACGGAAGATATCGATGTTATGTAGAAGATCTTGCCTCTGTTGTGAGGTGAGCTCAGAGTTCTTTGGATCGAGGGAGAGCTTCTTGAATTTCGAGAGGTCGACGGGAAATCTGTAGCCAGTCATGATTGCGTTCGAGCCATCCGAGGAAATGCAATAGACAAGGCATTGACTGAGAGGAGAGGAGAGGAGACTGGATACATTCAACTGAATCTCTCCCCATATTCGCGTCCAAGCAGTCAGTCAGTCAGTCGGTCATCCAAGAACCATGACGCCATCGTCAACACAGTTCCGTGATGATCCTGGCGAATAGGCGGGACCAGTCCTTCAACCAGTGAATCAACAAGGGAGCGATTCAATCCATGTCTACTCGCACATTCTGCGTCTGGGATGGTGATACAGACCGTCATGATTTGTTGGCAGTCTTTAGCTTGATGTGGGATTCACCAGGCACACATTACCGCCATCATAAATGCCAGCAGCGCTCCGCTTTTGGATGGGCGAAGGCGCTTGTACTGTCTATAACGTGGAACCCGTGATTTGCTGGTTGATAACCAACGCTTATCTCGATGAAACCTCTATCATTGCTAAATAGATCGAAAAATGGGATCTAGATGATAGATTGTGTCCGCAAAGGTGCAACCGCCTACAGCCCGTGTTGCACTGTACACACTGTCCCTAGTACGACCTTTGAATTCGCTCGATACGACGTTGTAAACCATGCCGACCACGTTTATTGAAGTACCTCGTACCTCAAGAAGATATTTTCTTTCTGAAAGTTGAGGGCACCGGTCAGCGGGAAATGTAGGTCTCTACCGGTAAGTAGCAACAGGGCCTTGAGTTGTCTGCCGTGCAAATCTCCAATAAGAGGGTGGCTCGAATCGATGCGCAAGTTGATTTTGACTATAGCAACTGAAATGATAGGACTCCGCAATCCACCTCAACCTCGTTAAATGCCAAGCTGAGGCAGATGATCCTTGTTCGGGATTGGGACATAACAGCCTCCAAACTCCAGTACCGTTTTGACGCCTACAACATCTTTTCCCGAGTAATAACAACAGCACCAGATTATACATTCTTCAGCATGTCTGTTCGTCAACGAATGGACCCTTATCTCAATGTAAATCCGGTTCACAAAGTTCCACTCCTCCTCGTACAAACTTCACCGTTTTGTACGTCTAAAGTTCATCCTCGCCTTCCAACGCTTCCTCCACTTCCGCGCAGCTCGTCGAATCCGTCTCGTGGGATAGTTCACGGGACTTTCGCCGCCAACGAAGATTGCCGCGTCGTAAAGGAAACCCCCCAAAATTGCACCGGTAATGGGCCCTAACCATGCCACCTTGAGCCAGTAGCCGTCTGCGAAGAGAGTTTTGAGGTTGCCGTAGCCGAGGACGAGCATGGCGAGGCGGGGACCGAAGTCGCGGGCTGGGTTCATGGCCAGACCGGTGATGTAGCCGAATCTGTAATGGGAAGTGCGTGAACAGGTTAGCTCGTGAGGCCAGGTGTGCTCGTCCCTCTTGATCCAACTCCCCCATTATCTCGATTTTCAATTGACCGGAGTGGTTTCTCGATCGAGAGGAAGACATCGTCAAACCAGAAAAGGCCGGACAGGATGGAAATGGAGAGAGAAAACTGAGTACTTACGCCATGCCGAGGACGGTAACCAAGAGGCCGACTATGAAGGCATTCATTCCAGCCCCAGGAGGAGCATTGGTGTCATCGCCCAGAGCAAGCACCGAGACAGTCAGGATAGCCGTCCCCATGAGTTCGGCAAGGTATGCTGTCCCGCTATCGACCCAAATGGCGCGTGGGAAGGTGAGGAAATTCGATAATACCACCGTTGATGCGGACGAGGCATGTGGTAAAGCTGAAGCTGAAGCTGAAGCCAAGCTTTCAGTCGACGTCGATTCCAGCAGCAGATGTTTTTGCTCTTGGGCCAAACTTAGCTCTAGAGCGTTGAGGCCGGGTCGGAAGATACTGAAGGCAATCAAAGCTGCAAGGAAAGCACCCAGCATTTGTGCGGCGACATAGGCAGGCATTTTGCGCAAGGGGAATCCCCGATAGATGTAGAGCATGAGGGATATTGCCGGGTTCAGGTGAGCGCCGGATATCCCGCCAGCGATATAGATGGCGATCATAGTCGCAAGACCCCATGCCCAGGTTCCTGTATCGTTGGCCCCAGCTGTGCCACGCGAGACAGTCATTGACAGGTTGGCGCTGAACCCGAGCGTGTACTGAACCATGATCTGTGAAGAAGTGGAATCCAGTGTCAGCATGTAGTCTGTGAGTTTCTTATCTTCAGCAGTTTCAAAGCAGCATCGACGAGTAGGGGAGGAAGATAATAATGGAAGGTTGACGTACTGCTAGGAGCTCGGCCAACGGCTCACGAAAGCGCAGGCGGATAATCGACCAATACGTATGCAGGTTGTGGACCTCTTCGTCTTCGGCCTGGTAAGTGGCCAGAGGAACTGCATCTTGGTAGGGCAGGTCTTGTATTTCCTCTTCCTCCTTTGCTTGTTTCACATTTGCCACTGCTTCGGGCAATGACAGCTCCGGCGGCTCGAGTTGTTCTGCCTGCTGTGAATCGGAGCCTACTTCTTCCTCGATCGTATCTTCTGGTCGAATCCGAGTGTGGAATGTTTCAGTTGGTGCGTCTGAAGTTCTTCGACCGACACCAAAGGGCGAAAACGCCGGCGACTCTTGGTACTGGTTTTGGTAGGACCGGTATAAAGATATTTCCCTCTCCCGTCGGATGCTGTCCAGCTGGGAGGATACCTTGTCCAGCCTAAGAGAGGGTTCGATTCTGCCAGCTTCAACATCTGCCATCAGTGGCTGAGAGACCTCTCTTTCTTCTTCTTGGACTTCTTGTTCAAGCTCGTCCTTCGCTGGAACCATGCCAGGTCTCAGCACACGAGGCAAAGGTTTGGCCAGCCCCCATACTGGCCGGACATTCACTGGCTGGTCATAGGCAGGATTAAGTTGTGTATATCCCGGATCAATGTATGGCTGGTTGGCGGCCAAAGTATCCAAGGCTGGTGGGCCTGCCAGCGAGAATTTGCGGGATGCAGTATCAGTGGCATCCCCCCGTGTTGAAGGCGCAGCAATGGCAACAGATCTTCTGCTGGAATCGGCATAATCTCTCCCCCAAGCCCGTGCTGGGGCAGGGCTTGGATTCGGACTCGTTCCTAGGCTGCTGATGCGATGACGCAGTGTCGCAGGGCCAAAATTGAATTCGGTGTACCTCGCACGAGACTGATGCTGGGACGGTGACCTCGACAGGTCCTGCTCAGCGTAGTCTCTGGAGAGCACACGAGATGTGTCTCGTGTTGACACCCTTGACGCTCCCTCGGGGCTTGTGGCTTGTTCATTGTTCTCCATTGTTCATCCAGCAAGTTATCTCAAACTAGGTAGATATGATATCAAAGTTCTGCGGCTCGGATCGCCTGCTGCTAACAGAGTCTGTCAGGATCCAAAGTGTTCGAATACCCTTGCATCCGATCCGGGGTGAGAAAGAGGGGTATCGGTTTGAGAGCCGTCTTGACTCAGGGGATGCTACAAATACCTAGCCATCTCCCCGGATATTTGTGAGAAAGGGCAAGGCACAGCCCAATGCCACCCTGGAGATTGATCTCCTGGTGTGTTCAGTTGGATGTGTACCATGGTCGACATCGACAGATTTCATTCTGTAGAAGCTCCAAGCTTTGAGGCGGTCAAGATAGCTCAGGGAGCTCGTCGTGCCGCCTTCATGACCTCATTGCGGTTTATATCGCGCTTTACCCCCTCCAGTTAGCATAGTTTTATACGGAGGATGCCATAAAGCGGCCACTTTCGCTGCACTCCTTGCAATCGCTGGATCCCGCAAATGTTCGTGTCTGACCATGGAAAAGTTAAAAGCCGGTCGTTAAGTATGGATGGAGACGAAGTCCGAGGAGTCCTCGGTCTTCTGCGAAAGCAACAGCGCCACCAGGACCAGATTAGCGCCGCACACATGGCGTCTTTGGCCCACCAAATCAGCAGAAGCCTCGCAAGATGAGCCATTCTCTTCCCCAGGCATCTCTCCACAAAACACTACAATTGAGCGCTGGGCGTTCTGCATTGGGGAAAGACATCAAGGAGGCATCCGCTCTCTGGTGGGCTGGATGCTTCGAGCCCTCGGCATCTCATGGGACAAAGTGTTCGACGGCTGTTATCCTTAGGGATATATAATTGTGCACTGTCGACCCTTTCTTCTCCTCCTGGATATATGCACACCTTCACTCGATTATAACTGTCTCGGAAAGAACTTCCATCTCACTACACTGAAGCATGGCCGACAAGACGGACGTTCACCATGTGGACGACCCAAAGACAGTTCCCCATTCAACGGAGTTAGTCGCGGACAAGTACCAGAAACCCTCAGCTATTGACACCGTCCACGGCGACGAAGCACTGAAAGTCATCGCTGCTGTCGGCGGAGATGACTATTGGACCACGCAAGAAGAGAAAAAGCTAGTCCACAAGATCGATCGGCGGTTGTTACCAGTCCTTTGCCTAGTATACGGGATTCAGTTCTATGACAAAGCAATGCTGGTAAGACACTCATTTGAATGGCCTTGATTCAGTTACATCGGACTAATACTCTGTCCAGGCGCAAGCAGTAAGCTGTTTACAACTCCAGCAGTCTACCACTCACTAATTGCTATTATGATAGGCGCTGTTTGGACTTGAAAAGGACCTCGATCTCGACATTGGCAACCGCTTTGTTTTCTCCTCTTCTATCTTCTACCTTGGCTTCATCGTGGGCGCTTATCCTGCTATTATGATGGCCCAGCGGTGGCCCATTGAGCGGGTCGCTGCAGGCATCACATTCATCTGGGGTGTCACCGTCATGTGCAGCGCTGCTTGCAAAACATACGGTAGCTTCTACACACAGCGGTTCTTCCTAGGTGTGATCGAGGCCGGGATTTCGCCAATTTTCATGCTCGTCGTTGGTGGTTGGTACAAGAAGGATGAACAAGCTTTGAGGATGGGAGCTTGGTACAGTTGTACCGGTTTGTCCTACCCACTGAAGGAGTATCAAAAGGTTGGCCCAGCTAATGTTCCAATTCATCCAGGCTACATCTCCATAGTCTCACCGCTCATCAACTATGGCCTAGGACACATCACAGGAGGCTCTCTGCACTCCTGGCAGTACATGTATCTATTCGCCGGCGGTGTTACGACATTGCTATCCATTTTTGTAGTATACTTCCTGCCACCGGACCCCATTCGCGCCAAACACTTCACAGAACGGGAGCGTTATATTGCTGTTGCACGACTCAGAGTCAACAATGCTGGTGTTCGAAACATCCACTTCAAGCCATCTCAGGTCTTCGATGCTTTGACAGATGTCAGATTTGTGTTACTCTTCTTCACCACCTTCCTCATGTTCTTTGCCAATGGAGCGAACTCAACGATGGCCCCCATCATTGTCCACAGCTTCGGCTACTCCACACTCAATTCCCTCCTGCTGGTCGTCCCTGCTGGATTCGTGTCCGGGACAATCGAGCTGCTTGTCTGTTATCTGGCATACCGAATCAAAGGAATTCGGATCTACCTCTTCGTCATCTGCGTCTGCACCACCATGTTGAGCTGCTTGCTTCTATGGAAGTTACCTCGGTCCGCGAACGGTGGCCTCTTGTTCGCCATCGAGATACTCCCTGCTTTCGGCGGTGGATATGCTATCCTCTTGGGTCTGCAGATCGCCAATACAGCCGGGTACACGAAGCGCAGCGTTACAGCAGCTGGTTTATTCATTGCTTGGTGCCTTGGCAACTTTACGGGGCCACTGCTGTTCAAGAAGAAAGACGCTCCTGTCTACGCTCCGGCCTTTGCGGTCACTGTCGCCGGACTTGCGGCAGCGGTGGTTTTAGCCGTTATATATCGATACGTCTGCAAATTCGAAAACTCGAAACGAGACGAAAGTGGAATGACGGAAGCTTTTGAACATGCCTACAACGATGATTTGACTGATAGGAAGAACAAGCAGTTCAGATATGTGTATTAGGCTGAGAAGATTGTCGGGCGGAAGCTGGGATACTGAAAGTAATTGTCAGAGTTTAAAGGAGCGTTTCCGTGGTCCACAGAGTCTCCTAGAACAAAATCAGAGGTTAGGCTGCTATTTCGGTAAAGACAACATCTATATTCTACCAATGATTCTATTCTTGTCTTGAAAAAGTTGAATTTCTGAAACAAAGACAGCCAACCATTTACAGTGTACCACCGTCACAGCCTAGCACCCATTTCCCTCTTGACCAGGTCCCTCAATTCGACTTTCTGAATCTTACCGTTCGCGTTTCTGGGCACCTTGTCTATAAATCTTATACCGCCGTCGAGCTGCTTGTACCGTGCTAACTTGTCTTTGGTGAACTCTCTGATTTCGGCCTCTGTAACGGTCGTGCCTGGTCGTATCACAACGTATGCTCGCGGCAGCTCGGACTCGTCGATAGCCGCCTGTACGCCAATGACCGCGCAGTCCACAATGTTAGGGTGCAGGAGGAGTACAGCCTCGAGTTCGGCGGGAGCAACTTGGAACCCGCGAACTTTGATGAGTTCCTGCCACCGTAGGGATTAGCCACTTCCTTGTCCCAAATGCCAACGCCAGGAGGGAACAATCACGATAGAGACACACCTTCTTGCGGTCAACGATATACCACTTCTTTGTATCCGAATCGCAGTAAGCAATGTCTCCTGTGTGGAAGTAACCATCTTGATCCCAGTCTCGTCTATTCGCTTCTTCATTCTTGTAATATCCCTTCACAATGATGGGGCCGCGTATGCACAGTTCACCTCTGACATTCTGTCCATCAGGCCCCTTGACTTCAGTGACATCATTGCCATCTTCGTCGATAACCTTTGCGTCACAGTTGGGCAACAGTCTCCCAACGCTTCCGGTCGAGTCCTGCTCCGGGTAGTAGAACCACATCGCCAGGCATGTGGTTTCACTCATTCCCCAGGCTTGATTGAAGGGTGTGTCTGGCCGCAAATACTTCTTGAAGCGAAACTGAAGGCTCTTGTCGAGCGGTGCGGAGCCAGACCACGCATTTCGAAGTGTCTGCAACGAGTATTTGCCAGAGTCGAGATGGCCGGATGTCAGAAGGCTTATGACCATCATAGGAACAATGTTCACCTCGGTGATGTTGTACCTCGAAATATTGGAAAGCCACGTCTCAAGCTCGAAGCGACGCATAACGTGTGTTGGTATCCCAGCTTTTATCGCGCTGGTATGAACTCGCGGCACTTGTGACACATGGAAAAGAGGATTGGAGATGAGACGTCGGACCTGAGCATGATCAGCATCACGGCCCGGGGATGATTTCTCGTGCTAACCTCGTAGGGCCGAGGTCTAACCTCCATTACCACAATGTGTTGGGCCACCTGGAGGCTGATCAGTATCAATGGCTTTGTAACAGAACGGACGCAGTCAACCCACAAGATTCCAAACCGATATGTCCAAAGCTTTCGGCATACCCGTTGTCCCGCTGCTGAACAGTCTGGCGGCGATGGTCTCCTTGCTGCGTTTTTCGTCATCAAACCGTTCCCAATCCATCTGCCCGCTTCGCATCAGCGCGGTCCAACTTTGAGCACCCAGATGTTGTGGGATGCCCTGATTCAGAACGTCGAAGGCGAAGACGTTCGACGCAGGAAGCGAGCATTCTTTTGCCGCACGCAAAGCTTTGGGAAGAAATTCAGGCTCGACGATCAGGTGCGTGATGTCTGCAGTACGAATGGCATGGGCCAGTTCAAAGACGGTATACGAAGGATTTACCCCAGAGAAGATCCCTCCAGCAGCTATTATCCCGAGGAAAGCCATAGAATAATAGATCTGCAGCTTGTTTTTAGTAGCTGTTACGATTTCAAACCACTTGGTAGCCACAATTTGAAGTGACAAATGGCTGAATGATAGGACAAAAACAAACCACACAGCAAAACATACATCATTGAAAGACATGACACAGATACAATCCCCTTTCTTCAAGCCGACCCCACGGAGACCGGCCGCAAGCTCACGGACCATCTTGCGAGCCTGTCGACATGATACCGATCGCGACGGGTTCGATGCATCGATATATATCTGTGACAAACTGTGAGCAGGCTGGTTGAACTTCCACGAACAAGGTCAGAGCCAGTGGCCTTGATTCATACCGGCTTGTCTTCATCGTATGGAACGCGGTGGTCAAACATCCATGTTAGCAGATCTGTTCCCGGAATCGGATATTGTTCCTCCGCCAGGTAAGGCATCGTATCGGTCTCTAGGGAAGCTGTTTGTGAGAGTTAAACACAAAGAGACGAGTCATCAGTCGGTCTAAGTATCTAGATGCACATTGGGGGGCAGGATGCCAAACCGAAATCAGCTCTGGTAGATTGGCAAAAGTCTGCTCACGAAACAGTTCTGCTCGAGAAGGAATCTGCATCTCTCCAAAGCCGCGGCTGGCAATTCCAGCATCCATTTCGGCTGTGCGGCAAAGATAGCCTCGAAACATGGAGAAGACTAGAGCTAAGGCGGAGCATCTGCCTCGCAGAGCCATTGAGTGAATGCTTCACCGAGGAATATGTGGGGGTCGAAGAGTACTCCATACAAGGCTGAGGCATTTCCACCGAGGCCTCCGCGGCGGGCGGCGCAGATACCTTCCCCATAAGGCGTAGTTCAGCCTCGTGCGGAGTGCTGCAGGAGACGTTGCACCGACCTCGCCGCCTGTCTTCGCTACCTCCTTTGCTGTGGGTGTGGGATTGATGTCGTGATTATTGCGGGGCATTCTTATGGAGCCTCCACTATCAACGCAGTTTTGAACCTCGCCTCAAACTGGTGGTCTTTACAATCATCATATCAGACACTAATGCCTTATGCGCACCTGCTATTTCTGCCGAGCATAACCTGACTCCGAGGCTGGAATAAGGACGATTCACCCTTCTCTCCCCTCGGTCAGCCAGGGAGTCGCCAAAATGCTGCCCTGTCAATCCCGATCCCAGCCACCTGCACCGGCCTTCAAGCGGACAACTCAGGCTTGCAGACATTGCCAGAGTAGAAAGATCCGATGTGATAGGAGGATTCATGGTTCCACTTGTACCAACTGTCGTCTTGATGCGATTGAATGCGTGCCCGGCAAGAGTAAGCCCGCGCGGTCAGAAAAGCGACGTAGTACGAAATCCAGCTCTCCGAATCGCCTAACCGCCCATCGCGAGAGCGGTCATGATACAATGCTCCGCGAGACTTCTATATCTGCATCAACAGCGTCACCCACAATCAGATTACCGAACTTCATCAGCCCTCTGGTCGGTGGCCTAAGTCCCGAAGATACGGCTTACTTGGAGCATAAGGGCGTCTTCGACATACCAAATACCAACTGTCGGAACGAACTCTTGCGCAGTTACTTCTTATTCAGCTACCCTTTGCTCCCTCTACTCGATGTCGAAAGCTTCTTGGCCCCGATGCTCAAAGATGATACAGGGGGCAAAGTCAGCTTATTACTCTTCTATGCGGTCATGTGCTCTGGAGCTGCCCATGTCGACATGCAAGTCTTGAGGGAACTAGGCTTCAAGTCAAGAAAGCTCGCAAGAAGCGCATTCTTCGAAAGAGCGCGGGTAAGTCCCCGATCCCCACGCATGCGCCGATGCTAATCGTGGAAGTTACTCTATGACTTGGACTGTGAAAGGGATCGAGTTTCGCTTGTACAAGCCTTTCTGTTGATGACGTACTGGTACGATGCACGAGAAACACATAAAGATCGAAAGTTTTGGATTCGGGTTGCTGTAACCCTTGCCCAGGATCTAGGCCTGGATCTGCATCTCGATTCTTGTGGCACAAAGCAGCATCGAATGCTCAAGAGATTGTGGTGGTGTTGTTTCATGCGCGATCAGTTTGTTGCGCTCATGACTTGGACTCCGCCGCAACTCGGGGCGCGACATCGCCATCTACCTTTGCTTGAACTGGACGATTTCGAGATGCAGGATTTCTCCCCTGCTGTGTCCCGTATGCTCGAAGAGTGGCATTTCGTCGATAACCAGAGGAGCAGGATTCGTCTAGCAACACTCTGCATCGAAAAGGCGAAACTCTGTGTATCCATAAACGAGATCCTGCAAGCACGATATTCGAGTCTCCGGTACGAGTCAGAAAGTCGAATGATGACGATCCTTGTCCCAAGGCAGTCCAGCGCCAATGCATTTGAGATTTTGGAGCTCGACCGTCAACTTCAAGAATGGTATCGTGGCCTGTCCAACAGCGGAAAATTTGACCTTCGCGACCCTACAGATTCTGCATTCATGAAGACTTCCAATGTCATTGCCATGCATCGAGCACACCTGAAACTGCTCTTCCTCTCAGCAATGATTGCGCTTCACAGACCCCAGGTCTCGGAAACGGCCGGCATGCTGCCCCCGACATATCAACAGTTGTCGCAGATGAAACTACGTGACGCTGCAGACGAGGTGGCACATGTTGCAATATCCATCAAGAACCTCGAGATGGGAACACATATGACTCCCAGGGGAGTCACTCTGCTGCTTCCTATTATGCTTGTCCATCTTCAAGACGTCATGCCAGAGATGCAAAGACCACAGAGAAGCAGGTTAGAGAAGTATTACGACTGCATGCGCATTTTGGACTCGATCGGAGGCGACGGCGCCCCTGAGGACATCTTACCTTCAAAACTCGAGGCTGCATTTCTAAAGTTCAACATTCTGCCCTCGACCGAGCGCTCGATTCCTCCTTCTATCAGCTTCAACCCGAATTTTGACGACTTGCCATTTTCACGAAACAGATTCTTTTCATGCTTATCACAACTCGGTGCAATTACTCCATCAGAGATCGACCTCCTGTCCGATATGAGCCTCTCTCGCGGGCGCATGTCAGATCCCGGAGAATGTGATCGCTTCCGCCATCAAGAGCCTGCTAGTTATGGCTCGCTGCCAGGCCAGATAATGGTCGGTCAGCCGCAAATGGACCTACATTTGCACACGTCCTCGCTTTGCGGAGCACCAATACACTATCCCTCTGAGGAAGTGCTATCTATCCAGAGAACGGTGGATCCTAGACAAATCTATCCGACCTCAACTTCAGCTAATTTTGACATATCAATGGAATCGGCCAAACCACGCAGCTTCCTTGTCGAGCCAGGAGAGGACGACACCATCATGGAGCACTTCTTCAAATGGAGGGTTGAAAGGACAAAGATCCCCCTGCAGAGACAGCTCGTTGAGAGCGCGTACGAAACCGTCTTGACCCAGATGTGGAGTTCGGATGATCTAAGGGCCATGGAAAATATCAAGTCCGACCTTTACAGATTAGCGATACAACAAGGCATACCAGACGGCCTAGCTCGCGGCTTTCGCAAGGAACTTGACGTGTTTCTGTCTCAGTGGCAGGCTCATGGGGACGAAACATCGGGGCCGAAAGAACTGTGATCGATGAAGGTTCTGGGCTCACGACTTCTGATGCCAAGCTGTGGCCTCAGGGGAATTTCGCCGTGCGTCTGTAGCGTCTAGTGAATCCTTGCCGCTGATGAACGCTGAGTTGAGACCACTGATATCGAGTCTCAGGCTTCAAAGCTTGTGTCTCTTCCGCCCCTCCGCAATCCTCTTGAATTCCATCTGAGGCGCGCCATCGACGAATCTTTGCATGCCATCGGCGACTTCTCGAAGAATCTGAGCCTCAGTTTTGTCCACGATAGGCCGGCGGATCAAGGCCTTGATCCTCAGTATGCTTTCCTGGTTCAAGTGCGCAGCAAACTTTTCATTTACTTCGTCGAGCAGTTGCTCCAGAAAGCCATCCGAGTCAGACTCGTCCTTCGCGCGGAATACCTTGTTGACGAATCCGCACTGGAGGAGCTTCGCGCAGGGTATCTTGCGTGATGTGAGGAGTGCTTCGTTGGCCAGAGGCAAACCAAGCCGTTGGACGAGGCCAACACTAGCGCCGCCTTCGGCAACCAGGCCCAGACTCGTGAACGGAGCGAGAAGGTAAGTGTGAGGCGCTGCGTACACGAAGTCGGCAAAGCCTACAAGGCCCGCGTGGAGCCCGACGACCGGCCCATTGAGCCCGACAACTAAGATCTTGGGATGCGTGCTGAAGGAATAGGTGGCGTCGAATGTGTTGGCCACGAAGCTGCGCAGAACCTGGTCGCGCAGCTCATGTGCCTCTTTGGCGTGGTCGCTGTCCATCCCGGGGCGTCGAGCTGTCACATCGCCCCCAGCGCAGAAGAAGCGTCCTTTGCCGGTGACGATTGTCACTGTGATTTCGGGCATGTCCGCGACCTGCCGTAAGAGACAGGATAGGCGAAATGTGTCTTGTTGCCTCATGGCATTCAGCTTCTGTGGGTTGTTGAGCGTTATGATGGCGAATCTGCCGCTGGTGCGGAGGGTGACAATCTGTTCTGGGTCTGGGCTGAGCGTGCCCATCGTCTTCACATGTATCGATACTGGATTCTGCGAATTGAGTCGCTATGTCGAACGTGTGTGAAAGGTTAAAAGTCTGCCCTGACCACGTATTGATAGAGATAGCACAAGCAATTTCCTCACCAATTCAATTTTACCGACTGATAGGTAATACCCATTGCATTCCACTAGCAGATGCGTAGCCCTGGCAGACCCCGTTCACCGATCTCCCGAGGCCTCCGCGGCAAATGTCGCATACTTGCGCCTGCGGACTCACAAATTAAACGAGCTGAACGGGTAGACAATGCCTTGCTCGTCTGCAGATCTCCGCACTCCCATGTAACGCGCCGAGGCTTGACCAAGGACTCCGTAAATACTATTCATGCTGGGAAGACAATGCTCTGTACCGAATCTTGACAAGGCTGAACGAGGCTGAGTCGCTTGCCCTGCCAAGCAATCAGGGGTCTCGAATGATGTCGCAGTTTCTCCACAGCAAAGCTCGAGTAGCAGCATTTTGTGCCCCGCAACCACATGCGCCCTTGACTCACAATCCCGCGCAGCAAAGCACCTCTTGTATCCAGCTCGCAGTTCTTACAGCTCTGGCTGTGAGATTCCAGCCAAACAATAGTTTCAACCCTTAGTTCCTTCCCACAGCGTGGGCGTCGCGAACCATGGCCGACTCTCCGCCCAAGTACGTCTCGATCGCCCCGCTGCTGAAAAAGCTGTCCGCCCCGGCACCTCAGGACAACAGCGTCAAGGCCGAAGACATTGCGCTGGCCTTCTCCCGCACGTTCGACAACCAATTGAACCCCACGCAGCTGGCCGCCCTGCTCACGCTCCTGCACTCGACGGGCAAGGATCGACATCCGGATGTGATTGCAAGGTGCGCGGCGAGCATGCGCGACGCGGCGGTGCAGGTGGACAAGCAGAAATTGAGAGAAGTCGTGCGGAAGAGGAAGCGCGGGAGTATAGCCCTGGGGACCTACAGGGGCGGACTGTGCGATATCGTGGGGACAGGTGGAGATTCGCATTCGACGTTCAACATCTCGACTACGGCGTCGATCATTGCGTCGCCGATGTTGATGATGGCCAAGCACGGGAATCGGGCGCAGACCTCCATGTCTGGGTCGGCGGATGTGCTGAATGCGATTCTGCCCAAGCCGCCCAGGATAGAAGCGCTGAGTGCGGCGCTGTTGCCGGAGGCGTACGAGCATACGAATTACACCTTCCTCTATGCGCCGAATTTCCATCCCGGAATGAAATATGCGGCGACCGTACGGAGGGAACTTGGACTGAGGACAATCTTCAATCTAATGGGCCCGCTTGCCAACCCCGTGGAGGCGCATATTGAAGCTCGGGTGGTAGGTGTCGCCTACCAGGAGCTGGGCCCCGTCTTTGCGCAGGCGCTGCAATTGTCTGGTGCGACCAAGGCACTTGTGGTTTGCGGGCAGGAAGATCTCGACGAGATCAGTTGCGCGGGCAAAACCAATTGCTGGTTGCTGAGAGAGACGGAGAATCCAGAGTATAGGGGCAGTCGGGATGAAGAGGAGGATGACGAAACCAGTGACGATGAGGCGCCACCCAAATACATTTCGAAGGTGGAGAGGTTCGAGCTTGAGCCCGCCGACTTTGGTTTGCCTACGCACCCACTGTCCCAGGTGGGAGGTGGAGGGCTACCGAGGCAAAATGCCGCCGTGCTGATGAGCATTCTGCGCAACGAGAGACCTCCCGATGACCCAATATTGCACTTTGTGCTGATGAATATCGCGGCATTGTTGGTCGTGAGCGGTGTCTGTGATGCTGATAGCTGTGAAAGTGGTGAAGTCATCACGGAGCGAGGGCCGGCTGGGGGAAGATGGAAGGAAGGCGTAAAGAAGGCTAGATGGTGCATAGAAAGCGGAAGAGCCCTGAAAGAGTTCGAAAAGTTCATAGAGTTCACCAACAGGGCATAGAATGGAGGTCCCCAAAAGTACAATGCCATTTGAATCTTATCTTGTCTGGATTGCTCATGTTGGGAATTCCTCATTGTGTATCTTCTTGTACTGATTTATGGGCCCGTTCCGCTTTGCCGCCTGCTTACAGAACCATCCTAACAACGCCTGTGCTATGCAGAGAACCATAATCAAGAAACCCCATTTTTCATTGCGTCTGTGTCGTCGGTAACGTCGCGGCCGCGGCATGGTTCGTATCTGTCGGCAGGACATGGATCATGATCGTTCATCGAGCCTCAAACTGCACCATCCTGTAATCTCGCCCATCAGCAACAAGTCCACCCATGTCCATCGAGCACTTTTCTGGTCGAGGGTCGCATCACTTACCGCTTCGTTCTCTCCTTGTAAAGCACTCTGTGCCCGCACATGCTGCATCGGATGACGTCGCCTCTTCCCAGACTCACTTTCGTGTTGCACTCGCCGCACACGTACTGGACGGCCGGTCCGGCGGAGGATTCGCCTGCGGCGTAACCAGTTGCGAAGCCGCTGGATTGGGTGGGCAGTTGGTAGGCTTGTCCGGAAGACATTTTTTGCGGTCGGCCGAGTGCGCAGGTTTGGTGTTAATGCAGGGAGGCAGCGGATGAGTCGTGGGTGGCAGGATGCTGGGTTTCTTAAGTTGAGGAGAGTGGTGTTCGAAGAGGCGTGTGCGTGACAAAATATAATTGCAGAAGGCGGAAGTGACTTTTAGAGCGAAAAGAGTTGCGGCGCGGAAGGATCACGTGATGGCACCGCCGCTCCCAGCCTTGCTTACGTGATGGGGCTCCAAGACTTCACCTCCAAATCAACTTGGTGTCGCAACCGATCTACGTCTATATTCACCAACCCAAAGATGATATGTCTAAGGGTCGAATCTTCCGAAATCGATACAGATCAGATGAATTCATCCAAGCTACCTGAAAAACTTGGGTGTTGTGATTCTGGTTCCCGGCTAGATTGGAGCCCTTATCTATGTTCAACATCGAGCCACACTGAAAAGTGGGTAAGCACTTGAGTTTATGCACCGAGTGAGGTTGGCCTACTGCCTCCTGTCCCCTTTCGGCAACTCGATTCGCCCGGCCAAGAATTTCATGGCAGATTTGTGAAGATGGGGACAATTTTGTCACGCCTCGAGAAAACGAGCTTTAGAAATACTAATGGACCAGTGCGTCTAATTCTTCGTCCCAATGGAAAACCCGGTGACGAGCATGGTGTCTTCCCCAAGGGGTTAGCTGTGCCACGCGACTTCTTCTTCCCGGCTGCGTCTGCACCGCGTTAGACTGCGTACATGTAGCTGGCAAAAGCACCAAGAACAAATCCCTCAAGTATTCACTCCGAAGAGGAGCATTGGCTCCTAGGACGAGCCAAGCTGGGTCGCCATGGGATCAGTCGAAAGGCCTTGTCGAGATCTGACCCGAGTCCTGGTTGCTAACCGTGGAGAAATCGCTGTGCGTTTAATTGCAACATGCAAGAAACTGGGCATCCGAGCGCTGGCAGTATATGTCGTCGACGATGCAGACTCACCCCACGTGCGGGCCGCCGACGAGTCGTTTCTGCTCGAAGGACACGGATCTCAAGGGTACCTGAGCACCGAGGAGATTGTCCGGATATGTCAGCGGAATGGCGTGCAGGGAGTCCTACCTGGCTATGGCTTCCTCAGCGAGAACAGCGACTTTGCCGCAGCATTGCACGCGGCCGGAATCCTGTTCATCGGGCCCAGTGCCACGACTTTGCGTGATTTTGGCTTGAAGGACCGCGCGAGAGAACTGGCCGTGCGAGCCAAGGTGCCAGTTGTGCCTGGAACGCCGATACTCGCCGGCTTCGACCAAGCCCGGCGCGCTGCAATCGAGATAGGCTACCCGGTCATGGTGAAAGCGACGGCAGGAGGAGGAGGCATGGGCCTGCAGGTCTGCCGACACGTGGACGAGCTCCGCAGGGCCGTCGACGTGGTGAAAAGTCGCGGCCAGGCGCTGTTCCAAAACGACGGCTTCTTCATTGAGAAATTCGTCGAGTCAGGCCGCCACATCGAAGCCCAAGTCTTCGGCAACGGCCAGGGAGATGTGTTGTTCTTCGGGGAGCGTGAGTGCTCGGTTCAGCGGCGGCATCAGAAGGTTATTGAGGAGGCGCCCAGCCCTTATGTGCTGAAAAACCCGTCCTTGAGAAAGCGGCTCGAGAGTGCGTCCTGCGCCCTGGCAAAATCCGTCAAGTACAAGTCCGCCGGCACTATCGAGTATCTGGTCGATGATGTGTCGGGAGAGTTCTACTTCTTAGAGGTCAACACTCGGCTACAAGTCGAACACGGCATCACTGAATTGTGCTACGACATCGACCTGGTGGAATTGATGCTGCTACAGGCCGAAGAGGAGCTGCGAGGACGAGGCGGACTTTCGGCCGGCGCCATGTCCTCCTTTTCCCGTGAGGGGCCTAAAGGGCACGCGATCGAGGTCAGAGTGTACGCGGAAAATCCAGCAAAGAACTATCAACCGGCACCTGGACTGTTCCAGAATGTGCATTTCCCTACGGGCCAGGGTATCCGCACCGACACCTGGATCGGGACGGGTTCATTTGTATCGTCCCTCTTTGACCCTCTGCTTGCGAAGGTGCTTGTACATTCGCAGAATCGAGACCACGCCGTCGAAAAGATGGTTGCCACGTTGACCCAGACGAAGCTGCAAGGTCCACCCACCAACCTTGACTTCCTGATTCAAGTCTTGAACTGCGGTGACTTTGTGACCGGACGCACGACGACAGACCTACTAGACACTCGGTTCGAGTACAAGGCGTCCGCCATCGAGATTCTCGAACCAGGTACGGCTACCACCGTTCAAGACTGGCCCGGCCGAGTTGGAGTGCCAAATGGAGTTCCCACTGCTGGCCCCATGGACTCTCTCTCGTTCCGCGCGGCCAATATCTTGGTTGGCAACGAAGAAGGCGTCGAAGGTCTTGAGATCACACTGCTAGGCCCGAAAATTAAATTTCATGCCGGCGCCGTCATTGCTCTCTGTGGTGCTCCGTTCAGCTTTAAGATTAATGGACGACCCGCTTCGCTATGGGCGTCGCATGCCATTCCGGCGAACACTGAGATTCAGATTGGCCAAACTCCCGTGGGAGCACGCGCGTATCTAGGCATTCGGGGCGGGCTTCCCAACGTGGCGACATACCTGGGATCAAAGAGCACGACGCCATCACTGGAGTGGGGTGGCTACCAAGGACGACGACTCCTAGCAGGAGATTTCCTCTTTATCGATTCCGGTGTGGCGACCAGTGCACCCCCCCGGCCCTTTGAGCTCGATCGCTCAGCGATCCCCGAGTTCAGTCACGAATGGCAGATTGCTGCACTCCCTGGACCTTGGTTTTCGAACGAGTTCCTTACCACCAAGGGGCAGGAACACCTTTACACGGCGACTTACAAAGTGTCCTACAACTCAAGCCGAACGGGAATCCGTCTCGAGGGACCGCCGCCTACGTGGGGTCGACGGGACGGTGGCGAGGGAGGGAGTCATCCCTCCAACATGGTGGGGTTTGGGTGCACGGTGGGGAGTGTGAGCTTCACAGGTGATTCGGGCATCATTCTTCCAGTAGACGGACCAAACCAGACGGGATTCATCGTTACCCAGGTCGTTGGGGGATCGGATCTGTGGAAGTTGGGTCAACTGCGACCGGGGGACTCGCTCACATTTGTCCCAGCGACCTGGGCCCAGACACTGTTGCAAGAGCAAAAGCTCGGCGAATTCGTATCGTCCATTCGATCCCAAGTCAAATCTGGAGTGGCTCGCAAGACGGAGGAGGCGCTGATTGCGGGTCTTCTCTGCCCGCAAAGACCTACAAAGTATGGGGATGGGATTCTCGCCACTGTTCAGGGTGAAAAGGATCGGCCTCGGGTTGTCCTCCGCCAGGCCGGCGAGAGAGCCATATCCTGTCTCTTTGGTCCGGGGACGTTTGACCTGGGTATACGAGCCAGAATACAACACGTGGCAAATACTATCCGCAACGATCCACCGTTGGGATTGGGCAAGCACCCGGTAGCGGAAAATTGTTCGCTTCTGGTCCACTTTGATCCGCACCAAACCACTCAAGACACCGTGGTGCAAACAATCCTTGCGTTGAACAAGGCAGTGCCCGATGTGAGAGCGTCGCGGATCCCTAGCCGGATCATCCACCTGCCTGGGGTCTTCGACGCTAAAGAATGTCAAGAGACGAACGAGAGATACATGCTGAGTCAGAGATCCAAAGCAGCCTACTTGCCCGATAGTATAGATTTTATCCGGCGGAGCAACGGACTGAAGACGAGAGAACAGGTCAAGGAGTCGTATTTTGAGATTCCACTTCTGATCAATGCCGTTGGTTGGATGATGGGACTCCCCATTTATGTCCAGGTCGACCCGAGGCGTCGATTGGTGGTACCGAAGACCAATCCGTCACGGACGTTCACCAAAGCCGGCTGTCTCGGGACCGGTGGGGGGACATCCTCCATCTATCCAAATGACTCGCCTGGCGGGTATCAGCTCTGGGGCGCGACCATCCCGGGCATCTGCTGGGACACGTATGGTCAGAAACCCGGCTTCACTCCTGAACGGCCGTGGTTGTTCGAAGCATTTGATCAGGTGATATTCCACTCGGTGAACCGAGCCGAGTTTGATGCGGCCATCAATGCGTTCAAGGCCGGTCGATACCACATCCAGATCGAGCAGTCAGATTTTGATATGGCTGCGTACAACGCATTGATTGAGCAAACACGCGAAGAGGTGGCACGTATGAAGAAGGTTCAGGAAGAGTGCACCGAGCGAGAGTTGGCTTTGGAGAGGGTGCTGTTTGCGGAGTGGAAGGCCGACGTCGACCGGGCAGCAGAGGCCAAGGAGAAGGAGAAGAAATGCAGAGCTTCGATGGTGCCAGGTAAGTCCAGCCCGCCACTGAGTGCATGCCCCGCGGCTGACAACGGCTCATCATCAGATGCGGCCTTGGTCGAAGTCCCAGCCACGATGATTTCAAGCGTGTGGAAGGTAGAGGTCTCGGTCGGGGATATCATCCCAGCCAACAGGACGGTTGTCGTGCTCGAGGCCATGAAAATGGAGATTGCGGTACATGCGCCCTCGGGAGCTGCCGAGTACAAGGTGGCGAACATCTCGCGGGAGCCCGGGGAGCGGGTGGAAACAGGAGACGTGCTCGTGCTGCTGCAGAAGTTGCCATAAGGCTCATAGCATAGATGCTGCCAGAGACGGCGAAAATCCCGTCGAAATTGGGATGGGACGCAATGTAAGGAGCTTTCCAAGGAGGGCGCTGCGGGCAAGAGTGCTGGCTTGGGGGAAGTATGGCGTCTGATCAACATTGCTCACCCGGAAGGACGAGCATTGATATGGGCGTCCCTGCTGCTGTTGAACTCGCGCTCCACTCCACCACCATGCCTGTCTCATTCTCCATCGGGAAGATTCTGGATATTGCAACGAAAGGCGGTGCAAAGACGGAGGGTGACGACGGCTAATAGCTGCATATGAATGCATTTTGTAGTGTGGGTAGGCGACGCAGTCAAGATGGTCGAGCTAGAGGCGATACCGCGCCGTTTGTCGACCCAATGGCAGAAATCTTGTCTCACGGCCATCATCAAGGGTCAAAGCAGGACATCTATCTTAGCCAGCTGGATGGTTGACCCGACTTCCACCGGTGACTGCTCCATCCCACTAAACGAGTCTCCCCACCCAGAAGTTCTTATCAGTAGAGCTCCGTCTCGCAGTTCCGACTTTGATGTGAGGATCAAGACGCGCCCCAAACAGACCTAGTCTTCTCTTTCGGCCCACAGATTCCATGATTCTTCAGCCGTTTTCGAAGCTATTGCATTGAACCTTCACTTTGTTGTGGATTTGTCTGCTGGTGGCACAAGGTTGGAGGGGTTGGAACAGTGGTGGGGGCGCGCCAACCTTCGGCCTAGAACTGTCCTCGGTACTGTAAGTTCAGTCACTGATGGGTGCCGCGCTGGAGAGTATCGCCTTCACCTGAGGGACTTGAGGGACCTAGACTGCAGGCTTTAGCATCGTCGCTGTCAGTGGAGCGGCCGCCCCGAGTCCCCAGTCGCCCGTCCCGCCTTGGTGCTCAACAGCGTCGTGTATCCATTTTCCACGTCCTGCCTGGAATCACGACAGGACTGGCCTCTGGCAACTGACCGAGTATCTGCAGTGAGCGTCTCGCACGTTCAATCATCTTGTGTTGCCCATCCAGTATTGGGGCAGCTTTGGCAATGCGCCACGTGGTTGCGGTGTGAAAGGACCCAGGACCGAGGAGTCGAAGGATCTCGCTGCACCTTCTCCAGACACTGCCCTGCACCTCCAAGACACCAACATGCCCAGCGATTCTCGATCACGATCAGGCATGCTCACAGAGACCTCATTATGCATCGGTTTGGCTGACGATCCGATGTAGGCTGCGCTGCGTGTCGACGCCGGCGGCGAAAGTGTGACGAAACTCATCCTAGCTGTCGAGGCTGCGTTCGACGCGGGCTCAAATGTGAATACCGTCCCCCGAACATCAGGTGGTCCCCGTCAAGAACGTTTTCGACCTGGATTCTGCCGCAATCCCCTTTGAAGAATCCCAGCCCCCTCTATTGGGACCAAGAAGGTGATCATCAACCTCTGTCCGCTGCAGCTTGTTCGAATGGAGAGGGACTGGGTTTCTGGACGGATGAATCAAGAGTCACTGAAATATCCTCACCGGCTTTGAGTGCTTCGACCACAGGGATCTGCGAGCATGGCGATTCCACGACTATCGTGCTGGGCGCCGACACCATGGGTACGCCTCAGCCTCTTTCGACCCCTGAGGACACCTCCGCCCGAAACGCGAGTGCTGCAGAAAGTAACCATCTTCAGCTGGATCCAGGAGAGTGCGAACGGCCTGAGCCACCTGACCCATTGACCCCCGTGTTCCAGAGATCTCCAGAAACAATTTCTAGTATCGACGACGAGGAATCCGACATGCATCCCCCGGATGCCGCCTATTGGCAATTCGACGACAATTCACTCGGGAATTTCTTGGAGCCATTGTTTGATACGCCGGGTGAACATATCGCGTTCATGTACTGTGAGTCGTGGCTGGTCCTGAGCGCCTGGGCCTGCAGCTGACTTATTTACAGACACCAAACATCTGAGTGGGATCCTGGCACCATATGACGACCTGCGAAATCCTTATCAAAAACTAGCCGTCTTTGCCATCGGCAGCCCGGTCTTGCTACACACATTGGTCTCGATCGCGACCGAGTGGATGCTGTTATACGGCAGAAGCAACGCCAAACTCGCCAGTGCTCGTCAATCAAAAGCCCTGACTTCGATCCAGAAGCTACTCGTAGAGATAGAAAGTGGTCAGGCTGACACCTGTGGCCATCTCCTGACGGCCTCGCTCTCATCTCTGATGGCCGCCAGAGAGGCCGCTTTAAGTGCTATACTAATGCAGATTGCGCATGCAATATATTCGGGTAGCGCTGGGGGCAAGGCTCACATCCAATGCGCTTATCACCTCCTAGACCAGCTTGGCTACTTGAATCAGCTGGATCGAGGCTTCCTGCCACGCTTGACAGCACAACGGTTCGCCATTGCCGATGTGGCGGCATCATTACTCCATGCGACACGCCCCAAGGCTCCGTTGACATTCCCGGTATACCAAGATCGAGAGGACTTGGACCTTACGGAACCTTCATTTTGCCAAATGACTGGTTGCCCTCAACCAGTGCTTAGTGCGCTGGCGCACATATCTCATCTTGCGTGTGATTTGCGCGAAAAACGCCAAACAACCGACGCCGTACTGGGACAAGCAGAACAACTCGAATTCGGGCTGCGGACGTGGGCTGCTCAGAAGTTTCCCTGTCTTCTACGCCATGGTTCCGGATCGCTATCAGAGCTGAGGTATGACCCAGATCGCGACGGGGTTCGCTTTGGAGACGCTCGACGGTACCAGATGGCTCTGGTGAACCAGTCTTACTACTGGCTGGCGCAACTGCTGCTCCAACGTCGGCTGTACCGGGATTCCAAAAGTTCCCGGCGGGTACAGCAGACGGTCAAAAGACTCATAGCATTGATCAACGCGATTCCGCCCGGTCAACCGCCCGCGTCGGCCTTACCTCTGGCATTCTACCTGGTTGCAAGGGAGTGTGTCTCGGATGAGGATCGAAACTGGATTCGCGAGAGACACAGGCAGATGAAAGAGACCTATCGCAGCAGCACTCGCGACAACTTGATGCTCATCACGGAGCGTATCTGGTCCGCTGAGGGCGAGAGTCAGCGTGCCAGCAGATGTGCGAATAATGAAGCCGAGGTTGACGACTTTCACGACGAGTTGTTCTCAAAGCAGCTTTTTCAGGTCATCTTCTAGAGACAGATGACCTACAGTCACCACACTTGTAATGGCCCTCACAGTCTGGCGATACCGAATCCATCCCTCCTCTCTACCGATGTCCTGGAGCTTTGTGTATCCTGCCAGCGCCGTTACCCGGTCAAATTCTCTTTCGAATGCGCCGACAACCATTTCCACGCCCTTCTGCCCGCCGTACCCCAAGGCCCAAAGCGCAGAGTGCGCTCAGTGAGGCAGGAAAGTTGGCCCCCAAAGCAATGGCCTTGAGGACGTCAACTCCCTCGATGCACCAGGAAGATCGGGAACGTCAAATCCAGCCGTTTTAAGAGGTCCAAAAAAAGATCGCGGGGGACTCGGTGACACAGACCACTCTGTGGGCCAGGAAGGTTCTTCGTCTAGAAATACCTATTGCATAGCTAGGTGCGACCGATTGAACGAGATGCCTCAGGCCTGTGTGAGAAGCAATGTCAGGAATACAACTCCATGTTCCCCTTGGTGATACCTCCATATCTTATGACCGATATCTTGCCTCCCCACGGCGGCCACAATTTCGGGCAGTGCTTCAGTTGTGGATGATACCGAACGCAGCTAGCGGCCCCCCCCATGATTCGACACCATGATAGATAGCATCGATTCGACCTTCCTAGGATAGTAACGGCAAAGTGGGAACAGGAGCAGACGAAGCACCCCCCGGTGTAGCACTACGGGTTAGTCCAGTCTTGGCACGTTAAGATGTCGTCTTCCCCCTCTGTATATGTATAGTTGGTTGTGGGTGGTCGTCGGCGTGTGAGCGACGCGAGTTTGCTTTTTTTTTGGTGCAGAAATCCCTTTCGTGTGGGTGAAAGCAATCCTCCCCATTCATCTCGTTTAGTTCGACACCCGAAGAACCTCCAGCCACCATGCCGTCGTCGTCGACCACCGTCACGCACGCACCCTGGACCAAGGTGAGCGTCGAAAACGTGGCCGTGGAAGACTGTGTCGCCCTGGATGAGCAGTACGCCGCCACGGCTCTTGAGTCGGTCCCGATTGTGTTTCGCAAAGCCGCGGGGGCGCGGTTATGGGATGTCCACGGCAAGGAATACGTCGACTTCATGAGCATGTTCTCGGTGGTCAACCAGGGCCACTGCCATCCTCGGATCGTGGCGACCATGATCCGGCAGTGCCAGGAGATCACGCTGGTGTCGCGCGCCTACCACAACGAGCATTTCCCCCGGCTGTGCAAGAAGCTCTGCGAGCTGTTGAACTTCGACAAGGCCTTTGCGATGAATTCCGGATCCGAGGCCACGGACCTGGCCATCAAACTGGCCCGGAGATGGGGCTACAATGTCAAGGGCATCCGCCCGGACGAGGCCCTGGTGGTCACGCTGGCCGGGAACTATCACGGCAAGACCCTGGGCCCCTTGTCTGCGTCGGACAACACTTTCCTCCGACGAGCATTTGGCCCCTTCATCCCCGGGGTCGGCCCCACGGTGGACGGTCGTACGGTCCGCTACAACTGCATCGACGACCTCGAGGAAGCGTTCCGGTCGTCGGGTCACAAGATCGCCGGGGTGATGGTCGAGTGCGTGCAAGGCTACGCCGGCTGCATCCCGGCGGACGACGAGTATATCCGGGCCGTGGCCGACCTGTGCCGCCGGCACCAGGCCCTCTTCATTGCCGACGAGATCCAGAGCGGCTTCGGACGAGCCGGGTATCTGATGGCCTACCAGAAATACCACGTCGAGCCCAGCATGGTCCTCCTCGGGAAAGCCCTGACCGGCGGCGTCTACCCGATGAGCATGGTCGTGGGCCGGCGCGAGGTGATGGACCAGCTTCAGGCGGGCGAACACAGCTCGACGTACTCGGGCAACCCTCTCGCCAGTGCGGTCGCCATCGCCGCGGTGGACGTCGTCCTCGACGAGTCCCTCCCAGAGAGATCCCTGCGTCTCGGCCATCTCCTCCAAGCACGCCTGCGCGCGATCACTTCGCCTTACACGACGCTCCGTGTCACGGGCCAGGGTCTCCTCTGTGCCCTGCACCTCGACGAGTCGCATCCCTCTGGCCGCATCACGGCAGCCCGCCTCGCGAGCCTGATGCGGCAACGCGGCATCCTCGCCTTTTCGGTCGCGAACAGGCTCCGGCTGGCCCCGCCGTTGGTCATATCGGAGGAGGACCTCTTGACGGGAATTGCCGTCCTAGAGCAATCCCTCCACGACCTGATCGACACGAGTCCAGTCTGATGTAGCGCGATAGAACACGTGTCTTCCGGGCGATGGGCCAGATTTGGCCCGAATTTGCATGGGATCGTATAGAAGAATAAAATCTTCCATTCTGAACATAAGACACATGTATCATCTGCCCATTGCGACCTCGCGATCACCCAGGCGAGGTCTCTCCGATACACTTCGCGCCGGACATAATCTGCCATCTACGGTACAAGGCATGCTATTGGCCGGCACGTCATCGACCGGGAGCCGGTCCGTTGAGGTTGAATGCCGATGGGGTGTGGTGTAGTTTCCGTTTAGTTGGACAGAGGATTGATGCTGGTCGCACTTGGGCAGCTCGGAACTTGCTGGGCGACTCGAGTTGCCTGAACGAGCAAAGCTCCCCATGTAGCTCCAAGGAAACGCGGGACATGAATGACAATTGTCAATAGGATCCACCTTTATCGGGGCCGCTGGTCACACCGACCGTAAGTAACTATTTTCTTGACATTGCCGCGCCTGCCTAGTGTTTGGTGTTTGGTGTTTCGAGGTGGTCTGGCCCAGCATGATCTCTATCTCTGTCCTCGACGAAACTGTGACGACCAGTCATGCCGTGGCGGGTGCACGCCGCCGAGCCCAGACTTCCATTGGGGTCTAAGGTGGTTATTGGATTAGAACCTGCATACACAAGATAAGAGCCAAGAAGACTGGCTGGACATTGAATGGAATAGCTACAGAGATAATCAAGTGCCTCTACACACCCCAAAAAAATCATTTTCTCGGGTATGGCCTAAAGAGTGTGTGCGTGGTCTGTATCGACCCAAAGTCGTGCATTCTCATCACTTGAAGTTGGCCGAGGTCCTCATGTTGAGGTACTCCATGGCCGTGATGGGGTCGTACTTGGGGCCCGTCTCTCCCTCCAGGCCCGGAACACACCGAATGACCTTGTCGCGGTCGGCTTGTAGGAAAAACGGGATGGAAAACCTCGCCGCGGACAACTCGAGATCGTTGCCCAGGTCCTTCGCCGCCGGCGGCTCGACGACCCGATGGAGCGTGGATTTCAAGATGTCGTTGCTCCTAGAGCCGGATATTAGCTGGGGGCAATGCCAACCGGGGAAGATCCGTATATAGAACCCATCCCCTCTGTCAGTGAAAGTTGTTCGGCTCCTTACCATCTCATCAAGAAGTCGCCGATGTTGACAATCGCAGCCCCCTTGAGCGGTGGTGCCGGCACTGTGTCGCTCCAGTCAGTGAGTGATTCGTGCTTGTTTCCGAGATCCCTCGATGTCGGTGCGACTCACGAAAGTGGCCCGGATTCTTCGAATCCTCGACTTGCAGGCCGCCCACCGCGTCCTGGAACAAGACGGTGATTGACCCGTAGTCGGAGTGTGCGGGAATACGAGCCTTGGAGCCCGACACGAGCGCCTTGCGCTCGACGGGCGGGTAGTGCAGGAGCCGCACTGGAGCGCGTCAGCCAGTCCTCAGCCGAACGACAAAGGGGCGGGATGAGTGAATGGAAACGGAGGAGGCTGAGGCCAACGCACGGAGATGGTCGGCGTCTGCGTGGAAGTTGACAAAATAGTTTTCGTCAATGTCCAGACCGATGGCGATGGCTCGAAGGATCTCCAGGCCAAATTCGTTACAGTGCCAGAAAAACTTGACCATGAAGTCTTCGAAGCCTGGGATCAATTCTCTGGGAGGGAATCGGTTGGGTTCTCGCGCCGCAGGAGCACCCCGATCGGCGCCGATATCAAAGTACTCTTTGACGTCGGCCACAGCCCTCATGGTCTTGATTTTTTCGTCGTCGAAAATGTTCTGAGTGACCTTCTCCCGGCCGAGGGCGCAGTAGCCTCGCGCCGTGTAGGTCTTCAAGCCCGCTTCAGGGGTGGGCCGAGCCACCTCGGGTTTGTTCAATTCATCTTGTGGCAACTGAAAAATGCGACCGGCCTATACATCATATGCAAATAAGCAGCACATCCCGACGTGGGTTGATGGCTCCGTGGACGCCACTGACCTGGTTGAACGCCTCATCGATCTCCTCGTCGGCCACCGGGTGCTGCACCAGATACACGAAGCCGACCTCCTTGAAAGCGGCAACGATATCTCGAGCTGTGTGTGTTCGCTGCTCCGGAGTTCCGTTGGTGAACAACGAGAAGTCAATCAGGGGCACCTCTGAAGTTGAAACGGTGGCAGGCATTCTGGTCAACTATCGCGGGCGGCGAGTTTACTGGCTCGTAGAGAGCTGACAATCTGTGCTGCCGCGTCTTGGATATCCGATCTTGTATGTATAGATCGATTGCAGTGCAGTCTCGTGATATAGATTGTTCGCCAGTGCGGACACCAGCAGCGACATGCGGGCGTTGCGGTCGCAAACTTCCACACCACTGCAATACAAGGTCCCTCTGGGATCGGGCCCCGTCCACTCTGATAAAGCCATTTCTGGGCGAAATGGACTTGAGCTAAGCGCTTTTGGGGTATGTGTACCGCCATGGCCCGTTCGGGTATGATGCGTGCTTGCGGGTCTGGGCGTTCGATAACAGAGATAGTGGGTGGCGTAGGGGGCACCTATCTTTCTCTGAGCAGGTGCCATACAGCCGTGCGTGTATATGAAGATATGTATAGCTGGCACGACCATGCTGACTCCTATGCCTTGTGCTGTTCTCTATACCCAAAGGCAGAACTGCAAACATGCCTCACCACAAGACCTTCCTTGCCATCCCTCTCCCCAATCTCCCCCAATGGAGGGAGAACTGCAGGGCCGTTTGGCACGCAAAGGGATTGAAAAACAAAGCCTTGACGGTGAAGGGAATCAGCGAGCTGCCGCCTCAGGACACCATCTTCGCCCACGGCACCTCGTGGTCCAACAAAGGTACGTTGGCCGGTTACAGAACCCCTTGCCCCATGCTGACTCCGTTTAGATCTGGATCCCGTCCCCCCCGACCAGCGGACGTGGAGGAACTGGGACTTCATTACCTATTGGTGCTCCGACCAGTTCACCATTGCGACCTGGAGCTTTGGAGCGATCCTGGTGGGCCAGGGGTTCACTTTCCGCGAGATCATCCCGATCACCTTTTGCGGCTTCCTGCTCACCGGCATCGTGGTCGCACTGTGCGGGCATATCGCAACAAACTACCACACGGGATTCCCGCTGTCAACCCGCATGTCC